AATCCAAGAGCGTTCACTAATGATATAGTCTATATATACCAAACTGCCCTGCGCACCCTGACCGTTCCACTTACACTTAGCAATGCGCCTTCTTATCCCTCCATCGCAATATAACCCTAGGCGCAAAAGAGTCACGGAAAAAAAATTTAGACACCGGCCCCAACTGGGTCAAGGATAGTCTGCTACGTGTGCATCCATGAGGGGGTTTTGGAGGGTGGATTGACCGCCAACATTGTCGCGATTGCCAGCGATTATTCCCCTCTTATCGCAAAGCAGACCGTAAACCAGCCACTGGATTTCCTCATCTGCAAGTGAGTCAGCCCTTCGGTGTCTCTCATTTGTTAGAAAAAAATATGCGATGCATGGCGGAAAGTGGGCACAGAGAGAGGGGACCGCATCGTGGCATCGAGGGTCCCCTACTCGAATAGTTCCCGAGCGTTGTGGACTCGGTTCCATTGCTCTCACCAATACTCTGTATTCATGGCCAATTTCCCCATCGTCCATGATCCAGTTGGACAGCTCATCTCGTTTTGTTCAAGATGCGACGAAAGCCTCACGCGAGCACTGCGGGGACCAGACAGCTTGCTCGTCCGGAGGGTCGGAAGAAGGCGAATGGTGGACGCGGACACACTAAGGATTTTAGTCTGCCGTTAGGTTGTTGCCCGATGCATCATTCATTTGCCAGCCTCCTCAGGACCCAACTGAAGACTACTTTTTTTCTTTTTTTTTTTTCTTCTTTTTTTTCGTTTGTCAGGTGCTGTACCTGGATTGGGACTTAATTTAGTTGATGCTATTCATAATTTACTAGCATTCCTCTACGGAGAAACTAACATAAACCAGTGAGCTGGCAGTTGAATGATTCATCGTGGGCGAATTGCGAGGTCATTCTAAGGAATATTATTGCTACTAAATTTGCATAATAGGACGTTTTTGCTCAGATTCTTCTCAGGTGAATAGCTAGATATTGGTAGATGGTAGAACGGTTGAGCGAGGGGAAAGCCATATGACACATCGATTAATCTCCGCTGCAGGTGTTTTCGTCCTGCGATTCATGTATGCGCGCAGTATATAACTATGCGGTGAACGCCTCCCTGTTCATTGCCATCCTAACAAGAAATTCTATTATCTAAACATATTGCTCCGTGCTATTAAGCATAAGCTATTCCAACGTCTCAAGAAAACTCCCGTTGGTGGATACCCTTATTTCCTCCTTTGGGACGTGCTTCAGACATCATAGATGAAGCCCTTCATGCCGTACGTTTGGAAGCGTTTGAACCCCCATACGTTCCCAGTTATTATATCCCCTTTAATAATTGCATGATTCCATGAAAGTGTAACTACGGCTGTAATTTCAGACCAAATTACGGAGGACTACACACCCATATCTCCCTATCCCAAATAAACTAGCACTCACACCATCCCTCAAACTCTCAAAATAACTATACCGCTCAATCGAGTACACTTAAACCACACACTTAAACCCCAAAGCCCAAATCAGAAAACGAGAAAAACCACTAACAGCCTCACATTCCTAATACAGAACCCACCAAGCCAAGCTTGATTCCCTGTCGGGATCCACGCCCCAGCCATCTCATCCCAACCTCAAACCCACTCACGGCACCAATGAAGTCACCAAGGAACAAACCAGGAGCCAAATATTGGTGATGTAAATTGATAATTGAATCCGCCGTCTTAAACGCGGCGTCTGTGCTAGGGTTAAATTGATCCGCGTCGACTATTTATAGAGACTTCTCTGCGGAGATGCTGGTGGAGTAATCATCGGATAGCTTACGTGACGCGGCGACTGCCACGAAGCTATTTGAAGACAAAAGTGTGGGCAATACGCGGTTGTGGGTAGACTCGCCGTTGTTAAAGCTCTGGGTGGCTGGGAATGGACTTTTTGGCGAGCTTCACCGATATTGTCAATGACCATTTTCGCTCGGAAATACTGGTAGGGCATGGCTTTCGGGCGAGAGAGAAAAAGGAAGAGGAGGGCGTCAACCAGTGTGCCGGTAATCGACGAAGTCAGCTTAGACGACAGTCATCAATAGGTAAGCAAGTATCGACAAGAGAATGCAAACTCCATGTCATCTGATTATATACAAAAATGTTGCTCCCCCGGCTTCATGGCTATAGACTCTTAGTGTATCAGCTCTAAATATGAAACCTGTTGTCGCCATTCACAACGTGCTTACGAGTACAGCCATCATCTACACCCTTACAACATGATAGTTCGTCATTTTGAATGACCTTGATTGACATCACAGCCAGTCCCCCCATTCAGGTTGCGGTTGTACCCGCTAGGCCAAGGGAAACTTCCCATTTTATGGGTAAAAACCTTGGTCAGGACTGGAATAACAAGAGAGCGACAACATAAAAGGTATAACCAGAGGACTAATTACAAAAGTCTCAAGACAGGAATATGTCAACATCCCCCCGCCAGATCATCCAACTCCTATCTCCGGCCACCTTGGTTGGTTCGTTCAGAGGTGGTGTGACCGGCCTTAAGAGTTGATGGACGCACAGGGCGTTGTGGTGGGACTGGTTGAGAAGGCCATCAGTGCAAGACGGTGTCTTAGTGATGACAGTCCTGAGTCACTGGTAAGACACGCAGTTGGCTTGCAAGAAGGCCAAACTTACATTTTCTGCCAATGGGATTCTCTTCACTGCGGTGTGACGGGTATTTTTTTTAGCCAGCCTGGAGAGCCCAGTTAGTAGAGGAGCCCAGTACTAGACGTAGGTCACACTTACAAGCTCTGTCACTTACTGGGCCTGCCACGGTGCAGCTAGTGGGAGGGACTGTTCTCTGGTGACCGAAGGCGTGTCATGGCTCAATGTCGTGAAGTCGGATCAGGATGTAGTCGCGTCTGCCTGCTCACTGCCTCCCGTAATGGCGAGATCATGCCGGCGAGCGGGCGGTTTTTTTTAGCCAGCCTACAAAAGCCGTCAGCATCAAAGAATGGTGCATTGATGGAAGGTATGCATACAAGCTCTGTCACTTACTGGGCTTACCCGCGGTGCAAGGCAAGTGGAGGGTGAAGGAGGCAGGAGTCAGTCGTAGAAAGACGCATATGAGCATGAAGCTGATTTGGCGTTTGTCCCCTAGCTACCTGGTTAGAAACGTGCCATGCAGTAAGGGAGGTGTGTACGAACAAGAGCATGTCCCCGTGGGGAGCTGGCCTGCGGTGCGGGCGAAGTTTTTTTAGCCAGCCTACCACAGTGGTCAGTATCAAAAGATGTAATATTGAGGAAAGGCATGCATACAAGCTCTGTCACTTACTGGGCCTGCCCACGGTGCCAGGCATAATGCTCAGGGAGAGGTGAGGCAGCTCAGATCTCGGCTGGTGAGTGATCGGCGAGTCAAGATGAATGTCGAGCAGATAAAACGACCGAGTCCCATCCAGTTCCAAGCAAGCAAACAGTCGCCTATAAGCCGAAGAGGGCGTCGTCAGCAATGGCGCTCATCTCCATGAGACTTACCAGCAGGCCAGCTTGGTGAAACTCGAAACCTCCACGACGGTGAGCTAACTTGGAACATGAGTTTAATTCGGTCGGCCTGCCTCATCAGTAGTAAAGGAACATGTTGACAGATACCTCGAAGAGGACTTACAAACACTGTTCCCTAATGATTCTCCATGTTAGAGCCAGGTGTGTGAAGGAAGCCAAAGGGTGGAAGAGTAGCAGTTGTTGGAACGAGGGGGCGAGGGGAGAGGGGAAGAGGGAAGCAAGGGGGTGGCGTGGTGAACAGACGAAGATTATGGCTGAATGACGACGATAAAGACCTCGGAAGTGGACTGGTGGTGGTGGTGGTGCGTTCCTCAGTGACATCGCTCTTCCTAATATGGAAGGAGCGACTCAGGGAGTGTTGAGCTCGCGACTTCCAGATGGGTGTCGAAGGTCAAACGCAACAGACGTGGCCGAGGATTCCACAGTCTTCGCGGATCATACATCGGTTATATCTTCGAATTTCGAGAGATTCACAGTGGAGGGCCAGAGATCCGATGGAAAGAGGGCGGCTAACTCTTGGTAGAGGGCGTTGAAAGCGTCCCGATTATATCAAATGAGGTCTTGAGTGGTTTATAACCTTCTTCAATCCGACTGTGCAAGAATCATGAAGTGGCCAAGAATGAGACTTCCATGGGCATCGCTCTCTTGTCGTGGTCAGGCAGATGGACAGCCGGGCTTGCGCCGTAATCGGTGAGAAGAAATCTCCGGTTCGTTGCTGAGCTGCTTTTTGAGTTGGTTAACTCGAGGCGATTGCGCCGACATCAGGAAAAGAAGAAAAGGAAACATAATGAAATATATAGAATTAGAGTCATGTGAAAGACGATACAACAGGGGTAAGTTAAAAATATAAGATCTCCATTGATGCCGCTTATATACAGGGGATTCAGGAACAGTCTCTCCACGAGGTGTGACTCATGATCACCAGAATCAAAGCCCAACATACTCCTAGCCCTAAACTGCGAGATCTATGCCCACTATGGGGTAGACACCCAGCGGTGAGGTGGCCATTCCAAGCACCAGAAAAACAGTGGGTATCATTTGAAATACAACAACTAAGCGTTTCATGAAACTGCAAGGGCCCATCAAAGGGGCGACATCTCTTTGGAATGTGAAGCGAAAATGTCAGAACGCCGGCTGCGGTGTGGAAAACAGTTGTTGTCTTGGCGTGACCCTAGACACGTGGCGGAGGTCTAAGGTAGCGGTGAAAAGAAGCGCATGGTATTTCAAATCCCACCGAGGTCAGGCACTTGTAGAGATTAGAAGTGACGTGTAATCGGCCTCCCTGCGATCGCGAATTATGAAACGCCGTCGAGGATCCACGCTGTTCGGGTACCAAGGTCGGGTTTCATGTCGATCGGCTGTCAAATGGTCGGATTCTGAAACAAGGCTGTTACCTGGCTATTGAACCTCCAATTATCGATAAATGTAAACTTGCGGCAGCTGACCAGAATGGCTGCACGAATAAAAGCGAGGTTGGCACCGTGAGCGCGCAATCAAGCAACCTTCCGTCCAACATTTCCAATGCCCCGTCCAACCACACTGACAACGACGTCACCACGCTCATTTTCTCCGGCAGCCTCTCTAAGACCCCAACCAGGTGCGCCAAATTTTGCTAAGTCTCTTGCCAGCTGGATTACACCTTCGTCGGCAATCACATCACGGCCAAGTTGAAGCCGGCCAACATCCTCTGAACCCATTGTCATAAGACCCAGCATGGTCGCTGCTGCAGCGGGGGCAACACAACCGCCTTTCGAGATAGTTTCAAGCAGCTGATAAGCGCACTGCTTTCCAATATCCTCGGGAGCCTGGCCACCTGAAGGCGGGGATGCCACATCCGCGGAAAAGAGGCAACCAGTTGAGGACTCCGCAACAAGCGACAAACCGAATCCAAGACCGATCTTCTTCTTAGCCGAAGGATTGCTCTTGTCTGGGGCAGGAACCAGCGGGGCGGAAGACACATCAGAGAAAACGTAAGTATCCGGTACAAGTGGGTTGAGAACACCACGAGCGGTTGTGATCATTCTTGCGTTGTTGGAAGCTGAGACACCGACGGCATAGGCTACACCGCGAATCTTCTTTATTTTACCTGGGTTCATCATATGAAGAGTTTTCGGGAGACGCACTTGGTGGCCGAAGACCAGCTGAACTTCTCCACCACCTCCTCGGCCGTTATGTCCAGGGTTAGATCTTCGTAGGATGCGAAGTTCGATGTTATTGAATATACCGAATTGATTGTAGAGCGGCAAGATCGCGGTTCGCACGCTGTCCACGGACATATCACCGGTTGGCGTAGATGACGTGATCACACCAGGGCCGGTAAAGAGCACCTTTATAGGAGCCTTGGAGAACGGGGCCAAAAGGCAAAGAGGCAAAAGGTAGTAGCTCACACCACGATTACAACCTGCTGGGAGCTCATGTTTGATCACACCACCACTGCCTGCTCCTGCACTGCTTCCAGTAATAAGACCAGGTTTGTAAACCACAATTGTTCCTGTATAAGAAATTTCAAGTTGGGAACCATTGGTGACAGCCTCTAGGAGACGAAGAAAGGAAATTTCATGCGGAGTAAGACCAGGGTTGGTAGGAGATGAAGGGCGGATCTGAGAGATATGCACCGTACGGCCAGTCAAGGTTGCAAAAACCAAACGATACACAAAGTTCTTATGGCCGGTAAAGCGGAGAGGGGGTTGTGAAGTTGCCATGATTTTTTTGATTGGAGACTCACTGTATCTCCGTCGTGGGCCAGCAATGTCGCAATCAAAAGTATGCATTTGAACCGACAAAAAAAAGCGGATGGAGAAAATCTGTCGGGGTAATGATGTTCCGCGGTGATGTCCGGGCTTAAGAAAAACGATTATCTCCGAGCCTGATTATCAATGTCGTCGCATGGTATGCGCCTTCACCCCTCCGCCGATCTCTTCAACTCTGAAATTTTCCGAGACGGTCTTTCAGACTGAGAAGGGTGTATAGTGCTAATACAATAATTGCTCAAAATGCTTCCCCCGGCTTTGAACATTCCCAAATGGTACTTTCTCAATCCATGCTCTGTCGTATATATTGTCATGATTACCCCTCCCCCGCAATGCGTCACAACATGCGACAAGACCTATTAGAAGCTACATAACTATGCCATGACTGAACTGACCATGCATCTATAGGCTTGAAGCCAATTCTCACCTTTTACAACCACCAGTGAACAACTACTGTGTCTACCATCCCTCTTCCCCGGCAACAGCCGGCTACACAGTGATGATTGTGGGCGGTCCTAACGCCCGCACGGATTACCACATTAATACAACCCCAGAGTTCTTCTACCAGTATCGAGGCTCAATGCTTCTCCGAACTGTTGATACATCCTCTTCGCCCCCGACGTTCCAAGACATTCCCATCCACGAGGGTTCGCTGTTCCTGCTACCCGCCAATACGCCTCACTGTCCGGTGCGGTTCAAGGATACCGTGGGTGTTGTGATGGAGCAGCCCAGAGCTGAAGGTGCAGTTGATATTCTGCGGTGGTACTGTAAGAACTGTGGAGAGATTGTATGGGAGAAGCGTTTTGTCTGTACGGACCTGGGAACGCAGGTGAAAGAAGTTGTGGAAGAATTCGGCGCGGATCAGGAAAAGCGAACGTGCAAGGCTTGCAGTACTGTTGCTGAAACAAGATATCAAGAGGGGGAACTGGTACAGCCGCCCAGGTTCCTTGAGTAGTTGATGTTTGGAATGATTCCCAGAGAAACGTGTTAATTGATGTAAAATGTGGAGTTTACAGGGTGTATGTGATGATGATGATGATTACGATGATGATTGGCTATAAAATGGTAGTTGAATGTTGATAGTGAACTAAAAGAAAATTATAAAGGGCACCGAAGAGCTGAATGATTATTTATGTACCTATAGGAACAGGTTTTCTGGAACAACTATATCTTTATTCGTTATTTACGATTGGAGCAAGTTCTACCACTAAAGCGTAAAGTACCGCAGAACATAAACTACCTTAAATTAGAATATATCTACAGGTATTCGCGAGGTCAGAACTGATAATACTCAGAAGAGATCTTCCGGAGCTAATTGATAGGCCAGACCGTCATCCATAGTGGCATCGAAACCACACACATTCACGGACGAGTCGGAGACGACATTCTGTGCGCAGCGCGTAGAACCAGCTACCACAGCAAACGCAACATAGAAATCAAGGAAATATCCGTAGGCGACAACAGCTCTGGGGTGCAGCCATAGAAACGGAGAAAGCTGCATGTCTTCGAGTCCTGAAACCCGATTCTGCTTCGCCATCCTATGCTGGAACGCATGGGTGGTAGCTTAGGTGGACATTGCTGTGATATACTACTATGGAATACACTGAGAGCCCTCCTGCCCTTCGTATCTGCATTGTCAATATCGCTTTTCGTTAGTAATCGCGGGTCCCTTCAGAAGTGTATAAGTGAAACGGGGTTGGTTATTATATAAGGGTATATGTTGATTGTAAATCAATTAAGGGTTCCTGTGATCTACCTCGCCTGATTTAATCGGATATGAGTGACTCATAATTACCGTTAAAAGAGTATTGAATCCAAGTTCTTCATTCCTTGACAATAATATATCTGTTATAGTATATACCGTGGAAGAATTTCAGGAAGCTTATTTTCAATTCCTTGATACTTGGCTTTAGTTTATAGAGTGTAAAGTATCAAGTGACACTATCTCATTTAGGAGGGTAATTGGACGTATGCCTAGTTTACTAGTAGCTAGGCAAAACTCGTTTCTTAGACTATGTGAGGGTATCGGCCTGCCTAGAAAGTCGGATGAAGATGTATTTGTTTAGATTAGGTTGAGACTGACCACGACAGTGTAAAAGGAATGCCAGGAAACAGAATGTGAACAATGAATAGAAGTAAGAGTGGCCAGCTCTAAGGGACTTGAGACACAAAGGTACACAATTATAAAAAATACCAGAACGAGTGACACCTGCGGGGGTAAAAATCAATAGACAATAGAAAGAGAACATGCAGTTGAACAGATCTGATCAGGGTACTCTGTAAGGTTCACACAAACTAAGTTGGTATATGATAAAAGAGTCAGGATAGCAACTGAAAGGGGGGAGAAAACAAAAGACCCGGAATAGTACAGTGTATAGCATATCCAAGAGAAGAAAATGTGCCCAACCCATTATTAAAAATAAATCAGGAACGGACTCGCTAACCGATCAGAATGTCATCTCACATCACAGTTGCGAGAAACGTTTCAAGCCACAGAAAGAACTGATCCCTGGATCATATACCTCGTACACCAGCATTCCAACCACCTAACCCCATTAATCATCAAATGGACAGTCGATGCTTTCATGACCATCCCTTTCACAGAGTGCACACCACTTCGACTCATCAACTGCTCCGCTCGCTTTGCCTGCTACAGGAGCCATGGAAGATGTTGTCGCAACTCCTTTCAGCCCTTCTAAGACGACATCTCGGCCGGTTTTCTGAGGGGTGGTGCTATCCTCATGACTAGACTGCGTAGACTCAGGAGCTGGTGATGTCTCTGGTGTGAACTTTTCATCAGCTGAGTCCTCTTGAGAAGGCTCCTTCGTATCGGTGTTGCTCTTGTTCTTTTGCTCGGCGCCAAACATATTCGTGCAACTCAGGATATCGTGACCACCGGTTTCACAAATCTCGCACCACAAGGAAGCCCCGTCATCAGACCGGGCATCAGATTCGTGCATGGTCTCCAGTCGCTGATGAGAAGACTCCGAAGCGCTACGGAGTCGCCCAGGGTAAGCCTGATATTGGTCATCATGCTGTGGTTGATCATGCCAGTCGCCTGGGACCACAGTGCGGTCAGATAACCGATGGGCATGGTTGACGGTATGCTCGCCGCTGATCTTTCCGAGGGAGCTTGAAGATTTGTGGTAGGCGTGCAAACCATTGGTGGTGGGGTTGCGATGGCGATTGTCGCCATTGAGCTGTAACTGCTGAAGCTCATGCTCAAGTTCTTCAATACGGAAAGTCTTCCGTTCCGTCATACGTTCGAATTCCTCGACCCGCCGTTCCAAGTGGGCTACATGCTCCGAATCATACTCCGGCTGAGAGCCTCCGAGTTCATTCTGCTCAAGTGCATGCAAATCGGGGTCGCCCCGACTTAAGGAATGGATGATAGCTTTCAGGCCGCGGATCTCGTCATCCTTCTGATCAAGCTCCCTTGAATGCTGTTGCCCATCCCCCACCGCATGAGAAGAGCTTTCACGCTCCTTCTTCAACTCGAGCTTCGTTCGTTCGACCTCACCCCTTAAGAATTCGACTTCTGCTCGCGCCTCGGCTTCGCCACGGCGTGCGTCTTCCAGGCCCTCCTCCAATTCCGAGACCAACTCTTCGAGCTGCTTCAGTTGCCTTGCAACGGCTTCGACATCTTCTCCTCGATCCTGCAATTCTTTGTTTTGCTGCATGAGTTCATCTAGGCGCTGTTCATAAACCCGCTCAGTCTCGGCTGCAGCTATTTCCAAGGTATCCAGAGTGCTCCTGAAATCGGCCCGATGGAGGTCAAACTCTGTCGTCAGCTGGGCAATCCTCTCATTTTTATCACGCAACTGAGCGCGAATGGAAATGGCATCTGACCCCTCAAGCTCCTCTAGCATTCTCTGGAATTCGGATAACGTGGTTGCCTGCTCATCCAACTGCTTGTCACGGTCCAGGAGCTGTTTCTCCAGACCCCTAACTTGGTCTGTCAGCTCCTGCACCTCCGCAGCCATCGCCTTCCGCTGAATATCCGAGGACCTCGTAGATTGAATGTCATCATCTACACTCAGGCGAGAGGGCGGTCGGCTGGTCGAAGTGCGGGACGGCGCTTTGACTGGACTCCGTGGACGGCCATTCGAACTCGGGGCTCTCGACACCCCGGACGGAGTGCGCAATCCAGTGAGACTCAGTTTTGAGGGTGGCGGGCCACGTGGGGATTCGGCTCGAGGAAGTGAAGGCCGCCTCACAGGACGGGGAGTTCGAACCGCGGGGCTCAGGCCCGGACCGACGGATTTGCTGAAGTTGACGGGTCGGGAGGGAGTCGGAGGGTTTACACTAGGAATACTAGGAGCGGACAACCGTTTCGTGACGTACTTATTGTTGTTCATGGGGACGAAGATGCCCGAGCCGGGGGTGGAGGTTGTGAAGTATTTCTTCCCGTCCACATCACCGCTGTTCTTCCCTCGTCTGGCATGCTCAGCTGCCAGTTCAATGCCAGCAAATTTCCCTGGTTTGCCAGCCACAGTTCCTAGATACTTTATTGTACCATACATACCCCCGGGAACGTTTACCAGGTCACCGACCTGGATGTCGTCGAGGGGCGCCATCAGGGTGTCGAGAAAATGATTGGCCTTGACCGAGGGGACGAGGAGGGGGGGGATGTCAACCGGGATATTTAATCATTCGAAGTCTGAGCAAGGGACTCAGCGTAGAAAACAAGTCCGATATCGAAGGAAGGGATAAGTTGCGAAGACGGAGGTAACTGCGTGACTGATCATAGACCGGCAGTCATAGTGTTGATAGTCTGAGCAAACTAGTACTTAGGAGGATCGGAGGATTTTCTGCGCTGGTTTCTTCTTGTTCTGATCGGGCAGCGAGGGGACCACCGAAGGAGAAAGAATTGAGTCGATCGCCACACAGTTTCTCTCGAGTCAATGTATAAACAAATTGTTTCAACTCATCCCCAGAATTGTCATTATACATCTCAGGGGTTAGTTCCAATGATAACCGTAGCAAACATAAACAACCACACGAACGAACCATGGTTTGTGCTCCACCCATGCATGAGTGTTGAGTGGCCATACCGCCAGTTACTGTACAATACATACAACAAACCACCTGCTCGGGCAACAGGTGTGCAAGCCTCAGGAACCTTGGCTCAGACCGCCTACTGTGTTCAGTTGATGCACAAGTAACTACTATGTACTCCGTACATACATAACATTCACTACTAGTACTAGTTGGACTGTACTGCGTCAACATGGAAAGGGCATTAGATCTCCTAATACTATTTACTAGTGCCCTGGTCAAACCTGCTTGCTGGACTGTTCAGGACTGGCTTTGTTGTAATCTATCAATAAGTCTCAATATTTCCCCCGAGTAACGTGTTCAATGACATTATCATCTTGATATAACTAACATCAGCACAAATACAGTATTTGATATACGTAGCATCACAGCCTTATTTTTAAAAAAAGAAAAGGGGGAGTGTTGATTTTCCAGTCGATGTACGGAGTATAATTGGTAGACTGTTCGTGACCAGGTGTACTGGTTGCACGGGCTACGTACGACAACCGCCCCGACCTTATTATTCATCATATCTTCCACCTCATCATCAACTATCTCTGGCTTACTCTCAACCATAGCAGTGGGACTACCAAACAAGATTCACCACTCCATTAGTGGTAATTTTCTCATTTTATGTTTCATTTCAAAACATACAATCTCCCGATCTTTCCTTCCTTGCCGTTCGACTGCATACAGGCCTTCCCTCCCTTGCCGCACCTGTTCTCTCCTCATTTCCCCGGATCCGTTCGCATTCAAACGGTCGGCTGGCCTTGCGGTAGAACAGATTTATCACTACGACAAACAGATCAAACCATTGAGTGCGCATTGATTCGGCTGTCTAGTTGGATATTACGATTGTGATCAACCGAAAATGGCGCAATATTTCTTCGACCTCCTATATAACTTTACCGATTGCATGTGCTGCTTCCCCAGCACGCCGCAGCTTAAGATCAACAATCGTAGCTTTAAAATGCTCCGTCTCCTGGGCGAGGTAAGATATAAGGATCAAACGAGTCTTAGCCCATTGGGCTTTTACTGACTTAATGCTAGGGTGGTTTCTCCTACGTGTACCTAGTTCAAGACAAAGCAACGTCGGAGCTGTTTGCGCTGAAAAAGATCCGATGTCCCTTTGGTCAGGAGTCCGTCTCTCAAGCATTGAAAGAAGTGGAGGCCTACAATCTGTTTACATCACAATCCAATATCATTCATTCGATTGATCACTCCGTGTCCACCGAGTCAGGCTCGAAGTTCCGCTCCGATGGAGGAGAAGCCGGGTCCAAGACTGTTTATATCCTCCTGCCTTACTATCAACGAGGGAATCTACAGGATGCTATCAATGCCAATCTAGTGAACCATGCTCGATTTCCGGAGAAGCGATTAATGGTACTGATGCTGGGTGTCGCCACTGCGCTCCGGGCCATGCATCAATATCGTGTCCAGAGCGGTGCCGGCCCTACTCGGAAGGCGAAGGCAGTAAGAAGGGAAGGCGGAGAGGCAGATACATCCATGCGCATGAGCAAGCCCAAGCGCCGAGCCACCCAGGCGGCAGATGATGAAGATTCTGAGAACGAACCATTAATGGATGACGAGGTTACAAGGAGTCAGGAAGGCGTTCAAGATGGAGGTTTGCGCCCATACGCACATAGAGATATCAAACCTGGTAGAGTTCCCATTACCAACCCCGCGGGCTCAGCCACGTAGCTAACGATACTAGGCAACATCATGATTGATGATGACGGTCAAACACCCGTGCTGATGGATCTTGGTTCACTCGCCCCCAGCCCCATTGCTATCACTTCGCGTTCACTTGCTTTGGCAGTCCAAGATACTGCTGCGGAACATAGTACGATGCCATATCGAGCACCGGAACTTTTCGATGTGAAGACCGGCTCCATAATTGACACCAAAGTCGATATCTGGTCTTTGGGGTGTACTCTCTACGCTTGCTTGGTGGGCAAAAGCCCCTTTGAGGCACGTAGCGAGGAGACCGGCGGTAGCCTGAGTATGTGCGTCCTGGGTGGAGACTGGCGATTCCCTGATGAGAAACCGGGTACCAGCAAGGGCAAGGGCAAAGCTGGCGAGGAATCCCGGAACGACGCCACCGCGACGATCAGTGCGCCTGTCAAGGATGTCGTTCGGAAGTGTTTGCAGGTTGAACCGGCAGATCGACCGGACATTGATGAATTGATCCAAATCTTGAAAGATGTCATCAAGGATTTGCCAGATGATGACGAGCTTGCTGGCAGCTCCCGCTGAGGCAGGCTGCTGTTGTCATTACACCGACCATATCCCCACCACGCATCACGCTTGATTCATGTAAATTGCCTGTTGCGTTGTCTGGTAGTCAGCGACCGGACTGTACAGTATGAGCAAATCTTGAACACAATGTCCGATCTCACTCCGCGCCAATCTCGGATCTCCCGCGCGAAGTTTATGGCTGGCCTTACGGGGACATGTTTCCGAATAGTTTTTGTATTTCAACGTTTGATACCATAATCGCATAAGCTGCAGGCTGGCCTTTTGCAGATATCCGCACGATACGTTTATATTCGTTATATTTCCGCTAGAGCAGAGTTTGTTCGTGATGTATACCGGGCTGGTAGTTTGAATGTTTACCTACCTACTACTAGTACTAGTAGTAGCATTGTAGGCTTTAGATCACCCCTGTCTAAGGTTAACACCTCGTTGGTTATTAATTAAAGCTCGTGGCTTAGTAACCTGTGTAGGGGTCCCAACCGGGGGAGTACGGAAAACGTGCTAGAACGCCTCCTGTCTTACTTTTATATAATTATATGGTTATATAAATAGAACTAGGTTATCTAAGCTTAACAAAATCTCAGCTCTGTGATACGGAGTACACACCATCTGACAGCAAATAGACGTTCCGGATTAGTCGACAATAGTAAGCTTCTTGTGGCGTTTAAGGTGAACGTTCCCGATTTTTGGGACGTGTAACTAGTTCCATCACCTGGCGTTCTGATTGATTGATTAACAGATCAACGGGGATTAGTTGGTTAGTTAGTGAACTAAATCTAGGTTATCTCCGCTTAGTCACGGAAAGATCGTCATTGCAGTTTCGAAATTGATGAAATCTAGTCTCGACTCTTGTCATCAACTCTCGGGCCTTGTCGGGGTTTCGGCCACGGAGAGAAAAATTCCCGATGTATGATAGATCGATCCCCTATAGAAAATGCTTTAAAACAAAAAGATCTGCCATTCAGGAACCCCCCCCCCCCCCTCCCAACACCCGCTTACACTACCTTAGTGAAGTTTTTGTCTCTGTTATCTTTAGTCAGCGGCGGTCGGACTTGCTTTTCACACCCCCGGTTGTGGTCCCGCCTCTCAAATTAACGAAGTTGATCGATCATAGTCCCTTCACACTATCGCTAGTCTCTGTGGAGGCTGACTATCGATGTATCCATCTCCAACATCCGCCGAGAGGTCGGAGGATGAAACCCGACAGCAGCCCAGGAAGCGCACTGCGAGAGCCTGTGACGCATGCTATAAAAGAAAGGTATCACTGCAGTGTCCCTGGCTGTGGGCATAATGCTTATTCATGCACAGATCAAGTGCGACGCAGCTGTACCACAGTGTAACTGGTGTAGTCACCACAATATCCCATGTACATTTGAGCGAGTCATCCATAAAAGACGAAAAGATAAGACAAATGCAAATACGTATGCCATAGGAAAAACCAATCTTCATGATTTCCCCAAAGACACTAACTTCCCACCCAATCTGACAGCCAACAAAAAACTACCGGCCTGGCCGAGCGCATCGACCGGATAGAGAAACTCCTAACAGATAGCCTGTTCAGAGAGCCCAGTTTGTCTGCCTGATCTTCAGCTGCATACGTCGTAGGACTGACCATTTCCCTTCTAGCGCCTAATGTATCTCCTAGCTCCTCTGGACCGAGTGGGTTTGGGATAAAGTTGCCTGGGCCATCTCACGGCCAATCGTCCCTACCGTCTTCGGTGCCGCTTCATTTTGCGGGACGAGAGTTGAGCGTTGTGAGCCAGCTTACAGGTATCCCATTCTTATTACCCGAGGGCCAGGAATGGGTTCAATCGCGAACTGGGCAGAAAATCGACGTCGACAAGCTAAGTCCTACGAGGCCTCCCTGGGAGAAACAACGTGCATTGAATTCACGTGCAATGTTCAACGATCTGCAGACGGGGGCTATATTTGATCTTCCAGATAGAACGGTCTTGGAGCTTCATCTCGAAAGATATCGTGTATCACTTATGCAAAGCATATTTCCCATCGTTGACCAAGAACTTTTCCAGGAGACCATTGATGCTGTCTACCAGAAACCCCAGCCCGATTCGTGCTACGCAGAGTCAAGTTTAAGAGCGTGCATCTTTGCTTTTCTGGCATTCTCGTCTCTTATCATGAACCCTTGTAATGATGTGAACACACCGACACCGCCACCTGTTGACGGTGAGAGATACTTTATGAAAGCACATCTTTTGGTACCCCAAATTCTGCAAGGGACTCCAACACTGGATGGCGTCCAGGCGATTACATCACTGGTAAGATTTTAAATGAAATTGACGACTTTCCCTACCCCCCTTGTCGCTTCGACTTGGGTTGGCAAATGAACCATTCCACCACCACTCGTATATCTGATCATTATGGTTCCCTGCTACATGAATTTGACAACTGATATGAGTCTTCGAATTAGGCCTTGTTCGAGCTAATCACCGGTAGTCTGCAATCCGCAAACTACTTTGGCACTCTTGCAGCACGCATGTTATTTATGTTAGGTGCTCATACTTCCTATCCAGACGAAGCCGAATCTCCAATAAAAAATGCCAGAGGCCATCGCTCTCGAGTGCAACGGCAACTCAGAATTATCTTCTGGCTTTGCTTCACCATCGAGAAAGATGTCTGCATCCGGATTGGCCAACCTCAGATGTTCACAGACGAAAACTGCGATCTAACATTACCACCCGGCTATGTGGAACAGCTATACGCAGACATGCAGATACACACTTGCACGGAGGACCTACGAACAAGCGAAATAACAAGATATCCGTTATTCCCTGTCGACCTCCGCCTGAGCATCATCAAGTCTCGCGCCTACAGCGCGCTCTACTCATTCAAAGCCCTCAAGAAAACCGACGCGGAGCTTCTAAAAGACATCCGCGAGCTCGACGACGAGCTAGAGCGCTGGCGAATGTCCGTCCCCCTCGAATGGCGACCAACCCTGTCCTTCTCCCATGAAACCCCCGACCCAAACGTCAGCATGCATTCCGTCATGCTACGCCTAAACTATCACCTCTGCATGACAATCATTCATCAGGCCAGCAGCCGCTGCAAATCCTGGGCCAAAGGCCAGGGCGGCATGATGGACGGCGTGAGTTCCAGTCTCGCGCTCTCCGTCGAAGCCAGTCGATCGACCCTGCTCTACATCGAAGCGGCGGAGCATGTCCTCGTCGACGGCATTTTCTGGTAAGTCTCGCACGATCTACCTACACACACACACACACACACACACACACACACACACACAGTTCCAAGCTAACAAAACACCACCTAGGACTCTAATCTTCTACCCCATGTCCGCCCTCCTCGCGATCTTCTGCAACATTCTCCAGAATCCATCCGACCCGCAGGCCACAAAGGATGTGCGCCTCCTTCGAATAGCAATGGGTATGATGGAGCGGTTGTTCTCGCGACAGCCCTTCGCCGTCGCGGAGATCGTGCATATCAAGCTCGTGGCTGATTTCGTCTCCGAGTTGTATAGACTTGCTACTTGTGCTATTGAAAAGGCGTGGAATGAGCGTTCTCGTTAGAATGGGCATGTGTTGTGGTGTTCGAGGGCTATTTTTCAGGGACCGGATTGGGATATGGGGCTATGGGATTTGAAGTTATGGTTGGTATGCATGGTATATATGGGTGTTAGGTCTTGGTTTAGGGGGTATTCTGTTCTTTTACCTTTTAGTTCCCTGTTTTTCGGAGACTGATCGTATATACCTACTAGTAGTTGGGTTGAAAAATGCCGGTACCGTGTGTTTGTGTTGTGGCTTTGCTGATTTGGCACAATCGTTTTCTCGGGATTGCTCGACTGAGTGGATTGCTCACAAGTTCAGGTTGTGGGATGCCACGATTACAACGGTAGGGTTTACAAGACTTAGACTACAAAGGCAAAGAAAGATTATATAATGTGAACTGAAAAATGTATATTCATGACTATCAATGACTATGTGATCGTTGGGAAATCCTATTTGAAACTAGTCAGCAAATGGCTCACATGATTGACAATGCTTTGCAGAACAAGTTTTCAAAATCAAGCTTTGAAGCTTGAATTCTCAGATATTAGATGCGCAGATGTAATCAAAAAGCACTTTTGTGCTCTCAGATGGGGTTGAAACAAAGAATAATAGGCATCAATCATCATAGTAGGGGAAAAAAAGAGAAAAGTATAAACTTACCAAGCTCATGACAAGTTGGAAGGAGCATTAGTGTGTCGAAAATGCTGGATGTAGGAAACTCAAAACAGTCCAATTCGTTTAGGCATCATCAAGCCCAGCAGAAGAGACCGTAATGAGTGTCTTTCAAGTAACCAATTTGGTCATGTCGAAGTATGGATGAGAGGTAAACATGAAAATGTTCGTCACGGCAAAATTTGGTGGGATTTTAAAAGGCGCGTAATTAGCGCCACACGTGACCATCCCGGATCAATCATGCTCCGCTATGTAAAGTGGATAGCTCGAACAAACACGCCGAAAACAGATGCTCGAAATCTCACCTTGGATCCTTCTCGAGGTGAAGGACCTGTATGTTGCACTGTAACCCAAACTGTCCCATTTGAGTCCACGGGCTGCCCACTCGAGGAGCTGATCACTAGTGCGAAAGAAACGGCGTATTGGACTGATGGCTCACGTTATGCATCCCTTGCTGTTGCTTGTCTGGGTGTCCAAATGTAGACAATGTAGTTAGTGCTATAACAATAGAATTGCTATGCATGAAGAGCATGGTATTGGGCGACTGAAGTGCTGGGAACTAAGTGCTTCATATTGGCCAAAACTTCAGCCCTCAATTCTTCTCATCTAGGAGGTCCCAGACCAATTGCGCATCCCCAGTCGCTTTTTCTTCTGAAACACTGGATTTCTTCGTATCATTATCGGGAGTTTCGACGGGTGCTGCATCCACGTCAACGCCGTCCTTCTTCAGTTGGTCGAGGGCCCCAGTAATTTCCGCCTTTAACTTGTCCATTTGCTGAATCTCCTCTCTGGTGCGGCTCAGCTGTTCCTCCATCATCAGAATGAGCGATTCACGCGCTTGGTGAGGTCGATACAGGTTGAGAAGATGATGCGCGTTGATGAACAAATTGCGCAAGTCCTCCACCTTGGATTCAAACTGCTCAGGAGCTACCGAAAGGATGCCCACAAATTCCAGGAAGTTTAGAAGCAACGATTTGCTGATCTTGAGGAGGTAATACGCGTGATTTAGGGGCTGGGTAGGTTCTGAGGTTTGTTCACGGTCGGCGTCACCTGTTGGCGGAGAAGGATAAAGCTGTGTGATGCCTTGATCTTGGAGGGGGGGAAGAGCCGTTGAGAGCTGCAATCGCGTATAAGCTACGATCCACAGCAAGAGAAAGGAGCAGTTAATGCGCTTACGCTTTGTAGCTCGCCAAACACACTGTAATGGCCTGATTTGGGTATCTCTGGTGGAATGAGAAAACGAAGCTCTGGTGGTATGTCTAAAGCCTGCAATTCAGCCGGCGTCCACTTCTTTTTCTGTGGTTTTCCATCCTCATTTTTCGATGCATTTTTCTTGATCTCGTCTAGCTTTTTGAGGTTATCCGGCGTGAAGTGTTTCCACAAAGGCGGCGGCGGAGCGAAAGCCGTGAGAGGTCGTTGTTGTCCGGCGTCGGCCATAACTTTTGCTTTGTGCAATGATACCCCAGAATGATATTTAAATACGCTATAAGACGATTTGACGACGGGGAAGGTCAGGTTATGGCGAGGTAGTTTAGCTGTGATGGTAGTCTGGGACTGCGATGCGGAGATACCGCGGGAGTAGTGGTGGTCTGTGCGTCTAAAGGCGGCATTGGTCTCGCATGGCTGTCGCAAGCGTTTCGGATTCCTATCCTCAGTCTCAAGGAGACTGTCATGTCCATGAACCCGGGCTTCCATTGACACCACAGAGATGCCTCGTAGTGGATTATCAGCTGCATCCTTTTCCCGCCCAGCGCAATCCGGGGTACCCGGTGCTGTGGTTCGTTTCTACCAGCGATCGTTTCCAGCGGTTGACTATCTGGCACTAGGATGCATTGTAGGAGGTTGGATCTTGGTCGGTGCCTTGTTTATCTAATTTATTGATCTCAGCTTGCTAATATGTTCACATCCAGATCCAGCTTTTTGTGACCCCATTTCATCGTCTGTTTTCCCTTGACAACAAGGCCATTCAATATCCCTTTGCTGTAGTGGAAAGAGTTCCCGTTGGTGAGCGTCTCCCATACCGAGATGTTGCGCTTTAAGCACTGACAATATACACCAGTATGGTCCATTATATACGCTGGGGTTATTCCGTTTGCATTACTGCTCTTGTGGGCTGCCACGTTCCGACCGAAGCCCTATAAAGTCCAAGTAACTATACTTGGTTTCTTAGTGGCCTTGATGTTGACTTCGCTGCTCACGGATATAATCAAGAACGCGGTGGGACGACCTCGCCCCGACTTGATCTCACGATGTATCCCCAAGAAGGGCACCCCTGAAAACAAGCTGGTCGCCTGGACCGTATGCACCCAGACGAGTCAACATATTCTTCAAGAAGGATGGAGAAGCTTTCCAAGTGGCCACAGCAGCTTCTCTTTCAGCGGGCTAGGATATCTGTCCTTGTTAGTTTTGGCTCGCAAACCAACCCCCTCAACCTTTCGTGTTTCTAACGGTTGTTTTGTACCAGCTTCTTTTCCGGTCAGATGCATGTGTTCAGACCGAGGACCGACCTTTGCCGCTGCCTTGTGGCTCTTTTGCCTTTTCTCTGCGCATTGATGATTGCTATTTCACGTCTCGATGATTATAGACATGATGTATATGATGTCACATGTGGCTCTATCCTAGGTACTGCGGTTGCCTACTTCTCGTACCGGCGCTACTATCCCTCTCTGCGGTCCGTTATCTGCGACATGCCCTACGACAAAGCAGGAATCACCGGTGAAGAGGGATTCTACAAACTTGCCAGTGACGAGGAACAACAGGTACAGAGACCTGGGGTTTCTTCCCGTCAGTGGGGAGCCGAGGAGGAGGTTTATCAACTTAGTGAAGCTTCATCATCGCCACGTCGAGTGTAAAGTACTTTTTCTCTTTCTTTTAGATTAATGATACCCTTCAAGCTATGTATCAGATTCTGGGTTATTATCCAGACCAGCGTATATATGAGTTGTAACGAAAACCGTTGCTGTGTTTGAGAGCTACGGATAGAACGTGACTAAACAAAGTAGGTGAATTATCATTAATTATCTATACATATAGCAGCTCCTTTACAGCTTCGCACTATCCTTATTCTGCACATTAGTCCATTCCTTGACATCATGGAAGTCCATGACACGGTTAGGCCCTCCAAAGCGGCCCAGAGTGTCTCTCCACTTTCTGTCAACAGCAATGTCTGGGCTCCATCTGGTCAGCTTGTGAACTTTCTCTGGAACTTTATCTTCAATGGCGTCAACAATGAGGTTGCCGATCGAGGGAAGATATTTGAAACCTGGACGACAACTAATTAGCATCTCTAAGCATGGAATGATCTAGTGCATATACTCACCCCTTCCAGAAGCACCACATCCCAAAACAAGAGACGGGTGTTCAGGGTGGCGGTCAATGATGAATTCACGGTTTGCGGTGTCCGCACACCAGCAAACACGGGCGAAGCTAAATGGGCGATCGGCTAATTGAGGCATAGTCTCTGACAGCAAAGCTCTGACTCTGGTCTCAGCCTCCTTCGGGATCTGGGTTTTCTCAAAGGGAAGGCTCATCAAGTGGCCGTCGGCAGACTTAACCATATTAGTGTATCCCGGATGTTCATCGCAGATCTTGATCTCCCCGCGCTCCTCATCAGGCTCGAAGAAAAATCCTTTCTCGATGTTGAAAACCACGGGCAAGTTTTTGTAGAGAGCGCGTTCCGCAGGTTTGAGCTGGATATGGGCGAGTGTCCATGCTGTTGGGCGGAGCTGGTCCTTGAAATCCAAAAATTGAGCAGCATTCGCGCCAGCGCAGAGAACTGTTTGCTCCGCGCGCCAGATCTTTCCGTCTGCGGTGACGGCGCCCTTGACGTCGTTGTTCTCGAATATAAGGGTGATGACTCTTCCTTGGGTGCCCGTTACGAATTTAACACCGAGTTTCTCTGCTTCGCGTATAGCAGCCACGAGGGCGTTTCGGGCGTGCGCCCAACCAGCGCTCGAGCGAATGTGGTAGCCTCTCCATCCCGGGAAGTCTCCTTTCAGCACAGCGGGGGCCAGTTGGCGGAAGTGCTCCGGCTTCGTGATTTCGGCAACATCAGGTTCCTCTTCCGGCCTTACTCGGATCCCGAGGCGATCCAGACCAGCACTGCTGCAAGCTGACATTACAACGCCAGTGTCATGGTAATATGGCTTGAATAAAGGATCGGTAGTCCAGCCTTTGAATGCCTCCTCTGCCAGAATTTCGTTAACTTCAATCTCATCTTTCTTGTTGCTGTATTGCCCCGAGGAGATGATCTTGTTCACGTCGTTCCCAGCCGAAATTGGCGAGGGCACTGTGTATGGGTCTAGGACGGTGACATTGGTGTAACCCCTGCGACCAAGGTGGAGGGCAGTCGAAGCACCCCAAGTGCCTGCACCGATGACCAGGATCGAGGAAGATTTGGTGACAGTCATAGTGATTTTGTGCTTTGCAGCAGCGAGTATGTTGAAGTCAAAATTAGACAACACAAGGAGTACCGGCAGTAAGACTGCCGTAATTAAGATGGTCCCGAAATGGTCCAGAAAAGCCAATTTGATGTGAGAGGACTTCCGTGGAAGATGTCAGCTTTCATCCTTTATACCACCGGCAAAAGAGCCTGACGTATGAATCATACGAGATGTTGTAATCTGTCGGTCCGATGGGGTGGAAGGTCCACGCGGGTTGAACTTGTTGGCGAAAGCTATCGTGCTGATTGACCACTACGTATCCAATAAGACTGGATAAGAAAAGTTCCCCGCGTGCACTGTCCACCCACGCGATAAATGGTTTCAGAATCCACTATGCGCTGGGACGATCCACGGCTCTCTCGTATACTTCAAGTTATAATAAGTCTGTACCTTCCTTATGTCTGACCGACGTCGGCCAGGATCGGAGTCACACCGAGCAATGTCTCCACTAGGAATTATCAGTTGGTCCAGCCCTCGTATCGATTGGGATTATCGGATGCTGGCTGGTAGATAGGTACTACTAGTAAGACTGGTCCGTACGTACCTTAGCACCGGGATTTTGGTGGCAGATGGCGCTAAATCTTAGGGACAGTGGCCCGGCTTGGCTAGTCTTGATCAGGATAAGACTTCTGCAATGCTGTCGGCTGGTGCCGTGTCGTCCTTCGCTTGGACCTTACCTTACTATCAGTGTCCTGCCCTAGGCTCAAGGATCCCTGTATGTACTATAGTAGTAGCCTGGTATCGGAAGGATCCGATCCTGGTGCCCGTTGACTCTCCCCACATTATAGTTCGCGCCAGTGCGCCACTCGTGATCGACGAGTCAGTATCTGGGGAGGACCTTCTGTTTAGTCTAATCCTTTTATCTTTCCAATTCTCTGGACTGTTTGCCTCCTTTACGGTAATGTCAAAGTCTAGATAGTTATGGCCTTCCGGTTAGGCTACATGCCGCTATATAAGGGAGGCCAATGGCCACTCTCAGGATTGAAGTCCTCAATGTTATAGTCTCCCTATCGTAGCCTTTTTCGTTTCTGGGCCCCCACGTCCCATTCAAGAAAGATTTTGGGCTGCAGTCCGCTAGATTGCACGCTATCATGAGTCGATCACGGTCTTGTGGACTACAGGATGCAGACGTTGAAAAATGCCCTCATGGTCCGACCCTGGAGGGTGATGGCGCTCCTAAGAAGCCCGTGACATGCAGTAATTACGATCATGTCAAATTTTAGCTTCAATCAGTCATGGGTAAGTGTTCCATTACGACAACTTGACAGCAACGCTGACAACAGATCAGGCCAGTGCTATCATACAGGCACAAAAAGTGTATCTGGGCATGCGACCCCCGTAGGATACCAAATCTTGCTAGCGTTGTCTATGCAGATGTTTGGACTCGGCCTTGCGGGGCTCTCATACAGATATATAATAGAGCCACCGCATATGGTAATTTGAACCGGACTATGCCTGATGGGTGCCTGTTACTAATACCCTAATAGATTTGGCCTTCTACTTTGGCCAATGCAGCTCTATTCCAAACGTTGCACAGTGGCGCAAATCCCATAGCCGATGGTTGGAGAATTTCCCGGTATCGGTTCTTCTTGTACGTCTTCATTGGCGGCCTTTGCTGGTACTGGCTTCCTGGATATATATTCACCGGGCTAAGCACCTTTGCTTTTTATCTGCTGGGCAGCTCCAAGTATGTTTCTTACCAGTGAATCACATAGGGATCACACTAATACTATGTATAGACAACAAAGTGTTAAACCATTTATTTTGAATGACGACTGGTCTCGGATACATGCCTACCACATTTGACTAGAGCCAAATAGCCTACAACTCTTCTCCCTTAACAATCCCGTTTTGGGCACAAGCAAATGTCTTTTCTGGTTGGTTTTGCATTTATGCTGTCATCGCGCCAATCTTGTACTATACCAATACCTGGTATACTGCCCACCTACCTCTGACCGGCTCTGACGCTTACGACAACACTGGCAATCTCTATAACTCAACCCGGATTCTGAATGACGAAGATACGATTGATGATTCCAAATATCGGAACTACAGCCCTATTTTCTTACCCATCACCTTTGCGCTGAGCTATGGCGTTGGGTTTGCTGTTCTGAGTTGTCTTTTGACTCACGTGCTCCTCCATCATACCAAGGATATCCTTGACACCTTCAGAGGTCAAAATAAGAAGGACATACATGTCCGTTTGCTTTCACGCTATCCTGATGTTGCATGGTGGTGGTATGCGATCTTGACAGTAAGTCCTGACTATACAATCATTATGAATCGTGTGATTAACCTGGAAAGGTCATCGTTGTGGTTGTTGCCATCATGGTCCAATACGTCTGGAACACGGGGCTTCCGTTCTGGGGTCTATTTATTACCCTAGCTCTTGCTACTCTCTATGTGATTCCGGTCGGAACTGTGTATGCTGTGGCGAACCTCAATGCCAATGTTCTAACTGTTTTGGGAGAAATTGTGTCGGGCTATTTACTCAAGGAAAAGCCGCTCGTCCTTCTCATCTTTAAGGTACGATTCACACCTTCCATTTGAATAACTTTGGCGCTGACCGACCCAGTTTTATGCGTACACTGGTCTTAGTCAAGCAATGTACTACGGTGCTGACATGAAGGTACAGTAGCTCTGGATTTTCTTCATATATGACATGCGCTGATAACTTTCGGTGAACCCTCAGCTTGGTTTGTACATGAAGATACCACGACGAACACTGTTTGTCGCTCAGTTAATTGCCTGTATCCTCGGTACTTTGACACAGAGTAAGTATTGGGAGGGAGAACATCTACTAAAATGGTTTTGCTGATGATTGCACCAGATGGTGTTCTTCTGTGGATGCTTGGGCATGTCAAGGATGTATGCGCAACTGACCAGCCAAATAATTTCACCTGCCCTCAAGGTCGAGTCAACTATAACAGTGCTGTATTCTGGGGAGGTGAGCACAGTATACTTCCATTCCAACAAGTACGAGCGACTGATATCTGTCGCAGCTATTGGACCCACACGACTTTACAATATTGGGCAGAGATATTCTGGACTTCTTAATATGTTCTGGATCGGTGCACTACTCCCCATCATTACACTCTTTGTTCGAAAGAAGTACCCTAATAACCGCATCTTGAATGCGATCCATTGGCCAATTTTCTTTGCTGGGACAGGAAATTTACCACCGGCGGTATGTGATGCTCAAGACAATGTTAGATTATGCTTGACTAACATAGAACCTATAGACTGGCATCAACTACTCCACGGCTTTTGTAGTCAGCTTGATCTTCAACAAGGTAAGCCTACTAAGCATAACACCATGTAGTCTTGCTGGCCATGGCTCATTAACAATTGATAGATCATTAAAGGTCGTCGACCAAATTGGTGGGCTAAGTACAACTATGTCCTGTCTGCAGCCCTAGACTCCGGTGTTGCTGTCTCTGCTATTTTGATTTTCTTTTCATTGGTACTTCCTGGCGTTAGCCTTAGCTGGTGGGGGAACAATGTCAATGGCGGAACGGTTGATAGTAAAGGCACCCCGTGGTTAGAGTTGAAGGCGAACGAGACGTTCGGCGAGAGCGCTTGGACATGACAAGTGTGCGAGAGGCGGTCAATACCATTGATCCTCATTCATGTTGGAAACGGATTCGGTGGTTTTCTGAGATATCCATCCATGCTTTTTGTACGGCATAATCACAGCCTCAGGCTGCAATGGGCAGGCAAAGTGATCCAATCAGCGTTGGCTTCCCCGCGGGGTGGTAAAAGGAGTTTCTATTGGTGGAAGCCTGCATGTACGGAGCGGATACCACATGATTCCACTCTTGGCTTTATCAATTCCACAAAAACTCTCTCTGATTTGTCTCGATAAGCGTTGTTCCCCCGTCATAAATTATAATAGACCCAGTCAAGATCGTCCTTATCTCCTCACTGCACTGGCCCACGTATCATAGCCTCTGACAGGCAACTATTCGTTTGTCTCAGCTTTGGACCTCTTTTGCCACGAGTATCTCTGGCTAACTGAGTCAAAGCTTCATTTTCCTTACGGTGAGGCTGCTCCTGCTCATCAACACATTGATGGCGCTAGGAAATTGATCTTGTCCGGAAGACTGGCCATGTAAAGTTTCCCCCTATCGGATGCCGCGTAAAAAGGCTACAGACCGCGTGGGTCCGGTCAAGACCCGAAGCCGTAGCGGCTGCAAGGAATGCCGCGCGAGTCGAGTCCGTTGTGACACACAAAAACCAAGCTGCACCAGGTGTCGGGAAAGGGGCTTAGTTTGCTCAACACAACTGGTCCTGAAATGGGAGTCGGAGTTTGTGAGCCGAGGGCTTGCCTTCGGTCGAGCTGGCATTTGGAGTAAATCCGGCTCTCAGTCCAAGGCATCGTCGGCCTCAGCTTCGCTTCTGGATGATGACCAAGAATGGTGCGTTGTCCCTTTCGTTGAGTCTTGGGGTTTTGTCAATAGCGGGGTCTCGACTTTTGAGCAACCGGACCAAGTCAACGTTGCTTGTGATGAATTAAATGCAGTGGTAGTTCGCGACAAAGGGAAAGAAAGACTCGCAGTCAGGTCAAGCTGGCCTGCGCTAGTAGATATCTCAGAATATGGACCAATCTTACAACAGCTGCCGCAGCCTATGGCCTCCTTACCGTTGTTTCCCCACGTTGCTGGGCAAAACCAGGGGCACCTCTTCGAGTATTATCTTCAGCAAGTGTGTCCCCGTACAACGGCCAGCTCAAAGCTATCGTCGCCATTTGCATCAATCATTCTTCCATTCTGTCTATCTGCGTCACCAATCTTGTTCAAATCGATCCAGGCACTAGGGGCATGTCACTGGTCTCGATTTGATCCGACCTACGGGGTCATAGGGCTTCATCTCAAGTCCGAAGCGTTGAGGGGCCTCCGCCACCGACTTGCAACGGAAGGGACCTTGAGTTGCTCGACTAGCCCTGAAGTGCTGGCCATCATGATGATGCTGTGTCTGTATGAAATCGTGGATAATTGTGATGAGCGCTGGACGATTCATCTGAAGGGAGCCAAGGACCTTATCCGCCTTAGAAGGCAACAGACAATGCTTTCCAAGTCCCGTGGTGTCCAGGACCCTATAACAACTTTTGCCGAGTTATTCTTTGCGTTTCAAGATGTCATGGGCCGTACGGCCTGCGGCGAAGAAGTGTTATTTGGAAGTGACTATTGGCAAGAGAATGAGCGTACCATTGATTTGTGGATGGGCTGCAGTCCGGAACTTGTCTCTATACTGTCTTCTATTACAGAATTGAGCCGGACACGACGACAGCTTACTTCTGACTCCGCCCGTGCGGCTTTTTCTCTACGAGCAGCTTCTCTGGGACATAAGCTTGAAAACTTGGTTCAGGAAATCGATGGTGATGGTGATGACGATCCAACACTGCAGACTGCTGCAGAGCTAAAGCGGTTGGCTGCGGTGTTGTACTTTCATTGCGCCTTATATGGGGCGTCACCGTCTACCCCTCTGGTTGTTACGTACGTTCGGAAGATTCTACGACTCGTTTCAGATTTACTTGATTCTGGATCACCAGTCAGTATGACGTGGCCTGTCTTTGTGGCTGCTGTGGAGTTAGACCCTCTTCATGATGAGGTGTGGTCCGATGGCGAGACCGCCGTGTACGGTCGACCGCTTGTGCTACGTGCGTTGGCTGCGATGGCGGAATCGAGTGTCTCGAATGTTGCGCGCACGAGAGCGGTCATCGTCAAGGTATGGCAAGCTAGGGACAGTGACATGCTGAAAGGATCCGCCGTTGATTCGTTGGATCACGCGACGAGCTGTAACGATTGGGAATGGTATGTTGCGCCAATCAGTACTGCCATGAGCCTGGCGTGACATAGACGCAACCATCACGATGAGACGAGTTTCTTTGTAATATTGGGACATTTTCCTTTGACAATTTTCTTTTCTGTTGCGTTTTATGTATGTAAAATATCCATCTTCTCTGAACGAGTCCTCTAGCGTTAGAATGTGTAAAGAATGACGGATAGTACTCAGATCTCACGATGCTTATCGAAGGTGGTGCTGTGGCTGCTGGACCAATCAGCATTGCCAAACGACGAGGAGGGGCTGCACAGAGCGTGATTCGCCAAATCCAGCGGCAAAGGACGTCAGTACCGATTTCAGCAGCAGACCCAAGGACATTCCTAGGCTTCCGTCCCATCTTTCCTTCTTAGAAACCTCTTGACTATATCCATACCTTGTTTATCTTCTTGTTTTGCCTCTACTTAACTATTGTTTCCGTGGGAAATATCAAGAACGACGCGAGACATCTCGTCTTCGTGCCGTTTGTTGATCGCGCGCCGTGCTATAGTCATTGTGACACTGACCTCCAAAGTACTTAACCGCCGCCAGATCGTCGCACTGGAAGGCTTCAACATGTTTTAATTTCACTGTTCCAAAGCATTGACACGTGTTGAAGCTGGGTATTCAATCGCAAAATGACGTCGTCGACGACTTCATCCACCGTATCGCACAGCGTGCCGTCCCTGCCATTCGCCAGTAAACTAAGTGAACAGTTATTGCAACGGAAGGAACAAGGTGAATCTGCAACCGATACTGAATCTTCAGGAAAATCTACTTCACTTGGGCCCCCATTGCGTCCTTCGCCGAAGTCACGGTCGCTGTCCGACGCGCCAAAACCTCTATCTGCACGTTCCACCTCCGAAGAACACCGGCCGTCGAGTAAAGATGATAACTCTCTTTCATCTACACCAGAAACACCTCATCGGCCTTTTATGCAAGGCTTACCCCTAAACTTGCCTTCAAAGCCATCCGGATCCTCGTCCTTATCTAGCCGTGCTCCACTCTCCCCGAAGCTTGATTCGTCCCAGATCTACGGTTCCCCAGGCTCTGTTCTTCCTCGACGCTCCCGTGGCCTCGACTTTTCTCGAGCCTGTACCAACCTTCATCATTCTACACTTGCCGAATCATCGCCTGATTCTTCACCAACGATTGGTGGACGGGGAATGACAATCCCCCAACGTCGTGGTTCTATGGGATCGACTTCAGTACCTCCGTTTTCTACATCTGGGCCAGCGGATAGAACGGCAATTTCAAGCTCTGTATCAAGTGTGAACATGATGGAATCAGATACCAGCAGCAGCGAGGAAGATGACGAACCGATGATTGGCGATAGGGACGACATGATAATGAACACACCCCAAGCCAACAAGATGAATCATTTTGCAGGGGGCAATGTGCCCAGCCCGGGTAACGATTGGATGGGCGGGTATTCGCAAGCAGCAGCAAGTCTCATGAGCTTTCAACGGGCCAGGTTTCGCAAAGGACGTAGTAGACATAGCTCTAGCAGTGCCAGCGGAAACAGTTCGAAACCCAGCCCTGGCCCGCTGTCTCCACCGGTGATGAAGAGCATTGAGAATCAGAATGGTTACTTTGGCTCACGGTCTAGCTTGAGTGCGCGGCGTGAAAGCTTGAGCTTGGGTACTCGTGATCTTCGTCTCTCAGATTTGAGTGATGAAGGGGAAAACCGGGGTAACAGCCCAGGTACTTCGAACTCCGATGGCGGGCCCTTGGGTGTTATTCGACGGGCTGTTACGCGTAGAAGCAGTTTGTTGGTAAGTCCTTCCATTTCATGATAGTCTGAAACTCCGCTCACGCCTCATCTAGCCAAAAACGAAGACCTTCGCACGTATTCGAGCCGCATTGATGGAGGAATCGGCCCCTATCGACTGCGAAGCAAAGCGGGAAGCTGAGGTTATTCGGCAGGTCCGGGAGAGCGAGCCAGAAATTCCAGAGACGTCCCCCAGTTTGGATGCCCTCTCGTCAAGTAATCCCTTCCAGCCAACTGATCTGAACCGGAATCTGGATGAAGTGCCGGCGAAAACTGGGACCTCTGTCTCCGATGAGCCTAGCTTTAGCGAGGAAGCCCACCGAAATTCTGCTGGTGCCGAGTTTTGGAATTCTTTTGATGAGCGCTATCGTACGCCACCACCGCCGCCTTTACGTCATATGGGAACTTCGGTATCTGAGGACGATCTCTCCATGGATATCACGCCATCAACTACTGTGGGATCGACTTCTGAGTTTGCAAAACCAAGCGAGAGGCCCAGCTCGCGCTGTTCGACGCCAATCGCGACTCAGCCAATCTCGATATTGGAATTCAAACGGAAACGGCGCCGTGAGGACGACTTCGATCCAAACCTGTTTAAGCGAAGGGCGGTATCTCCGAGTATGAGCGTCCAAAGTAGTCCAGTGATGCCTAATTCACCTGCCGTGAGGGATACGGGCACCAGCATTTGGGGCCCACCCAAAGCCAACATCGGCTCTCTCTTCCCTGACCAGCCGAGCACTGAAAGCGGCACCCGTAATCCATCTACACCCAAGCATACAGGCCATCTGAAGCGAGTGGGTCTGCAAGGGATGACTGAAACGAACGATGGGCTCATGAATATGAGCATCGAGTGATGGTCGACGCTCTTGACATCCAAGCGTTCTTCTTCACGAGCCGGGCTCGTTTCTTCTTATCACTACCATAATAGTTTTACCTCAACATGCCTTTCCTTTCTGTGTTGAATTTAGCGTGGGGCCGTTTTATACGTTGGGCTGGTTGGACATTGCTTTCGATTATTTCGTACATGGTGTTAAGTGGGAGTTTTGTGGTTGGGTAACAATAGTATTTTGCTAGTATAGCTCCATCTGCTTCTGATGCATCGACATCATAGATAGTACCTAATCACAATATCATACCTTAATCAGCATTGCATATAACAGAGGACTGAATCCTACAAGTTGAATAGCCGCAGTCCTTGTCCCTCATGGCCACGTGCGAGGAGCGGGCGCTTACGGCGCTAAAGCTCCCGCTGTTGACACTGGGGAAACCACCGCAGTTTCAGGAGCTCTTTCATCATCTACGGTCGTTTACCTGTCTACTAGATTTTTATTTACAGATATTTTCAGACTCTAAAAGAATAGATCCAACAAACCTACTCACAACTAGTCCTAATTGATCGTCCACATGGCATCCACAGTTGACATCGCTTCCTCATTCATTGAGGGTGCCCCGCCAGGCGAGGTATGCCCGTGAAGTCGAGCTCTACTCCTGCGGTATATTTTCGCTGTGTAGCTAACATTGACCTTCCAGCTCGCAGACGTTGTTGCCGGTAATTTTTCCTCCTTCGTTCATATTGCCCACTCCCCGCATTCCAGACTGCACACGCTCCCCCGCCAGAGCTCCCGCGCCATCCAAATGCAATAGCTAAAACAAGATCGAATAACCAGATGTGAAAACGCTTACCTCCGACGGTGCCGATATCATCCCATCCCTTGCTCCTGCATTTGAGCGATACAATGAGACGCAACTGGCGACCGTGAAGCTGCCTGGGGCGAGTCAGGAGGTGGAGTGATCCTTATAATCGCGTGGAGAGTCAATGTCTGACAAGGCAACTGCAAAGGTCCTTATCAGCGAATACAACAAACTGGAGGGCAACCGCTACTTTGACGTCGAGAGCCAGACCTCCTTCGAAGTCGATCATGTCACACAAGTATGGCCGCTTTTTGGTGGGGTCTAGACGCGGACTAAGCTGACATTGACTTCAGGAAGCGTCCGCGGCGCAGTCATATGTATTGGATTCGCAAAATGCAGACTTGATGTGAGTTGGCGGATACCGGGTTGGAAGGCTGTTGCTGATAACAGTTGCAGCAAATCGCTACTCAAGTCGCTCGGCGCTCACGCCCGTGAGCACTACCCTAATTGCGCCTATGGTGTATACCCCATTGAAAACGACTCTGCGGTGGCAATTCTGCTGGTTTCGAACCGCTACTCGCCTAACAACTTCTGGTGAGTCTATAAGGTGGTTATGTCGGATATAATGGTGCTAAATGCGGTATTCATTAAGGAACGGGCGCTTCCGCGCTTCCTACCAGTTCCCTGTTTCTGAGCCCACAACCGTGACCGGTAAGATCCAGGTTGATGTCCACTACTACGAAGATGGCAACGTGGCGCTGAACACGAATAAACCCATCAACCTTTCCGTCGCATCCGCTTCCGCTGAGAGCATCATTTCCCGCATTGCAACTGCGGAGCGCGACTACCAGGAGGACCTGAACCGCGCGTTCGTGCAGATGGCTGAGGGCGCATTCAAGGGCTTGCGCAGACAGCTCCCCATCACACGGCAGAAGGTGGAATGGGAGAAGGTCGGAGGATACCGCCTGGGACAGGATATCTCTGGTGGCAAGGGCCGCTGAAATACCACCGACATGTGGGAATATGCTGGCATAGATGTGGATTGAACGTTAGCGTGATTAGAAGGATTCATTCTAAATTGATCTTGAATAATTTATAGGCTTTGACAGGGCTATCTCTAGAACTGTACTGTTTACAAAAAGATAGGTCATTCGCACTAACCGCTAGCTTGCCACTACGCTGAGCGACAGTATGATTATCATGAACTATATATAGCGATATTTTGGTGTTTGTCCCCACCACAACATGTACGTTCAAGTTATATTATCAGTAAGGTTTCAAGGCATTAGCGTTACATATAACACCCTAGGAACAGTATTTCAGGAAGTGACTAATTGACTTCTGTTCAAAGCGTAGCTTTACCTCTGGTAGATAGGTTACTGTTGACTTCCATATCTACTTTCCTCTTGAAGCCGTTCCTTCGGTTTTGCGGTGTCCGGGATGTGAACATATATTTAGACCACTGCTAGCGCCCAAGTGTAGATTAGTCTTTCACAACAACGCCGTATTCTACCGTTGCTGTCAGGCATAGCATTTTTGAGGCATTTATCACCGGTTTCTGAATGGCGATTCTCAGGTTACCCCAGTGTGTCCTCCCGGAAGGTACCAAAATATGATATATAGCCGGTTGATAAGTTCGACTGATAGTTTTCCGTGTATAATTACTTGCTAAAATGATGATGCTTGTTTTTATTATTCTGTTCCTCGCGCAGGAAGACGGAGGATGCCATAGCTGGCAATTCCCAATCTAGTGCTCGTCTTCATCTTTCTCCCTCTGTTGGACCAAGATGAATCGATGGAAACTGCCCCTAATACCAGGCAACTTTTACCCTTGATCCATAAGGTGTCACTTGCACATGGGCCACCGAAAAAGTCACTGTGATCTCGGCCCAGATTCCAAGGGAACGCGCACATCCATCTGGATCCCACATGACAAGGAAACCAGAGCTCTCATTCTATAGCAAAGTCTTGCGAGAGATTGACACGCCACTGGAAAAAGACATCTTTGTGGATGATCAGCTGGAAAACGTGATCTCTGGGCAGTCAGTTGCTGTAGGCCTGGTAGTCTTGTACTAGCGCTACATCAATTAACTTGTATACTGCACTCCCGACCGTCCAAGGGCCATCCAAGTTGGCAGCCGCATTCCACAGATCAGCCGCAGTGCATTCGGAAATACCAACGCAAGGGATGGACCCCGCAGACGGAAGGAACTATGTGATATTATATATGAGGGCTGTTTCCTCAGGTTGCAATTCAGCATGTGTTTTATAGCTAAGAGATTCTGAAGAGCTCAATCGCAACTAAAGCAACCCCGATCAAGGATGCTGCTCAGGTTGTTTCTAACAGCGATTGCTGCAGTGACTTGTCAAGCAGACCAGCTTGAATATGACTTTGTATGGCCACTCGGGATCCTTTTTTCGAGCCCACGGACCATCGTCTTCTAATACTCTCAGTAGGTTATTGTAGGAGGCGGCACGGCCGGTCTAGCCCTGGCCTCACGACTAAGCCGTGGACTACCGGAGAGCTCTATCCTGGTGCTGGAAGCTGGACCTGATGCCGCGAACGAGCCTCGCATCAATATCCCGGCTATGAGGGGCTCAGCTATCGCGTCAATGTACGACTGGAACTTTACCACTGTCCCACAACAGCATGCGGGCAACCGTTCCCTGGCTCAAGGCCGAGGAAAGGTCCTGGGCGGCAGTTCCGCACTCAATTTCATGGCGTGGGACAGAGCCAGTAAAGTCGAGTACGACACATGGACAAAGTTAGGAAATGATGGATGGGACTGGTCAAGCATGATGCGCTCTATGCTGAAAGCCGAGAATTTCACTTTGTCAGACAAGTACGGTGACCAAGGGGTAGGTTTTGGTGGTCCCATCCAGACGATGATCGGTGACTGGGTGCCAGAACACCAGGAGTTCTTCATGGAAGCGTTGAAAAATCTGAATGTGTCGGAAAACCGGGATTCACTGGGAGGAAATATGCTTGGCCACGGGTTCCAGCCTTCAAATGTCCGGTATAGCGACCGGAAAAGGTCGTATAGTGCCCACCACCCAGGATATCCATCACTTGCAGGACCCAATCTTCAGATACGGGTGGAGACAAGGGTGCGCAAGATCGATTTGGTGAATAGAGGTGGAGGGGATCTGGTAGCAACAGGCGTCACTTTGGAAGATAACACAACTGTCTGGGCAACGAAGGAAGTCATCCTTGCTGCTGGTACAATGCAAAGCCCCGGCCTGTTGGAGCTCTCTGGAATCGGTCAGAAAGACGTGCTGCGTGCTGCCAATATCCAACAGCTAGTTGATCTTCCTGGGGTTGGAGAGAATCTGCAGGACCATCTGCGAATTGAGAACTCCTATCGACTTCACCCCAACTATACCTCGCTCGATACGCTCAAGACAAATGCCACTTTCGCGAAACAGCAGCTAGAAGCTTATAACGCAGGTAAAAAGTCCATGTACGACTACACTGGGGGCAGCTACGCTTTTCTTAACTGGACTGGCGTTGCTGACGAGCCTACGCGCATGGAATCTTTGGCGATTAAAGCATCTGATATCCCCCTCTCATCGTCACCCATCGAGCACATTAGAGCTCATATCCAGCTTCATCAAATCCGGCATGAAGAAGAGAACGTTCCACAGGTTGAGGTCATCTCCGCAGATGGATATGTCGGAACAAGAGGGTATCCACAACAGACATCTCCACTCTACGGTTCAAACTTCTTCACGTTGATTGCAGTCATGCTGCACCCCTTTAGTACGGGGTCGATACATGTGACGTCGTCCTCGATCTCGATAGCTCCGCAGATACAACCAAACTACTTCTCTCATGAATATGATATCCAGGCTCTTGCATCCGCTGCGAAGTATTTGCGTAAGCTGGCATCAACAGCCCCTCTCCGGCACGCCTGGACCGAAGAATACGAACCAGGCCTTTCTGTGGTTGGTGATGGGCCCGATAGTGATAAACAGTGGATGGAGTATGTTATCAATAGCGCTTCAACCATATGGCACCCTGTCGGCACATGTGCGATGTTACCACAGGAACTCCATGGGGTGGTCAATGGAAATCTGACCGTGTATGGCACGGACAATGTTCGGGTGATTGACGCTAGTGTCATTCCAGTTTTGTTATCCGGCCATCCACAAACAGCTGTATATGGGATCGCTGAAAAAGCGGCGGAAATGATCATTAGCCGCTGGCAGTAGATGGCCTGTCAACAATTGTAAACTAGCCCACAAGATTGATTCCTACTGGTATATGAGCCACATATCTTGGTATATTAGGATTGGACTGCGAAAAGTCCATGTGGACAAATGGATATTAGCCAGCGTTATCGTTAGAGTTGCCAGAGAAGCCGTATAGGATTAAGCATACTCCACATGAATAGCAGCTGATATCGATCACGTGGGCATGACGACCCCATCCTCCCTTACTAAAATGATGTAGAGAAATACAGCAGGGGCAAACAAAGGGCGAATAGTAGTGGGATACGCTCCCAGATCGATACCCCTGATGCATGGCGGGATTCCCGTTCGCGATCCATAATTCGCTCTTTGCTTCTCCACGGGGTTGACATACACCTTACGTCAGGAAAATCTCATAGATATAGAGTAACTATATATTTCTAAGCTCAATCAACGGATTGTACTAAGATAAACCTATTTTCTAGTAATTAAATTAGTTGTTCTGGCCTGCGCCATCTTCGCTCATCTGCTACATGAGAAGTGCAAATATATAAAAGTCACCATGTTGTCGAATATGCCACGCCTTTCCCCCGTTTCCTCGAAAATCATCCTTAAATATGCCTGCCAACAGGTCCCGAAAGCCGCAGGTTCGATGGGATCTTACAGATATCTAACTACGACAACGCCCGCACAGAAGAATGTAACCCTGCTCCAGGATAAGAAGCATGGATTCGGGTTCGCACGATCCAACCCTAGACCACCGAAGCCGAGGAGCAAGGGTGTCACTGAGATCAGGGGGCCGTACTACACGGTATGCATTATATCCTTTTGCAACTGTACCGTCGATTGCAGTTGATCTGATGTTATGCGACGCACTACAGGTGATGGGCAAGAGATATCTGGCCGATGTGCTTGAAACGTATGTTCAGCAGCAAAGATATAACATAGTGTTGCTAACGTCCGGCTTACAGAATGGGGACTCACATCGATGGTCTCAAGTTTGCAGGAGGTAGGCACAGCGCCAATTCTCGTCCAACTAAGGATCTGACCTCGATTATAGGCTCTTTTTCACTGTTCCAGGAGAAGCCCTTGAGGGAACTGATTGATCTGGCCCATGAGCATGACGTTTATGTTTCGACGGTGAGTTTGCCCTGTACATTAGGTTTAAGGGCGAATATCATCTAATTTAGATGTGTAGGGTGGATGGGCCGAGCATCTCCTCACTCATCCAGATACAAATGCCGTCTTTGACAAATACCTCCAGAAGTGCAGGGACCTAGGGTTTGTCCCCGTTTGACCTAGTTGTGTGCCGCGTTACCCATACTGACACACCGGTACTGCAGTTTTGACGTAATTGAGCTTTCATCCGGCTTCCTATCATTCCCCGAAGACGACTGGCTGCGCCTCGTCGACAAAGTCCACTCATACAAGTTAAAAGCGAAGCCCGAGCTGGGCATTCAATTCGGCGCAGGCGGTGACACCCCAGCTCCGGTCTCGAGGCGATTGGCACCTCGGACCCTGGAAAGCTGGTCAACTTAGGCCATAAATTCCTCAACGCTGGGGTGGAGCGTCTGATGATCGAATCCGAGGGCATCACGGAGAATGTAGAGTCCTGGCGCACTGACGTAGTGTCCAAGATCATGAAGGAACTGCCGTCAGAGCGTGTAATGTTTGAGGCTGCAGATCCGAAGGTCTACAATTGGTATATCCGGGAGTTTGGTGTTGATGTCAACCTTTTTGTTGACCATAGTCAGATCGTGCAGCTATCGTGCTTGCGACATGGTATATGGGGCACGGCTGATACATGGGGGAAGGTTGTCTCTTTCCGCCCTGAGTAGATGGCTTTGATATTGTGGGCCTCGGGACATATATTCTAGCTAGGTAGTGGTTAAGGAGATGTTTCAACTCGATATACTCCGTGATCGAAAAGAGTATAGATTAAAAGTCGCCAGGCGGTCTGGGCGACGCTTAATAATCTGGTGCGGATGTGCTCCGCATTTTATTCCGGGGAAAGCAAACCATCCCGACTTAATCCTCTTCGCAATGCAATTTCTCTCGCTAGACACAACTGACCACGTCGGCAGGGCGACGAGCCGTGATTATTATCGATCGCCTAATATAGACCGGGGAGTCATGTCTTGAGTGGCCTTCAGTCGGCCGGAGTAGGCTAACCTCATCACGATCGTTTATCAAACAACCACCGGACCCCGCGACTTGGCACCGGTGTGTACTCTATTCGCCGCAGCTTCGCTCGGCCGGTTACGAAGTTCAATCTAGCCAGAGATTCGGAGTCCATATCCATCAGGCGCTCCCTTTGTGTCATGCCGAAAGTCACCGCGCCTCCGGGTGGCCGGCTACGATGCCGACGAGCGTGCGATAGCTGTAAACGGAGGAAGCAGAAATGCAACGGAGAGCAACCATGCACAATCTGTGTTCAACGCCACAAGGAATCAGAATGCCATTTTTCGGACAAGCCAGCCCGCCTGCTGAAGCCCGCCGAAAGCTCGAAAGACACGATGTTGCTCAGCGAACGCCTTGTGCCTACGCCGCAAAGACAAACCGCCATGGACCGACTGCTGAACTCCCTCGAAGATCGTAGCGCAAATCTAGAACAGCAGGTGGTGGATGATAAAGATGGAACGGCTCCGGTTCCGAAGGTGGCCAGGCTTCTTCGCGATGGACAAGGTAAATTCATGTATATTGGCGACTCCGCAAGCCTGTCCTTTCTCCAGAGTGTCCGTCGCATAGTATCCTCGTCAATCGGCCGTTGTGAATTCACGGAAGATAATTCACGCCATTCGATGCTTGAGGCTTTTCAAAGCAGCTCCACTACACAGACAGGACCATTAATACCGCCCCCAAGTAATGAAGAAGCTCAACGATTGGCGCGCCAATTTGTTCTTGCAACTAGTCCCCTACTGGATCTCTTTGACCTCGACGAATTCCATCCGCGACTGGCGAATTGGATTGAGAACCCAACGGGTGACGAAGACACTGTGAGCTCAATATTTTACCTGGTGATTGCCATTGGGGCCCAAGTCTCGGATACCAACCACACCCTGGCGGAGAAGTACTTCATCAGTGGGCGTCAGCTGGCGTTTTCGGCTTTCACTGAGACCCCCAGCATCTCTACTATACAGTCATATGTGCTCATTTCGATGTATATGTTGGGTGCTTGCCGACGCAACGGCGCTTTCATGAATCTTGGAATTGCTCTTCGTGCCGCGTATGCGGTCGGCATCCATAGGAAGGATGCGAACACGCTCTTCTGCACGCGAGAGCGACGTGCTCGGGAACGTGTGTGGAAAAGCCTGCGCATGATGGATCTCTTCCTCAGCGCCTCTCTGGGTCGTCCTCCAGCCACGACGGATTTTGACTACGACCCGCATGATGGCAATATGCCAGGGACACAGCAGCGCCTCCAGCCAGAAGAGCAACTATCTCTGACAGTTGTTTCGCTCTGTCGTATCTTCGAGCGCATTCTGACAGAAGTTTACATGAGGCAGGTGGTGTCAATTGGTGTTGCGGACAGCATCTCGAACCAACATCGCGCGTGGGTCCGAAATCTGCCAACCTTCCTACGAATGCAAACAGAGCGACTTGATGCTGCCAAAACTCTCGAGGACACCTTGGCTGCTGCCCACATATTCGGCTCTTATTACTGGTCGATTATATTGTTGACTCGGCCCTTCCTGGTCTTCCGAGTCTCTCAATATGCGAAAAATAAAAGCGAGTCGGCAGCAATTCCCGAGAGCAAAGTCAACAACTCGCGACTCTCGCTTTTTGCTGACGCATGCGTTTATTCCGCATTGCGCAGTCTCAACATCGTCGACGATCTTTCCCAATACTCATCCTTACCACGAAGGCTGCCATTCTTAATCAATTCCGTTTTCAACTCGGCTGTTGTATTAGGGGCTGCATTCTTTGCTGACTATGACAATCTGCTCCCACTGGAAGAGGGCTTGAACAAGGCCGAAAAGTTCCTGGGTCTGTTCGTCCCGCATGATCCTCATGCCTGCCGCTTTTTCCAAATCATCAAATACCTCCGAGGCGCAGTTGGTGAATACGTTCGCCGCCGGAACCGTCAATGGATGGAACGTCGTAGCAAACAAGTCGATCAGCTTTTTGGCGAAGTAGGCCCATCCAACGAAACCACAGGTACTAGTAATAACCACCAGGCCATCTCAACCAACCGCGGGGATCAAGCAACAGTCCCGTCTCCGCTATCCCCAGACAAATTTGCCGACGGGCCCCTCCCCTCCCAATCTGTAGAGCAGACAACTACTACAGCCCACCCTGATGACGGCATCTGGGATGCCTTATGTGCCGCTGAAGGACCTTCACCCTTCCCATATGACACAGCCATTTCCACTTTGACGACGACAGGGATTCCAATCGGTTGCTCACCAGGTGGTACAATCCCTACTGGCCCACCTGGAATGCCGGACAACGGAGGCCAAACACCTCTCTCTGATATGATCCTTTCAGATAATGGACTCCTCTATATGGCGGAGGATCTTCCTGTGTTCGGACTCTGGGGAGATACTTGATTTCATCTCCTGTCTCTGTGCATCTTTCACCTTCCACCCCTGCTTCATCTCTTCCGAAGCTGGCCTTTGTATAGTTGGCCCTCTTCGATCCCCACAGTATCTGCATATACCCCTGGAGCAAAATGAGTTATACATTTATCCTGTGTATTTATGACCAATTTATGACTATATGACCCCTTTGAATTAGGAGCTGGGCGTTGTATTAGCGTTAGACGAGATATTACATACAAAATCCTAGTGATTTATTCCGTCAGGAAGACTCTGACAGGTAGACTTCCGTGGGACTAAGGCACTCCTACATTTTATGTCGGCTCAGGAGTTGCACAACAGGCCAGGTAGACCCCGAGATAGGGTTACTAAACCCTAACAGCTTGTCAAGCGCGTGATAAGTTAGGCACCTTGGCATCGGCATTTGTAAAGTCAAAGTTGCCTTGACGTTAGCCTGTGGAAGGATCCTGGGCAATGCCAATCACAAAGAAAAGGTGTCAAAGCTCCAGCTGCCCCCGGTTCGGTGCGATCCTTGGAGGCGCTCGATCCCCGCTAGCCCCAAGAGAACAGCCTGATAGGCTCTCGTAGTCACACTATACGGCAGGCTGAGATTGCCCGTCCAACTAGGTGTCGGGCTATCCGAGATAGGTTCATCATCGACACGAAGGATAAGCTAAGCCGCCACACGGGTCAGGTATGCATGAACTAATACGATGATAGTGCAACAATGACTCGTAATCATCAGGAGGGGCAGCTTTAGCGCCTTGCATCAAAGCACGGAGGAATTCAGCTTCGCTCGAAGAGTTCCTGATAACGACTGCTCCAATTCTTCGCCGCACCACAAAGCCTTATCCCATGCAACGATCACGGCTAAGTGCAAGGGACCAATATCCAAACCATGCGAATACTGCTCCTACTCCTGATACAAGCTGCCGTGGCAGCAGCAGCCCCTGGTCAATTCCAGCACTGGTACAAACAATTCCGCTCGCAGATCGAATTCGTCCTCAGCAACAACTGCTCTGAACAATACCACAACTACCTCAATAAAACCCCCGGGTTCGACCCAGAATACCAGCTCTGGTATGACCCGACAAAAGACAGCGCCTTGACCGCGCCACTGGTCTCGTGTATACTAAGCAACCTCCCGGAAAACGTGAAAGCCAACATGGCCAACGCAGGCGTCATCCTCGGCCTCTTGCCGACCATGCTGTCCATGCTGGGTTCCAACACAGTCGACACAGCCATCCTGGCACAGGTCGCTGAGCGACCATTCCTCTCGTTGTGTCTGGCCTTGGGCTCACCGGCCGTTCTCCCAGACCGACCCTTCGAATACCCCAACGTGAAAGCACTCCTCGGCACCGACAGGGTAAAGAAAAGGATCACCATCGCGAAGCCGGGCGGGAGGATATGGATCCTTATCTCAGCGCTGGAATATATCGTCGCGTTAGGCGCCGTCGCGAACATCGCAACCGTCTGCTACCAGCTAGGCATCCAGTGTATATGCAACTACGCGACGGAAGTCACCGCGCAGCCGCTTGTCTGGGCATTCATCATCGCAGTCATTCATACCGGGGGAACGATCGCTCTATCACTCCGGTATCGTGTCATCCGACACCCTGTAGTAGAACCGCATACGTCGTCGCCGAATTGGTTTCGGAGCTATCGGAGCTATTTCGTCCGTGAGATCACCCCCTCGTTATACGCTACTCCGGCCCCGGATGTCGACGAGATTGAAGAATCGTACCTGTTCCTGCTTGTTTCGTGGTGTGTCTCCACCGGGGCAGTAGTTCATATCCTGTATGGGACGATGGTGCTATCCAGCTTATTGTTTATTTCAGTCGAAGATGCGCTCGCTAACGTGGGGCGGTTCCTGGCGTCGGTTGTATGCTGTCGCGCGGTATTGGCGTATGAGCTGGCTGGGTTGAGACAGGCGAAGGCTGAGACGATGGAGAATAGGGAAGAATCTGAGGTCTATGAGTTGAGGCGTAGGTGAGTAAGAGATATAATAAGGGTGTCATAGTGTATTAGTATGCTTTAATTATATTATTTCGTCAAGAAGTGACCGGTCTGGATTGTTGCAATCTCGTATCGAGAATATATGGCATTGAAAGACGTGGTTGGCTGATCGGGGTCTTCTGGGTATGTTATATATATTCTTAGAGCTTTTGTCTACCAGCAGAAACTAATCTAGTACTCTATCACGATATTGCTCGTACTCTCACTACGATTACTTTATAAGCCGTTTAAAACGATTGTACATGCAACGAAATGACTTTTATAGACAATTTATTCCAGTCAGTTGCAAGATTATCCTTACAAAACCCGATCACGACCCTTCACATAATACACGGCCCTGCCACACAAAGCCAGATATTGTACCTCTATGGTATAGATTGTTACAAGTACATAGAAAGGCTCTGTAAATGATATCACCCTATCTGATATTTCTATATATTTTCCATAAGCAACTAGCAGAAGCGAGTGGTGTTACCAATGTAACCATCTCCGCCAACGAATAGAGTCTGTGCGAACCCTAGTGATGAACCATCCGGGGTTTGTGCTACTCGATTCGTCGGTTCCGGCGGTCCCTCCCGGCGCTAAGGTGCTGCGTAGTACCACGGTGGCGGGTCCAATCTGGTAGTTTTCGCCAACGTAGGTTCATTATCATCATACCTGACTAGGATACAGCATAATGGGATATATTAGTGCAGATATTGCTGGTGTCGTTTTTATCTATGGTTTTCATGTAGGAAGTCTTAGTCTGGTCTTGCTTATATATCAGACGACTAAGATAACTTCCATCGTATTCAACCTAACCGAACCTATAGACAATGACATCAAACGTGGGTTATTCACATGTAACACAAGACCATAGCCACAAGCATAAGCATAACTAGTCCACCATCCCCGACAAATCCTTGTCTCCATGCGTCATCCAGGGCCTTGAATCCACACATCCACAATCCCTCGTGATATCCAACCCCCCAAACCCACTTAACCGCACTTGCCATGCTTGACAATGTCATGGGTGCTACCGTGGCACGTAATCTTGCGGTTATCGCGCGAGCAGCCGGCGGAGCCACCACCGGGCTGGACCACACGACGGGGCTCATTGTCGCTACCGCAGTCGGCGAGGTGGTAGGCCTTGTTGTTGAAGTAGAAGGTCTGGTCGCAGGGGCTGTCGGTGAGCCTGGTCAGAACGCGGGTGTTGGGGCAGGCGCTTTCGCCCTCGATCCAGACGACCCAGTGGTTGGCCTGGTCATTGTTCTGGAGCTGCTGGCCGTATCCGACGGCGACGGTGCCGGGCACTGGGGCTGGCACTGGGGCTGGGGAGGCCAGGACGGCCGTGATGAATGGGAGGGTGGAGAGGAGGGTTTTGAGCTGCATTTTTGCGAGGGTTAATCCTTTGGATGGACTTGGCTTTTGTTTCTTGTGATGAAGGAAGTTGTTTGCCGTGTTGATGAGGTTGGTTCGGAGGGATGGCAGGTCCCTTTTATACCTTTCTTTGGAGGTTGCTTTTGTAGTCGGGGATTCGGGTTCGGATCCAGCGTTGGAGGACTGGTCCAGTCTGATCCTTCGAGGCCAACCATCCGGCCTGATGCTCAGGCAATCGGATCACTCGGCTTCGAGAGTGTTGCATTACAGGTCTGCCCTGCAAGGATTCTCTCCTGATAGTGGACTTGTAGCCTCAATTGGGTACCTGTTAGGATATGCTGACTCGTGCCTCATGCCAGATTCCTAAACTGGAACGGTTCGGTATCCATCCAATGGTGATCTCACATTGTCCAACAACTAGTGTCGATCGGTAATCGAAGGATCACTGTAGAGTAGACCCCACATCGCCAGTCAATAGTAGCGATGATCATCAATGGAACAAGTAAGGCTCTTCACGGATGTCCACCTTCCGCCGGCAAAGCAAGGCCAGGAAGCAATGCCTCCATAAGGGTGGTAGAGAGATGCCTGAAGGCAAGACCGGTGGAAAGGCCACAGAGGCTTAGCCAATATCCCCAGCGAAGCAGCAGCAGACATGAGTGGCGATCATGAATAGCATAACCGGAAATCAGCCTCCTTGCATCTGAGTCAGCGGCTGTTGCCCCTTGTCCGGCTTCCCATTATCTCGTGGCTGTACAGGGTAGTACCCACAAATGCTTCTAGCCTCGCGTCTAGGGCAAAGGAATGGCCAGGGCGACTGCTGAAGGGTCCCTACCCCCCCCGCATACGTCGTACCAAGAGGCTTAGTCTATGGCTTGTTTATTCGGCGCTAAATAGACCCTGAAACTTGTTGAATGATATAGAACGGCCCCCAATCCGGGCTAACCTAAAAGCCAGAAGTAGGGACCCTTGTGGAGCACTGCTGGACGATGGATGAGATGCCATTGGCTTGGCGTCTTTTTCAGCTTTACTCCGATGGATCAGTAATCGGCGATGATGCAGCATTTACACATTGGGTACTTAGACAAGGCGGATCGGAGTGAACGGATGAATATCCAGAAATATCCTTCATAATTCTGGATGGTTAATGCTCCACAGGTAGAGCCCCGGACGTTGCAAGTCTTTGAAGAAAAGCTAGAGCAGAGTTCTATCAAGATAAGGTACTGACGCAGATCCAACTATACGAGCAGTCGAACAAGCTCAGGGGGAAAGCATCTCAGCCGAGGTCCCTGAAGATCATGGGCTATGCACGAAGCACTCCGTCCGAGGCTGAGCAATCACTTTCCCAAGGGGGTTGAGGCTAGGAGGCCTAAAAGGCACTAACCGCAATGCTGACGGCGGAGGCTCGTAATCCCCGCAAGCAAAAAAAAAAGGGAAACGGGAGCCGAGCCGGGCCGGATCCAGACCTTCTCTTGACCCCACACGAGTCAAATCCCGACGGGCAAGCACTCTTCACGTAGACTAGCCGGAGGACTCAAAAGATTCTCTCTCCTTCTGCAGCTGTCGCCGATAGTTAACATTGTTCTGCTTTGTACGGCTGAGAGCCACAGCGCTGTTCCTCTGGAAGGCCCCGAAACACCTGGCCCGGCTTTTGATCCTCTATAGCGCGGTGTGATATGGCAATTGGCTTGCATATACGAGGATATAGCAGGTCCTTGTATTATGATTAGTTATCTCCCCGATGGCCTACTATTCCGTAAGGGACTCGGATCAGGACCCTATTCCTCCTTTGGGGAATTGGTGTTTAGCTCTACTGACCCTGACATCAGATAACTGCTATACCTATATCAGGTGGCGAGACAAGAGCTGTTGAGTTGAGTAAGTAAAAAAGATATGCAATACCATATATATAGGACGAAAATACTAGTTTAAAAAAAATATCGGGCCGAACCGCGGTTCGAACGCGGGGCCTCTCGCAGATTGGTACTATTGTAGCCCACTAAGAGTATTTATTAGTATTGGAGATATAGATTGAATGGTGACGAGGCGTCCTTACAAGCGAGAATCATACCACTAGACCATCCGGGCTGATGTCATTGTTGGCCTTATTTCGTCTCTCATCGTGAGACCCAAGGAATCATGAACGAAGTACTCTGAACATGGGGAGACAGTGTGCGCTTTTCGGGTCTGGACTGCACAGTGCTGCAAGATAATTACCCAGGCCAGGCACTGAACGCCTAAACTGTTGCAATACTGGGCTAGTTGGATATTCCTACTTAAAGGGGCTGCGGAGAGCACGTACAGAAGTCTCGTACGTCGTCATCAATCAACCCAACTATGGCTTCATGGAAGTATTGCCCCACCACGCTACTTAATATGATACGCTTCTATACGTTGGGATGTGGGAGCTGCAGGCTTGGCCGGCAGTGCTCTGCTTCCGACATACTGCTACATAGCTCCACTTATCAACGGCAATCCCTGTCATAATATTATTAGAGTAACCCCTGTATGTATTGTATTGTACAATATGACTAAGAAAAGCAGAAAGATGTCGGTAACAAGAATAAGAGCCGTTCTACTATCGGCCCGGTAATCTAGAGAGAGAGAGGCATAAAGGCACATTTCAGGGGCCCATCCAACCAAAAAGATATTTTTCCAGAATCCTCAAACATACATTAATGTAGGATAAGAAAACCTTGTATCAAGACAGTCAATCTGAGACAGGTAGTTGGGAGTATCAAGTACCAATCAAGAACAAAAGAAACGGAAAGAGGTCAAGAAGTCATATCTTTAGGATTACGCATTGCCTTCACAACGATAACCAAGAACACAAAGGGAAAAAAAATATAAAGAAGGCAAATCTAGCTTGCTGAAGCTGCGTCAGGGGGAAATATTCGAGACATTGCTCCAAACATGACTGCGTGGATCGAGACGATGGGCCAAGACGTTTTAGTACGCATTACGGCGTCAGAGGTAGGCGGACGCGAGTTATTTATGGTTAGCGTGTGGAACCGCCGATGTGAAGAGTAAATAATGTATAAGATATGTGTCATGTGCCGCGAAAGCAAAAAAGATTATATACATGTTCAGATTAGAAACCGAACGGATTCGTGGGCGCTGTGAGAGATAGTTAGTAGCTGCTCTAGAGATAAATGCGCTGCTGGTGGCACTTACTGGCTTGTGCAAGATTAGCCCGGAGACCCGTCGGCTGGGGAGCGAGCTTCTTGGGAGCGTCATGCTTGACACCAAACCTGATTGGGGGTGCGGGTCCAGTCTTCTGTGGGGTCAGAGGTGCAGCGGTTGGCTGCTGAGGAATTGGTGGGATTGGCGGTGGTGACGTAGTGTTGTAAGGCATGCTACCAGCACCATTAATACCGGTGGGTTGGGGCTGCAGGGATGGGGGAAGAACGGAGTTAATGCCGGTGTGCATTGGTTGTTGCGGCTGTGCCTGGAAACCGAACCCAGTAGGTTGAGGTGCAAGCCCCTGGAAGCCCGCTTGGTGTTGCTGTTGCTGCTGAATTCCAAATTGAGACTGCGGTTGGAAGCCAGTTGGTTGTGGCATCAGGCCATTTTGGAACTGATTGTGGGGCATGAACGCGGTTGGCTGTGGTTGGAGCGGTTGCTGGAACCGCTGCTGGTTTAGTTCGGCCAGACTCTGACCTGGAGCAGCAAGTGGCGGTCCGGCTTGAGGTAGCCCTGTCAGCTGAGGCTGCAGTGGCGGGAGGCCAAAAGAGCTTTGCTGTTGAGGGAAGTTCTGGGGCGCAGAAAGTGGTCGCGGAGGCGGAGGAGGAAGCAGCGAATTTTGACCCATAGCCTGAGGAGGCTGCGGGCGTGGTCTGGAAGCTTGCTGGAACCCAGTGGCTTGGGGGCTGAATCCCTGCGTGGGGTTCTGGAGCGGCTGCTGTGCCGGCTGACCCAATTGAGAGAAGAAGCCGGGGGTAGCGCCTGTTTGCTGTGGCTGTTGGGGGGCAGGCGCGGGTATAGCAGTTGGCTGAGGCTGAATGGCTGGAGGTGCCTGGGCAGCTAGCGGAGGTTGTGAAACGGGAGTCGGTTGGGTAGGAGTTGGTTGTAGGGGAGGGTGAAGCACAGACAAGTCTGCCATCGCCCCTGTAAGTTGCTGTTGTGTTGGCTGCGTTGTCACAGGCGAGGCTGCAGCAGGGGGGGAAGTCGGCGTTGAAGCCGCAGGAGCCGCAGCAGCTGGAGCTGGCGCTGGCGCGGGGGCAGTCTGCTTAGGCTGCTTGACCTCCCATGCATCGTCATCAAAACCACGTTGGACGGGCTTTTCCGAAGCCGCAGAAGTTGGAGAGGCCTCCTTTGGCTCCGCGTGGTTAGAGTCTTCCTTCTGCTCGAAAGCCTTGGGGTCAACGACATCTCCGGTCTGCACAGCCGGCGCTGGTCTGCCCTTGCGCGTATTATTGCGCAGAACGCCTCCTGGACCCGCGAAGAGGCCACCGCTGTCCTCACCATTGCTGATAACTTCCTCCCCACCGAAGCTTACGTTGCGCAGCTTAGACTTGGCTCCAGTACGACTGAACATAGTATCCAGGTGGCGCATCACTCGCAATATATCGCCTTCCTTCAAGCCAAGCGTGCGAAGTACTTCTGGCGTGATATCCGGAAGAATGCTCTCGTCCATCGAATCCTTGGTGAAATTCTGCGCATACCTCTCACATTGGTGTGGACCGACTCCTGCTTTCAGGAAGAAATCGAACCAATCATAATCGGACTGCTGGAACGAAGCTCCAGCAGATTCAGAGCGTTTGTTCTCAGCCGAAGGCCGAGGTTTTTCAGCTTCTCGAAGTGTTGAACGACGTTTGATATCGGAGAGTGGCTTGTCCTCGTCCAATGACACCCCAGTCATCTTCTCAACGTATTCCAGGTCCTGAATAGACATTTTCGGGATGGGGACCGCGATCTTGACCCCGTTCATCTTGTGCAGATGAATCTTACCATCTTGCAGGCCGATGAACTGAGCATCCACAGTGAAAGTTTTGGTGCGATCGGTCCATTGTCTCGTCTTGGTTGGATCTGGCTCTTGGGGTCCGTTAGTATGACCAACCTCCTGACGCGGTGAAGGGAGACAAGGGGACTTACTCGACTTCTGGCTGCTACGGCTGTCACGCTTGTGATGCTATAATAATAAACATAACTGTTAGCGTTTCTAATAACACCATTATATATCGGTCAAATAGCCAACGGACAGCGCCTACCTCTGCACGGGGCGAATCAATTGAATCAGTTCGTGACTTGCGCAAAGCCTCCTTGGCCAACCTTGACTCTTCCAGACGGTTTCGCTCCACTGCTGACAAGCCAGAATCAACGCCGGATGGCTGACTGCTGGAGGCATAGCCGGTGATCTCGACATAGCTACTTGGGACTACACCCTCCTTGCCATTCTTAACGCGCCGGACCATCCACCATTCCTCAGACTTGGTGTCATCAAGGACGATGACTTCATCGCCAACGCTTACACCCACTTCGTCGTCTTGCTGTGCCACGAAGTCATAGAGAATCTGGCCCTTCTTCTGTCCTCCCCCACTAGAGCCAGCCGCAATGACTTCCCTTAAGCCCTCTGCTCGATACGCTCCGGAGATTTCACCAAGTGCGGCGACAATCTCTCTTGCAGTGTCTTTCGCGCCGGCATGGAAATCAATGCTTTTGCTGGGGCGAACAAGGTCAACAAAAACGTGCTTCCCTTCAATGGAGTAATGAGACAGCTTGTCAGCTGTCCATTCCTGCTCTTCCCCATCATCTTCCGGCGAGATGAAGATCGTCCCAGTAGCGATGTTGATACCCAGGGTTGTCGGCATCTTCTTCCTTTTGCCCATCACCTCAACCATTTCATTGACATTGTAGATGTGATAGCCGGAAGGAGAACGGGGTGCAGGGCCGACTCTGTTGTACGGCGGGGACTCTTTCACATGTCCTTTAGTATCCTGCTCCTGCGCCAAGGTGATTTGAGGAGGACGTAACGGGAGACCCGGGGACCGGGGAGACTCTACACGCGGAGACATTTGCTGGGACGGGGGACGTTGTGGGAGGGCCGGCGGCGGCGGCGAAGGCTCCCGCTGATAGCTTAGTTCGGGCTCATACGATGGCTGGGGCTGCGGGGGTGGCGGAACTGCCCTGGTGGCTTCGGGCTCTGCATGCTGTTTGTGAATGATATCAGCAATCGCCGCAGCAGCTGGGTTCTGAACGGTGCCGATGGGCGAGCTTGAGACAGGGCTACTGGCCTCCTCTATCGGTGCCGCCGTTGGGCGCTGCGGGAGTGTCGGAGGTGCTGCTTCGGCGGGAGGAGAAGGAACAGATGACGTTGCGGGAGCGTGGGCAGCCTGTTCAGCAATTTCGATATAATTTGCAGGGGCGAAACCGAAATCCCCGCTGACCCCAACTAGGGTCCAGTCCGGGTCCGATATGTCGTAGACCACCAGTTCTGCATCTTCCGAGAAGGATACCTCTTCGTCTGTTTGGCGTGTGTAATCAAATAGCGCTTTGGCAGCGTGAATTGGTTGGGCCTATGTATTCAATTCGGTTCAACAGTCAGTGAATGTCCGATTCAATGGTGATCCACTCTCTACCCCTGAAGGTGGGAACGAACAACCACCAACTTCGGTCAGAGGGCGGGAGGCCCGGAGGACAACAACGATGCCTCATCTAAATTCCAAGTTGAACAGCAAAGTGCTTTAGGATGCACCCTTACCTCCTCTATGTAGTTATTAGGCACAAGACCCTCGGGCTCGTCCTCATCGTCGTGTTCCGCCTTCTTCTTGGCCTTCCACCAATCGTCTTCGTTGTTGCTCTCAAGGAGGTATAATAGGTCGCCCTCGCGAAGCTCTAATTCACCTTGCGCCTGGGGGTGGTAGTCGTAAAGGGCCGTATACACACCGAGGAAACCCATTGTGGGCACCGTCAGCTGGCAAACCGGGATAGGATTCCGGCTATCGTATTAGGAGTTGTTGTATTGTTGCAGCTGCTGCTCCCAAGAGCAGCGGTTCTAAATGGTCGTGTAACCAAATGGTGCTCCCGCTTGGGCCCTGAGGGAGATAGCGGAGAGTAGACTCAAAAGGTCGGGCGACGGTCGATGGGTCGGTCGGGGGGGGTTTAGTTAGTTCGTGGTGGTGGGCTTGGCAATTACGCAGTAGCAGTACTTCAGGTACCGATATCGAGCCCGAGGCCGCAGCACCGCAACGGTCGGATAGGATGGGGAAGGATGAGGAGAGGGCGAAGCGGAGGAAACTCCCGTGTGAGCCGTTGACCTGCCGGGGTGGGATAGGGAAACGAGAGAACTGTGGGAGAAAGGGTCGAGTCGGAAGAGTTTCAGGGAGAGGCAGACACAAGAGGGAGGGAATGGAAGAAGTTGGCCGATCCGTTCGTGGTTTGGTTCACTCCTGTGGAGGCTGTGAGGGGGTGGAGCCTTAGGCACCAGACGCGCTCGGTCACGTTTTCTGCACAGCCTTATCAACCACTTGTTGATGAGTCTCTTATCCGAAGTTCCTTCTTATATCCTGCGTACTCAGACCGTCAGGCAGTCGGTGATGGTATCCCTGCAACCTGATTAATATTGAACGGTACCCAGGCTACCTTGAATTGACCGAAAAAAAATGATACCATGTATTAAAGAGATAGGGTTGATTGTTGCTCAAGTATCACCGATAAGCTCTTATATCTACTATATAGATCATACCAAAACCCTCAAGCACAATATAGATCAATAACCCTCAGATGAGAAATTTATGCTACAGATCCAGTCGCACCTGCCTAACAGAGTGCTACACAAAGCACAGCTCTAAATAAGGCAGATAGAGTCACACACACGTCTTACCTCCACCCCATCCATGGCTCAACATTACTACGTATCCCAATCTACACAGTAGGCAGTAATAATGGCCACCATCATCATGGTGACAGTGACTCAACCCCCGCCTAACAACATTCCTGGTAACATTCCACATCCCTTGTATGCTATACTATCCTTCAACCTCACCATCCACTCGACCATCACAAACCCCCCCGAATACACAACTCATTACCACTACCAACAGCCAGAGATAAGAATGACACAATTCCACCCGATCTCGTTCAAATCCCTCCGCAGGCGTCTATCCAGACACTCCAAGCCCAGCACAACCATCACAGTTTCTTCTTCAGAAATCTCAGAAGCTGAAACGCAGACTGTCAAGCCCATAATCCGACGCAAAAGCGCAAAGGAGATTAGGAAAGCAGTGATCGAGTTCCTGGAAGAGCTTGGCGGTGCGGTTAGGGCTACTCCTATCGACGAGGACTATGGACGGTGTGACTGTGGACGGTGTTTCGGGCGGTGTTTCGGACGGACACCGCAGAGTAGATACGGGCCGTATGTTTATATATATATTTGTCTGTCTTTGCTTAGTTGGTTGGTTGGATACTGATGGTATCTTAGGGCTTTGATCGGTCGTGATTTGGATGATACTCTGTGTCTTTTGAGGTCGAGGCCGGTTTGTTGAGGTTCAGGGCTGTTGGGTGGGATGGGTTTGTTTGCTCGGTGTTTGGGTGTTCCTTGATATATTCATGGGTTAGAGTTCCTCAGTGTTTATGCGTTGACCATGGGCATGATTCACGAGTTGCCCCGTAGGTTATGGACTTGAAGGAAAGCTTATTGCTCTGTATGATAGAATCTTGCTTTGTATATGTGTCAAGGTACCCAGAAGCTGAGACTGCAGGTATTTTGTTGGGGTGAAAAAAGATAACCAAGAATAGCCACAGATCTACAAATCGTCAAGCACAACAGTGATATAGTATAAGGGTAGTTTACAGTTCATCCTTGAAGATTTCCTCACTGCCCTCTTCAGCGTCTTCCGCGGGCGGCTCCTCCACCTTTGGCTCGTCCTTTGGTTTAGCCTCTGAGACCTCCACCTCTGGAACTTCCTTCTCGGTGGGAGCCTTCTCATGCGGCTTTCCCGTTGTGCCATGGTCCTCCGACTTTGCCCCGGGCTTGGTTCCCGTTTCTTCCTCCTCTTCATCTTCATCGGTATCCACTATTCCTCTCAATCCACGCTCACCATTGGCGGTGACGTGTTCCAATGTCCAGTCCTTACCCTGAGCAAGCTCTTCGAGTCGGGTCTTCAAGGTTTCGATCTTCTCCGGGTCAAGCCCAAGTTTTTCTAGGTCGACTTTGGGCAACTGTAACACCTCGCCATTCTCGCGTTTGGCCACCACCTCCACCTTTTCTTCTCCGGCGGAAGCTACGCGTCCTTTCTCAATTTCCTTGCCTTCGGTGCCCACAAGCTTCTTGGCACCGACCTCAATGTCACCGACGATAGGAAATTCTGACGTAGTAGCTGACGATTCGACAAGTCTCTGGGCCAGATGGTACTGCCGCATCGCCTCCCAGTCGGGAACCTGATCAGGCGAGAGAACCTCGCGACACTCAATCGAATGGAGCTCCTCCTGCTGTGGGGGTAGGAATGCGACGTCATTGCACAAGCGCGGGGTGTAAATGACCATCAAATAGGAGCAAGTCGTCAGCTCTTTGATCCAACCAATGCGATCCGTCGACTGGGGATGACAATGGAACTGAACCTCAATCTTCCGGTTCTTCCCCGTCAAATCACACTTAGTTCCACCCTCCAAGCGCTGTACCAGATACCGCGATCCCCCCTTCGTCTGGAGCTCGGCCACATCCGTTGTTGTTGCTGTTGTCGTCTCTGCCGTCTTTTTGCGCTCAGCTTCACTATCATCCTCTTCATCACTACCCCGGGGAAACCGGCCCAGGATAAACGAATGCGTTGCCGGATCCTCCATGGGAGGATAGTTAGGGATCCCACTACCAGAAGGCAGCGCATGGAACTGCTTGATCTGCTTCTTGTAGCAGAACGAGTACGACCACCAGCCTGAGACATAGTACATGCACTTCCCTTCCATCTCGCTCAGTAGTTCCAAGCCGCGGTCCGTCGCCCGGGCCAGCTCCTGCTTCTCATCCGTCTCGTTGGCATCCTTGGTTCTATTCGTCTGCCCCATTTCGTCTCTCTCGACGTGCGGAATTTGACAGAGGAATCGTTGGCCTTGGAGGGTTAGCTCCTCGTAGGTGAGCTGGGGACCTCCCTCCTGTCGCGCACTGTGCTCTTGCGACTCATCTGTGCGAGGCTTTAAGGGGATCTGCGGCTTTTGTAGAGAGTTTCCTTGTTGGTCATCGTAAACGGGAGGGCTACTTTGCGTCTGTAGTAGTTCTTTCGCGTGAGAGTCAAGAACGTATTCGTCAGGGAAAAGGACTTGGTACTAAGTTTAGCTTTCAGATTAGCAAATATGCTGGCTTTAGCGCAATGACTGGGAGTGGGATGTACTTGAGGAAACGCGAGTAGATCATCGTGAATATTGAAGACTTTCTTGTTCGCAAGGGCGGTGGAAGTCGCGCATGCTAAAGTTAGCAAGGACGCTACGATTCTGTTGCGCCGGCCCATGGCGGCGAGTTATGACGATAAATGTCGATAGCGTTGGGCCCTCCGTGGCTGGGGCGGTACGGACTGGGGACGATCTGGCCAGATGAGAGCTTTCCCGGTGGAACTCTGATGCCCACTTCACTTAATGGAAGGAAATTCTATTAATTAGAATATGAACAAGAAAGTAAGAGATATTTCAATTGGTCATCATGGCACTATATGGGAAGATATGGATGCTGGAGGGAAAGCCCTCGCTGCAGTTGGAAGCAGAGCAAGCAACATGACAGCTGTGAAGAACATCCGATTGAACAGTTGCGTTGGGGGTTTCGGCTTATCGCCACGTGCCCTGTTGCACTAGAGCCAGAAGGGAATGACCAACCAGATCAATGAATGTCATGGATCGAGGCAATCTGAATGAATATTCAAGAGCGATTGGATGGTTTCGCTAGAGGATTTGACATTTGTTCGATTGGTGGCTGACCTTCCAGTTTGCCGTACCTGCATCATGGATCCCTCTACTAGTAGTAGCTGTATGTGTAGGTACGGAAAGTGTATGTATATTGACCGGTTAAACACGACGAACTACCGCGTAAAATAGAATATATTCAAGTGAGCAGTTACTAGGAGATGACATTATACAGGAGTCATTGAGATTGCAGTAGCCAAAGGAAGAACTCGGCCATGACCGAGCATTACCTAAAACCACGGTAGATGTATACATCGCAAAGGACACCTGAGGAATGAACCGCAATTTGCTGAGTGAACTCTGAGTCAGTTACCAATGAAAGGCCCGGAAAGAGTCCACCGACCCACTGAATCAGCGATTGGAAATCCATAGGACCACCAAAAGCGGACTAGCGGCTGCTGACCTTGATCTTTGTAAGCTCCATCTCATCGCCGATCTACAGACACTAATATGCAGATGCTTATTAGTCGATTATAAGAATTGACTAAATGGCCATGTCCCAGTGGCTCCAGGCTTTTCTACTACCTTCTCGTTAATTGTCAAATCCGTATAAATATTCCCCTCCAGCGCCGATGAAACTCCTTCTGTCGTTTTCAATCGCAGTCACAGCTATCTTCCTATCGCTATATTTTAGCCATCTCAAAGCGCTAGTTTCCTACATACAACAAGAAGTGTCAACTCGTCTCAACATCACCACAAACACAACCAACACAATTACTCCCAACCAAATCAACGCAGACTCCTTCCCAGTGACAATTATCCCACCAACGAACAAAATGGCCGTTCCCCGCGCAATCCGCCAAGTCTTTCTGGCTATCGAACAAGCCGAGGGTGCCGGTGCCCGCGTTCGCCGCTCAATTGGAACCGCCAAGCTGCGCAACTTCAGCCCCTTCCTCATGCTCGACCATTTCACGATCGGCAAGGGCGCCGGTTTCCCAGACCACCCCCATCGTGGCCAAGAGACCATCACCTACCTCCTGTCTGGCGGGGTGGACCATGAAGACTTCGCCGGCAACAAGGGCACCATTGGACCCGGCGACCTGCAATTCATGACCGCGGGGCGCGGAATTATGCATGCGGAAATGCCCCACGAGAACCCCGACGGCAGCCCCAACGTTGGCATGCAGCTGTGGGTCGATCTGCCCAAGAATCTCAAGATGTGCGAGCCGCGGTACCGCGATCTGCGTGCGTCCGAGATCCCTGTCGCCAAGGTGGATGACGACCGGGTCACAGTGAAGGTCATCTCGGGCCAGTCGCATGGAGTTGATTCAGTCCGCGATTTGGCCTATACGCCCGTGTGGCTGCTGGATGTTGCGATCCGGCCGGGTGGACGCATTGCGCAGTCCCTACCGAAGGGGTGGAATGCATTTGCCTATACCCTTTCTGGAACGACTGTCTTTGGGTCGAACGATTCCACAAAGTTGGTGAAGGAATTTCACAATGTGGTCTTTGACCAGGGCGGAGATTATGTGGAGGCCTCGGTGCCAGATAATGCCGAATCGGAATCCAGGTTCATTCTGGTGGCAGGTCAGCCGCTGGACCAGAAGGTTGTGCAGTACGGGCCGTTTGTCTTGACCAGCCAGGAGGAGGTTTACCAGGCAATGGTTGACTATCAGACTGCGTCGAACGGATTCGAGAGAGTCCGTGGGTGGGAGAGTGAAATCGGCAAGAGAATGGCGTTTTAGATAAGAGGTTGCATATGCGTTCCTGATGTGTGGACTTTTTGTACTGTTTGATGATACTCAATGTGGCGTTTCTTTCCTGTTGCCTTTTGTAAACATTCCAAATGTTGCGCATGGATATGGTGTTTCTGAGGTCTTATTTCAATAGAGCATTTTCATGGTGGATATTTCCTTTGTACTCAGTAGACTATGTAAGTAGTAGTCTCATGCAGAAATGGGAAACGTAGGCATACATCTCGAGCGCGGTCTTGTTTTCTATTCATAACGTTTTATTGATTTGATATCACAGGCGCAAAAACCAAAAGGAGCAGAGACAACAACCCTAGGAGATGCGAGATTAAAAGATGAAAAAGAATGGTTCCGGCCCCAGTGAGAAAGAAAATACAATGACTCAAACGAGTCCCTAAGGAGCACCGTCTCACAACGTAGCCGCGTTGAGCTTCAAGCCACTTGCTTTCGCGGCGCTCCCGAAGCTTACTCCGGCCATCGTGATGCACACACACACTCATTCACTATCTTACATGCCGTGTTTACACCATCATCGGACACAGATGGTTACGTGACTTCGGGGTGCTTACATGCTGTCGGAAGCTGCTTACACACCCCGACTTAAACGCCTTATTTGGCGAAGTGGAGGTCATAGCCCAGCCAGCGACGTGCGTTTACACCAGCAACGTCCAAGCCCGGGGTACCATAAGTCAGGGGTGCATAGAACCAAAAGCCCCAGACAGTGATGGCCAGAATAGAAATGGCGGCGATCCAGCCCGCAACAAGAGACTTGCGGCTCATCCGTTCCTTGGCCGTTACGAAATGACGGGGACGGACAGACTTGGACTTGCCCGATGGGTCAACCTCGCTATCGACAACGGCTTGGACTGGCTGGAGGTTGAAAATGAACTCAATCAGAGCACCCGTCACAAGGCAGGAGGCAAGGTGAGCGGGAAGGTAGTGATGCAAGAATCGCTGACGACCCATCAACCAGAAGGGGAAGTAGTGGGCTCCCCAGCAGAGGAAGAGGAAGCCAGTGCTGTTGTACAGGCGGGAACGAGCACCAAGTCCCCAAACTATAACGCATCCAGTCAGTCTTCAGTCTTCCGCATTTGCTATCCTCCAGGTTTACTTACTTTCTTCAACGGCGTCAACTCCACGGCGGAGAGACAACTGATCGGCACCAATCACACCAGCGAAAACAGCCAGCAGACTACTGGCAATCCACCACCCGATCGGTTACCCAGGAAATATATCTGTTCACGGGTATCATTCTTGGTCCAGAAGCTGACACCTCGCAAAAGGAATGGCCACTGGAAAGGCTCACTCGCGTATGGGTGGCTGCTGGTCAAGGCATTGTTGTGGAAGAACATGGCGCGCTGAAGCTCCAGGTACTTCCGAAGGAAGGGCAGTTGTTTCACTTTGCGTTCTTCCTTCTGCCTGCGAGGGCTGTCTTCCTCCAGCGACTCGATGGACTCCGCGTACCACAGGTTGCTGGCTTGAAGGACGTTCTTGTTACCGTTGATCTCGGCTTGCTTAAAGCCCCACTCGGGCAAAGGAGTTGTGTGTGTCCACATAGCCACTCGGGTGGGGAAATGAACCAATTTGAAGTGGCTTGACAAAGTTCTAAATTCCTGACCGGCCTTGCCATTCTCAATCTTGATCTCGAACAAGGTCTCGTTATGTCTCTCGCCACTGGCCACATCCTTGGCCACAGTCGTGAACTCCTGGTTGGTCGGATAAAAGGGGGAGGCAACATCATGGGTCAGTAGGATCGAGTCGGTGCCTAAGTGAAGCAGCTGGACGAGGTCGCCGTTCTTCACACTGCGGCCCTGGCCGTCATTGTCTTCCAGAGGCACTGTGGGAATGATTTGCCATTGGTTGTTAGTATCATTGAACGGGTATCCCGTGACCTGCTGGCCCTGGCTGGAAATACGTCCATCGTCATAGCGAAGCGGGTACCGTTCCCAGTGACTGTGGAGGAACACCTTAGTGTCCTTGTGTCGAATGGTGATAGCGTCATAGTACTGGATTCCGATGGACTCGGCCGCCAGGGCATTATCGCTGAGGGTTTCCTGGAATTCAGGGGTCATAAAGTCATCACCAGGACCGGAGCGGGTCAGGATGGCGAAATGGACCTGGAACCAGAATAGATAGAAGAAGAAAGGCACAATGATAAGGCCAAAGGCACGGGCTGCGAAGTGCTTGGTCCACTCCAGCATGCTGAGAGCGCCGGCGGGACGGCGAATATCCAACAGATTCCACAAGTCGACCATGACCGCAGCGCCGATGGTCACGAAAGTGAAAACACCGACATACTTGGTAGAGATGACGCAGCTGAGAGACACACCCGTCAGAAGCAGCCACTTCCACCACTTCCGGCCGAAGGGTTCGTGGCGCAGCTTGTAGAAGCGAACGTAGCACAGAATGCTCAGAGCCATTGTGATGACCAAGGTGGCATCCAGAAGGATCAATCTGTCCTCAGCGATGTGCGCATTGTCAAACAACACAAGCCCAGCGGATAGAACGCAAGCCGGCAGCGAGTATCCCGACTCCCACATGATCAAGAACACCACGGGGACCGTTAGGGCGCCGAGCGTTGCGGGTAAGGCGCGAAGAGCGACATAGGGAACTTTGTTATCGATATACGAGTCGCCGATGTTCTCAAACAAGAAGTGGCCATCATAACCGACGAGCCAGCCCATCGCCGCGAAGAGAAGCTTGCCAAATGGAGGGTGAACATCGAAGAAGTACGTGCGTTGAAGGTAGTACGAGGCGAACTGAAGCACATGATCGCGTTAGAAACGTCCCGTCACTTTTCGGATATATATATATATGTGACCTACTTTTCCGAAGTGCACCTCGTCGAAGACAACTTCATCGGGGTATGAGATCCTATAGAACCGGGTGATGAATGCCAGCACAGTCAGAACCGTTATGGCCAGCCTATAATCCCATTCTGACTGAGGCTTGGGGGTTGCACCCTGGTTGGTGGGATAAGGAGAGGAGACATCTGAGGGTCCAGGGGATGCCTCCTTCTTTCCGCCTCTCTTCCGGAGAGACGGTGAAGGGGATTGAGACATGCTCAGTGGCTGCAATCGAAGACGAGGATTGATAGTAGAAAAAAAATCACCTAATGAGCTGCGACGGGAAGCACGTAGCAATTGGTTAGCTAGAGCAAGGGGAATAGAAACTGAGGAATATTCTCCATGCGATGACCTACAGGAAGTAATCAGGAAAAGGACATCATACAGAGAAAGAAAAGAAAAAAGGGAAAGAGAGAGGCTTATTGTCGTACGGAGAATGAGGAGGGGAGCTGCGCACTGATTGCGTGTCTTCATCCCCATACAAACACGCCGGAACGGAACAAGGCGCTCATCCGAACTTTATTCCTAGTTTGACCCAGAATTTCCGTTTGCTTTTGTTCTTCTATATTTAACCTCGGGTTTCACTTGTGGATTTATTCGGTTTTTTCTTGGTTTCATGTCCTATGTAATAGAAAAATAAAATAAAATAAAATCAATTTCAATTCCAAATAAATATATAAATGAATATAGTTCTTGAACATGAAAAGAAAAATATAAATGAAAAAAAAAAGTCACAACGGTGGGATATCCAATGCAACATAATAATCACACTTCAACGCTCAAACATCATCATGACCGAATGAAATATTATGTACAAATCGACCTTGCAGATTTCTGTAAGTAAAACAAAGCGCTTCATAAACTGCTGAAACTAATCATCATCGGACATATTCAACAACTCCAGCTCTGTTCTCACGAGCGACTGGAACTCGGCGCGCGTGATCCCTGTGGCTCTAGCGAGCCGGAACAGACTCTTGATGTTAGAGCCAATATGCTGCTTAACGCCGACTTCGCATGCTGACTGATTTTCGGCCTCCAGCTCGAGCTTGGCAACAGCCTCTGAGCTGTTAGAGGAGGCAGATGATGGTCGCGGGTGATTCAATGCCCTATCAGTGTCTCCATGACCATTGAGGTGCAATGAGTTTTCAGATGCTTGATTATCAGCATGAGGTTTGAGGAGATTGGCTAGCAAATCTCCGCCCAGGGAAGATGGTCCGAGTTCCGGCCGTTCTTCCGACGGATCATGGTTGTCCATCGCCGGCTGCACATCGGCATATCGTGAGAAGTAGGACGCTTCAGACATGTCCTGGTGCTGAAGGGCAGACCGTCCATTAGGAGCGGGCGTTTTCACTGATGGGGTCCTCCCCGGTGTAGCGTCATACTGAGCCCAGTAATCGTCGTCGTCTTCTTCGTCTTTAGCAGCTTCCTCCTCCTTCTCCGCCGCTCTCAACGCATCCTCCATCAACTTCTCCTTGGAGTGTGAATTGGCCTCCCCTATCGATGCCGACCAGGCCTCACCATCTGCCCTACTGCTTTCGTAGGGCAAAAGTTCTGCGACTCGCCACCCGGGTCCTCCACCATCCTTGTCGTTGGGACACCACAGATAGATAGCCTTCAGGCGATAGTCTGAGAGCAGAATGCGAGACTGCAGTGTCTCCTCGTCCACGCGCTTGTATTCCACCGGGACTTCATCGGGTAGTTCAATCTCCCCCGACACTGGGTGTGGTTCAAAGCTGGACTCATTCACCACCGTCTGAAGACGCTCAGCCTTCCCAGAATCCCAACAAAGTAGTCGCAGCCATGATTCGCTCGGAGAGGCGGCGAGGGAACTCAGAACCTGAACTCGCTGGCGTAGCACGGGCGATAGGAGGGGCAAAAGTGCAGGCGGGGGCAATGGCGATACAAAAGCCGTAGGGAGACAAGCCAGCAGAGGCGGGAGTAGGGTGCGAGGATCAGGAGGGGAGATGAGATCGACCATTGCGACTGACGATATTTCTCAAGGTCGGATGATCAAGGTGGAACTTGGTCGTGGGGAAGAGGAGAGCTCAGATGTGTAACGGGCGTCCGGAGTAAATTGGTTCTTTAATTTCTGTAGTATTTACGGCGGAAGAATTTCTCGTTGGCGGTGAGCAAGTACTGTACGTACATAAATCGAATGAGAGGAAGGAGAGAAAGAAAGGAGGGCGAGAGAGGGTTTATAATAAAGAAAAGGAAAGCAACGTGTAGCGATCGCCTCAAATCAGCTACTACTTACTAGCTGTGCCACCATCACCACCACCAGTCGGGGGAAGGGGACAAGCTTCGCATGGTCTGGAATTGCTTGGTCTCCCTTCGCCCGAAGAGAGCGCAAGAGACAGAGAGAGAGAGAGAGAGAGTGGGTCAGCTTTGCGGGGTTGGGAGCCACCGTGGTAATGAATTAGATTGACTCTGGGAATGTGGACAGATCCGACCAGTGTGAGATTTTAGGGGGATGCCCCTTTTGAACCATTTTCCATCCAGTTGGGCAGTCATGGAACTCGGATCGGCGGACATGGTGGACGAGACTATTCAAGGCTAACTGTGCAATATATATTCCACGGTCGACCCTCTTCGCCAAACACAACGGGTGAAATATGAATATGTAGGAGGGAATTCATTGATAGAACCTTAAGAATAATAGATCAGGGGGTTCAAAGAGAATGAAATAAATCATTGGAATTATCTAGTGAATTCTTGTCTTTAGTTTCAATTAAATTAGAAACTATTTTAATTGAAATGAATTGATCGACTTTGGATGCTGATCGTGGACGGGCTGACCATGTGATCTCCCCGACCAAAGAAAGCTGTTGGAAGCCAAACAAATCCCAATGAACATCCCACAAACATTCGCCAGCATAACCGGGACAGTTTCAAGCATAATGCAAGGGATTTTCATTCCGCACCCCAAGATTGCCAATGAGAACGGAGGGACAGCTCTGGCCAGAAACTACCCTCGAAGCCACCGAGATTATTGTCAGCTGAGGGCGCAATTGGAGCTGAAGTGGCCATTCCAGTAAAAGCGACCTCGGCACCATGTTAGGTACGTTAGCATGGCCAATCCTCAATACTCCTGTGACTGAATGGCGCTATTGGGTACTTGCCGTCGGGGATTGCATTAGCCTGCAGATAACTGCACGAAACATTGCCGATAAGCTGCCACCCTGCTAAAATTCGACTCAGGATCGAATTTCTACTTTACCTTTTCTCGGCGTTGAATGACCATGGAACAATAAGGCCAAATATGGGAGCCATTCAAGGGAAAGGGATATTAAATATAAGAAGAGGAAAAGGCCACCAATATGATCGAAAACATAGTTCCCGAGGCAGCTCTGGCCTCCTCGCCATTGACGCCGGATGGTCTGCCGTCGAGTGGCCGTGAAGTCGTGGAGGCAGCCCTTCCGGAGGAATTGAAAGAGTTGGAGAGGAGACTTCGCTGGAAAGTAGACTTGCGCCTCTGTACCATTGCTGGTATTCTCTGCAGTCTCAATCTGCTCGACTCCGGCATCCTCTCATCGGCCTCGGTGACTAGTATGCTCAGCGATCTTGACCTTGAAGGTACTCGATATTCGGTATCGATATTTATCTTTACGATAGCTTCCGTCGTCTTTCAGCTTCCCTGCACGGTTGCGGTGCGCTGGATCGGTCCGCGGATCTGGTTTGCATCTATCACATTCTGTTTCGGCCTGCTTACTTTATGCACGGCATTTGTTCAAACGTGGAAACAGCTTATTGCCCTTCGTGTGCTTTTAGGCATGGCCATGTCCGGTATATATCCGGGGTTAACTTACCTCATCAGCACCTGGTACACCCGGCGGGAACAACAGCTCCGATTCGCATTTCTCCAATCGGGAGAGGTCACCGTGATGGCAACAGGCACGATCGTCAATTACGGTCTGAATCATTTGGATGGACGGGCGGGCTTAAGCGGCTGGCGCTGGATGTTCCTCGTCCAAGGACTTATCACCTGCGTCATTGGTATCATCACGTATTGGTGGATGGTCGATTTCCCCGAAACAGCACACCGAAGCTTCTATTTCCTATCTGGGGCGGAGGCGCAGTTGGCCGTACAGCGTATTCAGGCCGATCGTGATGACGTGGTGCCCGAGCCTTTTTCGTGGAGCAAAGTCGCCGTGAACTTTTCCGACCCGAAGCTATACGGATTTGCATGCATGTTTTTCATTCTTAATTTGGTCTCCACCGCATTATCCTATTTTCTCCCGATAATTCTGCAATCGGGAATGGGGTTTTCTAGCAACGCAGCTATTATCCTTTCCACTCCGGTATGTCCCATTGTCTCCAACGTCGCGTTCTTTCTTTGCAAGTTGCAATTTGTATACTAACTTGAGCAGCCGTACTATTGGTCGGTTGTACCTGTTCTTTTCACTTCTTTTGTTGGAGACACATACCGGCTACGCGGGCCACTGATCACGTTCAACGCCCTCTGTCTTATAGCGGGCTTCTTGATGTTCGGCCTCCCTTCCTCCACTCAAGTTACTGTGCGGTATATCGGGACATTCTTGGCCACTGGGGCATACGTCTCCAATTGGGCAGCACTGAACGCGTTTATGGCAAACAATGTGGTGGGACAGTGGAAACGCGCCACCACCGCAGCTGCAGTATCTGCCTGTAACGGTCTGGGAGGAGTAGCGGGCAGCTACATTGTCCGGCAGCAGGAGGCCCCGCAGTATCAGACCGCTGTGTGGGTATCGGTGGGGTACGTATTGATACGTCAGTTGCTCTAAGAGGCTTGAGCTGGGGCTAATTGAAGCAGGTCTCATATTCTCATGATTGCCATTGTGGGTGTATTTACCCTCGCCTTTTATATTTGCAACCGACAGCAGAAGAGGGGGCAACTCGTTATACAGAACAGAGTCAGTGCTTCCCCATTTAGAGTCAATATTGCATGATTTGTTTGCTAATCTACGCAGGCCCATTTTCGGTATACCTATTGATTTGACGTCTGTCCAACGACTATACGATCTTCGGGAGGATAAAAGTACCTATCGCGAATATAGCTGATGTGCAGATGTTAAATAGATTTCTCAGCCGACCGTTTTGAATGTCGGTATTCTTGTATGTCCCCACTCACCATGACACGAATATAGAATCTGCGTCTGGAATAAATTATTCATATAGTACAGCTCCAGTCACATGTAACATCCAACCGTATACAACAGTCTACTTTTTCACACCATCCCCTCCATCTTTGCCAGTATCACTAGGAACTTCACCTCCCTTAAACTCCCGCTCAGCAACCAAGGTGCTAGCATCAAAGGATCCAAAGTCCCGCAATTTGACCCCCAGATGAAACATGAGATCAATCTGCTCAAGAGTCTTACCCCGACACTCCGGCACGAAAAAGAAAGTACAAACAAACGCGACAACGGCAATGGCACCAAATATAAACCCAACCTTGGAGTTCAGACCCGCATATTCCGCATCCACAAGGTAGGGGATAGTGAAGTTGACGACAAAGCTGGAAGATGCATATTAGTCTTCGGGATAGAATGAGGTTAGGGCAGAGAACGACATACTTAGAAATAACATTGACAACAAACCCCAACTGCAGCGTCATGTCTCTCAACCGCAGCGCAGGTAGCTCGGTAGCTACTACGTACGTTTGCGGTCCCCATCCCAGTGAGAATCCCAGTGCCATGACCACGTACATACCCACTACGCCTTTCTTCAAATCGCTTGTCATGGGATTTGGAGTCCCTAGGCCTCCCATCGTCAATAGGCCTGCTGCCATTACGGCGGAGCTGGCTAGGAGCATGGGTCTGTGTTGGAAGCCCGTCAGCATAGCCTCTCAAATAGTGTCACAAGGATAGGGAGAAACAAAGAAGGCAAAGGTGAGCCATACCTCCGCCCAACCCGATCAGTATACGCTAATGAGCCAACGATCGACACCAAATTTAAAAGCGAAAGCACAACCGTCATATCAAACGGGTTAACGGTCCCCAACTGCTTGACGTAGACCGCTCCATACTGAGACGAAAACGCCTGTCCAGTACCCTGCTGAAAGAAATTGACCATGAAAACGAGCGCCGTTCTCTTTAGATTGACTCCCTTAACCAGGTCGACCCAGCGGCCTTTTTCAATCTCCTGTTCGAGCACGATCTGAAGCTCATGGAATTCATTGCTGATCTGGTCGGGGGTGAAACATCCCTGGCGTAGTTGTCGAAGACTGACTTGGGATTCTTCTACGCGGCCTTGTTGGAGGAGCCAGCGTGGGCTCTCAGGGACGAACCATATCAATGATAGGACTATCGTTGGAACGATATAGAATAAGCCAAGGGGGATGCGCCAGGCTCGGTCGTCTTGGATCTTGCTTGTGCCCCGGCAGATAGAGTTGATGATTAGACCCCCTAGGATGATGCTGAACTGGTAGGTGCCTACGGCGAGGCCTCGGACTTGGGCTGGGACTATACGCCACAACTTAATGTTAGAGAACAGAAGGTAGTAGTACAAGCCCGATGTGGCTCACCTATTTCGGACTGGAATGTTGGGACAACAGCCAACTCCATCCCAACATAGATGTAGTTCAAGATTCGAGCAGCGAGAATCTGCTCACGGTTTGCAGAGGTAACGGTGATCGTGGCTGTGATGAGAGCGTAGCAACTCATCGAGAACATGCACCACCGCCGACCGAACCGGGCGGATATTTGACTGCCGATGAGCACGCCTGGCCAGTTAGCTCATACGGTGCGCCTCGTTAGAGGAGAGAGGGACATACCAGCAGCAAATCCGATGTAGTTTAGACTGTTGAAGAGCGATAGCCAGGCTGGGTCTAATGCATACTCCTTCGTTCCAGGATTATAGTTTCCAAACCGTTTGTCAAAAGCGTCCATAGCCTGCGTGGTGGCAAAGCCTTGATTATCGAAGCCATAGTTGAAAGAGGAGATGGCTATGAGCAAGCAGGCTAGGGCTAGTCTGGTGTTGAAGTATGCGAGGAACTGTGGACGTCTCATGCTGGGCATTTGTAGAGGATAGCGGCCACCATGGTTGTCTCGAGATGGGATTTGTGCATAGATGGTATATATAAGTATACTGGCGTGCGCACCAGGTCATAGCCATCTTGCTATAGCGTCGGATGAGACAATATTTCGTGTCATTGGCATCATCTGTATTCCGGTCAAATTTCAGGGTGAGATCTCGTAGCTATGGGATGTCGGCTGTCGGGGCCGACGTTGCGGGGATTGATAACCCTAAATAAAAGATTAGGACTAGTTCAGAAGAACCTAGGGCGTTAGACGAAAACCTGCCCCGAATTGTTTCTGGTGGTAGTATCTTTCTTCCATGTTAAGTGTCATGTGTACTGACATACGTATATTGTCTCTTTTCTAGATATTCGTGCAATATGAGCGAGGTATGAATTGGTTCCCTATCTAGCTAGATGGGCAGGTCTTGTAGCTATTAGTGGGTGAACCTGGAACCTGAATCGAGGATTCTCCTGTATACCTTCGTTTCTTCGCATTGTGGATCAGCAGCAGCAGATCACGCAATTTAGTGGCCCACCCCCGCAATCACAACTAGTGCTGGACCAATTAAACTATGTATACGCTGCTGCTACATCTCTGCAACCCGCTCGGAATAGTGGAATGTCCCTCTACCATCTACCAAAGAGTTGCAAACTGTCCACTTCAGATTTGGTACCACATGGCTACATCCACGACAGCTGCACCGAATCAGAGACTCAAGACCTGCCAGCAATGTAGGCTAAGAAAGGTATTCAGAGAACCTTAAAGCCCGTGTACACTAAAGCCCATTTTGATATAGGTCCGCTGCGATGGACGCCGAAGCATTTGCGGCAACTGCGACCGACTTCAGTTTGCCTGCTCTTTCCAAGACCTGGGCTCATCATCGCTTATACTAGAAAGGCCGGAACGACTTCGAGCTCGACAAGCATGTTCTCGTTGTCATTCTTTGAAAGTTCGTTGTAGTGGGCACCTTCCTGCATGTCTCCGTTGTCAAAAACGAGGAAGGCCGTGCGTGTATACCTCTAGTCCACCGAGGACTGGGAATACAGACGAGAGAAACGGTCCTAAGGACGTACCACAGCGGTCCTCGGAGCAAGAGGCGCGAACACCTGCTGAGCCCCCAACAAATATTATGTGTGTGGATCTTATATGCTCACCTTCTAAACCTAATCTCACTGACGGATTCAGTACGGATGCCTTCAAAAGTCCAGACGATGTACAAATTCAAGTAGCTCTGGACACTTTCTTTATGCGCATATATCCCCTTCCGGGGTATGCCATTCTGCATCGCGCCTCGCTGTATGACCGGTTTCACCGAGGACAGATTGACCAGTGCCTTCTTCTCTCCATCATTGCTATTTCGACTTGTTTAACGGAGATAGACTCCTCAAAGCGTGAGTACGCGGTCCAATGCCTGACAAAGGCAGAGCAGTTGATCATTAATAACCTCTCACAACCGTCCATCATCCGGACTCAGGCTTTACTTTTGATAGTAAGGTGCAAAATGTGCCTTGGGGAGTATTCCTCTGCATTTCCACTTGTATCGCTACTTTCTCGATTCGCCTTTAGTTTACGATTGAATTACGAAAACCAGAGAGTTTGCTTTCTGGCCCGGGAAGCTCGTCGCCGTCTTATGTGGGCCATCTATATGCTTGACCAAAACTGGGCTGCGGGTCTACTAGAATTCACCACCTGTCCAGTAGATGCTATCTATGTTGGCCTTCCGTGCCCCGAAGAGACATGGGAGTTGGATGTTTGCCCGGAGACGGAAGTGCCGCTCAAGTCACAAACTAAGCTTCCTGGATTACTAGCAGCAAACGTTTGCGTGTCCTATTTAAGGGACAAGGTTTTGCGGTACGTTTTGCTGGTCGACCATACTATATGACCTTCTTGGGTATGCTAAGATGTTTAGTCATGTAAAGCGATTTGCCGCGGGGAATTGCAGTGCTATCGAGATAATGTATGGGATACGAGAACTGGAAACCGAGTTAGAGCATTTCTATCTCCGATTGCCCCCGTCCAGTGCCTATTCAGAGAGGAATCTAAGACTTCGTGCTCATTCACCCTGGCTGCCTCGGTTTATCGTCCTACATGTCCTGTGGCACCAGTGCTACTGTGATTTGTATCGTTGTATAACTAGGGGGCTAATTGAATCTGTCCCGGCAGTCACCTTGAACGAATTTGATAATGCCTTTGTTCTCAGATGTCGGGAACAGTGCACACACCATGCAGTACAGATTGCTGGGATTCTTACCTCGCTCATCGATCTCAGACTGGAGTTTCCAGTCCTTTCACTGGACATGGCTGTTTGTGCGTACCAGTGCATACGTCTCCTCGTCCATGGACAGAGGACATATGGGCATAAGATACTGGTATCGCGCGAGAGGGTCAAGCAGTATCAACGGTCATGTTTGCAAGTTATACAGACTGTAGCTCGGACTTCCCCTTCAGTTCAGACAATTGTAAGTCAGTCGCTGGGAGACAGGCGACGTGAGTAACTGACCGATCTAGGAACATGATCTGAAAAGTCTGATCGATGAAACTCAGGATCAGAACATCCATCCAGAGAACCGCCCTAGGCCCACCCAGCAGCAAGGCCCTCGTCAGATCCTATCAATCCATAGCTTGATTGCTAGATCTGAATTCGTTGATGACAGCGAGGAACTAGCACTTCAGGATGTACATGCCAGCGACAACCCCTCTGCTTATGAGAAGCAGAACCATGAATATAGCGGACCACTAAGCATGTTGGGGCTGCCCTCTCCGTTACCCAGTTTTGACCCTGTAGAGCATATGACGCTGGGCTCAACTGTGGCAAGCCAAATGTGGCTACAGGGTGGCAATGCATTTGAGGGAGCATGGGATGAACCCGGACTAGGGTTTGATTTGATTCGACAGATGCAATGGGATGGTATGGGGCACTTTGGTTGATATTCTTCGGCATTCTGATGTCGTGCAAGTTCAATACTACCTAGTAATTGCCATCACTAGTCCATTCGGGAAAGTCATGTTTTCATGATCATATGTTAATTCCATTGCTGGTTTATTGCTATATTTCAGGGGCATGAGTGCCCGTGTCAAATAGTTTCCATACTCTGCGTGACTGGTAGAACTCGGCTTGCTAAGGTCTGTATAAATATCCGATGCGTCTACATAGAGATACTACATTGCAAAGAAACTCTGCAGATTTTCTGATTATTGGCTTCCGTATATCTCTTTAAGATTTTTATTATCATTTCCTGTTGTGTTGCCAATATCAATTTCTAAACGACCGACTTCGACTATCTCGTAAACCGGGACAGCGGCCCTCCGCTTCTCGAAACCGTCCACTTTACTTCAATCTCTTTCATGCAAGAAGATGTAGGCTCAATGCTTATTGGCCGTCACACAATCTTTAATAAACTGTGGATGGTGTCATCTGGTGCATGCTTGACGCTGCACTTTGTCCCCACCCCGACAGCCGACAATCGGTACCGACAGCCGACATCCCATGCATGCATTCCAGCAACCCTATCTACATATAGGCTCAAACAAAACACCCACCGCATACATTATGTAGACAATTAAACACGCCCAAAAACTACCCCACAAAGAATGACAGTAACAACAGCAGCAACCACAACCAAAATGGCCTCCAAAAAGCCCAACCTCGTAATCTTCATGCCCGACCAACTCCGCTACGACAGTCTTTCCTGCACCTCGAATCCCCAAACCACCTTCCTCAAAACCCCCAACATCGCCTCCTTCGCAGCGCGAGGCACCCTATTCACAAACTGCTTCACCCAAGCCTCCGTCTGCTCGCAATCCCGGTGCAGCATGTTCACCGGAACCTACCCGCACGTCAGCGGCCACCGCAGTCTCGAAAATCTCATCAAACCCTGGGAGCCCAATCTCTTCCGCAGCCTCAAGGAAAACGGCTACCACGTCGCCTGTCTCGCGCCCCGTGGAGACACCTTCGCGCCCACCGTGACCGAGCTCTCCGTAGACGAGTACGGGTTCCTCGAGACCCCGGACTTCGTACCCCGGTTCTCTGGCGATCGGTCCAGTAACCTCAAGGACGAGAGTATCTGGGGCCGACTGTTCTATAAGGGGTTGAGGAACGCAGCTGAGGCAAGCGATTACGATGATGCCGTTGTGCGGTCTGCGTTGCGGTGGCTCGAGTGTCCACCACAGGATAAGCCCTGGGTGCTCTTCATGCCGCTGATTTTCCCGCATTGCCCGTTCCAGGTCGAGGAGCCTTACTTCTCGCTCTATGACCGGGACATCATCCGGAGCCTGGGGCTGCGCCGGGGGAGAAAACAGGGTATGAACCGCGGTATATGCGGGTGGTTCGGGAGCGGTACGGGACTGGCCGGGCGACGGGGGAGATATGGCGGGAGCTGAAGGCGACGTATTACGGGATGATATCGAGACTGGACGATCAGTTTGGACGGGTGGTGGGGAGGTTACATGAGTTAGGGCTGTGGGATGAGACGATTACAATGTTTTTCACCGATCATGGTGAGTATCTGGGGGACCATGGGTTGATCGAGAAGTGGCCGTCTGGGTTATCGGACTCGCTCGTGCATGAGCCGTTGATTATTGCCGGTGGTGGACTGCCCCAGGGCCAGGTTTATACTGGGATGGCTGAGATGGTGGATCTCGTGCCCACCGTTCTTGAGCTTTGTGGTATCCCCGAGCAGTTCCCGCATAACGGGCGCTCGTTGGTTCCTGTTCTGCGGGATCCGAGCCTGCCTCATAAGCAGTATGCGTTTAGTGAGGGTGGGTTCTTGACCGCTGAGGAGCCGTTGCTTGAACAGGCGCCTTATCCGTATGATATCAAGGCTGCGTTGCAGCATGAGGATACGACGCTCGTGGGCAAGGCGGTTAGTATTCGTTCGTTGGAGTGGACGTTTGTTTATCGGTTGTATGAGCCTGCCGAGCTGTATCATCGACAGCGTGATCCGGAGGAAATGCATAATCTGGCTGCGGAGCCCAAGTATGTGCCTGTGGCTAGGATGTTGGAGGCGGAGGTACTGAGATGGTTGGTCGAGTCGTCGGATTTTCTGCCGTGGACGAAGGATGCAAGGTTTCCTGAGGTGAAGCTTAAGTCCCCGAGAGAGCAGCTGGAGGAGCGGTTGCGAACGAAAGATTCTGGAGAGAGCATTTAGATGCATGCTCGTGGCAATCTGTTTACAAAGCAGTATATTGTCTCGTTGTATCATCCCATCGTTCCAGGCATAACCCCTGGTTTATGTGTGGTTCACCTTCCTTGAGGGCAAACATAGACCATTTCGGTTCCCCATACTAGGTGATATGAGATAATTGTGTTTGATAACCATGTGCACCTGATAGAGTAACCTGGAAATGGCTCGATTCCATGAATAGTGCATTACATAGAGGGGGATGTCAGCTGGGTCATAAATAGCAGGGAATCTACCACGGCAGAAATACCTAGGTATACACTAAAATAAACTCAGGTCATCATCAATACGACAAGTTCCAGACATCTCCCAAAATTCTGACAACATGGGAGGTGATGAAGCCACTGGAACCTACCAGTGTTTTGAGAGTTGCAGTTAGCCTGCATCTTCTGAGCTACAGGTCTATTCTCATATTTAAATTGAAAAGGGCTGAAGGCACTGGGCTGGGACTGACGTTGGGACCTCCTGTGAGACCAGTCCTCACTGAGCACTTTACTATCTTGGTTCTAATAACATAGTAAGGGTTGATGGCTCCTGAGCATCTCTCCCGTTTACCATTATGGAAGAAACCCGGGAAAGCTGACCTGCTGTGGGCAGAGGAGAGTATTGATTATGATCTCACCACTACTTCGAATCTCTGCCGTTCATGCTTCAGTATTCAATTTTCCATACTACAGTACACTTAACCCCTAGTCAGAAATTGGTATTTGACTTTGCACTAATGACCATGTTAGGGTTTGGTCACCGACCTTTCATAGTTTTACAGCATATGGCTCGGAGATCTGCATACAGAATACAGAGTTGTATGACTTCTGCGATTCAGCGCTTTAGTTAGGTTGATTGGGTAACCACTAAGTACATAGAACCGGTACTCAATCACATACGGGGTATATAGATGTGGAGAAACTTTTGCCTTTTGGTCCAATGAAAATGATATCCGAACAGGAAGATATCTCGTCATAGCTCCAATAGTATTTTTGTCTCGGCCACCATGTAATGCGAGCGGTTTTAGTCGGTAGGAACTTATAAGTATTAGTGAACTATCAAATATATTATTTGATAAACTTTCCCCCATTCACATCTCCACCAATTCTCGACATAGCTAGCGCTATGGATCTCATTACTCTAGGCCTCGTGAGTGATTCGCAAGAGATTGTCCCTTCTATCTATAACGAAGATGGAAGTTCCATTGATGCAGCGAGTGCATTTAGGCCAGTGCATGTTGAGGACCAAGCAGCGATCATGATCTCGCTCGATACTGATACGTGGACCAAGAATGAGACTGTGAATGACCGAGATCAAGACTGGGACGAGCACAAGGGTAAAATATTGCATTTTTATTATATTGAATGGATGCCGCTTCTTAAGGTTCGCAGAACGATGAAGGACCGATACAACTTTGATAAAAGGTCAGTTCAGCCTTTTTCAGCCGCTCTTTGATCGAGGAAGACTAACCAACTAAGCATTAACATGTACAAGGCTAAGTTTGAGGAATGGGGATGGGCCAAGAAGGCCAGCGCCAATTCATCCCGTACTGTACTATGTGCACCGAGACTTTCAAACGTCCTCGGTCGGCCCGATATAGTGTTCCGGGCTATACAGTTCTATATTATTGACTCTTTCAGCTCGGGCAATTGGTGTTGGAATGATCTCGGGGAGTATCAACGGAAAGATGGCCAGGGTAGGCGGTCGTTCGAAGAATTGAAGCGAACTGCGAAACTGGCTTTGCAAATAGACACAATCTCCAGGCATGATCATTCCGGGGATTTGGGCCAATTCTATATCCCAACCATGCAAAAAGCCTTTGGTCTATTACCTCAAGTTATTGAGGAACAACACCCTTTAACAGTTATCCAACTTTTTGCGCTCATGAACGATCTCGCATCCCATCCCAGCGACCTGTGGTGCCGCTTCCTAATTTCCTTGCGGTATTGGGTGAAGCGCCTTATCAGGAACCCCCACCACCCTTTACAAGTTATATTCGTTCAGATGGTGGACTTCGTCAGACTAAACTGCTATGACGCTAACTTCTTTCGCTCCTCTGTGTCACGATTTTGCCAATCTATTATCGACTCTTTTGTTAAAGGCTCACACGGGTACCAGTGCTGTGTTAATCCGCTACTAGTGGAATATCTCACACAGACCAAGGAATATGAACCAAACTATCGAGATCAGCTAGCACGCGAATTCCCTATCCTCAATCAGAACTACACCGATCGAAAGGAATCTCCCAGCCATGAGGAACTGCAGATACTCTACTGGTGGACCAAATTTGTGGCGCGATTTGAACACCAGCAACAAACATCTATTTCTGGCCTTCTTGATAAAATGGACACGCGGTGCAAGCAACACAAGGGAACGTGTCCGGATCAACGGTGCTGGTTGGCGGAAAGGGGGCTCTACACTGTCAATGAAATCCGGGCAAGGATAAAAGAATCGCATGGGAACATTAGGGGCGCAATCAAAGACCACCTGCTGGCCATTCGTCATCGTCGAGAATATGACCAAACACAAGGGCGAGTCAGCAGCTCTGGTGTAATATCCAGAATGTTGGGAGTGTATATCCGATATCGAGACAACGGATATGTCCAGGAAGCAAAGAGCTATCGTGAGGAGCTGTCTTATGACATATGGAAATTTCTGTACGCAACGTAACTTTTGATACTCCTGTGCCTGCCATCAGTATACGCTTTACGCTAGCACTGACAAACCACCCACCATGACCTGTACCCATATGAAACCTCTGCCTCTCAGGTATAACTATGTAAATTGAAGACGATATATCCAGAAGTTTCGATAGTTTAGCAAATGTGTAGTTCGGGAAGCAACCTCACTTTCTACGGAGTCGAGAACAAGATAGAGATTGGGAGATACAAGTCCAGGGTTATGGAGGGAACAGTTCAAGCAGTTCGTCACTGAAGCTGCGGACAAGTCTGGATGTAGGAAGAGGGGCAATAATAATAATAATAAAAGTTTACTGCTTTGCCACAGGTAGAAGGAGCGTACAGTGAGTTTGGAGCCATCTACAAGGAGAGCAAAAAGCGAAAGCGTCAGCCAACCTGCTAGCGTGGTAATCCTGCTATTCGGCACTCTGGACCCACCGCTCACAATTGGCTTGCAGATAATGGATGCGTATACCATGCTTTGTGCTTTTTTGGCGAGAGGTGGCTAGCGTACCATTGCCGGAAGTTGACGCCGAGTCTAAATTTTGGCATCACTACCTGATAATCACTCTATTCGGAGAAGCGTGTTCCACTCCCAGTCTTAGTATAATTGGGCAGAAATCTGAAAGTTTCTCCACTTATCAGGTGTATCTCGTTGGTCAAGTAGTCGAGAATCTTGTAGTATCCAAACATCAATGTGTGTAGTGGCAAGGAGAACTATATAATACGACAAAACGCACGCTGTTAACGCTCCTTTGCCCACAATCACTCATTGCACCTGGAAGAGATTTTGCAAACTCCTGTCAGTTACTATGTCCCGTCCCCATACTCATAGATTACCACTTACATTATGCATAGGACTACCGCCCCATGCCGCAACTTGAATACGCTGTTGGTTTCAAAGACGGCAGGCTCCAATCAATGCCAGGAGTGAATTTATTTCAAACGCCAGTATTTGGCAAATATAGTGCCAAGCTGTCTGGACTTGAGACCCTCAGTCCCTCAGTCTCTCTGTGCCACAAAAACGGGCTATGCGGGACAATCCACAAAGATGGCAACAACGGACTTTACGGCGTTTCTCTTGTGAAGAAAAGCAAATACCAGAACACCCATGTTGGCCTATCTACTCCCGGAAGCCCTGGTATGTGGCCAGGATTTTCATTTGGCTGGAACTTTTCTCTGGGCTAGTGTCGGTAGGTCGTTGTTATCACCTGTTGAGCTTATGTTGATTTCGTTACTTCGTTACTGATCTGATCTTCCGCACTTGTATCCGTTTTGTTAAGTATAAAATACCAAAAACAGAGAAATAAAACAAAAAAAAGGGCCTCACAAGCCCTACAAGGAATATGTGTCTGGCATTTCTAAGAGTACTGAGTACGATATAATAGACACCTCGCTGGAGAACTAACAGGGAAGAATCGCACATCCACAATAAGAAAACTGTCGAGGCCGTTCATGTCGATATTGCCTTTGAGAATAAATGGTTTATCTGTTTGACAAGGGGCACGCTGAAGGTCTTTATTATTAGTAAAGTATTCAAGGTATCTCTGATAGAGGTGATGTCTTGCCAATTACTAGGCACCCAAAGGCCACCGCTACTATAGACGGGCGCGTTCCCTCTGTCCAGCTACATTGCCTTGATCGTAGAAATCATCCTCCTCTATAAATACCATGATATCTTCTCATCATTGATATGTGCCGTTTCTGTCTTTTTTGTCTCGCGTAGCAAATCCGTTATGCCTTTACGTGGTGTTTTACTTGTGCTCCTTCCTAAGCGTTCGGCGACGTGTAACCCTTGAATGTGCGATGGTAAGTTTGTGAGAGCGTTTAACATGTCCTCGACACTACATGACTGGCTTTCATTGAAAGACTGCCGCATGAATAGCTACATAAATGGGTACCGCATAGACAAATAGCACAATGAGAAGTCCATCATAATTCTTATGTTGTTGCCCTTCAATATCCTCATAGTAAGGACTGACTCCTGACGGACGCTCTTTATGCATGGTAAGCTGAGGATCTTCATGTGGAGGCTATGTCATAAGCCTAGGTTGCACTACTGAGTAACCTTCATCCTCCTGTCTCTTGTAGGAAAGAGGGTCTAGAATGGATTACAGCATTAAAAGTTCGACCGAGCATAGAATGAAAGAATTTGCTACGCAATATCCTTGAGCGTGCTGGATCATGAAACCATGTGAAGCAAAACAATTAATCTATATTCATTTTGGAACGCCTTCTATGTACATCATAACTAAGTCATCACAGTTCAACAAACTCCCGCTTCAGAAGCTCATCCTTCTCAACCTGTCCCAGATAGCCGTGAACCTTCTCGGTCAAGGCATCAATGTCATAACCGAAGTACTTGTACGCCACCTTGCCCGGCAAACTGTGACCGAAGCGCTTAATGCAAACGCCAGCGTCCGCATACCGCTCCCAGCCGTTAGGCGCATAAGGCTCGATAACGACAGCAGGAATACCACGGTGTCTCTGCAGAACAGAGCGCTTGTATTCGAGGGATTGCTGTTCGAACAAACGCTGGCAGGGGAAACTGACTACCCGCGCAACGATGCCCTTTTCCTCGAGCTTGTCGGCGACCTCCAGGGCGAAGGACAGCTCTGCGCCCACACCGATGAGGGTAACAGCTGCGTTCTCGGCCTCCTCGAGGACGTATGCACCGCGTGCGACGCCGTCGCGGCTGGTTTGCTTGAGTTGGGGTAGAGTGTGACGGGAAGTAGAGATAATGGTGGGTGTCTTCTTGGCTTCGATGGCGGCGATCCAGGCACCAGCGGTTTCTTCGCTATCACCGGGACGGATGTAGAGCAGGTTTGGCATGGCACGGTATAATGCGGCCAATTCAATAGGTTGATGAGTGGGGCCGTCCTCGCCCATTCCGATGGAGTCGTGTGTGGCGGCGTGGATGATCTGGAGGTGCTGCAATGCGCCCATGCGCACGGCAGGAGCAGCATAAAGGTAGAACATGAAGAAGGATGAGGTGATGGGGATGAAGGTGTTAGGGGCATAAGCGGCCAAGCCGTTCGAGATGGCGCACATGGCGTGTTCACGCACACCATAGTGGATGTAACGACCGCCGTAGTTGCCGTTGATGCCGCAAGTGGTGCGCAGATCAGGCTATAAAAGTCAGACTCGCTCGACTAAATGATTAGGGTTGGGATGACTTACATGCTGGAAGTCTACCTTTCCAGGCCAGATCATGTTGACAGATGGCGACAGGTCAGCAGTACCGACCATGAAGTTCTCGATCTCCTTAGCAATGGGGTTGAAGACCAAGCCCGACGAGGCTCGCGAAGCGGTAGGCTTTTCTGGGAAGCTGGCGGGGATCAGGTCCTTCCAGTTGGATGGCAACTCTCCGCTCCTGCGGCGCTGGAACTCTGCGCCGAGCTCAGGGAACTGAGCAGTATATTGCTTCACAAGGTCGTTCCATTCCCGGACGAGAGTTTCACCACGGGCAGGAAGATCTTCGAAAAACTTCCGTACAGTCTCTCCAATAACAAAGTGTTCGTCTGGGTTGAACCCGTTGTCCTGCTTCATCTGCGCCACATTGGGAGCTCCGAATGCAGCACCATGGGCTGCGGCCTGACCGGCAACATTGCTACCGAGGCCAATGACTGTGCGGACGTTGATAAATGTTGGCTTCTCTGTGGAGGCGCGAGCCTGTTCCAGCGCCCTCACGAGGCCCTCAACATCGTAGCAACCGTCTTCCACGTCGATCACGTCCCACCCGGAGGCGCGCATCTTGCCGTTAATGTCTTCAGTGTTGGTCAGATCGACCGATCCATCACAGGTGATTTGGTTGTTGTCGTAGATGATTGTCAAGTTGTTGAGCTTAAGATGGCCCGCATACGAAATCGCTTCCAATCCCACGCCCTCCTGCAGACAGGCATCTCCAATCATACACCAGGTGTGGTTGTTAACAACATCGTATCCTGCTGGTTGAACTTCGCCGCCAAGTTCTTGGTTGCCATCGCCAATCCGACGGCATTGGCCACACCCTGACCGAGGGGTCCTGTGGTGACTTCGATACCCTCGTGTTCGATCTCCGGGTGGCCAGGGCAAAGTGCGTCGACGCGATCCGAGTGGTAGGATTTGAGTTGGTCAAAGGTCATCGCCTTGTACCCGGTCAAGTGCAGGAAGGAGTATTGGAATAGGCAGGTGTGGCCATTGGACAGAATGAAACGATCGCGATTGAAGAAATCGGGGGTGTGTGGAGCATAGCGCATCACATATCGCCAGAGCGCGACACCGATAGCAGCCATACCAATGGCACCACTGGAGGTTTGATGTTAGTATTCTCGGTGCCAAATGCCTGCTGGTTAACATACCCAGGGTGACCTCCTCCGAATTGCTGGCACAAGTCCGAAATGAGCATACGGAATGTCTTTAGCACAATGTCGTGGTCTTTGGACATTTGCTGGACCAGCGGCAGGGCAGATTTGCCGCTGCCGTTGACGGTAACCAGACCCACAGCCATGATGTATGTATGTATTTGCTAAGAAGTTCAGTCCGACTGTGTCTTTAACACCTCACGATCAGGACCCGATCGGACTTATATTTATAACTCGAAGCGCGACCGGGACGTTGATGCGCATGACCGATACGGTAGGGTGAGCCCTTTTGCCCGATCTGGCAGCTCGAGGCACTTCTGGCCGAAAGAGGCAATGCATCCAGGGCCCACATTGCCGCTTTATCGATAAGACGATCCACATCGGGAGCGGGTCCCGTGATTCCAGTGGTTGCAGTTTCCCTCCTCACTTCCATGCAAGAATACCCCACAATACCCCCATATCACTAAGCATCGTCTTGCAATCCGGAGTCCCTCAATATAATATCCACGAATTTCCCCCCACAATGTTTTCCTCTGTCTTTCGCTTTTCATATCCTGATCAAGGAATAATCTCATACTACTAATTTTGGTTCACGATGGCGCCCTCTCTCCTCGATCCCAGTCTCAATCCCCCCACAGCCGCAACCCCGGCCAAACATTCTACAGAGACCATTCTCACACCTTTCCCAAACCCTTCTCTCCAAGTCACAGCCGATCACAAGCTCAAATCCATTGATGCGCCAGTGTATGCCCCAAAGCACGGCGAAGTTCTACTCCAAATCAAGGCAACTGGAGTCTGCGGGTAAGGATATCGTATCGGCTCAGTTCGCCAGCCTTTACTAACAGTTGAACAAAAGTTCCGATCTTCACTTTTGGAAAACCGGCTGCATTGGAGAACTGATCTTCAAGGGCGATTGCATTATTGGACATGAAGCTGCAGGCGTTGTCTTGAAATGTGGCGAGGGAGTCACCAACCTCCGTCCTGGTTGGTTTCACCCCAATTGACCCGTTTTACTGAACAGTGTTGATGCAAAATAATAGGCGACCGAGTGGCTGTGGAGCCAGGCGTGCCTTGCGGAGATTGTTTCCTTTGCCTTGACGGCCGTTATAACCTCTGCGAAGATGTCCAGTTCGCAGGTGTATACCCTTACGCCGGAACAATTCAACGATACAAGACGCATCCAGCAAAATGGGTCCACAAGTGAGTCTTAGCCGATATATTAGATTGTCCATGGCTAACTCAAAATGTAGGCTACCCGATAACCTCACTTACGCCGAGGGTGCCCTCCTCGAGCCCCTCTCGGTTGTTATGCGTGGAATGTCAGTCGCTGGTCTGCAGCTTGGTCGCGGGGCCGTCGTCTGTGGTGCCGGTCCCATTGGACTGATCGCCTTGGCTGCGGCACGGGCGTCAGGTGCTCATCCCATCGTTGTTACAGACTTGGAGCCTAGTCGGTTGGCATTCGCCAAGGAGTTCGTCCCAAGCTGCATCACATACCAGGTAAACCGCGATCTAGATGCCCAGGGCAATGCCAAGGCAATCCGAGCACTGTTCGGTTCAGAAGAATACTTTGCGCCGGAGACGGTTCTCGAATGCACAGGTGTGGAGAGCAGTGTATGCACTGCTGCGTTCACAGCCCGACGAGGCGGTACCGTTGTGGTCATTGGCGTGGGTAAAGCGGTGATGAACAACTTGCCGTTTATGCACATCTCGCTGGCTGAGGTATGTTACTTATATCCATTTGTTATGCGGCTCTTGTTAACGTTCTCGCGACAGATTGACCTGCGCTTCATCAACCGCTACCGCGACACTTGGGCCCCAGCTATCCAGTGCATGAGTGGCGGAATTCTGGATCTCAAGAAACTTGTTACCCATACATTCCCATTAGAACAGGCTGAGGGGGCGTTGCAGCTGTGCGCTAACCCGAAGAACCCGAGTATCAAGGTCTTGGTCGTGGACGAGGTGGAAGCGACATTGTAGTGTTATATTTGCGGGGATTGACTTGTTTAAATTTGCTCTGGCGTTGATGATAGAGTGCGAAGTGTGTAACAATTTGATATCAGGAATGATTACGAAGGCTACTTGGCTTGCAAATGAATTCACAAGTTCACGAACAGTTTACAGTTTACACATAGTAGTTGTCACTATCTCCTTTGCCGATGTATGATCTAAGCATAGAAGCTATGGGTCAACAATTCTACCATCACCATTCTGAACCAGTTCAGTTTGTCAAAATGGCACACAAAGCATGCCTAAACGAGGTTCATAATAGTAATATTCCCCATTTCTTCCAATAACCATATTCACCGTCCGGCTTTTGTTCTTTTCGTGATTGATAGATGATATAGAATATATATTCCTCCATATCCCAATGACTTACTTCTGATCCGTACCAGATCGTTCCAAACTTGATACTACGTTTACTGATACTAGGAACCCTAATCAACACCAGGTGGCTGGGGTCCGGCAATGTCAATTCAGCCTAGAATACTGAAATACGCCAAAAGTTAGGGTTAACTAATTTAGTCCGACGTGCCAGCCTGACAATCCAAGCCAAGTGGGACGGTGCCCAGTCACGTAATCATTAATATACAATGTAATAAGGTAGAGACCATCGGTGGGTCTGCCACTGCACTCGCCTGAACCTCGTCTATCCTTCCTTTCTGAGGAATTCCCTACCTCTGGCTAAATGAGATCGTACTAGGGCAGGGTATGGACCGTGCCCTGACCAGGCAGTTTTTACTGGTACCACTCTGGAAGCTTACGCACGATACTATAGTTCTTTGGGGAAAGCTACTATCCGGTCCGAACCGAGCCGCTGCAACTTTGATCCTTGGGTTTGGTCTAGTGCTAGTAGCTAGTGGTCTGGTGAATGCCCTTGCCGGATTTGGGGAGTGATGATGCTGACATGTAGGGTATTTTTGATATCATGCTTTAGTTTGCTTAGGGGGCTGCGTCGATAGATAACAGGGAGGTCTTTTATCATATGTCGGTGTGGAATGTAACGGTTTCGGCTGTTGGTTTGTTTTAATAGTGCATGTTAGGGTCACAATGTGTGGGTATTACTTGGATGCTGCTGACCAACGGCGCACGGCACTGATTCCCAGCTCCCGCTTGACAACGAAGCCTGGGGTCTTCATACATATCTAGTTCAGACAATAGTTATCTTCCAATAGGGAAAGACAGGGGTATCGTTATATATGTGCACGATTTGCTATTGAACGTAATACGAGGAGACTGAAGATGTTGACCGCCATGGATAGTCTATTCCATATTTATATCATTAGGGCTCTATGTTAGAGAGCTAATCAACAAGCATGAGAAGGTAGCAACCAAGACATGCCTCTATAATTAAGAAATTATAAAATAAGTATCGTCAATCACATCCTAATTGATATATGATAATTAACCAACAGGGCATACGTACTCTAATGACTAGGCCCTTTTAGCCCCCAACTGGCGCTTGCATGGTTCTTTTGTCAGCTGGTAAGCCTGAGAGCAAAGGAGTACATTTTCTTCTATAACTACTCGCTTTCTTGAACACATATAAACAACAATTTGCTGTAGTAAATCTTTATATGTACTCTTGACCACATATCCAAAGTACCTGTTCCCGGTGATCGAAATTGTTTAGCAACACTAACAATGCCAACACCCCGGTATTTCGCCCAAGCCCCTGCCTTCCCCGCTGAGACTCCAGTCGCAAGTCTACCGACTATCTCTCTTCAAGGTCTGCAGAATGGGAGCTCCATCGAAGGGCAGAAGTTGTTCGAAGCATGTAGAGAATGGGGATTCTTTCTGATAGACCTGAGAGATTCCGATGACGGAACGACATTGTTACAAGATGCGGAGAGGATGTTCGATCTCACTACAGAGCTCTTCGCTCTGGACCAGGCAATCCTGGATCGATATGTGTACGATGCGCCGAGAGATCTCACTGGGTATGTCCATATAGAATCTACTCGAAACAGACCATCAACTGATATCAGATGATAGGTACAAAAGCATGGGCCGATTAAAGACCGACGATGGCAAGACAGACCATATGCATTTGTATTCTATCAATCAAGACGACATCTTGGGAAATCGTCCTCCACGGACTAACGCCGGTCCAATCGAGTCTAAGCGCACACAACTCCAAGCGTTTATCAGACATTGCTCTGCAGCATTAGGGGTGATTCTTCGTGCGTTGGACGACCAACTCGGTCTGGAGCAGGGTACACTGGCTGCACTCAGTCCACTGGAAGATGAGTCGGAGACATCAGTGCGTCTTCTTTGTAGTCCGCCTCAGTCTGCCTTGGAATATGATCGCATCATACTGGGCGGACACACCGATATCGGTACTATGACAGTGCTGTTCCACGTGGTGGGCGGACTCCAGATTCTTCCAGCTGGGAAGGAGAACGTTATGGAGAACTGGCAGTATGCTCGACCCGAACCGGGCTGTGCGCTGGTGAATGTCGGTGATACGCTGGTAGAATGGACAGGTGAACTGTTGCGCAGCTCGTTGCATCGGGTGATGACAGCCCCAGGAGATCAGGCATTGGTACAGCGCCAAAGTGTGGCCTATTTGGTTCGACCTGCACAGAAGGCATCCATGCGGCGCATTCGAGGGGGCAAGATCCCTCCCTTGGCCGGAGGGGAAGAGGAGACACGCCCGGTTAATGAGTGGGCGGCTTGGAGGTCGCGGCAAATCATGATGGGTCACTTGAAGCCGCAAAGCCGAGGTGGAAATGTGGCGATCAATGCATGAAGGCGGAATTCGTGGGTTTGATGTTGACCTTGCTCGTGCTCTTCCTTTGGCGGCTTGCTGGTCTCATGGGTTCCTTTGCCCTTGAACTAGAGAGTGTATATACACTTCGGCATTTCTCCTTTTCTCAGTAGCTTTGTGGGTATTTCTACCAAGTTGCCTTCATGGGAAGGCTACCCATAGACTCTTGCCTTGCTTTAGATCTCAAACAACATGATACAATTTAGAAGGCCAGCTCAAGCATGTCATTGAAGCAGTAAGCTATACTTCACCGAAGTCGTTCCTCATTGTCTCTCGCCATGTCTGCGTCGTCTTAGTCGTGAACATATTCCCTTCAAAGCATGATAGGTACAGAATACATCCACCACGACAAAGGATAATCCCCAACGCCGAGCAACGGGAAGCAACAAAACAAAACTCCACACGGACAAAGATATACCCCGATGGCAACCGTGGCTATTCTTACCTGATCAGGAAGGGTCTCTGGCAATCCCCACCAATCGGGGGTAGGCGGTGGAGATGCCCCCAAATCACGGGGTAGAAAAAGGCACGGGGACACCTTGCCCGATCAGGACAGGCGCGTTTTCTCCAGATCCCCAATCCGGCAGAATCATTTCAACATTTTCTGATTTGCCGGGTTGGTTTCTGTATAGTTTTGCTGTGCAGGGGTTTCTGCGCGATATCTCCGTGGAGAGCGATTTTTTATGCGGGCGAAAATTGCGCTAGATTTAGCGTGATATTCTTATTACTCTGGTTGGGTTTTCGGTTTAGAGGAGCTCTTTTGGGTGGGATATATATATTGTAGTTTGGAAGATTGAACATTCTTTGTACGGTCGGGGTTTGGGAGTCGCGTGTGCTGGCTTGGGCTAGGACCGCCTTCCTGTATGGGCTCCGCTTTGGTTTTTGGGTAGCTCTTACGGTCCTAAGTGTCTATGGTGAATTAATTGAGTTAGTGATTGGTAGGCAGCTAAGTGCCGACGTTATGTCCTGTCTGGTGTAGGATTGGCTGGCCTTTTACTATTCAAGTGATACGCTACTACTCAAAGCTTCACCAAGTTCTGGTACATGGGCAGGCTAAAAGAGTCAAGGCGCTTAAGGCAATCGGGGCACTAGTATTCTATAGATGTTTGTCTATGATTTAAATAATTATACCCAGGGGTCTACACATGTAGCGAAGGTCTCCAATTTCCTAGTATTTTGCGATGCCCGTCAGACGTATGTAAATGCTATGTGGTTCATTATTTTCCGATCGTACAATGTCTAGATACATAAGGGAAGATGCATAGCTATCGCCATCCATGCAATATAACCGAACTGTTTGAACATATGATCCGACCAACTTAGTACTCAATGCTTTGCTTAATGGCGTCGTATATCCCTGCGGAAGATTAGTACGGCTGTTCAGGATACGATGTTGACACAACTTACGAGCAACGTCAGGGAGGATGAACTTCTCATATTGAAGTCCTGTATGTGTACTCCATCCCGCAACCCGCTTGACGGGTGCCTCTAGCCGCAAGAACGCCTGGTCCTGGATAGTAGCAGCCACCTCAGCACCGACTCCATAGTTGATCATGCTCTCGTGCACCACGATCGCTCTGCCGGTCTTCTTCACGCTATCGAGGACCGTCTGTCGATCCCACGGGTAGATAGTGCGCAGATCAATCAGCTCCACACTGACACCGAGCGCCTTCTCTGCGGCGGCAATGGCTGCGGAGCACAGATACAGCGGCTGGCCGTAGGAAACAATTGTGACATCATTTCCTGGCTTCAGGACCTCCGCCTTACTTAGCGGGATTGTGTAATACTCGTTCGGAACATGCTCGACCGCCGCCCGGTACAAACATTTCGGCTCCATGAAGATGACGGGGTTATTATGCTCAAAAATAGAAGCCAAGAGAAGGCCCTTCGCTTGCGACGGCGAACGTGGGACAACCACCTGGACACCCGGGACGTGTGCAAAAAGCGCCTCGGGCGATTGTGAATGATATCTAGTTGGGGCTAGGGTCAGTATCGCAGTTCGGGAGCGCTCATTGGGCTGGGATCATACAAAGCGCCGTGTCCAACCGCACCGCATGGCATCCGCACCACCATGCCACCAGCATGAACCCCTGTGGCACCTTCACGATATCGGAATTTTGCGGCTTCATTGACAATCTGATCGAAAGCTGGGAAGACATAATCCGCGAACTGGATCTCTGCGACCGGCTTCATGCCCTGCGCCGCGGCGCCAATGGCAAACCCGACGATTCCTTGTTCGGTCAAGGGGGTGTTGAATACCCGTTCCGACCCAAATTCTGTTTGTAGATCCATCGAGCAGCGAAAGACACCTCCGAAGGCGACATCTTCGCCGAAAAGCATCACCTTCTCCGACTTGGTGAGTGCTGTCCGTAGGGCGGAATTGATGGCTTGGTAGAGGTTCATGGATTTGGAGGTTGCCGAGCCGGGGAGTTCTAGGCTTTCGGAGAGAGTGGATGAGGTGTGATGTAGGAGCGGAGTGGATTTGTAGTCAATGGGGAGGTTCAGTCGTGACGATGGCGATGCCGCAGCCGAGTATAGTCGACGACCGGGGGCGCGTATTAGTCGGGGTAAGCGGAGGGACGCCATTGTGTGAGTTGAGGAGGGTAGGGTGGAGGAGCGGAGAGTGTAGTTAATGGAAGTCGGTCAACGAAATGCTCCCAGAAGGGATCTTTGTCGTTCCCCTTGATTTATATTCCATTCCCCAGAATGTCATCATGCGGGGATCCCTTCCGCGCTTCCTCCGCGGATAGCCGAGCATGGCTGGCCTCGGTGCCTGGACCCTGCAGGTTACATCCAATAATGTCCCCATCCTTTATAAAATCCTTCCCGACTTTCAGACCGATAATAACTCAGTCCGAGTGGTTTGGTGATGTGCTCTTGGATATGTTGTATCTTATCGGACACGCGAGTGATGCGGCTAGTGGCACAGCGCTCTCCCACCGTTACCGTCCTGTCTGTTCATGAGAATCCTAATAACCATAGTTACCAATATTGTTGATTAATTATTAAAGGCCAGTCCTCAGGCTAGATCAATCTGAGAGCGGCATTGAGGTATGTAATGGGTTTGTAAATTATTTGAAGGGCTTGAGATATGGTTAGGATGTATATGTATCAAAGCCGGATAGAAATACGCAGCCTGCTCCTCCGTGTGCACAGCCACACCTCATTAGGATGTTTATATAGAGAACCGCCTCCTGTATTCGCTTCTCTATATCCTTCGTATTCAGCCTTGTCTCACAGAATTGGACCAATCATCTACTGCCACACCCCTCACCCCCTCGTCCTAAGTCGATAGCACGAACTATGGACCGAATTTAAAGAGAGGAAAACGGAAACCCGTATCCTCCACCACCTCAACGATCAAATCATGAATCCTAGCATATTGGAAGACTGTCCAGTCTGTCGTAACTTTCAGCCGGGACTGGAAGAAAATATCACATGCGACTCAGACGGTCGTGTACGGAATGTCAGCTATCATAGGAAGATGCCAACCAATGCGGCGGGCGAGGCTGGCTTTTCAATCGAGGTAAAAATCGATGAGGCCCGCAACCAAGCTTCCAACGGCTGTAATGGGTGTGCGCTACTATATCAAGGATATCTTCAGTGTCTGGAATTCACGCCCAAGGCATTGGAGGATGAAGACCGGATGTATATTGTAGCGAGATCCGTTCCAGGACAAGCGATCAAGTGTTCCTTACGTGCGTCACTCGCAAGACCACGTTGTGCTCGAAATTGGGGGGGTTTCCAGATACTCGCGGTTGATGGTAAGACCGTTATATTTGCTTGTCTATAATGTATTTTCTTATATGTGCCAGTTCTGATTGATCTAAGACCACCGAAACCCTTGGAAAACAATAGCGAAAATATCGTCATCTCCTGGATATGTTCTCACGGATGAACATCGAGACTGGTATCTTTCCTGGGTGCAGGAGTGCCTTGAGAATCACCCTAAATGCCAGAGACCGTCTGCCATGCCTACGCGACTGATTGACCTCGGGGATGATGATAACGCAACCATGTGCCTCCGGGACGATATAAATCAGATAACTCCATATATTGCCCTTAGTCATAGCTGGCAGTTCTCGGAAGCCAGGAAATCCATGACACTCAAGGAAAACTATGAATCTCGAAAGCGGTTCCTACCGCAGCAGGGGCTTTCTCAAACTTTCCATGATACGATCAAGGTTGCCCGATGGCTCGGGGTGCGGTATCTATGGATCGACACCTTCTGTATCATCCAAGATGATCCTGACGATTGGGCACAGCAAGCATCTCAGATGGGTGATATATTTGAAGGCGCATATATCACTATTGCTGCCCACAGTGGCCGAGGTAGTTCGCCAACTGATGGCTGCTTTCTCGAGAGAAAGGGAGTTCGCGAAGTGGTCCTGCGTGATGGCAATGGAGACCAGTTTTCCGCATTTATTATACACTGGGGGCACCAGAAAAACGATCTTCATGATTTGGAATGCGGTCCATCCTTGATGAGAAGGGGATGGTGTGTGCAAGAGCGTCTTCTTTCGCCCCGCATCCTCCATTTTCGGCCATGGGAGGTTAGCTTTGAATGCTTTACCCTCAGGCACTGCGAGTGTGAAAAGATGTCTTTAGGGATATCTGATGGAAGGAATATGCTTGCACCTAAGAGTTTTCTGGGCGATGCTTTCCATAGATCAGTACATGGGCAAGAGCTGAATGGGAACGATTGCTGGTCCACTTGGGATATTATTGTCGAGCTTTACTATACAGCCGATCTTACAGTCCCAACGGACCGACTAGCAGCGCTGTCCAGTCTAGTTCAACGAATGCCACGGCAGATATTTGGCGATTACCTGGCCGGCTTATGGTCAAAAAATCTGATTTCGGGGCTGGCCTGGTCGACGAGCGAATTGGGTAGGTACTTTCGATATCAACAATACGTCGCTCCGAGCTTCTCGTGGGCATCTATTCATGGTGAGATCATCTTCAATGGCAGATGGCGTTGTTTTAATGGCGGTGAGCAAAAGGCATGTCTTCTTGACGCAGGAACTGTACCTGCAACTCACGACCCCACGGGGCCAATACAAGAAGGCTTCATTTACCTGCGACTGCGTATCTGTGAAGCCGAACTCATATCGAGTGGGTCTAATCAGACAAAGGTGAAGCTCTTATATCGTTCTAAGAATGGCCAGGCGGGTAACTGTGGTGCCGTTATCGATGTCGCAGATGACATGAAAGAACTAGAGGGCCAAAAGGTTTGGCTGGGAGAACTGTTCCGGAAAGACTGTATAGCTGGTTTCTTGGTTATGAGAAAAGTGGTTGGGAGGGAAGGAGTATTCCAACGGATTGGAGTTAATTCCGATATACCGATAAGCCGTGGAGAGCTAAATTACGAGGGCCAGTATCCTTTCTATCGAGTCCCTGAGCGAATTAAACTGATTTAAGATGGGATTTTCCAGTGAACGCATTCACACAGTCCGAGTCAAAACGAAAAAGGAGGAAGTGTCTCTAAATTAGGGTGTATATGGCTTGTGCGCATATTATATTCGATAGAACAAGACTAAAAGGTGCGACATCACCTGGAGTACAGAAATAAGAAGGAAGGTGTTGTATCACCGAGATGTAGTGCTTATAAGATATTCTCTTTCAGGGACCTTCCTGGTCACCAAGGTGCTTGCTGTGTCTGTAGCACAGATATTCAAGTAGACGGTAGCCTGAAGCTGCCTGGAAAACGCCCAGGCCAGATTGAGCGGACCTGGGTGAGTACCACCCACACCTTGCGATTGTATACTGTCCTCTATAATATTCTGTACCTATATAGATGTTTGGGTTCCTTAGAATTTCCTGCTCCCTATGGTGTCTCTTACTCACGTATAATTCTCCCGGCAGCATGGGTTTCTCCGCTATAGTTGCCCACATATTTGAGATCAGCTATGTGAGGCCACTGATATATAAAAGTGTGCCTCGCATGCTCCTATAACAAACAACATTATTCTACACAGACCGCCCAGCCAATGAGTTCACGGCGGGAAGGTGACATGATCTATAACATACCTGGCTGCCAGAACAAGACAAGGGCCATAGCAACGCTATTATCTATAACACGACTGACAAGAACTATAACAATAACACTTCCAAACAACAACATCATCATAAGCAACAAGTAGCAAATCCCAGCCCATACCCCAACCAATCAACTCACTCACTCCTTCTCGCCCTCCACCGCAGCCCTAACCGCCTCCCGCTCCAACATCCTGCCCAACCACGCATTCACAAACGGAAACCTCTCTAGATCAAAGTCCTCCACAGCAACAAACATCCCCGGTACCCTCTGCCACGGCACAAACGCCAAATCCACATACGACAACTTCCCCCCAACAAGCCACGGCCCATTCGCTTCACCCTCCGTCCCATGAATACCGGCCTGCTGCTCCAACCACCCCTCCAAAACCCCGGTAACGCGATTAATCTCCTTAACATACCGCTCCACGGCACTCGGAAGCTGCTCCGCATGATACTTCGTAAACCACACCATCTGCCCGTAGTACGGGCCCTGCCCGGACATCTGGAAATGCAACCACTGCTTCGCGAGGTAGAAGTCGTGGGTCCCCGGCTCAAAGCTGAGGCGGCGCGAGGTGTCATACCGGTCGACGAGGTACTCGATTATTGCGCCGGATTCCCAGATCGTAAGGCCTGTGTTCGGGTCATGGAGGGTTGGGAGTCGGCCATTGGGGTTGAGGGAGACGTAGGCCGGGGATTTGACTTCGGTGAACGGGACGGCTTCGATGGTGTAGGGGAGCGAGAGCTCATTGAGGACGATGAGCACTTTCACGGGGTTGGGGCCTGGGCGGTCACCGTAGAGCTTGAGGGGTTGCAGGGAGTTGGACATCTTGGTTTTGGGTGTAGAAGGGGTCTTATACGGTGTTATAGAGGCTTGGTTGAGAGGTGGTTGTGTTGGTGGATTGGGATGAGGGGAGGGGTGCATGGGTAGTGTTATATAGCTTTGGCATGGGAAGTGTAGAATCAGGAAGAAGAATTACATTTGTAATATTGGTTAGATGGTTATAAATCTGGATGTGATGTTTGGCAGGTAGATCTGACCTTTGGATACGGAGTGATGGATGGATCATGGTGGATGCTCGCTGGTATCGCCCAAAGCGGAATAGTTCGACCCAGCAAGTCTAATATGGCTGAGAGAAATAATACAACAGTGTGCGCTGAAAGAACGATACGTGTGAATTGTGGAGAACGGAACGACTAGTAAATTGACGAGTCTTAGCTTACCATTGCGAAATACACGTAAGACTGGGCTATATATATCATCTAACTACAATTCAAGCCATTGATCTGTCTCTGCAGACTCCAACATTCCAAACCCTGCCAATCTCCCCAGACGAGCTAGCTGCGCCTTGAACCAGGCTTTCGGCTCAGAATCCACATACTCCAGCCCCGACGCAATGGTCAGCGGCCATATGACCAAACTAGCGTCCGTTGGCTTGATCTCTGCCTTTAGATTCAGCGTGACGGATAGACCAGGTGAGGGTGATGAAAGCGTGTTCTCGACTAGTTTGAATCTTTGAAGTGCAAAGGGTACAATTGCTGCCAGATCTTCAGATACAGACTGCATATCGGAAAGAAGCTTTTGCTTCAGAGATAGATTATGTGGATTATGGAGGGCGAGAACTCTTAGCCGAGTACTCTTGATAAGCATTTTTGTGGCATAATATTGACCCCAAAGAGCTGCATATGCTGGAATGGGGAAGCTGTACAGGGTTGGGGAATAGAAATTTGCAGAGGGCCAAGACGGAAGGTCCTCGTTTGATAGGGTGTGTTGTTGAAGCTGGTGCCATGCATCCGGGACATGGGAAATGCAGGTCTCTAAGTCTAGATCAAGGGTGTGCGACTCTTTATCGAGCTGTTCAAGTACGGAAATTAACTCGGCGTGTTGACATGCACCCCGAGCAGGGCTCTCGTTGATGAGAGCGAACAACCGATGGCGGAGGTTCAGGAGACTTGTGATAATTCGGTCGTATTCAAGTTCAAGGCCATGCTCACCGAAGAAAGCACCATCATGGACCCAACGTGGCAGTGCTATATTTCGCATGAGAGCGGATCTGAGCAGACCCCGTCTGGCATGTTTAATAACATTCGTTGCGGGCCGATCGCCGCTTAAATGGTCGTTCCACACCTTCAAGATTGCCAACGCTCCGTCATGATGTGAGAAACTCGGCGAGGCGTGTAAAAGTGGGGTCTTGGCCACTGGATGGTATACCGAGTCCTCGTAGCGACCCATGAAGAAGACCGCAAGCAGACACGAGTCAACGTTGTCGGGCGTCAGGTAATGTATCGCAGTTTGCGCTACCTGCAGAAGTCGATGATACGTGGCAGACGCCACTACAGTAGCGCGAGGGTAATTCTGGGTCCTCGAGAATAGTGCTAGAGCCAAAGAGGATACTGCTAGGTCGAGGATTGAACACCACGGGGTTGATGGAACCACGGCTAGACATCCTCTAGTGATATCCCTGACAATATCGGGAACATTATGCGGCGCCTGGAGATAGTTGTGCATAAAATATGCCACTGCATATGTTTTGAGATTGGCGGGCTTGTAAGAGACGGTTAGATTCATTTTCATTGAGCGAGGCCCTCTAGGCCGCTTCTTCTGACGGCTTGCGTAGGCATTCTCCGTATGCCAGACTTGTTGATCCCGCATCCCATAGCATGTTCGTCGGGACTTTATGCATCGTTGACAGATTGGTTGGGTCCTATCACACTACGAGAAGTGTCAGCTAAGGCCACTAGCACGGTGGACAGCGGCCATGACGGCAGTACGGATTTACCTTGATTCGTCGATCCCTACATGTTTGGCATCCGCCACCGGGGAACGGCATTGTGCTGGGGTGTAACCTGCCTGGATGGGGAAGAACTAGATACACAAGTATTAACTTACGAAAACTCTGTAATCCAAGTTCAATAAATGGTCGATATCCTCCGACAACAGTAGTAAGTAAGCTAGAATGTCGTCTATTCTGGATTGCCCTAACTGTAGTCTGCTCGCGGGTTTCGCCCGATACGGTTTAGCTCCGAAGGGTCGTTGCTTATAAACATCAGTTCGTTTCGGCCCTTCGGCAGCCCCTAAAGCCGACGCGTAGATACTTGGCTGGATAAAGCTGAGGTTTTACAACAAACAAGCTACACATTCTCGAGGTCTATATACATGACATGGTGGCTCTAGAATAATTATTCCTTTTACACCTCCAACCCCCCTCGCCCCAGCCTACAAAAGAACTGTTCAGTAATGCCGTGTTGTCCACTCTAATATCTGTGAGCTTGCAGCTTGCTTGATATTGAGGACTCTCGATAGACCGAGCAATGCGACCCATACAGCAATGAAGTCCACTAATAACTTACAATAGCTGCCGTATAGATTGCACCATTGCTTCCTAGTTCAACTTTCGGAGACAGCCCACAACCGCAGCCACTGCAAGTACGACCAGCGCCACATCACCCTTGTAGTCTTTCCCTGCCAGTACCTGCATGGCCAGCCCTATGGTGAAAAACATAAGGCTAATAGCTGCAGCGGCGTATCGAGACTGCGTATTCCCAAATAGTAGCGTGACTCCAACGATTGCGTCCATAACCGGAGTGATCATTGCGACGGTGGAGCCGTCATCTGGTGCATGATACTCCTGGAATTCGTACCATCCCGGGGTATACTCGCCATGCGTGAAGCGGGAGAAGGCACCAAGCAGCACGACGGAAGAGAGGAGGTATCTCGCGAGGGTCGTGAGCTGTGACAGCATTGTGGTCAGATAGAGGATGGAATCTTGAATCAGTGCGAATTTTGTTGATTCACTTGTGCCACTGCAGAAAGAAAAAAGCAAGACAGAATAATAAATGGGCTTCGGTGTATCGCCTTCGAGAGTGAGATTTCTCCGAGACAGCCTCACCGAAGTTGAAGCTGTGGATTTCGCCCCCACGATGACACGCTATCCGCAATGCCTCTAGATAAATGCACGTGACATAAGATGCCGTTCATGTTTATCTGTATATAAAAACGAGTAGTGCTTTATGGCTTCTCTCACTCGTCGAAGATATGCGGCTACCATTATGGGTGGGTACTCCCGATGACATAGGGCCAACAGCCTCGGAACCCCAACCTTAAGCTTTCAAGTCCCGGGCTGTGGCTAAACCTCCGCACCAGTCAGAAAAGAAGAAGCGGGAAAAGGGAAACTTCACAGTGCTGATGTCATTATGAAGTTAAAATTATTCCCATCATCTCATGTCGTCTCACCTCGCCGGGTAGGACTGGGAGGGACTCAGCAAGACAAGTTACTATAAACCAACTGGAACAATTCAAGATGATCCGCTGGCGGTCCCTTTTCTCTCTCGTACGAGAGGCATGTTATCCTCGTAGGACTAGGATTGAACGATCGGGGAGCTAATCGCTGAACAGCATCGTGGTCCATTCAGAAAACATGTGCGCCAGTTCAGCCTCCTAGAATACCACTCACATCAACTCTTGAAACAGGTAAGGCAGTGTGTGCCACTGTAGTAGCATGAAGTTGTTAAGACCCTTCTCAGTTCGAGATTCCAGTCCCCCATGGGTTTGTAGTCCAGAGTCCTGAGGCAGCTCGGGATGTTGTATACAACATTGGTGAGTTCCTATTGAGGCAATGCTGTGTGAATGTTGGGAGGAAGATCGGAACTATTCTTCAATGCTAAGTCAATATCAGGGGCTCCGTCAGTCCTGAAGGCCCAAATACTCGCCGGCGGGCGAGGTAAGGGCAAGTATAGCAGCGACGGAAAAGGTGGTGTTCGCATCGTTGACTCGTAGGTTCCTACGAATCCAGGGATACTTTATCAACACTGACAAAACCCAAGGGCGGACGAGGCATTTGAAAACGCATCCAAGATGCTCGGCTACTCTCTTGTCACGAAGCAAACTACGTCCAGCGGCATTCTAGTAAACAAGTTATACATCTACAAATCGGTCGATATCGCGCAAGAGTTCTACGTGGCTATTACCTTCGATCGCCAGCGGTACATGCCTGTTCTCCTCATGTCAGATGATGGAGGTGTCAATATCGAGTCGAACGTGAATCAGCTCCAGCGGTTCTGGTTCCATCTCTCGACCGGAATCACGCCTGAAATTGCAGCCTATATTGAAGCACAATTTGGATTCTCTGACGACGACATGGGCGTGGTCACACACATCTTGCGTCAGCTAGTAAAGTTGTTCCGGGAGAAAGATGCTACTCTCCTCGAGCTGAACCCCCTCGTGCGGACAACGGAAGGGTCCTTGATGTGTCTAGATGCAAAGTTCAACTTTGATGACTCGGCCAAGTTTCGGCAGCCCGAGCTGGTTAGTCTCGAGGAACACTTGCCGGAGGAGAAAGACGAATATGAAGCTTCCAAACTAGGTCTTTCCTACGTCCGACTGGAGGGTAATATTGGGGTTATTGTTAACGGCGCTGGTTTAGCCATGGCAACTAACGACTTAGTCACCCTGTACGGCGGAAACTGTGCGAACTTCCTAGATATTGGTGGCGGTGCCACTAAAGAGACATTGTCCAAGGCATTTTCAATTCTGCAGGGGGATTCCCGCACGAAAGGGTTGTTCATAAACATATATGGCGGTGAGTACATACTGAGTTGGAAGGTTTATAGCTAATCGGTCCGGTACCAGGGATTGTTCGGTGCGATATGATTGCCGAGTCGATCCTGGCTGCTTCTACTGCGATGGGAGGGTTCAGGATTCCAGTCGTCATTCGGCTACAGGGTACAAACTACGAGAAGGGCCTTGAATTGGGAAGTTCATACATTGTACCTTTTCTACTTGAACATGACTAATAATATGTATAGATTCAAACATCTGGCCTAGATAATATCCTTTTAGAGGCCGATTTCGACGCTGCTGCTAAAAAGATCGTCGAGCTTACAAACGGTTAGGGATGCGCATTGGAGTCATGAAATCTATGGGAAATACATCACTCGGCTGATCAGGTTTGACGTTGGTGTGAGGATGTACATGATATCGCGTACATATGGATCACGCCAATTCAAGCAGCAGCAGGTTGAGGAGGTAAATGTTTTACTCTATGGAAAGACTTCTCTCAAGAGGATTGCATACATGAGAGCGAATTGCTTGAATTTTCACGGGACGATTGCCCTGGTTGTCTTCACTGCAGAAAACGCTACATTGAACATTGACTATCTCTGTCTGTGAGGGAGTGAGTCTCTGCTCTGGCAGGCAGCATTACATGTCGGTCAACAGGGTATCATTATCCCTCATACCAATCTAGTACAGCCTCCAGCATAAAAACATCAAAATCATAACCATGAAACTTGCCATTCAAATTCAAGGCTCCCATTTTGACCTGAAACGTATACTATTCCATAGCCTCGTCCGGCTTATACAAGAGCTCGCCATTGATATTGAAAAGATGCTCATGGAGTTGGCAGTGAGCAGATACATATTCACCCGAACTGTTCAGAAGATCGGCATGCAGGATGGGCACTCGAGATGGCCCTTCTCTGGTTATTTGGAGATTTCGACTTGTTTTGGTAACGTTCTTTCCGCCCCAGACGAAATGTCCTAGTAGAGGTGGCGATTACCATGCGCCAGGAATCTGATTGAGAGAAAAGGCGACCTTACCATCGTCGTTACCAAGGAACTCATCGAGTACGATGTCGCTGGTTAGACCTGATCCTTCCTCGTTATTGCATATAGCGACTAGAGACCTTCTCCTTGGTCCACGCTCAGGGCTGAGGTGAATATCGCAGGCGGTTTCATGAAAAGACATGGCGGGGGGACAAAGAAAATGATTTATTCTGATCCAAAGTAGGTTACATTGGGTAGGATTCCCGACTCGTATTCAATGACGAGTTTTCTGGCGTGTGCGTTTTGAGATCCACTTATATAAATGGATAGTGGCCAAGTCCTCGTCGATATTAAGTTGGGATTGCATAATCATGATGTAGCGGAGTAAAGATCTTCCAGGACCATCCCTTATTTTGGAAATATGTGTTATCCAAGTGTTTCTTTCCTAGCTGAACTCTGAAGATCCCACAAGTTCATCACCAGCTGTCATGCCGTCATATGATGTTGGTCGTGTCAAGGTACCTTTTTTTCGCCTCTTTAGTAAGCTGTTACGGGATGCTCATATGAAGCATCTTCCCCAGATGACCTTGTTAAATGCGGGTGTCTCTCAGAAATAGATCATAGCATGTAGTCTGCCTATGGTTTATCATGATTGTGTATTCTTGATATTGTATACGGGATATCAGAGAGACCAGCAAGGGAAAAATGAAAACAAAATGGCTAATGAGAAGCAGTCGCTATAAATACATGGGCACCGCATCTCAGCCCTATCATGATTGATGCAACCCTTACAACACCTTGTACTGAGGACAGATTTCAAATTCCATGCAGTCACCATGGGATGATATGTTGTTGGAGATAAGTGCGTTTGTTAATGAAACTTGGAATGTTTAGAATACTGTAAAAGAATTGCATGATCTGTTCGGGGTATATACAAGTGGTAACTATGTACAAGAAGAAAGAGGAGACTAACAGGACGGTTCAGGGCTGCCTAGTGCGCGAGGCAAATATTCATACATGGCAGGTGGAAGAGCCTTTGGAATTCATACAGGCGGATGTTCACCATTTTCGTTCATAGCCACCAATTGGTACTCGCTAGAGCGAGATCGATATAGCTTGAAGAGTTTGCAACAGCAGCAGCACCGATACAGACCAGCAAGCAGCCCACCGACACTTACCACCATAGCGAAGCCCAAAATCCAATTGTGCAGATCGAGAAGCTTGTCAAATCTCGACCTTTGCTCTTTCTGGAGCACGTCGGTGACCCCAAGAACATTCCCGTCCGAGTCTAGAGCCGCGAGCCGGAATAAAGGACCAAGGTCCCCAGGAATGTCGACTTCCGTCTCAAACCCGGTCTTTGCAAATTGCGCCACGACCCCAAATGAGGACTCGGTCAAATCGTCGGAGTCCCACACCTCCAATCTCCATGAGGTAACTTCTGTTGCGCCGTTCCAGCTCACGTACACTTTATCACCGTCGACCTCAGCGTCCGGGGTCGTCTGAGGGTGTCCCACCCAGTTACCTTTGAAGGCACGGTAAGAGACAACACGCCCGAAGGTGAAGAAAGCTGATGCGCCGAAATGGACATTGCACAGCAGTTCTCCATCGGCGCTGAATTCGCTATAGGCGGCACTGTGGCCCCAACCAACTAGAACCCGGCCGGTATCATCCAGCATCTGTACGTTGCCTTGTGAGACGGACTTCATCTGTTGGGGATGATAGTAAGCGGCCAGCAATCTTGCCTCCTTGGAGGCAATATCTAATTCAATGGCCATCCCACAACTCTCATTGTCGGGGTCATTATTTGAGTGGGCGGCATTGTTAAACAGCGTTAAAGTGTTGTTTGCGTGCCACCGCGCATCATGTTGCCAGGCGAAATTCGTTGCTTCGCCATCGGAGAGGTCAGTGAAATCATTCATCTTGCCCCCTAGTGTCCACAATAACGATCCTGTCTTGGAATCAATGCAGCCGACCGAATGGGCGTGTCGGGCAGAAACAATGTAATTTCCCAGGTCATCTTTCTCGACGCTGTTGATGTGGAAGTAGTCAAAAGCTGAGGTGCGATCTTTCCCGGCCTTGCCCAGGGGCTCGTACGTGCTGTTGACGGGATAGTGTTTTGAAGCGCGCCACTCGAACAGCAATTCACCGGTCTCGATATCGATCTCCTGGAACACGCCGTCAAATATCCAGCCTAGTTCTGGGCCGCCGACATCTGTCAGATCCACTGGCGTTGGGTCGTAGATAGTCACCAGGGCCGTGCCTTCGTTGGTTATCGTGAATTCGTGCAGGTCACCACCGTAGTTGCCGACGGGGTTAATCACGTATCGTTGGATGTAAGACGAATCGAGCTGGTCATGGTCAGTGAGGCACATATCCTCCGTTGTGGGATATTGCATACCATATACCACGATCCATAGCCGCGAGTCTCGACCTCGCGACCTTCCCAGTAGGTTAAGAAATCTTCACCCTTATATCGCTGGACTTTGAAATCCTGTGTGGTGTCCCAGTTATACTTCATCCAAACTAGATTGCCCTGAGCGTCGAGAATCATGGGACCTGCTTGGGCAACCGAATCGCCACGAGGCGCAAGAAAAGTGTATCGCGGGTCACATCCTGCATCTGATTCCGTGATTTCGACCATCGGCGATTCGTAGTCAAAGGAAACATAGCCGGTTGAAGGGCCAAACCCATACAGACCCAGGTCATATCGACTCAAATCCGTGCGGAAGCGAAATCGTAGAAGTTGCGGTACCACGAAGACGTAAAAGATGTAGAGGAAGCTGAGGACCACGCCGACCGTCGCAAGATGGCGGCCGGTGATGAGCCTCAACCGCGAGCGACGGGCATTTTTCGAAGGCCAAGTCCAAGAGGACATTGGGACATGACGGACGAGGTGTAAAGTGTCTGGGACAACAGCAAAAGGGATGGGCTGGGGTCGTGGGGGGGTATATGAACCCCCTCCCTATGGAGTGCGTCCATGCTCCCGAGTGAGGTACGCAATCGTAACCATATCTCTCCTGCTCAGCATTCAGGAGAAACGATCCAGATAAAATTGCCAAGATGCCCCGTTCACGCACCACACAACGTGGTTTCAGGTTCCGCATCTGCGGCGGAGTTTAGGCACAGTGAGGTCAAGGAAGATAATTCGACCTTCGTGCCGTTCTCCGAGCTTTGCCAAGATAGCCCACAGTGGGTCATTCGACAGACGAGCTCTTGAGAGACATTGGCCATGACTCGTCTGCTGAAGATTTAGCCATCTTGGCATCTTTTCTTCCCCACCCTGAATGCGTATGGGTGCCGACTGCCGGCAATTGCTCGGTTGGCAGAATCTGCTTGACTGCTGCACCTTGCGCACGGTGGCGTGCTTTTAGGGTTAAAAGCAACAGAAGGCCAAGGCGTAACGGACACTACCAGTGGCTGAGCAGTGAGCACTACCTACTGGAGAATCATGGATGATGGGGGTCATCGGGGATTCTTTGCGATATCACCGACGCCGCGTGGATATTGTCATCACTTAATCTGCGGAGTCCACGAACGCCACCGGCCACTGAGACTCCGGCGCCGTTCTTCTCAGTGGGGCCTTGTCAATCTAACTTGGTGCTACTGTCGAGAGTCCCAGTCACTACGCTCAGTCAGGAGAGAAGAACTACATGGTAGCATCGGACTAGCAGAGAGAAATACGCCCCAACACCCCAATTCAGATAACAGCAATGTGGTGCTGTGGAGTGAGTCTGATCTTTCTCAATCCACGCATTCTCGAAGTTTCAATAGCTCCATCGATCAGCGCAATAACGCCCCCTTGCTCCACTCCTACACCCGGACTGCCTATTATTGGATCCAGAAATGCTCGCCTTAGTTACTCGGCAATTAGTTCTGGATTAGGTTTCCATGTCTGTGAAGTAATTTTCTCTACATTAACTAGCAATCCCTGGCAATTGAACAACATGGTTCGTAACCCTCTTGTAGCAGGGTAGCATGGGACACTTCGTGCACTGCTTTTGCACATTGAATTAATGCACGGCTTGGCATCCTAACGATGCATCACTTGGCAATGACTAATGGACTTGGTTTCGTCCTCGGTTAGCATTTTAACCCCGTGCAAAGCCAGTGTGGTTCATATTTACTCTGTCCATACAGCCTGCGCTGCATGTGCGCAGATAACTCAATTTTCAGGGAACCCGAGTTCTAGCCAACAACAGCCCATCTGATATATCTATAAACACGTCATACGGAGATCTAATAGGTTGACGGTCGGAAATCGACCGTGGCTGTGCATTGTTGCCTATTGCTTGCCATAGCTCTTCGGATGCATGTGCCGTGCCATTGGTGATATGAGCATTTATGCACCTATGCTCACCTACATCTGGCCATATTTACATTCAAGGTCCATGTCAGGTTGACATAATTCACCCCGTCCAAAAACCCTTGCAGATATGTTGGGCATGTTCTGGGCCAGGCCTTGAACTCTCAAGATAGCTACCAAAGTCTTATCGGATATAGCGCGTAAGACCAAAGTTGTGTAGGGTGCGTGTACCTTTGTTAACGGAATATTTGGTGTTTTAATCCTATAGACGACTTTCAGGCTTCTAGGGGCTTGAGAACGAGTCCATGTCATGCGTTTCCTCCCCATTAATTGCGGGATATATAAAATAAGGCATTGTCACGGCCGTGGTAGGCTACTAGATCTACCTATCTATCTACCTATAGATATAATGAGGTGCGACCCGGGCGATATCATATATAGGGTCTGTGTATTATAACCTCTAGGCCTAGTGGGGAACGAACTGGCCTGGTCATCCGCTCTAACAAGCATAGAAATAGAACCCTACTCTTATAGCTTTCTTTGGCAATAAATTAACTTCTGACAAAATTTAGTAGCTAGATACAAGAGGACATGTGGTACTCTAGATTCTGTTCAAACTGGTAGTCATGATCGCTGGACACTGACTCTCCGGATATATGTTGTCAATTGATATATTGCGCAACTCTAGATGCTGCTTATCTGTAAATAGATAGTCACAGGCGTGTATTAGGCAGTGATAAATGCACACAGCATGATCGATAATCTGAAGTCCAACTATGCCCTGTGAACGTAGTGAACGAAATAACCTAACGCAAAGACGGAATCCTTGTGTATCATCTTACTGTAAAATGTAACTACATGAACAGAGGACGTTTTTTCCAACTCCTTCATATACCGTGACTTTATCGATATGTGTAGAGTCCATCAAATCCTAGAATGAATCGAAGATCTAGAGACGTCAAGGCTACCTAACTGTGCATCTTTCTTATAGCTGACCCAGGAACCTCAATTAATAAACTACTGTGCGATCCCGTACGTACAACCACCTCGATATGGTTGATAGAATAAAGAAAGATAATAGCAGAAATTGTCCTTGAACCACGAGCAGTTGTGTTGGCTAACTTCCGTTCTGAACAGCAAAACCACATTTGTTAAGAAGCTTGAGTATATCCCGAATGGAAGTTTGGTATTTTTCTTTCTCATCACTGTCCTCATAGGATTGCCACTCATCATCAGTTATATTGAGATTGAAGGCATTATACCGGTACTTGGCCAAGTGATTAACAAGCTCCTCGTCGTGCGTAACATCCGTGCTCGGTTGCGTTGGAACCAAGCGGGCCCCGTTGTTATCGACCATGTCCAAAATTTGACTGGCAATTCGCTGTCGGAAATCATCCTGTCCGTGAGATTGGACTGCTGCTGGCAGAATCTTTTCTGCGATCCTAACGCGAGCGATTGCATCATGATTTTCAGGTTCAAAAGCTTTGACAAAGGCTTTATGGTCAACATGAAGACCTAGTTGCTTCGCAGAAGGCAGTGCAGAGCGTCTGAAGACCTTTTGTCCATGTAACTGGCTCATTGCGATAATGGACTCGAGAGATCGGGCACCATGGCGGAATTGCGCCACAGTCAAGAGTGCGTTCAGCACTCCGTCGTCCAACTCGATCTTGTCGTTTGCCTTGCAGCCAAGTCGGTTCTGCAGCATTGCTCGTAGATGGATAGCACGACGAATGAGGTACATATAGTCGGTGTCCGTCGGGCGGTAATGGGACCCCTGAATATTCACAAACCCTCGTAGTCGGCTGACAAAGTCCGGCTTCTTTGCGTCTTTTGCGTCTTTGGTTGCCAGGTCAGTGGTGAAATCCTCGAATGTTGAACATGTGCCACCGATAAAAACGAAGATGGCCGGCCCCAGCGGTCGCTCATGGCCGTGTTCTAAAAACTTGCCATCTTGCATTGGTGCCAGGAGGTACTGAAGCCACCCCAGTTTCGTCTCCCCAAAGCCGCTATCAAACTCGTCGAAAAGCACCAGCGGGACTTCATTAGACAGCCCGCTGTCGCGGACCGTGTGGAAAGCCACAACTAGGTCATTATACTCCCGAAACTGGGACAGGTTGAAGGTCAATGGTTTGCTGACTTTCTTCCCCCCGTTGCTTACCCGTTCGGCAACAGCTTTGACAACCTCCTTGATTCCGAACGACTTTCCTGAACCGGGTGCGCCAAAGACGCCTATCGAAATTGGTTTCTCCTTTGGCGATCGCAGGTATTCTATTACTAAGTTGGCGATCGCTCGAAAGCTTTCCTTTTCCTCTCGGTCTGCCGTCATGAGGCTTCCGAACCGAGCAGTAGGAACCCCGGCGAGCGCCGTCTTGCATCCTTCCTTCACAATCTTATCTGCAAGCTCTTTGGTTTTCCAGTGAAGTTTCTCATCATCGGTTCTGTTTTTTGTGACAAGTTGCTGTGCCAACGTAGTGATTTTAGCTTGTATGTCGTTATGATCTGGGGTTAATCGACCTTGGATAATTTTGCTTGCGAAGGGCTGGATGTTGGATCTTGATTCCTCCAATATGCCCGTAAATTGTAGGCTGAGCAGGCACTCAATTCCGGCTTGCACGCCTGCAATGTCGTCTTGTTCATGAGACTTCACATATTCTTCCAGAAAACTCGTAATGTTGGTCTCCAGTCTTGCAAGTTCAGTTGATGTTTGCAAGTTCACATAAGCTGTGAGTGCACGGTTTAAATCTGAGGCATGTGTAGCTGCCCGATTCTGCAGAAATTTTCTGATTTTCTGTCTTGTTCTTTCGGGAAAGTCCAAAATGCTGGGTTGAGTTATAGAGGCGTTGTGACTATCTTCATCTGCCCGAAGATTCGTAATTCCTTGTGCGAGGTCCAAAATTTGTGCTCCAAGCTGTCCGGGCGATTGCACCCGCTCCCCTTCGAGGATCGTCTGGAGAATACTCCAGCGGTATCCCCTATGGTTTTTAATCTGGGACGATGGAACCGGAACTTGAATAGCGAGGCCTTGAGAATGAGAAGCCGCACTATCCCCACTTGCAGTCTCTGGAGCTGTACTCCCAGAAGCCGGAGTATCTCTACCCATAGTCTCCGAATCTGTAGTACCTTCTGACAGGCTATCTTCAGATGTACTCTCTGAAGCGTTATCATCTGGAGCTGGGAGAGTTGGAAAATCCAAGCTTTCCATACCATGAAGCTTATAATAATGAAAATTGCTGCTTCCAAGTCCATTTTGACTTTCATCTTTGAGGTTTATTTCGGCCAATGCCGCTTTCTGGGAAACCAACAAGCCAGATTGGATCGCTCTCTCGTAAGCCTGGCTGTTTTGAGCTAACGATCTAACCAGACCAGCCATGAATCCAGCGGCAACGGCTGGTGTGCGTCCAGGTGTGGACTGAATGAAGTCTCCTTCCGAGTTCTCCGATTTCTGAATGTAGAGCTTTGCTTTCGCGTCCTGTGTCGTGGAACTTTCAACGTGGACAACCCCGTCACAATCAAATCGGACGACCAAATTCGGAGTTTTTCGGAGAGCCTCGAGCTCTGGTTTAACCTGTTTCTTGAAGATAAAATTTCGGAACAAATCCTCCGTGGTTTGCCCCCAGGAGAGGTGACGACTAATCTCGACGTGCTTCCACCTGAGGTATTCGGCATCGATGACCACACCGAGTGCTTCCCAACCAGGATCCAATATCTTATCCTGCCAGGCTGTAGTCGCATACTCGTAGAGTTTCTTCCACTGGGAAGATGATGGCTCAATTTCCTGTCCAGTTCGTTGAAAAATCCGATACCAGGGGTCGACTTCAAACGACCCCACATCATGTTGATCTACAAACACTAGGAGATCATCTTTACTGATTTTTATAGTCGATTCTTCGCCTGAGCGACTCGCTTGGCACTCTAGCCTAAGGAGTGACTTGATTCGATGACGAGGTGGATCTGTTTGCAGTTCCTGGACCTCCAAGGTCGTTTGGACGGCGGTGCCGTCGTTACGGTTGACAAACTTAGGTTCAGCAGAGTTGCGCTTGAGCTGGGACAACAGGTCACTGACTAGTGCACCACCGCCGGGAATATCAGCGGTTGTGACTCGGCTGCCGTCAGAGTGCAGGTATCTGAGACGGTCACAGTAGTGCTTTCCAGCGATGAAAACGGTAGGAGCCATGTTGCTGTAATTGACAAGGCAAAAGAGCTCGGGCTCAAGAGTTTCGTGCGTAGAGTAGGCAAAGACACAAGCAAAAGAGAACTAGATGTAAATGCTTCTGATGCTTTCATCGAAATACTCGGGAGGCCTTTGCCCTTAAATCATTTCTGCTTCTCTGTATCAGCCATACCACGCTCTCCATGGTCAGACGCTTGGAGTAGCCTCGTTAGCTTAGGCGAATATTGACTCAACACCTTTCTGCCTTCTGCTGTTGGTCCCACTACGTGTTATCCCAACAGTAAAACCAAAGTGCAGGGATCAGGTAGCAATGCTAATGGAGATAGCCGAATCAAACCATTTGTACAGGGGTCTTGTGGGATTGGTAGCGTGGATGTGTCGGCTGAGCAACCATCGACAAGGCCACCCCCCCCCGCGATAAATGGACGGACACGATGCGTGACACCAAGGTAGGTATACGTGTGCAGCCCTCACTCAGTGCTTTGCGAGCCTTGCAGAGTGATCTAGGACAAGGTATTACGTCTTGCGTTTGGAGGGGGGTAAAACTCCTGGGAATATCAAGTGGTCCTACGCTACAACCTCACAGCGGGCCGCAACCTAAACCATGCGGCTGATCCTCAATGGAGGCCGAAGGAGTCAGGACTAGTTACTTGTGCTGGAGGGCGAGGCATCCTGGTAGCCTTGAGCTGGTATGCCCAAACGCGAAGAAGACAAAAAGGGTAACCCGGGTTGCAGATGCAGTTTACAGCTCGCACCATCTTCCATGCCCCCTCGCAGACGTGGGAAGCATTTACCAATTTCTTATGCAGTATGGTTGCCGATCGCGAACAATGCGGTAGGAATAATTGATGTTCAGCCTTCTCAGCTTCGACGCCTGAGTCAGGACTGACAACCAATTGTATCCAAACACATCGTTATGCGGACTGTTCGAGCTGGGGCGAGTCTCTCATTGGCCAAGCCGGTCTGCATAGCGTGCATATAGCAATCCGCTGCGTCCATATGGTTGCGAGATCAATGCGCTAATCTTCCGCCTGCTGCAGATATTGGTCCTATCTCTGCACGTGTCGTACTTCTTCTCAGCTCCTTTCTTCTCTGTGTAGATCTTTATGGCGCGCTTACGGTGGTTAGGTTCATATTGTTGACTAAAGGACCCACTGGCTACTATGCAGGCTCTTGAACTAAGTCTCATGCAGCTGTTGGCATTTCTCCTTTATGCATACACCACTTCACAACAGTTACTACCATAGCTATCACTTCATAATGTCCTTCGGAATCCTTCCACTCCAGATTTCACCTAGGAATGCATAATACTAATACGTCTTTTGGCACACAGTGTTATTTCTCAACTGATCGAATATTTAATGTAAATCACTTAATTCATCCAACTACTACAATACGACCAAGAGCCTCTGCAAGAGGAAAGGCTGCGCCTACTGTATAACTAATTGGTCAATCATATGCCATCTGCTCTCTCCTATGCATGTAGATCCACTTATTTCTTGCGCACTGTTATGAGGCGGAATGGCTCTTGACTAAGTGGGAAACGCTAGCGGGCTCAAGTGGTGACGAAGTATCTGCATGTCATTGGGTCAAGATATGAGGTATGTAACCTCTGGGCCTGACTGGACGTAATGTCACTGGGTTTGGATCGCAACGGTGAGCCCCAATATGCTCTACTGCATCACCAGTGGTCACTTACGATCAGCGGGTCTCTTTTTCGTGGGATGCAATGCTACCCATGGGTATCCTTACCCCTTCATAGCCTCGCTGGATCTTTGCTGGATGATGGAATATTCTCTTGATGAAGAAGCGAGGGCTGTGCCCTACTCTTGCATCATTCAGCATAGGCAACCCTGTGGTTAATCATTGGGATGTATCGATATGATGAACCCAATGATACGTGTCGTGGACGGATGGATCGTATATCAGCAATCATTCCTCTGTGTACAAATAGCGGTACTGTCGAGATTCAAAGGGTCGCACAGGACCTCATGCGCCATAGCCATTTCATTGATCCGTATCTACCGACGCCAGAATCGTGGTTATGATTCCCTATTTCAAGCAGTTCTCCATTCGCTTCAGGTCATTCCCTTTGTGCCAGAAGCCCAACCCATGAAACTCCTGAAATATGCGGTTGACGGTACTATGCCCTACGGCCTCGGCCTTTGATAGACCTGCTTAGCGATTCGATCTTGTTCTCATTGTCCCAATGCTTCCAAGGAGCTTGATAGTGAAGACGAAACACAACCCATAATCGAATTCGAGAACGACAAGGACAGCTGATTATCAATATGTAGGGTAGGGACGTCAGGGAAATGCGTTGCAAGCTAGTGACTACAGGAAAGCGATTCGTGAAAAGTAAACACTCCGGATATACATTGTCAAGTGACATATAAATCGAATGCTCTAAGTAGTCACGGCACTACTCATACGCTATTTGTTTCTCCATTAGTCGTAACAAAGCTCCTTGAACATCTTCCCTGCCCATGAATACCTCAACCATCCTCACTCCTGTTCCGTCTTGTATACTCTTGTCTCTCAAAACGGCATCCAACTCACCCCAAGTCCGGGCAGGGAAGTACCTCTGCATGGGATTTGTATCATCCGCACCGAAGAAGCCCAAAGCCTGAGCATGCCTCCAAGAAGCAATATCATTATACGACTGCTTTCTCCCATGAATGGCTCGCTCAATGGTATAGCCATCGTTATTGATGACGATGATGATAACGTTCAGATTCTCCCTAATTATCGTGCTGATCTCCTGGACCGTCATCTGCAGGCTTCCATCTCCGATGAAAAGGACGGCGCGGGACTCTGGATTCTTCGTTCGTTCTCTCTGGGCCAACGCTGCTCCCAATGTCGCAGGTAGCATGTACCCGATTGATAGCCAGGTGGCAGGGCCAAGAAGCCGAGTGTTTTGCGGCAGGATCAGATTGCGGCCTCCGTGTGCGGCAGTGCCTGTTTCCGTGAGGACGATGTCACCTTCACGGATGAGTGAATTCACAATTCTGTAGAAGTCTTTCTGATTGATTAGATCTGACGAACTGAGCTGGTCCGCTTCTTTAGCTGATTTAGCAGGCCCAGTTACCCTGGGGGTTCTGCTCGTGTCGAGTGTTTGCAGTATCTGAGCCAGAATGTTGCCTGGATGCATATCTCGGTATATATCGCCGTCGATTTGGACATAGGTATTCGACAACGTAATTGTCACGGTCGGGTTGGGAATGGTTGTGAAGTTCTGGCTGTTTGTATCGCTATAGTGAGGGCCCATGTTGATGATTAGATCTGCTGAATCAAAGTATTCCTTCCATTGCGAATCGCCTATCGACCCAGCGTAGATCCCGTACACATTTGCTAGTTGTTCGTTCACTAAACTTTTGCCAAAAATGGTTGTCCACGTTGGCCAGCCGGTTGTCTTTATCAGTCTATCGATTTCATCCAGAATTCCCATACATCTGCTTTCGCCATCTGCCAGTATTAATGGTTGCTTGGCAGCGTAAATCCGTTGCAGGATGCGATCCAATACCACTGGTTCATGTGCAGTGACTGGCGCAGAGGGTGTGCAGATCATAGATGTCAGGTTCGACGCATCCACATGGACATCAACCATATCGTCTGGTACCTCTAGGTAAACAGGTCGACTGTGGATCATCGCCTCCCTCAAAGCCCGGTCGATTTGATCGGGCACTAGCCGGGGGTCTTTCAGGTCCACCTGTGCCACTGTTACATGGGAGGCCATGTCTGCAAATCGTCGAAACTCTCCATCTGCGAGGGTGTGGTGCACCAAAGCTCGTGAGTCTTGCGTTGTTCGAGCCGGTGTGCCCACGATGTGAATAATTGGCGCTTTCTCGGCAAAGGCACCTGCTATACCGTTGAGCGCAGAGAGTTCCCCGACGCCGAACGTGGTTATCAGAGCTGAAATACCATTTATCCGGGCATACCCATCAGCAGCATAGGCAGCGTTAAGCTCATTGCAGGTGCCCACCCAGGATAAGCCAGAAGGTTGAACGAAGTCAAGTAGGTGGAGGTTGTAGTCGCCTGGGACGCCGAAGATAGACCGGATACCCAGTTGGCGCAAGCGAGTGAATAGATAATCGGCTAATTTGATCGACATTGTTAGATGAGTAACGTATTACCTGGGCATTGCATACTCCTACCCTATATTTTGCGTACAATCGGTAGTTTATATGATTGTAGGGTTGTGTTCGGAGAAAGCAGCAACTAATTGGCCGAGACTCCGATCCGATTACGCCGCAGCAGAAGAGAACTTTTGTCCCCGTATCAACGGACAAAACTCCGCTCCGTAACAACACAGGACTATCGACAACAAAAATGACACCAAGATTAGCAGCATGTGAAACATGCAGAAAGTCAAAGCTCGCATGCGATCACAAACGGCCGGCATGTACTCGATGCCGGAATGCCAATCGGGTCGGCATGTGCGTTTATCGCGCGGCCCCGTTCAGACGGAAAAGAACGCAGGTATCCTCTGCATTGGCCGTGGAACGTTCGGAAAGGTCAGTCCACTTGCTGTTCTCTGTTTAACGTGTCTTTCTGGTGGTAAACCCAAGTAGTCCCCGTTCTCCAGACCCACCGCCTGTAACGCCGACTCTGAGACGCCGCCCATACCCAAACCCTGGGTATCTGGGGTTTTCGAGTCATGTATCTATATTCAATCATATTGCGCCAGACGGCGATAGTGTTGCTGATATTTCAACGGCTACGATGCCGGGTTGCCCGTCCGAGAGCTACGAACTGACACAACGGGGAGCTGACGCGTTAAGCCAATTCTTCGGCACGTTTCCTCTCAAGGCCACCATTAGCTTCGTCAATTTCTGGCTAGCCACAGGTATAAACCTGACCCTAGCTGGGCCTTTTGTGGAGGGCTGTGCACAGACCATGAACCATTTGCTACCTCTGCTATCAAATGAAGGTTGGCACTTGGTATACGCACGGCAGTTGCTGCAGAACTCAGCGAAGCCACTGCAGTTCAACCACACATCTAATCTCGGTAGCTTCGCGGCCCAGTTCTTAGATGAAAACGCAAGATGGGAAACAATCGGCATATTCTTCGCTGCTGTTAGCCGAGCCACACTCGATGTGCCGTATTTTCCCTCCCTATATCTGTCCGAAAAACAGCAATATGCACTGCGGAGATCTGCCACCAAGCTCAGTGACTGTGCATTGGAAATCTCTCTTTCGCTTGACTGTCTCAACGATTTACAACTTATATTCCAGTACGAGAATTTTATTGTTCATTCACATGTAGACGGGGATCAAAGTAAGCCAGCCAATATCTGAACATCATCTGGCACGTAATTGACCACACAGGTTACCATTCCTGGAGGAGACTTGGGGATGCAATCGCTTCTACCTTTGCCTTGGGGTACCATGAGAACATCGAAAACAAGCCCGATCTTCCGCCATTCTTAATCGAACTTCGCAAACTTGCCTCTGCCCGGCTTTACTCGGCGGATAAGAACGTAGCCATTTTCCTCGGACGCCCACCCCGAATGAGTAAGCGATTCTGCCATTTCCAGCTCTCATCAAGCTGGACTGGATTCGATAATGACACGCCCGAGCATATCACGGCAGCTCTTGGCGGGCTGCAAGATGCAAAGCCTAGCTATAAAGCTGAGACACGTTGGTCGGCGTTGTGCGCGTCGCTGAAAGAAGAGATTATGGAAATGTTTTGCGACAATAAGAAAGACACGTTCGTTGAGCGGGCTAGGTATGTTATAGCCAATGTTACAACGAAGGCGGCTAACAAGATCAGCGTGATCCAAGAGAAAGCAGAGGCTTATTGGGAGGCACTCCCGCCTCACTTTCGACTGGAGGGAAGCTTGAAGCAGTGCGCCCAGAATCCGTTCGAGAGAGATTTCGTGGCTGCCGTACGACTAAATCACTTACATGTGTTGTTCCTCCTGCGCCTGCTCCTCTTGAACACGCCGGCTGAGCCCGATATGCCCATCACAGAGGTGGCGCAACAGATGATGTCCCTCGTTGTAGAAAGCATCCTTGTTCGAGACCAGCTTGTTAACTCTGGGACTGCGCTTGTTTGGAGAGTAGGTACGTCCTATTCATCATTATGAACGTACACTAAACGGAAGCAGGTTGCATATTACGGCCTCCCAGCCGCTGGAATCATTCTTCTGGCTATGTTCCGACAGCAGGACATTCCCAGTTCAGCGCAAATATCCTGGACCCGAGCGGTACAGGACTTGACGGTCTTCGTGGCGGAAGTCGAAGCAGGATCATTTATCAAGAAAGGGGATCCAAATTATGCGTTGCTATCTAAAGCATCACAGACAATTCGGAGGTTCATTGACGCCATACACCCCCAAGTTACCCATCGCCGTGTGGATGAAAGTTGGACTGGGTTTCTTAGCCAGGATCCGTGGGATTTCGAGTATTCTTTCTGGGAAAACTTGGCGGATCATCCATCCTTGGACTCTTTGTCTGCTCTTTGATGTCTCACTATTTTATCAGAATGTAGATAAGAGGTGAGACATATTTTTTCCCGCGTGAAGCGATGATGCGATCCACTCTTATGATGGTCTTATCCGTCGTTCCGATCACTCCGACGATCCATCCTTTCTCCGGTCCGAAGGAGTATGGACCAGACAACACAACATATATATGTCAAATTTAGACAGGGTCTCACAGGTTATTGAAACAACACTATAGCCCATCAATAGTTATTACACTATGGCCATGTCAACGGTATCCGTCGTCCACTCTACCACACAACCAGCTCCTCTATGGTCCACCGTTGGCGCCAAGACAGAGCCAATCCAGGAAGTATTATTGAACGACAATGGCAAACCATATTCAAAGTCAATGCAACACCACTTCAGCACCGAAAGTAAAGATTTCTCTGGCTCATCCCTCAAGAAGCTTGCCACACGACTGCATGGACGAAAGGTCATCCCTCTTGGAACTGGAAGACCGACCCCCGACTTTTACCCTTGGGAGTCTCTGACCGTTCGAGGAATAGTACCTCATCCATTGGGATCTAGTGCTACCGGCGTGGAAACAGCAGACTACAGGGTTACGAAGCATGGGAGCACGTATAACCTATCCAACGGGTTGAACTATGGACCGACTGTGGGGTCACCATCCCTCGTCCGGTTTTTGACAGAACATGTGGAGATCATGCATCATCCGTCCTATGCAGACTGGAGGGTCAGTTTGACCTCTGGCTCAACGGCTGCTCTGGAGATTGCGTTCCGCATTTTCTGTAATCGGGGAGATACAGTCCTGGCTGAACAATTCACGTACCCCGGAGCGATTGAAGGGGCAAAACTGCTGGGTCTGGCGTTTGAGGGTGTGGAAATGGATGTGGAAGGTCTTCGGCCGGCAGCTTTGCAAAGGATTTTGCGAGAGTGGGATCTATCTCGAGGGCCCAAGCCTCGGGTGCTGTATACCGTTCCCACAGGTCAGAATCCCACCGGAGCCACGCAATCGACAGAGAGACGACGCGCCATTTATGGCATCGCTGAAGAACATGATTTGATCATTATTGAAGACGATCCATACTACTTCCTTCGCATGGGTGTCTACCCACCCAACCAAGAAAGTACTGCAAAGACTCCTCATCTGCCATCCTACCTCTCGCTCGATCGATCAGGCCGTGTTGTCCGTCTTGATTCAGCAGCTAAGATCTTAGCCCCTGGTCTCCGGACTGGCTGGGTGACCGCGAGTGCCCAGATCATAGAGAAGTTTATTGCTTACCAAGAGATCACCACCGTGGAAGTAAACGGGCCATCGCAGTTGATGCTGTGGTCTCTGCTAGACCAGACATGGGGCCATCAAGGCTTTAGCTCATGGCTGGACCACATATCGTCGGCCTACCGCACCCGGCGGGATGCTCTACTACGTGCTTGTGATCAGTATCTACCTCGAGATATCTGTGCCTGGGACACACCAGAGTATGGCATGTTCTTGTGGCTGCGCCTGAACTGGGCGAGGCATCCTTTGCTCAGGAGCAAGTTGGAAGCAGTGGAGGGTGAAGAGTTATTATCCGAGGTTGCTGAGAGAATTAACAACAATGCAATCGAGAATGGGGTGCAGGTGACAAAGGGATTACTCTTCACTCCTAATCAGCAGCCGAATGGGGAACTGCAGTTCCGGTTGACATTTGCGGCTGCCCCTGCGGAGGAATTCGAACGGGCTGTGAAGGCTTTGGGGGATGCTGTTAGACAAGAGTTTTCGGTTACCTGCGAATAGGATAGATTTTGACAATAACAAAGCAATCACATGGCGGTACTTAGTTCCCTATGGGGTTCATTAACTCCTGAGGTAAGACTCTTGTCGATGCTATATCTTCCAAAATACAGAGGCATCTCATGTAGAAGCGGCGGTAACCATACCAGGTACTTCCGCGACAGGAGCAATTCTACCAGTGAGCTGGCCAAAGCCAATGCGACAATTTCCCTCGCCCGCCCATCCCTCCATCGTAATCTCATCGTTGTCCTCCAGCCAGGCCAGTGTCACGTTATTTGCAAGTTGCACTGGTGTCTTCCCTCCAGCCGTCAATTCATGAATGCACCCAAGCCGTCCGAGACCCGTAGACGCTTGCTCCAAATCCTCGCTTGCTTGCTTGGCGGAGGAAGAGAGTGTCCCTGTTCCAATCAGATCCCCAGGGGCAAGTCCACAGCCCGCCGAGGTATGATGCGCAAGCATCTGGAATGGCGACCAGAAGGTATGCTTCAAGTTACTTCTGCTGATGGGAGTCTGATAGCTATCCTCTCCTGTGTCCTCCATCAGCAACATAGCCCAGGAACCCAAAATTAGAAAATACATACTGGAGAGAAAGGTAGAGACGTCTATCGAGACATCTTCCGCGCATTGTAGGAACGGATTCGCCGTGAACTTCCCCTCGGTAGCCACATCCGCTTTGGCAGGACCGATAGCACCCGCTTCTTCAAGCGCATCCATCGTCACGACCCAGGTAGAGATGCTGGTTCCACAGCTCTTACCATTAAACGGTCCCAAGGGGATCATCTCTGCGAACTGCACATCTCTTGCGCTCCAGTCATTCAGCAGAACGAACCCGAATATATAGTCCCGGGCGCGGGACGCCGGAACGAGTTCACCAATGGGTATCTTGGTGGAGACGAACATGCCAAGCTCGACTTCGTAATCCAGTTTCTGGCAGGGGTAGAGTCCGTCAGAGCCGACGCCGTATGGCCGCTGAATCGGCGTGCCACTTGCGACTACCGATGAGGCGCGGCCGTTGTATGCCAATGGTTGCTTGCGGAAGCTGGGGGGTATATCGCCGAAGCCTGCTACGCGACCAACCTGGTTTCGCATGGGAGACGCGGGTTAGTGATGGATTCTGTGCAATGGAGAGTTGGGCTGTGGTTTGGATTCCTCGGGATTCCAAGGGCCCTGCTGCTTACATTCACGACGTGCTCTAGAGAGCAGGTGTAGTCTGTGAAACCACCCATGGAGAATGGAAGGTGCATTGATACTGCTGCTCTCGGAATTAGTAGCTTGGGCTGTTCTGTTTGGTTGTATAATGGCGAATCCACATTTTCAATCAGCCCCTGGATGTCCTTCCGTATCTTGGACCGGACCGCACGAGGAAGGGCTGCGAAGCGGTTGAGCGTTGGCTACCAGCCACATTTCAGTGAGAGGCAATGGACAAATTCAGGCTACTGTTTCTTACCTCGCGGAAGATATTCTCTGCTCCATTGGCTTGTTCGACGGTCAGAGCGCCGCGGTTTGCGACGCGAGATAAATCAATCACATAGTCGCCAATGGCAGCTCCTGGGCGAGGCGTGGGCTAGGCACATGGCGCAAGAGTGATCAGCTACACTGGAAATCAATGCGGTCTATTTTATCTACTTACATCCTCTGAAGTGCTGAAAATGCCAAATGGTATATTTGATCCTGGGAAGGGGGAGTCCTGTGGTATGGGGAGTGGGTGAGAAACGAAGCCTGATGTTACGGTCATTGTGAGCGGTGTTGCAATTTGACGAGTAGAGAATTAATAGATATATTCTATTCAAATGTTCAATTTCTCTCTCATTTTCTATAGTCCAACAGTACTTTATAGTCCATTCGGCTATGGTTCAATTGTTGACCACCTTCAACCGGGATTGCCGTTCGGGAACGCCTGTTGACATCCGGTGTTGGATATATAAATACTCGACCATGTCGATAAAAGAAGCGATAACGTTGATATATCTTGCATACAGGTTATTTTAAGCGTTAGATCAGGCTGCTAGACCGTGCGTTCACTTTACACACACTCTCCGAAGCAATGTGCAGCATCCTTTACGTAGTAGACATCGTATTCCTCGTTTCTTCGTGGTGAGCGTGTATGCTCGGAGCTTCGGTGGGCACCCGAAGTCCAAGAGCGCGAATACCCCACTCGGGGGATCTTGACACACTCAACACCAGTGTGGCTTCTCCAAAGCAGTCCTTAGTCTGATTTTACACGGGGTACGGGGTATATAGACCCGAACTAGGGCACTCTAGTTAGTCTCTAACCCGGCCTCGATTGACATCATGACATGCAAAGCTACACTAACGGTCGGTCATGAATGGCGTTGGCTCGGAGCCCTAATTCGGCCCCACACGATTCTATCACGGGAGACTGTTGACATGACGGCGTTGGCGAATAGAATGATTCATGATAGGCCAAAGCGCACTTAACATTCTAATTCTGGAATAGTACCAAAGCGCCCTTAGGACAGCCCCGAAGTGGAACGCATGCTATGAAAGCCCCGACTCGGTGCTGCAACCCCACGAAGACATTCGGGCGCTAAGTCCACGCTAGATGCTCCGAGCAAATGTCCCTTGGTAGCTCGTGTCTGTAGACAATGGACATAGCTTTACCCCCACAGAACTATCTGCTGGGTCTCGAAGAAACCTTGCGGGGAAGCAAATAGCCTATGGTGGTGGTGCTCCGGCGGACCTTGTTACCATCCCGTTGTTTTATATAGCTCCAAGGCTGTGGATTAAAACACGCCGAGAATAATTTCAATTGCCACCTCAGAAAAAGATTTTCCCAGTATTTGTGTTCATCGAAGTGTCTTGAAGCCGTCTCCAGCCTTACCAATTCATTACCTACCATGCCTCCTCCCGTACAAGTCGCATATAAGAAAATCGGCAAACCCACCGTAGGCGAAAACGGCTATGTCGACTTTCAACCGGGGAGAACGGAAGTCTTGCCCAAAGGCTGGAATGGCTTCAACGCGAAACCATTGATAAGCGATATTCGGGTGGAACATGACGTTGAGATCGTGGTCCGCGATGGTGCTCGACTTTACGTTGATATATATCGCCCGGCAGACTCAGCCGAAAAGGTGCCCGCAGTGCTGAGCTGGTCATTCTACGGCAAGAAATATAGTGCATTGGATATGTTACCAATGTGCGTGTGGAACTGTTGTGTTCCGCGCTCCGATCTCAGCGGCTTGGAAAAGTTTGAGGGACTCGACCCCCAAACATGGTGTCCGAAGGGTTACGCTATCGTCAGTGTGGACACTCGTGGCGCGGGGAATAGTGACGGACAGATCTGTGTGATGGGTAATCAGGATGCGGAAGACGGCTACGATATAGTCGAGGCGATCGCTGCCATGGATTGGTGTAATGGGTCCGTCGGCATGGCAGGCAACTCCGCGCTGGCCATTGCACAGTGGTTTATCGCCGCCCAGCAGCCCCCGTCGTTGAAGGCAATTGCTCCGTGGGAAGGGCTGGGCGATCTGTATCGTGAGCAGTTCTGCCGTGGTGGCTGGTTCTTTATGAGCAATTTCGACCTCATTGCGCAGAAGATCGTGCGTGGGCAGGAGAATTCCGGACTGGAAGATTTTGAGGAAATGTATCGCCGGTCGCCTACCTCGAATGCTTTTTGGGCCGACAAGCGCGTGGATATGACCAAGATTCAGTGTCCAGCCTATATCCGTGGATCGGACGTGAGCACGATCCATACCATGGGCTCTGTTCGCGGCTATCTCGAAATCCCACATGATAAGAAGTGGATCCATTGGGGCAGCAAGCAGGAGTGGTACGAGCTGTATAGTGAACCCGAGTCCATGGAACAACTCACGGTCTTCTTTGACCGCTATCTTAAAGGCATCGAGAATGATTGGGAAAAGACACCCAAGGTTCGCTGGTCTGCTTTGCAATTTGGCGACCGCGACGCGATTGACAATATCATTCTCGAGGACTTCCCTGTTCCGGCAACAGAGTACAGGAGTTTCTACCTCGGTGGGAACCAACAGCTTCTGGGCACAGCGGCCACGGACTATTCTACCGTCTCATATGATTCCGAAACCAGAGTCAGCATTGCCGAGTTCGATTATACCTTCGAGAAACCCTCACGCTTAATCGGCCTGCCAAAAGCAATCTTGTACATGTCCGCCGAGGAGCAAGATGACTTTACGGTGTTCGTCATCCTCCGAAAGAAAGATAAGAATGGGAAACCATTGATGCACCTCAACTTCCCGCTCCATGCCACCCCTGTCAAGTCAATCGATGACATCCCCGAGAAGGATCAGGCAGGTCTGAATCTACACCTCGGACCCGTTGGAATTCTCCGTGCCTCTCATCGTGCGATTGACTCGACGAAAAGTATACACCCGCAATTCCCGTTCCATCCGCATTCGAAGCAGGAGCGGATAGAACCAGGAACAGTGACGAAGCTTGAAATCGGTATCTGGGCAATGGGCGTGGACTTTGATGCTGGAGAGTCTATTAGTTTGCAGGTTAGTCGGATAGCCCTCCATGTGTTGTAGTTGGTCTGGAAGTACTAACATTCTTGTTCTAGGTTGGCGGCCAGTATCCTAGCATTGCGCAAGATATCACATCCTTCTCCAAACCCCGTCCAGAGTATGAGCTCAATAAAGGGAAGCACACCGTTCATTTCGGTGGAGAATATCCCAGCCATGTTATCCTTCCGTTTATCTGAGACTAGCGAGAGCTAATTTAGATCTCGGGTCTCTACCTCTCCATCAAAGGAACAGGAGGGCTGGTATCATTTAGGGTCTTGTACATGGTGGCAGAATGCGTACTGTACTATGCGAACGGTTGATATTGATGAGTTGGAGTTTACTGTTTTCTGTTATGCCTTTTTCTGATGAATAGAAAGTTCACACAAATGCGAGTATATCAAGAGCCAGAATAAAGATTTCTAGTAGTTTTATAAGTTAACTGTCTTTCTGCAAGTTCCGCCTAGTGTACCTAATAATATGTTGAGCCACTCTCCGACTACTCATGGAGTATCTCTCTCTAAATTCTCCCACGCAAGCTGCCCGAACAGGAACTATCATTAAGCTTCATACGCTAATCTTTGGCTTAAGCAATGTAGCTAGCATTCAGCCCTCACGCCAATTATATTAGTATGCCACGCCATGCGTGTTTTCTAAATTGCGAAGGGGGGTTACTATGTATAATTATCATCATACGTTCCTCTATAGCTGAGGAGCTGGAAGGGATTATGTTATGACGTGTTTATCTGCTCAGTGAACCCAAGATGCTCCTTGCCTATCGGAATAAAGTCCAGAATCGAGGAGATGCGTTTGGAAATGTACTTAATGTAGGTATATTATTACGGTGACCACCAGCTTGTAGTAACGACATATTTCATTAAGCAGCTACAGATGCCGCCGAGCCCTGCCCCTGTCGTCGACGATTCCAATCCATCGCACCATCGTAAAGACAGTTGTAATCCATGAACTCGGCTGGATTCATTGTCACTCGGTTTTCGGTCGAATCCGTGCCCGGCTTCGCCGCCTGCCGACTATACATCTGGATCGTGGTAGCCCTCTCATATCGACAGTTAAAGATATCCTCGTTGGTCTTGCACACGTCGCTCAAGGGCCTATTGGGGTGTCTCTTCTCAAAGTCCTGATAAAACGCCCCGAGGGCTTCGGCATCCTCGACGGCCTGACCTGCACCCTGTCCCTGAGTAGGAAGCATTGCATGTGCAGCATCACCGATCAGCAGCACACGACCACGGAACCAGGTGGACAAAGGATCCAGGTCGCGCAGCTGCCACAGACCAACCTCCCTGGCAGATAGGAGAGGTCTCTGAGCCCATTCCGGAAAATTCGAAAACGTATCCAGCATCTTACCGCGGTCACCCTTTGTGGTCCAGCTCGTGTCCTTGGAGGACTCGTTCATTCTCTCGTCGGGAACAAGGGCTACCACACCATAGACAGAGCCATTTCGCGCTGGGCCCATAACGAGCCGACGGTCTTGGCCGATGACCATGGCGGTACGACACTTCCGAGGGTCGATAACCTGCACAAAGTCCGTTTCCTTGAGAAGCTCATCGGTCGGAACCATCATTCGATACGCCGAGAGACCCGTTGGACGAGCCTCCACTTCCTCGCCGAGGACGGCCTTGCGCAGCTTACTTTTGATCCCATCTGCCCCGATGACCAATTCTCCTTTAATCGTCTCCCCGTTCTCAAGCTTCACGGTACCGCTCTCACAATCACAGTCTAGTACTCTACTCGAGAGTCGCAGTTCCACCGGCCGGCCAGGGTAATCAGGCGATGTTGCCCTCTCTCTCAGAGCCTGGTGCAGATCGGCCCGATGATAGCAGACTCTGTCGGCGCCGTATTTGGATGACACGGCCGAGAGAGGTATCTGCGATTGCAGTTCGCCCTTTGTATTGTAGATTTCGAAGGCCTCGTCAATCATGGAGCCCTGCTCGCGCAGACGTGGTCCAAGGCCCCATTGGTCTTCGACAATCTTGGAGGCATTGGGTTGTAGTGAGATCAATGCTCCGATTTCTTGGCTTATGGACGATTGTTCCAAGACGAGTATATCACGTTCATCGCCACGTAGTGCGATCGCCTACAGAACCTGTTAACATGGTAGTGCTGTTGTGTGGCAAACAATATGGAACCTACGGCAGCCAGGCCGGCAATTCCTCCGCCAACTATGATTATCTTGAATGGACTCATGTTTCTGCTAACTTTCACGAGGATCACACAATACTCAATGCCTTCTGACATACAAAGACTAAGAGTGAATCTTTATGCTAGTGGATAGTGCTCTGATTGCCCCTAGAAATCGTAAGTATTAATTGCGTGGGGGATCATCCCCTCGGCGGGGGCTCGGTGGACGCCGAAGGGCTGGAGTCGGCCGCCCACACTGGGTCTCCCCGAGAGTGTTGATAGGAAAGGAGCCTGATGATCATGAGGTGGGTTGTTTCAATGCTCGGCAGACCTTCGGAATGTACCTGGTGCGCCGAGATGCACCTCGCTACACGCACTCAAACTGCCACATAGGTTAGGTAGAAAAGGCGTGGCAATGAAGCGATTGTGATAAGCATCACTAGTCTTATGTCGATGACTGAGCTTCATACTTGAATTACAACATCAGCCCGTGACTGCGATTCCAAACAATTAACACCATGTCTACAACAGCCACTATCCAAGAGACGATCACCCTGGACCAGCCCAAGGGCCGAATGGCCCTTGATGGCCAGCCAACCAACTACGGAGACTTCCGCGATGCTCTCAACAGAGACGGCTACGCCGTGATCAAGGGCGCTATTCCCCTGGATCGGGCCAAGAAATACGCCGACTCTTTCTATGGATATCTCGAAGGCTTGTATGTTCCTTGATAGCAGACGAACCTTTTCTTCCGTGTCCCTGTATGCTAATCATTCGCAGTGACTTGGGTTACAAGCGTGATGACCCCTCCACCGTGAAACGGGCTATGCTCCCTGTGATCAACGAGAAAGGTATGATCCTCAGCTATGGTGTTACTCATGAGAAATGGGTATGGGATATCCGATCGGAGCCTGGTGTGGTGGATGCCTTTGAGAAGGTGTATGGTGATTCGGACCTGATTGTGTCGTTTGACGTGGTCAATGTTCAGTTTCCAGGGTAAGTTCCCGACTGGACAACATGTTCACTATAGTCTTCAAGCTTGGTTACTAATGTGCTGCTGTGTGTCAGGCGTGGCGACTTCCCCGAAAAGTATGTTCATAGGACCTTGTGCATGGCTCCAAGGAACAAATACTGACCGTGTCCAGCAAACCCTGGCCACACCAGGACCAAGACCCCGAATGTCCAGGCTTCCGCTGTGCGTATTACACTAACCACTGTATATTCCCAATGTCCATCTTGCTAAAACATGACCCATGCTCCAGGTCTTCAAGGATTGGTAAACCTAAACCCCGGTGGGCCCGACGATGGTGGCCTCATCGTGTGCAAAGGCGGACACAGGCTCTCTGAGCAGTTCCACCGCGAGATGGCCGACGAGCCACGTATCCCCGCCTGGACTAAGGAGTGGTTCGGGTTCACCGAGAACGGCATGAAATGGCTCAAAGACCACGGATTGGAGTGGGAAAAGGTCTGCGTCGAACCGGGCGACTTGATCGTCTGGGACAGCCGAACCCCACATTACAACGTCCCGCCCACCGGGAACAACGATCGCCTGGCAGTTTACACATGCTACATGCCTGTGGCCGATGCCTCGCAGGCGGATTTGATTCGGAAGAAGGAGGCTTTTGAAAGTATGTTCCACTCCATGTGTGAACCTTGTTGTAATAGTGGAATGGTACTGACATCGTGAATAGAACGTCTTGGCACCACGCACTGGCCGAATGCCCAGCATGTCGCTCCTACTAATATTGCCACGCGTGATGGCGCTCCTTGCCCTAAGGCTCGTGAGGTGCCCGTTGAGGAGCCGGTGTTGGGTGAGCGGGCGTTCCGGCTTACTGGTATTCCGTATATCAAGCAGGAGGCTTAGGCTGCTAGAGAGATGGAGCAGTTTTAACTATGCAAGTGACCGTAGTGCAGGGCTTTTAGTACATAGTCCCGTTGCCCAGTCATTATTTGATCCAATGTATATTTGGTTGTGCAATTATCTCAGTTTTCGCGCTTTATATGACCTGTTCACATGTGCTTTTTGAGAGGGAAACTACCTGCATTCCAATGATCCTTAAATTCAATAAGATCACTGCATGGGGAAGACAAGGTTAGATCTTTCTGGGTAGACTGCTTGATAGTTCGAGATTCATGGCTGAGGGACAACACGCTGTTGATCGAATATTATGAATATCACACACTTATGACTTCCTCTTCGCCTTAGGAACCCTTCGAGAACAGGCGTCTCCACCTTGACTGTATAATACGAGATTGGGGGACCTACATGAAGACATGCACAGTGGTGGACAGATCATTACGATAAATCTCATATCTATAAAGGATTTATATATAACACCTGAGTACAAATAAGTTAGTCTATGCAGGCTGTGGTCCGTCAAAGTACAGCATCCAGTTCCATAAATCCTCTACATTGTACCCCTCGAAGGGAAATAGTCGGTCTACCTCATTTGAGCCATCCCCAGTAGAGGCCAACTGATCTATCAGGGACCCTGTATCGTGAAGACCCGTATCGCCCTGACTATGAGGCTGATCCTTGCCTGTTGCCGGTAGATAATCGAAAAGTGGCGCTCTCGCAGCATTCTCTGCTGATCGTGAAACAGCATGGGCTTCTTCGCTACACGATGCATGCCCCATGTTGTTCATTGGTGGGGCATCGTCATATGTTGCAGGAGTGAGGAAGTTATTGGGTATTGTATAGTTTGAATGATTGTGTGGTACAGAGATGTTTGAGGCGGTGGGCTGTGGGTTGCTATTCCGTGGTGGCCATGTCGAGGCTTTCTGGGCAGATTGGTCTGGTTGATACATGGTGGCTAGAGTGTGTCCTCTTTCTGCAGATGCTGAAGCTACACGATGGTGGGCCACTATTTGGTCGTACATGGCAGCTAGACCTATTGATGCGATGAGGTTAGTGTGCTTACAGTGGCTTGAGGGACATCATGAGGATTGAGAGCATACCCTCCATGAATCGGGGGTCAGAATTACAGCGCGCTAGCTGCTGTCTGCAGTTCTCGAGACATAGTTTTAGGAGCTAGCCAGAGTCAGAAGGGATATCTATGGATCACACAACGGGGCTCACCTCGAGGTCCATCGTCTGGAGGCGGGATTTCGGGTTTTTCATCAGATAGATAGCGAGGACGATACATGCGAGTAGCAAGGACCCCACTGGGATTAAGCGCGAGGCTGTCCCTCTCTCGGAGAGCTCGATGCTCAGCTTAGCGATGGCACGGGCACTATTCACACAAATGGATTCTCCATTCCGTATCCTGAATTTGGATGGTTCGTCGGCGCAGTGCTTCTCGATTTCTGCATCAAAGTTCGCTGTCGGGGCGATTAGCGCCGCGCGGTGAAGCGCAATGAGAGTTTCGTGGAATTGGATGGATAAGTACGCAGCCATGTGGTACTCCTCGTCAGGACAGAAAATATCGTTCCCTGGTCGCAGCTCGGGAGGAATGACATTGGCCCATGAGAGTAGCAGCCGGTCCAGTCGGGCAGTATCCAGAAGTATCTGGCGCACGTTTCTCGAGCCAGGGTGGTAGTTGTAGATATGCTCACTGATATTTCCTGTGTATTCAGCTAGCCCCAGATTCCACTGCAGGTAGGGTGACTGGCAAGTTAAACTGCCGACGGGGTTGAAGTGTTCGGAACTGATGGAGGAAGGGCGGCCACATCCTAATTGCATCATCCTCTCCAAGCAGCAGCAAACCGCCCATATCTGGCTAGGAAGGTGTCTCTCGTCGTGTGAGTTATGGGATGTAGGCAGCGCGGACCCGGTCTGGGGTCGGTGGATTCCCAGTGTGTATGCGATGCGGATCGCCATGCCTAAGGTTTGCCACGCCAGTCCCTCCTGGTTCCGACCTCGATACATCAATGTCAGGAGGAGCAGGGCCTGCACCGTCGGCAGATAGGGTATTGCGACGAGATGAGCTACGAGCCCGGCCGCGGCTTGAAGATATTTCTCCCCGACTTCCGTCACACTTTGAGCCTCTTCATCTGAGCCCAATCCCATCACAAGATAGACAAGCACGAGTATAGGAACGTTGTCTCGAGGGAGGTGCTTGTAATCAGCGACTGTGGCAAGCTGCTCCATACTTTCGCGAAATGCGTGAGGGGAGAAGACAGGATAGGTAGGATGGATTCGGGCTAGATAAATACGCGCATATCGATCGCGACAGTCCCGGCCAGGCAGGCCTGGTAGAGATAGGGTCAGCGGCATATCCAGCTCCTCCGCATGCCGCATGCCGTGACCAAAGGAAGCCGACACTGGCTTTAACCGCGCCGCTTGAAAGTACACGTCTAAAGATTTCGCGAGGCATTGCGAGCTGCTGCCACCCAGAACTTTCATCCGATTCGTTCCACGTTCCACATTGAGGGATGTATCGAACGGTTGATGCACTGGAGAGAATTCGTTGAGCTTTTCATCTGACAGGTTGTCTTCGACAGATGGAGAGGGCTGCTGACCCTCTTGCGATTGGGGTTGGTGCTGAGGCGACGTATTCGGCGGCGAGTTCTGATCATTGTGGCGACACGCTGTCTCTCTCTGCAATCCGTCACACTGCGTTCCTGTGTTCCCATTGATCTTCTCTGGTATCTCGAGCCATTCTCTCACTCCTGGCACCCCAGGGCGTTGGGGATCAGTCGTCACGCATATCTGATTCCGTATCCGACAATTGCGACACTTGGGATACTCCGCATCGCATTTCACCTTCCGCTGCCGACAAATGTTGCATGCCATCGACAACCGAGGCCGCTTGGCCGCGGGAGGTCGGTCCATCATGAATCTCTGCGCCGTATCCTAGGGGGGGCAATAAATCTCCGAGGCATATTGATGGCCTATTCATGACAATGGCCAGGCAGCAGCGACCATCAGCATTGGCAGGAAGCAGCACTCCGTGTGACCATGGCTGCACATACGCGTGAGGACGCGATATGACGATGGAGAAGAGCAACGGCAACGCAGGTCTTGCTAATCACCGGTTCACGATTGGAATCCCCACCACAAAAGCGGGGGATTAGAGTAAAATGCGGGGGAGACTGTCGCAGGATCTTGGCCTGGAGCTATGGTCATGTCGAGAGGCGAGGGCTCGCATGCCGATGTCGCCAGCCATTTACCCTAGCGTGAGTTGCGGCAAATGACCTCGGATAATGCTCCTCCACATTTGCCGAAGCAGGCTCGGGTCCAATCGGTGCGCTTCATCTGGAGCGAGCGCGGTATCTTGTGGATATTCTTTCGAGGGATGGCTATGAGCGTCAGCCTGGGCGTAGCTACTGCCCCTGCACTTCTAGCCACACGATGTCATTGACATGCTTTCTCTTCTTATAGATTGCTTAACAACAGCATCAATATAAACTCCTGCCGGCTTCCAACTGCTGTCGCTCGCCAAGGGACGGTCGGTACAATTTGCACTTCCCCACGCCTTGAACCATGCATCCATCGGCGTCACTCACCCGGTTTGCTGTTCAGACCTCACTAACAGTCTTGATATGCGGCCCATTTTATCTGCCATACGCCAAGTCCAAGGAGCTACGGCAAGCTCGAGCGAGAACAGGAGGTATAAGCCCATGGTTCCTGTGCAGATTTCAAAGCCAACGTCCTGATTGGTCATTAACTATGGGCACAGGGAATAGCTGTCAACAAGACCTTTAAACCCTCGCAGTTGAAGCTTCTCCACCTTCTACCACCTGCCAGTCAGAAATGGGCAATCTTCCTTCAAGAACAATCGGTCGAGGTGCAGCGCTCCTGGCAGCTTGCTTCTGATCTTTTACATGTTACATCGGGGTTCTCTTTGTGTCTTAAATCTAATAATATCAGTGTATATAGTTTACAAAGTGCAACGGGGCTGACGGCGCTACTGGAAGAAACAGAACAACCGGGGAATGAAACGTATATAGCAACATAAACAGAAAACACATCAGAAATTGGTAATGTTAGGAGAGGTGTGTCAGCCCCTATCACAGTAACATATACTCATATGTCCACTTTCACGGCCACCTGGCGTTTATTTCCCCCGGGGGCGCCTCACTCATTCCGGTCGTCAACAGAAACAAGATGAGGCCAGACCTAGTCTACCTGCTGGGCAACATGCTTTCATAGGGTAACGTTAGTTGTACCAGTGGTCCACTACTGCCAATAGAGGTTTCTGCTTGTCCCAGCTTTGACTAGTAACCGTACCCGCTACTGATTAGGGTACCAAGGCCACAGTAGTGGGTAAAGCTCGGTGGAATATGACAGTGGGTCAGGATGGGTCACATAGTCAGAACCCGCCGAGTGTTCAACGAGCGGCCGAGCGTCTCGGAGCAAGCCGAGACCAAAAGGCTCTCTCCTTGCCAAGTGCTGAAAATGAGCCATGGATTCGCAAGACTTCCCCCAACGTGCTCGGCGCTCGTCCCCGCACCCCTCGGAGCAGGAAGGCTTCGATGATGGTTCGCATGGTGACCGGGGAGGTGCTCAGTTACTTAAGTGTTCTCAAAATGCCCAGTCAAACTGAACCAGCAAAGCGCATCACAGTCCTCGGCGCAGTATCTAATACCAAGTATTGTGCATCGTGACAGCGAAGGTCTGCACCACCATGTCCACCACTACCGAGATCCAAGAAATCGCCGAAGCAACCCAACAGTCCTTCACTATCAAGGACTTGGTTGATTTCAGCGACCGCACATACGGCGACTGGCGTGATGAATTTCACCGCAATGGTTGTGTTGTTCTCAAGAATGTCATCAGTCCGGAGCGTGCCAAATACTATGCCGATAAGCAGATTGAATGGCTAAAGAACTTCGAACTTGGCTTTGATGAGAACGATGAGAGCACCTGGACCGCGGAGCATTTGCCAGTCAGCTTCAAGGGAGGGTAAGCAATCCACCGTCTCGGACAGACCCGGCCGAGCAGCCAGTTAACCATATTTGTGGCCAGAATGTATTTTGCGTACGGCTCCACCCATGAGAAGAGCGTCTGGGAAGCCCGCACCGAGCCGGCCATCATTGACATCTTCGAAAAGCTATGGGAAACGAAGGAGTTGCTTTGCTCCTTCGATGGCATCAACATCTCGCTCCCGCGCCGAAAGGATCTCAACTGGAGCCCATGGCCGCACTGTGATCAGAACCCAAACCGGAAGGGGTTGGTATCCTAACCCATCTTCAAACTTGGCGGATGCTAATACGTTTTCAGAATGCAAGCCGTTCAAGGCCTCATTAACTTTGCCCCCAATGGCCCCAAGGATGGCGGTCTGATGCTGATGAAGGGATCTGCCAAGCTCTTCGATGAGTTCTTCGCTCAGAAGCGAGAGCAATATGACCACGAGGATGCTCCTCCCCCGGAGCTGAAGTACATGGATCTCTTCCTTTTCCATGAGAAGGACGTCAAGTGGTTTGAGGAACGGGGGTGCGAGCTCATCAAGGTCAACCTCGGACCTGGTGATTTTGTCCTCTGGGATTCCCGGTCACTCCACTATGCTTGCTTCCCCAAGGAGAACCAGATCCGCCACGCACAGTACATTTGCATGACTCCCAGACGCTTTGCTAGCGAGCAGGCATTGGAGCTGAAGAAGACCTGCTTCGAGAACTTCATGGGCACTACCCACTGGCCCCATTGGTGAGTTCCCTCGAATTCCGCACGGCGTTATTGACAGCTTAGCTAATAGTGGGAAATGGTAGCAATATTCGTCCTGCGGCAGAGAAGCCCATGCGGAATGGCCAGGTGTGCCCGAAGGACCGCAGTGAGCCCTTTGAGAAGCCAGTGTTGACCGACGCGGTGCTCAAACTGGCCGGGGTCAAGCCATACTGAATGTAATTGTTGTGCTATGTACTAGTCTTGGAGAATTGATAGTTACAATTTTATGGTTCATGATTATTACTTGATCTACTTTGCTGCTCTCATGATACGTAATATGATATGCCCTTAATGAACTCAATCCACCTCGACTATAGCGTCATGGCCCTATCAAGTTCTACTCGTTCGTAAACGCACAATCGAGATAGACGATATTAGTAGCTTCAAAGAGCTAATTCAAGGCCTGACAATACGTGTTTCGGTGCTCTGGCCTTCATGAGATAGGAGGCAGTCCAGGGCGATCGACAACCTCGGACGACGCCAATCAACGTCAGCCTAACTCGGAGCAGAACGAGGTGGCAAGCCTAGTGGCCGAGCACTTCCAAGACAGCTTCGGCGGGGTCTCCAGAATTGAACCCCCGGAAAATGTGGGGGGCCCGGGGTAGCTGCTCGTCGTCGTGGCATGAATTCGTCAACCTTATTTCCTTTGTATGCATGGCAATCGATGCTGTCTGCATATAAACATTAAGCATGGTTCACGAACCGTGAGCTCTTCACTGCAGAATCTGGGGCTGTTGCACTGTCCGCTCCACCTCCTTTTACATTGCCCTTCCCTGTTTCTCTTCTCACTATATATTTGGACGTTTGAGCTGAAATTGGACGGTTCTTCGGGACTCCTTGTAGCCACCATGTCTCGGAATGACAAAAGTTCTGTTGGCCATGTGGAAGACATTGAGGCAGTTACCACTGGCGAAATGGAGACGCACCGGGCTACCAAGGTGATGGGCACGGTGAAATTGACCGAAGGCAGCATTGTGTACATTCCGACTCCGACAGCCGATCCTCAGGGTATGTCGTCTCAATCCTTCCGATGCATTGCATTATCTGACTAGCTCAATTGTTCAGACCCGTTGAATATGTCCATGCTTCGCAAGATAACCATCCTCGTCGTCATATCACTTTGTAGGCAGCCTACTTTGACTCAAATATCAATTCAGACGCACTAATTCCAAACAGTCTCATGCCTCGGCCTTGCTCTTGTGTCAGGATTCGGCGGCTTGCTAGGCTTCTACATTCCCGGATATGAAGCCGTGGGGGTAGATTACAACGGAATTACTTACTTGATGACCTACCCAACTCTGTTCATGTATGAGCCCAAGTCATCCCAGTGTACATCAGGGCCTCGTCTTACGTCTAACGTGTCTGTGTCATAGGGGAATTGGGAATTTGATTGGAATGCCTGTGGCTATTGCTGTCGGGCGTCGGATTGTGATGCTAGTCTCGACTGCTATTCTTGCCGTCGGCGCCATTCTATGCGCAACGGCAAAGAGCTACGAGTGGCACTTTGGCGCAAGAATTCTGGTCGGTCTCGCTGCCGGCCAAAGTGAGTCGATTGTCCCCATGATCACACAGGTGAGCAATGCACCCTTCTCTCCATTCCATCTAGTGCCCTAACTAATCTCATTCTTTGATGCTGTTGTGCACCTGTACAGGAGATTTTCTTTCTCCATGAACGAAGCAAAGCCCTCATGGGCCAACAGGCTATTCAAGTCTGCCTGACTACGGTGTGGGTCTTGTTCGCTGGCCCTATCGCCGAGGCTATTACGCCGCAATGGTGGTATGGTCTTGGTGCCGTATTAGCCGGCGCTCTATTTGTCGCTACGATCTTCCTATTGCCGGAAACTAAATACGAGCGATCGATGTCAGCGTACCAAGAAGAGTCCTCGTCGGGTGACGAGATGGCCACGGAGAGCTCTAACGACGACAAACCAAAGCACTCGGAGACAGAACCGTGCACGGAGCGCCCAGAGCTAGACTTTGTCCACTACTCCCCGCGCACGTTTAAGTCCGACTTGCGCCTGTGGATCGGCAAGCCGGAGTGGATCAAGTTATGGGAAGTGCTGAAGGTATGTGTAACCCTCCACCATGCTAGCTGGCACTTCTGGGAACATAGTAAGTAACCTGGACCTCGTGCACAGCAAACTGCGGAGCTTCTCCTCTTCCCCAACGTGCTTTGGGCGCTTCTCATCAACGGCTTGGTCATTGGTGTCAACATAGCCATCGGCACGACGTACAGCACGATCCTCTCCGCCGCGCCCTACAACTGGCCCAACAGCAGTGCTAGCTACATCAACTGTGGGCAGATCCTGGTGGCCGTTGTCGCGCTGCCTCTGCTCGGACATGGCTCAGACTGGCTGGTGAAGTTCCGCGCCAAGCGGAATAACGGACTTCACGAGCCCGAAACGCGGTTGATTCCACTCATCTTTCCGGCCGTGGTGGGCACCTTTACAAGCTCTTTATACGGGGTAGGGGCCGCCCATCCCTTTGACTACCACTGGTTTGTCTACGCCTGGGGTGTTGCGGCTTACTATTTCTGCTTCGTTGGCGTCAATATTGTCACCATCACGTACCTGCTGGACAGCTACCCGGCGCGTGCTGGCCCTCTGCTGGTGATTATCTGTGCTTTCAGAGGTATCATTTCCTTCGGCACCAGTTATGGCACCGCTCCTTTCGTCGCCCTACATGGCTACGATGGGACTTTCAATACCTTCGCCGCCCTCACCGGGTTCCTCGCTCTGGTAGGCGTCCCGATCTTTATCTGGGGGAAGCGCATTCGGGCTTTTACTGGGCGGTTTGCTAAAGACAAGACCGATTGAGCATGAGGCAGCAATGTTTGATACTCCGTTTGTTCCTTCATGTGAACATGGCTATCACCATGTTGTCCGAGTTGGAGGCTGCCATGTCTCTATAATTGAGTTCTCGTTGTTTGTTTGGTATCAGGTCTGGATATAGCATAAGTTAGTTCACACTTTACAATCCCTAAAATCTTAGACATTCAGTGTCGCCTATGAGCCAATCTCCCCCCAGTGACATTTATCCCGATTGCACTAGAACCGTCCATAACCTAGCACGGATTCTGATCATACTGCGCATTCAAATCCTTGTTGATGATACCCGCGTCGACGGCCTCTGATCATTCCAGTTAGCACTGCCCCACTGCATAAACGGTAAGGTACGAGCATACTCTGGTAATTCCACTGCTCCACATTGGGCAAGGCATCCGTCTTCCACGACCAAAAGACCCATCCATCAAGCGCCTCATACTGTCTCTGCTGCGCGGAGAACCACTTGGAGTACGACTGCGCATGAGCCCCGGTCATGGGCAGGAAGTTATCGCCAGTATTGTCAAACGCCAGACTCCACTCGCCCACAACCTTGGGACTAACACTGGACTTGCGGTCATCGCCGCATGCATCCGTAATCATCTCGTCTATCGTCTCGGCGTTGCGAACCAGGTAGATCTCATAATTGTGATCGTCGAACAGAAGATTTTCCTTCTGCGTGTCGCTGAGAGAGCGCGTAGGGTTACCACCCGAGTTCCATTTATCGTCCTATATACTACATTAATATTCCCATGGGAATAGTGAAATAAGAAAAAACAGACCATGACAGTGACATGCAGCGCATCCGCATCGGAAACGCCCAGGTCCGATTCTTTCGCACGGATGCGATCAATAGCCGACGGATAGAAATACTCGACCATCCAGTTTGTGTCAGCGTTCGCCGCGTTCTGGAGAGGCTCGTTGACGAGCTCCAGGGCCCCGACATTTTTGAATGCGGAGGGATCGCTGTGGACTTGCTCGATGATCCATTCGTAGAACTTGTATGCTCGTTCGGAGTTTTCGTCGCTTTGATAGAATTGTGGTGGATCCACATACTACATGCAAGTCAGGGTAGTTTCAACTGGGATGTCTAACTCAAAGGTGAAGGTATCTGGAAACCCTACCCGACCGGTAAATGGCTGGTTGGGCTGCTGAGCGCCCGGCAGCCCGTGAAGATCAATAATGATATACATATCGGCGTCGGACGCCCATTGACAGACGGTGGTTAGATCATCGATTGAGTTGTTGCGTGGGTAGTACTCGTCGTCGTTGATTAGGTCTTCGTACATCCAGAAGCCGATGGGGATCTGGAAACTATGTCAGATAATGAGGATGTATATTCATGCCTTTATCACGTACCCGGATGGTGTTGAGCCCGTACGACACCATCCGAGTGATATCTTCCTGAGTGATCCACGTCTGCCAATGTTTCTTAAACACTGCATTGGCCGCGTCCTGTCCGATGCCTTTCACGCAATCCCACTCGCTCTTGTAGTCGCTACAACCCATATCCGACCATTCGCTACTGGCCATCCATGGCTCCATGACGAAATGGGACCCCAAGTTGACACCGCGGATCTTTGACGTATTAGTGAAGGTTGAGAGGCTCCGACCTTGGTCGTTGGGCAGCCAGGCTAGGGCTAGAGGGGCACTCCCCAAAAGCGCGATCAAGACGTGGAGCTTCATCTTGGACTAGAAAACGTGGTTGGGCAATACTCCCTCGAAGGTAGGCGAGAGAACCCAGAAAAGGTTCTAGATATAAGACACTGCACGATCCGATCGGCCTGCATTTTTAAGGCCCCTTGCACGGAATCGGGCCATCAAACCAGCCTGGGTATTGGTTGGCTACTACAGCCTGCATGCAAGGGTTGTTTATAATAATACCTCAGGCGCGTGTCGATCATTCTCCCACTTCGGCAAACGAAGGTAAGAAATCCCACGGGAGCCCCTATTATGGTGGCATCGCCTGGTGACAGTTGCACCGTCCCTGTTCCTGAAACGTACTATTTCTAAGGTTGAACATGGGGTCGACTGTTGCTTGGGCCCATGGGGGGTCGGGATGGAGTTCAGATCTGAGCTGCATAGATTATGCCAGCAAGGCATGGGGGTTGTTGTATTTGGGTTCCATTTTCTTTCTCGCTCTTTTTCGTGCAGACAGCATAATAACATATCCTGTAAATTACTCGACTGCATCACTTGTTGAATGCAGTTCATATCTCCAGTGCGCCCTTCTGCTGAACATAGTCTAGCATCTGAGATAGAAAAGGTAGGACCGTCCCAAGCTAGACGCAGCCAAGAGACGATAAATATTGCGTCTGCGAGGTTCCTGTACCTTATGGTTTTCAAATCATGAGGGATATTATCGCTGGGGCCAGTGGATCAATCGGGGAGTCAAAAGGGCTTTGGCAGCCCATCATAACAGCAGCAGGGGCTGCTCGAGTTAGATCGTGCCAGTGTCCGTCGTACATTTTCGATTTTTCTACAGGGAAGCTTTGTAGGTTGTTCTATATATCTAAACTAGCAGATCAACGATTCAAAAGGGGCCACGTTCCTTTCAGTTCAGCGATGGAGCTCTCGTGCCAAAATTCGATAGTGTGAACGGTAGATTTAACTAGATATATAATACTCGAGATTGGCTCTGCTGTTGACAGATTCGGTTGGGTATCATCAAGCACCTTTACCTCCCAAACACATGTGTGTGGGGGCAAAACAGGGAATGGAAAAAAAAAAAAAAAAAGAAAAGAAAAGAAAAGAACAAAGGAGTGAACAGGAAAATGGAAAAGAAATGGACGACACTAAGCTTTCGCGCTCCGTGAGTTTACTATTTTGTCTGAGATTAGCATGCAAGAAGATGAAACAGTTCTTCGGATGAAAATGGTCCAGGTACATCTCTCGGTAGCAGACACCAGTTTCCCAAAAAGGGATTTGCCTGATGACACTGGCAGGGTAGACCTCAGCCAACCATGTCCATACGCCGGAAGACGAAGTGACGGCCACTATCGAGGTTTTTCCAAGGTACTGACTTAACCGGTCTGGGTTTGATCAGGGAAAAGGGGGCGATCAATAATTCAGACATCGCGTGGCTGCTGACGCTCCTGATTGGTCCGTAGGCTGAGCCCTAAAGTTGATCCTGCATCTCGCCAGATTCAATTGGGAAACTAGCGAGATCCCTTGAACAAGAAAAGGAAATTCGAGATGACGATCCCACTGACCGGATTGCCACCTGTTCCTGCAGCTCTACCAGTTTATCACAGTTCGGACTACTGCAGAAGATGTCGCAGACTCGCAGCCCCAAGTCGATCCACTTTCTGCTCCGTAGTGCTGAGAAGTACCTCCAGCTCGGGCACAATTACCAGCAGTCTAGACTGTACATGAATGTGGCCCGGTAGATTCGGATATTATTGCCCGCTTGTCTGGTTCGTTCGCCGACGGGCTGATATTGTGACAGCTCAGCTGCAGCGGACCATATATAGGAGACGTCATGGCCCGTTTCAGCCGTAGGCCAACTGTCGTACTTGGGGATGCCACACCCGTCCATTCGCTTGCCTTTCTGTGGTTTCATTTGTAGCCAAAATAGTCATTCCTTTCCGAGCATGCGCGACTTCCTCTCTCTCTTAGGGCTGGCCAGCATAGTGGCCTCATCGTCCGCTGCCGTCATTCCTTCAACATTCGCAGCGATATCGTCGACCATTGCCCAAGTGTCTCATTTAACATGGACCGATGCGACCTCCGTGGAAATCCAAAATGGCATTGGCAGTCCAGGTGTCGCAGCCAGCGGAACATGCACAGGCCCTAGTAAAAGCTCCCCTACAAGCTACTGGCTCGCGGATCAAGACCACAGCGGAAATGCTCGTGGTTATGCCCCTAACGTGAACAATACGAATTACCCGGTGTGGCGCAATGCCCTGGATTACGGCGCCAGCAATGATGGATCCGGTAACCAGACATCCAAGTTGCAAAACGCCATCAACGATAACGGCTCCGGCGGCAGTCGTAAAAGCAGCGGCGTCACTCGTTATCCTGCGGAGGTCTTCCTCCCCGGGGGAACCTATCAGTTGGGGAGTACACTGGAACTACGTGTGGGCACCATCATTACAGGAGATCCGCTCAATCCCCCAGTGCTCAAGGCTGCGCCGAATTTCGAAGGCGATACCCTGGTCATGGGGTATGATTCGGGCAATGGAAATCCGGAAACTAGCTTCATGACCCTGATGAGAAATGTGGTGCTGGACACCACGGCTCTCAGTGCTGACACAAAGATCACGGCGCTGCAGTGGGGTGTAGCACAGGGCTCCGGCTTGACTAATGTCCAGATTGAAATGCCGACCAGCTCTACGGGCCACACCGGCATATACATCCAGGCTGGTTCGACAATTGCCGTTACTGATGTGGTATGTTTGCAGCCTTCGGGTTCGAGTCGGGCCAATGCTAACGGAAGTAGCAAATCATCGGCGGTGCTGTAGGTATCAAGAACTCTAATCAACAGGTCAACTTCAAGAATATTGCGTTCAAATACTGCACGACGGCGTTCGAAGCAGCTGGTGGCCACACGGTGCTACTACAACAGGCGACATTTGACACCTGTGGCACCGGCATTAACATGACTACCAACAGTCTGGGTAGTCTCGTGCTGCTTGACTCGTCTTCTACCAACTCTGGGCCGGTCGTTAGATTCCACGATTCCTCTAATGACAGCGGCAACCGTAATAGCCAGGTCCTTATCGAGAACCTATCGCATGAGAACAGCAATCCCATCGCAGTTGACAGCCAAGGCAATGTCAAACTGGGAGCTGCCTCGCATGTCGACACCTGGGTTTGGGGAAACGTCACTCCAGGTCAGTACCAGAGCGGAACCGGGTTTAGTACCTTGCGCCCGGGCGTACTGCTTGCGAACAACAAGTACTTCACAAGGGTGCAGCCAACCTACGCCGGATACAGCAGTGACCAGATTGTCAACGTGAAGGCTGCGGAAGGCTACACCGTCAAGGGTGACGGTTCCACAGATGATAGCGCGGCGCTGAACGCTATTTTGGCGAACAATGCAGCAAACTGTAAGATTACTTACTTTCCATACGGCGTCTATCTGGTCAAGGATACACTCGTCATTCCTAAGGGCTCTCGTATCGTGGGCGAGGCCTGGGCAGTGATTACCGGCGCGGGAGATGCATTCAAAAACGCCGACAATCCTAAGCCGGTCGTGCAGATCGGACAGGAGGGGGATGTGGGTGTGGCTGAAATTCAAAATATGAGATTCAGTGTGGCCGAGATTCTTCCGGGAGCGAAGGTTCTCGAGATAAACATGGCAGGCAGTGCACCCGGCGATGTGGCATTATGGAACACTATGGCCACCGTAGGAGGTACTGCGGAGACCACCATTGCCAACAGCTGCATCGACCAAGATATGTCCAAATGCATGGCGGCATTCATGGTCCTCCATCTCACAAAGACTTCGTCCGCGTATATTGAGAATTTCTGGGGCTGGACGGCTGATCACAACCTTGACGGTGGACCGATCACGATCATCTCCACGGGCCGTGGTATTCTGGTCGAGGCCACCCAGGGAACTTGGCTTACCGGGACCGGGTCTGAGCATCACTGGTTGTATAGCTACAACTTCCGTAACGCACAGAATATCTACGCAGGTCTTCTCCAGTCGGAGTCCCCATATATGCAAGGAGACGGAGCCACACAGACTGCTCCCGCTCCATGGACAGTTGAATCCGAGTTCGGGGACCCCGACTTCTCCTGGTGTGGCGCAGACGACCAGAAGTGCCGTACCTCGCTTGCAACCAACGTGGATGGTGGGTCGGATATTCTTTTGTATAACTCCGCCGCATGGGCGTTCTTTAACGGGCCCTGGGATGGAACCTACAGCCACCAGTGCAACGGCTCGTGTCAAACCAACATGATGCGCGTGGCAAACTCCCCAACCAACCTCGTGTGGTATTCCATCAGCACCCGCAAGACGGACGTCATGGTGCTAGACGACCAATCGAACCCAATCGAGTACAATCATCCGGGGGGTGGGAAGCGATTATTCAGGCGTATCGGCAATTTGCGGAGGCACAGTAGATGCGATGCATAGTATATAGAGGTATGGAACCGTTCGTTCCAGTGTAACTAGATGAGAAGATTGGTTGGAGATTCTTTGTCCGGGAATGTTCTGTTTGGAGATACAGGACGCCGTAGAAGACACCACACCACGTGCTTGCCGTCGGATTATGTACACAAATCGCCCAGAATGATGAGTCAGGCTGTGCGGCACCCCCCTGCAGGAATGCCCAACGTGACCTGGGATGATCTCATCACGGGTTGATACGTGTCGTTCTCTCTCGCCCGTATAAATATCGCGCACCCCTCCAATCCGACCGCCCTGGTCCACTTTGCTAAAATTCTGTTTTTTGTCTCCCCCGCCACCACCACCACCACCAGGTTTCTTCTTTCTTTACCTTCCCTCCCAAAACCAACAATCCAAGTACTATCGTACTCCATCAAACCTTCACCATGTCGAAAGTTTACGTCGGGTCAGTTCTTGAATTCAGAAAAATATGAAAAAAAAAATTAAGAAGAAAACTTCTTAATCAAAAAATCACATGTGGAATGTTGTCTTACTTATTGAATTCAAAATCAAAAGAAACCTTTCCTGGGGCACCGATGATGAGTCTCTCCGTGCGGCATTCAGTCAGTTCGGCCAGATCACTGACGCTGTAAGCTGGCCTTAGCCATCCTATCCATTGACTTTTCTTGCTCTTTCGCGGTTTTGTGATGTCCCTTGCCGCTAAGTCACACTTATTAGATCGTTATGAAAGATCGCGAAACCGGCCGCAGCAGAGGATTTGGCTTCGTCAGCTTCAGTACTGCCGAGGAAGCTGAGGCTGCCATCAGTGGTCTCCACGACTCCGAGTAAGCCTTGCATTCCAGCCTTGTCATGGCCTTGAATCGTCTAATCGGATTGTGTGATTTAGCCTCGATGGTCGCCGTATCAAGGTCAACATGGCCAACGCTAGACCCTCTGGCAACCGTGGCGGCTACGGTGGCGGCTACAACCAGGGTGGCGGCTACCAGGGTGGTGGCTACCAGGGTGGTGGCTACCAGGGTGGCGGCTACCAGGGTGGCGGCTACTAAACGCACTTCCCTATATACGTCGAATACCTAGTTGCATGCAGTCACGACTCGATATGATTACTGTGGCGGATGTCAATCACCGACCGAGGATAATTGTTGAAGGGAATGAATGATGGAAAATTGTGTCTTGACATGAATGGACCCAGATATCCAAAGCCACATAATGGCTGATGCCGGAAACCGGCTATGACAATACCAATAACTAGCTTCACGTCGCGTATTATACCCATGAATAATAGGAAATCCATTACGTGTACCCTTGTATGGGCGCATGTATCACTTGTCTACTGCTGTGTCTTTGTTCAGGTATTGAGGTCTCGAGATTACCTTCTCAACCGCCCATTCACGCCAGCAGGTCCCTGTAGACCTCGACGTTTGTCGCGGCCTCCCCGTTGCCATTGCATTTCCATTGGTATGGACAGCGGGTCTCGTCCTAGCACATCGTCGCTTAGTGGACAGTGTCCTGGTGCCGCCGTGCCCTGCTTATGGCTAGGATCCAGCAAACCTCCAGATGCCGCAGAATATGTAGCCGGTTGATAGTCCTCTGGTACCCAGTGATCTTTCTTGCACCATTCTATCCACGGTAGCAACCTGCACGAGAAACAACAACCGTTATTCAAGATGCATGTAAGCGGACGGGGATGGCCTGTGGTTGTCATCTTTGGTAGATTCCAACGATACGAGCATAACTCAATGTCGCATTGGCGAGTTTTGTCCCATCCATATTTCCGCTTCCAAAGGCTTACTCGCTTCTGATAGAACCAGATGACCCGAACTACGTCCTCATAACGAATCAACAGAACTTCAAAATTTATGAAACATGTAGCCACAATGGGTTCTCGTTCACCTGCACCTTTTCTGCGTCTTCCATGTTCCCCTCCCCATGGGCAATGATGACTTATACATCTGACCTTCACCTTTGGGTGCTCCAGTATGCACGGGAGCTCATGCACCGCGGCTGCTGGATAATACTATGGGGGTCAGTTTCAACATGGCGGTGTAACCATGTATTAGGGCGTTTCCATTGTCATTCAAGGATCTCAGAATTTCCAGGCACGCGTCTAGGCATTCGCCTAGAAAGGAGCTAGGCCGATCGAAGGGCCCCGGGGCTGTCGTCGCGTGGCTCATACGCAAGAACAGGGCGTTAACCTAGACGGGATAGGCCAAATGCCGAGAGCACATTCTAATTGTACGTGTTCAGCGAGGCGCCGTTTCGTGCAACCGAGTAACGACACACATATCGCATGCTCTCTTTGTTCGTCTGGGACTAGCAACGGTCATGTCGATCCCGTTGTTACACGACCCGCCCTTTAATCTCTGTGACTCCACGTGTATGGCTCATTTCATCGTGGCAATATACGTGGGGAGTGTGACTACCCTAACTACCAGATGCGAGAGATCCTCTTCCAGTCTGCGACGTTAGAACCTGGATATTGATTGAAAAACAAATCTGACTGTCTAGTCAATACTGTCACATATTGTCATTCATGGTGATACCAGGAGTCACTGGCTCAATAGCGATGCGAGATACGTGATACCCTTCATTTCACAAGCCAAGCCAAATGGATAGCCTCGATTGTGTGCTACCGCACCAGATGGATGCTCATAGGGCCTCATCAGCCACCGGAAATGAAGGGGTGACAATATATGCATAGTGGGATAGAACATGTTCTGTCCGCGGGGGGTTTATAGACTAAAGCGCGTCAAAGGTATATTAGTCGCTGTCTACCCCAGCCCTGTAATTCTCTCCTCCAAGCCCTTTGATGGTCTGCGACGTCGGGGACTACATTCACTTCTTGCATTCTTTTAAAAGAACCCCTGTTCGATCATGTCGTTCCTTCTACAGTGTTTGATTGGTTTCTTTGTACTCCAGGGAGTACTAGAGGTTGCTGGCAACCCCATGGTACATAACATCCACGCCAAAGCCATGCATCATCGACTTCACTTTGGTCGTACTGTGGCTGAGTGTGGTGCAGACGCTGCTGCACCCGGTGCTACCTGCCCCGGCAATGCCTGCTGTTCGTATGTGCAGGAATTGGTCCTTGTCGTGCATATGGTTAACCCTAGGGACATAGTCAATGGGGCTTCTGCGGTACTACTCGTGAGTACTGTGGTGCAGGATGCCAATCAAACTGTGCTCCACCAAAGGATCCTTCAGGCCATCAGCCGGATACTTCTCAGCCAGGCCAACAGCAAACCACCCTAGGCCGCGCTTCACCAAGCCAAGGACCATGCAAAAAATCCAGCTCCCTGCTGATTTTCCAACCAACGGCACAACCGACAACCATGCCCAGTACTTCGCCGAGTACTCCCCCTATCGCCCAACCAACACCGGGCGACCCAGGAGACAGCACTGGTAAGGTCATCGCCGGTTACTGGCAGGGATGGAACATGGGCAAGCCCTGTGCCACCATGAAGCCGGAGGAAATCCCTGTAGAATCGCTCACGCATCTCATTTTCTCATTTGGATTTGTCGCGCCGGATACCTATAAAGTCCTGCCCATGCCGGATACCGAAGAAGGTTTGTTTCAACAGGTCACGGGCGTCAAAAGGAAGAACCCAAACCTCAAGGTTCTTGTTGCTCTTGGGGTAGGGACTCCCTTCCCACGTCCATGCTCCCTGCTGACAATCTTCTAGGGCTGGACACATACTGACCCGGGCCCATACCGCGAGGTATTCACTACCATGGTATCCTCGCCTGCCAGCCGCCAAACTTTCATCACAAACCTGCTTAGCTTTCTGACTCAATACAACTTCGATGGTGTGGACCTCGATTGGGAATACCCTGGTGCCGAGGAGAGAGGTGGCCACCCAACCGACAAGGAGAATTTCTCGAAGCTTCTGCAGGAGATGCGAGAGGTATTCCAAAGCAAATACGTTATGACGTTCGCGGCACCATTAGCCTCTTATTACTTGCAGAACTATGATCTCAAGGTAGCCTCTGAGGCTGTTGACTGGATTAACGTCATGGCGTATGATATCCACGGTACATGGGAGAGTGACAAAAAGGCCGCCGGGCATACGAACTTGACCGATGTCAACAAAGGGGTAGAGAACTACATCCGGGCCGGCGTAGCCCCAAGTAAACTTGTCTTGGGGACCGCCTTCTACGGTCGCAGCGTAAAAATGGCCAGTACAAGTTGCACGCAACCTGGTTGCACATTTACCGGTCCGGGAGCAGAGGGACGATGCGTCAAGACTGCAGGCTATTTGTCTCACACGGGTACGTGACAACGTTTGACTCCAGATGCATCGTTCTAACTACATCGTCTTGAACAGAGATCAATGATGTGATATCTGGCGGTGCAACGCCGGTGTTTGACCAGGCTGGGTCTGTCCAGCACTTAACATGGGGCGGGGACAATTGGGTTTCGTGAGTGATTCCATTCCTTTGCTGGGATTCTGATTAATGTTCTGGTCGTGATACTCCAGATATGACGATCCCGAGACCATTAAGATCAAGGTTAACTACGCCAGCAGGAAAGGACTACGAGGGGTCATGGCGTGGGCCATCGATATGGACGACGAGCAAAGGAGTATGACTAAAGCGTTGTCCGGTCATTGAGATTGTATCCAAACCCCCCTCTGCGTTGTCTATGGGCCATTGCTATGCACTGTTCCTCTTCTTCCTTCTTCACTATTTTAGTTGGATTCAAGCGTTGTATCACTAGATGATGTCGCGCGGTTATATCTGACTGGGATAGCAGTTGCATGAGTCCAAGTGAGCTACTGAGCAGTTGTTGTGGTATTTTTCTCGACCGTACAGATGCTCGTCACTCTATGCTGTCTATATTTCAATCTCTATTTGTATCCTCCACTATCAGTAGCTATTTCTCATTTGGCTTGAATTCCTGCCCAGTCAAATGGCCGATCGCCGATGTCTGGTTCCTGCGTCGAAAAGTCATGCACGTGGACCCGATCGCTGTCTAGTTCTTCTTGGTTGAAGAAGATATCTCGGATCTTTCGCTTGATGAATTTTCCCGACAGTGTCATCGGCAGCTCTTGATTCTTGCTAACGACCCGCAGGACCGTTGGCAACTTGTATGCATTCATCCGTCGCTCGACTGCCAACCACCTGCGTACTGCTAGGAGATCTAGGCTATTTTTGTCGGAGTCATCACCACGTATGACCACAAGCGCAGCAACGAGCTGGCCGGCAGAGGTATCCTGGATGCCAAAGACGATCGCCTCTGATACAAGTGGGTGTTTAGCCAGCTCGCTTTCGACTTCCGGTGCGAGGATCTTCCACCCGGAAAATCGAATAACTACAAGTGTCAATCTCTGGACACTGCATCTAAACAGTACAGTCTCACTTACTGTCCTGAGACGCCCGACCAAAGACGTAGAGCTGGTCTCCTTCCAGTTTACCCATATCTCCGGTTTTCCAGTATCCGTCGGCATCGAAAATACCATTCATTACCGTGGGATCTTCTGATATATACCTTCGGGTTGTCAGTCATTTGAAATATTTATTGGATTGGTTCTTTCACCTTTTGAATCTCGGGGGGGTTTGGATGCATATCTCGCCAGCCTCGTTGATTTTCAGGTCAACATGGCGACAGATCCGACCACAGCAGTCCTTGTTTCTTAGGGTCAGCTAAACGAACCTCGCCATCATGCGCAAAGGACGTATCATCTTACCATCGGGAGAACCGCATTTGAGTTCCAGTCAGCAGCAACGACGAACATCAACACCTCAGACATCCCATATGCGACCGTCAACGGCTTTCCACCGCGCAGATCCATCCACTCATCCCTCAATTCCGGCGTCACCCTCGCACCTCCCGAGGCGATCACTCGCATTCCCCTCAGGCCTTGAAGAATACGGCCATACCGCTCAGGTGGGCCCTCCCTCCGAACCGCCTCTAGCTTCGCACCGACGGCTTGAAGCCCCGAGGGAACCAGGAATACAGCCGTTAGGCCATCCTCTGGCCCGGTCTTCTTTTCCCACTGCTCCAACAGCCAATCCGGACTAAACACGGAGCTACAAAATTCCAGACATGCACCGGCCAGAATAGTGTGAAACAGGAATAGCCACCCAGCTGCCCAATGAACCGGAGAATAATGTGCCCAGGTGTCACTTGGGCCCAGGCCGAACAGCTCGATGCTGGTAACGTACGCTGTTTCGGCCCCTCGCCGCGAATGCAGTACCCCCTTTGGGGTACCGGTAGTTCCGGACGTGTAGAGAAGCACAAAGCCCTTGTCCGCGTTGATCAGGGGCTCTCCTTCCGGTTGCAATGCGAAGTGAAGAGCTGTTGGCCTAACTAACTCTGTCACGTTGATCTCGAGGGCGGGAATGCCAGTGAGGTCGGAGATGGCCTCAGCTTTGCTCCTTGTGCTCGGTACCGTGATTATCAGCGCCGCGTTGCATAGCCCTAAGAAGTATTTTCCTTCGTCGGGATGGAGCGCCGGTGCTAATGGGCTCACATGAGTATTAGGAAGGATATCAGTGGATGAGAAAGGCGAGGGGAATAGCTTACACAGGGGAACAATGACAGCACCGATACTATACAGGGCAAAGGCCAGGACGGCAAATTCATGGCCTGGGCCAACTAGAACCCCCACGAAAACATCTGTATCCGCGCTCCTGAGGCGGACTTTGACCTCGGGGGCAAGCGACTCAAGAATCCGCCCCCGTGTGACCAGTATGTCGTTCAAAAACTCTCCCACTGTGGTTTCATATCCGTCGGAGAGATCTCGGATGATGGTTTTGGTGGGATGGCTCTTCCATACCTGGAAGAGGAGCGTGAGGAGCGGTTCCCGGGGGACTTGCAGCATTTTTCGAAGCCTTTAGAGATAGGAGAGAAAGGGCCAAGTGAACAGATTGTGTTTTTTTTTTCCATTCAGACTACATGTGACTGTGGCGGGGTTGAATGTAACCCCCCGTCTTTAGCGCTGTGATGTTCTCCTGCATCACGATGGTCAATATATATACCGTATCGGGTAAAGAGAGTTCTTTGGGATCGCCGCCCTTGCACGTTGATGCAACAGACATTCTTCGAGGTAAGTGGATGCAACTGTACTTTGCATACAAATGCAATCAGAGAGCCAGAATCTTCTTTGCCTAGCGCTTTAGCATGCTGCGAACAGGTATCCATACGACCACTCCTCTATACTACTACTAGTAGTAGTAGAGTATGTAGTCGATATGCAGCTATGAATCAGGGGATGTGATTGGTTGTGTCTCTCGAGAGTGGGGCAGAGAAAATCCTTCCACCGCGAAGCAGTCATGAAGTGGTTGCGATCTGCGCAAGAGCCGCATTCCTGGCGGTCTCATATCAATCTGGGGAGAGATTGTCCATGGTTTCTGCCCTTCGGCACTTGCTACTTGGCATTGTCCTTTGGTCACTTGTCACTCGGAGGACCCATCGATTGTTCCGTCGGGCTGACCATCTCATCTCGGATACGAGAGATGCAGCTTGTGGATACGATGTATCACACACCATTGGCTGCAGCACCACTTAGCCCTAATTTCCCTGAAATAGGAAATTTTGGCAGCGAGCAATCGGAGGGAGTGAAAAGATCCATAAGCCCCGTCGTCCTCTGGAATTAGTTCCCATTATTCGAGAATTGGTCCCGATGGAGAGAGCCTGGCGCGAGAACTAGTGGTTATTTGGCGCCATTACGAGATTAATTCTGCAAGGTTGGGGGCCACCGCATAAAAATCCCGAGGGCGAATTCTAAAAAAGGAGACTGGATCCAGACTTTTCCCCTGGACCCAGTTATCGCCTTCTTTTTCAGCCTCACGGCGTGACATTTAACACCCCCTCGCCCGTATTTTGGACCCTGGGGAGTCCCGGTGGACTATCATCCACTCTTTGGAATTATGCCCATGTAAGCTTGGCCGGGCATCCTCGTAAATCTACCCCTCGTTCAGCGCACCGCGAAGGAAACCAATTTCCCTCGCGCCGGCATGGAGCGCACTAAATGGCTGGACGGCCTCCGCGGCGTCGCAGCCGCGATCGTGGCATTCGACCACTATTTCATGGGCGAAGTCTGGCACCCATTCCTCTCCTTCTGGGGGGGCCCTGAGCAGGACAATCATCGCTTCGTGCAGCTGCCTCCCATTCGCATCCTCTTCTCCGCGCATGCGATGGTGACGCTATTCATGGTGATCTCGGGCTATGCCATCTCCATTAATATCCTGAAAGCCCGACCCAGTCCGCAATACTCCACACGGATTTCCTCCGCCGTGCTGCGGAGACCCTTTCGAATTTATCTCCCGGTGCTGGTCATGGCGACGATCAGCCAGTTGCTATTTTTCTTCAACCTCTACAACTGGACCTTCGACGAGGGCCTCTTAAAGGGCCTCGAGCCCTGGACGGCACCCTGGGCCCACATCAAATGGCTATTCATCTACATGGCCGACAGTCTGAACATCATCGCCTTCGAGTACAACGGCGGTTTCAACGGCCAGCTGTGGACCATGCCCGTTGAATTCCGGGGATCCAACGTCATCTTCCTACTCCTAATGGCGCTATCCGCCTGGCGACCAAAGCTGCGGCTCTGGTTCCTGCCTCCCCTGGCACTCTATTTCCTCTGGTACGGCATCTGGGACATCTTCGGCTTCATCTGGGGCCTCTGGCTTGCCGAACGAGCCGCAGCAGCAGCCACCCCCGCCACCGGAACCAACCCAACGCAAACCACCGCCACGGACGACGAGGAGGAAAAACTCCCCTTGTTCCCATTCTCGCCCTCCAACTGGAAAGGCCGCCTGCTAAACCGCAAGAACTTCACCCTCTCGCGCATGACAACCATCATCTCCTTCCTGCTCGGCTACCACCTCCTCTGCCTCGGCGACGACGGCCACCTCACCCCAGGCTACCAATTCCTATCCGTCTTTCAACCCGCCAAATGGAAGGACAACTGGCAGGTCATCCACTGGTGCTGGAAGTCCGTCGGTGCCGCCCTGACGGTCTATGCGATCAGCGAGTCGCGCCTCCTGCAGCGCCCGTTCAACACGCGGCCCGTGCAGTATCTCGGCAAGATCTCCTTCTCGCTGTATCTGGTGCACCAGGCCGTGTATCATCTGTGGCGCGACCCGGTGAGAAACTATCTCTGGTTGCTGGCGAATGGGAGCCCCTACCCGGGCAGCGTGGAGGCCACGGCGAACGATCCCATGTCGTTTCATGTGGCGTGGTGGGCTTCGGGGATTATCCTCGGCACGGTGGTGGTGTATGCGGCGCATTATTATACGATTTACGTGGATAATAAGTGTGTGGCGTTGACGAAGCGGGTCGAGAGGTGGTTGACTTCCTGAGGCTAAGCTATTTTTCGGAGTTTACGTATTTAGTAACTGTGGGTTGAGTTTAATATATGGGCTCATTTTATCTTATGGTAGTACTGTATGCCATGTTGCTCGTCGTATTGAGAAAAGTCATGTATAATAACTACGGACGGTGTGGTGTGTATGTACATCCATCGCTAGCATCGACAAAAAAACTACCACAACGTAGCCTCCGGCGTAGGCGCAGCAACCCCCGACTCAGGCACCGCCGGCGTAGGGGTCGGGACGCTGGCCTCGGCGACGCCAGTGGGCAGGGACTCCAGATCGCCGACGAGAGGCACCATGCTCACGGGAGGGATATACCACCTGCGATCGCATTCGGTCCATCGGGGATCGATCTGGGTCATCACGCCCTCCGGGATGCCCATCCAGGGCATATAATCATCGCGGATCATGGTGCACTTGTTGCCGCCGCGGAAGGGACACTGCGAGGCGCCCTGGTACTTCTCCCAGGGGATCAGCGGCATGGTGTAGTTGCCCACCGTGTGGGGCTGGAACTCGTCGTACTCGAAGGGGTACGCGGTGCCGATGGTGGGGTATTTTGCGTTGAGGTGGCTGCGGTAGGAGGACACGGCGGTGGGATCGACGGAGATGATGACGTCTTCGTACTCGCCGCCGCAGGAGCCGCCGGGGTGGGCGCGCTGGTTGCTGCGGGCGTAGATGCTGGTGAAGGAGACGTAGATGCTGGGCGAGACGAAGGTGTGGCCGTTGACGACGGCGGTGTTGGGGCCGTCGCCCGTCGGGGTGGCCGGGACGGTGCTTCCGTTCTGCAGACAGAGGTCGCCGTTGGTGGTGGTTACGGGCCAGTAGAAGAGCGTCGCGGTGCCAGGGAGATAGTGGCAGTTGGTGCAGGGGTCCTTCTCGGTGTAGTTTCGCGTGGTGGTTGGGCAGCTGCCGGGGCGGATGGGACTGTTGGTGTCGCCGGGGATGGACGTGGTGACGGAGTCGGAGTAGGCCCGGCGGAGGCTGCTGTAGGTTTGCCAGATGGGGATGCAGTCTTGGGAGTTGAGCGAGCAGCTGGGCGTGGGGGAGGGGGATCGATAGACGAGCGTCGTGGTGGTTTCGGTTGCTACGAAGGAGCTGCAAGGCCCGGTGCCAGGCCAATATGTGGTGGAGTACTCGCGGGGACCGAGGGCACGCGGGATCCCGTCACACAGCGTGGTCACTGGGCCCGCGTGAGGGTCGTCCCAGCCTTCGCCCCAGATTTGGGTGTTGCAGGCCCCCGTGCTGGTGACATAGGTGCTGTAGATGGTGGAGGTGGACGTTGCGCCGAGGGATTCCAGGCCGCTGGCGCGTCCGTCGTATTCGACCCATTCGGCGTTGCAGGAGACTACGGATGCCTCGGGGCCAGTGGTGGGGCCGTAGTAGTAGTTGGTTGATGTTGGCCAGAAGATAGTCGTATCGCAGAGGCTGAGCCACTGGCTACTTGTTGACGAGGCGGCGCATGCGTCGGAAGGCCCGGATACGGGGATGCTACGTGAAGCAGTGGGAGTGGGAGTGGGAGTAGAACTGCCATCCTCTCTGGGTATGACTGTGCCAGACGGTTAGCATCTCTATGGGATCACGATAGTTTGACTGGACAAACCCGGGTTGGCGGCGACAGCTCTCAGGAAGAGGAAAGCTACCCCGAACAGCATTTTGAGCCTGATTCGGGACGACGAAACGCAGTGTCAAGCAAGATGGGCAGACGAACGAAAGACTGATATTTTCGGCACCAGAGTTCAGTTTATAACCTCGATCGGGGATCGTAAAAGTGGAGAGGCCAGAAGACTAAAATCTCAGCTCAGCTCAGCTCTTCACGGTAATAGTGGACTTCAAATGAGAATATCTGAGACATACTACGGAGATCTATTGGTCTTGTTTCGAGACTGCATACATAAATCACACCCAATATTGTCTGCAATGGTACCCTACTGCAGGTGCGATATATCCTGCTTGCAATGATTGGCGAGAATGCAGTTGGATTGACAATCACAGTAATCCGGAAACAACCTAATTCTGGCCAGACTGCACCTTTGCCAATGCTCGTTTGTCTTGGTCTGTGGGCTAGAATTGCCGAATACGAACCCTCATCGACCGGTTGGTGGTTCCTCCAATAAGCGGGAAGGCGCCAGGGGTTTTCTCAAACATCTCCACTACTCTGCATGCAACTCTGTTCAGCTAGCCCTTTTTTTTGGCCGTCTGAAGTGCCTCCGAGTCATGAGATCTCATGTCCCGGATCACATAGGAAGACAAACCGGTTGTCCGGAGATGCATCTGGCCGTAAAGCATAATCCCGTCGCCAAGAGGGACCCGCCAGGTTTTTATATGCGGAGTGCTGTCTGTGGCACTCCCTCTACACAGTTCTATAACATAACGACGGGGTGTCTGTTGGAATGGGGATCACTTGCTAAGTACAGCATAAATAGGAGCCAGGAGTTAGAATCGTAGGATTGAAAGCGAAAACATTGGACCGGGGTGTTTTCAATCCGGCGCCATCAATATGAGCAAGGATAGTCCTCCTTTGCCATCACAGTCTACGATTTGACAGTAAGTAGTTAGTCAATCTATTAAAAAGCAAATAATTCTCGAAAGAGAGAGGTCCTTCGACCGTAAGGTTTGTAGAAATCATGAGATGCCGCTCAAGCTTACTATCCATCAGAGATAGTTCGATAAGAAGAGAGACCTGAATAGTTTTGCTAAAAGCAGCTTCTCACCCCTAGGCCAGTGCCATGGAACAAAGACACCCCAATATGGAGCAGTTATGCTTTTTCTCAATGGTTCCTGATCATCCACTACGGCTCGGTATCTCTCCCCACCCGTAGAAGGGATGTTTCGCGAAAAGCGAAGTCAGTATCAATATGTATGATCAGCAGTTTTATTATGCCGGACGGGTGATCTCAACAGGCTTAGTCTACTTACTCAGATAACCCCCAGCGAGTGAGGCAGGATAGGAGGTGCAGCTCTTTCGTTCATTCTCTCAGCTATTCGACTTGCTACAGAAGACCCCGATATAAGCACTCAGTTCCATCCAGGTAGTATAGTATACTCGCTAAACTTCAGACAGAATACCATAATTGACACATCCGTCCGTACATGCAAGCTCTTTCTGTGCCCTAGGTAGGTCTAAGTTCACAGGATGATCATGTATCGGAGAACTCGACGACTAGGGTTGACAAAAAGCAATCTGTGTTTCCCAGTTTCCGAATATCATACACTCCTTCTTCCGTCATATCTATCGGCAAGAGACGAAAACTTTAAATACCCTATATTCATTGAAATGAAATCATGCGTTCTCAGGGGTCTTATGAAGAATACTTAAAGCCTCGTCTCTCCTCCTTTCATGACTCTTTGTGACCGTCCGCGAGAATGTCCCGTGGAGACAATATGTCTTATTACCACCAGAAACAATCATTGTTGCAAAAAAAGACACTTAAGATAGGATGATCAGGTCCGGATGTTTTGATAACATGTAGTATCCCATCTGTTCATGGAAAGGCGAAAGTACAACGATAGTAAGTGCTGTTATACGCTTCTCCATGTACCGCTAAAACATACAGAAGAAAAAAGGAAGGTATAAAAATGTCCTAATGTAACTATACTCTGTAATAGTGAGGCTACAATTTCCAGCAGGATAAACGATATCATACAAATATGCTCAGTTGCGGCATACCGTGACAGTTCTGTTTAACAATAAAGAGAATCAGAGGGGATATCTTTTGTGGAGGCCGTATACAAAACACCTGCTGCCATGGACATTATATATGAGCCTCTTACCGGTTAAACACGGGGAGCGGTTAATATGGATAAGAAAAGTTACATCACTATTCAAGTCAGTTCCACTCCGGTGCTTGAGGAATAATTTGTGAGATGGAAGACATGATGGTTGTCAGCGAATTGAAAAATTTCGGCAGCTATAATAGGTAGTTTAGCGTGTCAAGGTACAGGGTAACTGTAGGATACTTATCTACTCGAGGACTCACAGTAAATCTTTGTCCTACAACTAGCTTCGTACTTCATTCTGTAAGCCCGGGCCCCTTGTGTTCTGTTGTACCACTGATTCCGAAAGGAATGATGGGACTTATTCTGGTAGAGAACGACCGAAGATTGAAAATAAAGCGTTCACAAAGAGAGAACCTCAAGCTTGTCTGCCATCCTAATACGCTGGTGAGATGCTACACCAAGGACACCTGCACTCTGGCTTAATGTCTCAAGCTTGTGGATTTCTGCTCCTCTATGCCAAGACCAGGCTCTACGATGTGGGGAAAGATCACAATCAGAGATGGCCACGTTAGAGGCAGCATGTGGCTATGTTGAAGGCTTCCCTTGGATAAGTACTTGTCGTCCAAAATCGGATCGGACATGCAGGCTTCAGTTTTGTCGGGCGTGTATTGGTGTGACAAGGCTATTCCTTGACAGTGTGCTGCACCGTCCCTCGGGTCAGTTGCTTCTAATACAACAGCTAGAGATTTAGATGGATATAGGTCGTATTGCCAAGCCAAATGCTTGTCTTCTGCCCCATTCCCGGGCAACAGGCCCACCATATCGATCACCTTAATTCGCTGCTTATACCCATGATGCTGGCTTGGCAACGCATTGTACACAATTAGACCGGCCGATGATTCGGCTACAAGGGCACTGGATGCTCCAATGTCCAGATGACGTAAAGCAACACACTGGGAGGTATTGCAAGTATAAATGCATCTGGAATAGCCAATTTCAATAGATAGTCACAGTCCCGAACAAACCACTGCTCTTATTTACTGGGAGACTTCCATTTTTGTCAAACAAGACCTTAATTCGTGCCTACCATACCGGAGCGAGCAAACCTCAAAAAGAGCAGTCTTTGACTCTCATCGCCTCATATCCACCATCGCTTCTAAAATGTGCTTCCGTCCCACCAAAGAGATGGACGCCCATAGCCTGCCGTCACGGCCTATCAACGAACCCAATGAATCAGCAGCACAAGACCAGGATACGTCACGTCCGAAGGTTGTGAGAGATGACCGTCCCCTCAAGCTGTCTAATAAGGAGATGAGAAGGAAGACTTGGTCTAGGCCGAACGTACTTGGCACAGTTACCTTTGGCATGTAAGGAGTTCAGTCAGGTTGAACGCTGTTTGGCAATTGATGAGGATGACGTGCGGGAATCTACCGATATTGAACTGGAGATATCAAGACACGCAAGGGGAAACAGTGAAGATAGAAGGCTTCTACCAACAACGGGATGTGGACAAGTAATGGGTGAATAGCATATATTTGCGGGCGTTGACTACGTCTTTGGCATATGCCGTTTGCCACGAAAGATCTTTAGAGATTTTGCAATCTACGACGTGTCCGTTGGCTGTGTTTACTCAAGTTTTATGGATTAAGTAATATAGAAAATGGCACGGTGTGTACATGTCGCCCGGCGTCGTGTGCTAACACTAGCCACATGTAAGTAGAACTAGTGTCCTGGTGCCCCATCTGTACTTATTTACCCAGCTAAGTGGTGTTCTAGGTAGGTTGTCCGAGGTTGGGGCTGGGATAGTCGCGGGACACTGACAAGGGTCATTGCCGAGGTCAAAAGACGGAATGTTGCGCCCAATGATAGGGCCCAGTCGACATCCTGATACCAGAGTGCCATGTTATCATTTCATGTGCATGAAATGTAGACTGAACGAAGTTTTGCGTTACACTCAACATGTTAGCTGAAATTGAAGGTAACCTTTACGGCTTGGTGATGGCCTTTGGGATCAAAGCCCTGGCTCATTACGGCGGCTGATCAGGGGCTCCCTTTTCTCTTATGAGGACAGCATTGAGTCATGGTCACAAAGTGATCGCCTTAAGTTGTAAACTTTCTAAAATGCTGAATAAGGTTTGTTACATCATGCTAAGGGAAGCCACTGGCTCTCACTAGACGAACTGCGTGTAGAAAAAGAGTGCATATCTTATTTACGAGGTGGTTACGTGAGTACTGAAGGTCTGAAAAGGGCCCGGACTCTAAAGGATGTTACCCTTGGCATGGAATAGGATCCCTGACTGCATCACTTGAAATCCGGGGGGATCCCTTTGGTAAATCATATATTGCGGAATGATTTGTCCGTGAACGTTAAGCAAATCCGTCAATCAGGGATCCAAACCGTTCAGGCTAGCCCTTCCGCTAATCAGCCTGAATCTGGGGCTATCTGAAGAAGGTTCAGAAGTAACCAGATTGCTTCGACAATAACGGCAATTCCCATCAGTAGCCGACTTCCAACCGTCGGTGTTTGGCTGGCTTGCAGACGCCAACCGCTGGGCAATTGAAAAGAGACAGGATGGTACGCAAGACTGATGGAAGTTTTCGGGACCCGTCTGAAACAAATTTCAATGGGGAACGGGATTAGCCTGAATGCACCCATCGTCAGATGAATTAGCCGGAATCATGTTACTTCATGGGGTGCATAAAAGAGACACGCAGGACAGATGAAGACCAGAGAGCCCGCAATCATTGCATCTTTGCAAGACCTGCATGGCTGAGCAAGCTGCTCTATGAGTGACTATGATGATAGTTTCCACAATTCCTGTCGTGTTGCTGGCGCTGCTTCCTAGGGTCCAAGCATATCTCCTGTTCAACTCCGGCGAAAGTGAGTTCAAGCTTGCAGATCAATCAGTTGCCCCGGTCATATGGACCGCCCAGGATGATGTTATTGGGGTCGCGAGAGCAGCACGGGATCTCGCCCTGGACTTTGGACGTGTGCTTGGCGTCAACGGCACAGTTTCAGTCGTGGACACTGATGGTCCCGGCTCCGCTGCTGGAGAACCTGTAATCATTGCAGGGACAGTAGGGCACTCGTCGCTGATCGATAGCCTCGTTTCCGATGGCAAGCTGGATGTCTCCCAGGTTCAAGACAAATGGGAATCATACACGTCGCAAATCGTGCATAACCCCTTTGACAATGTGACCTGGGCGCTAGCCATTGCAGGCAGTGACCGCCGTGGAACGATCTATGGTCTCTATGACATCTCAGAGCAGATGGGTATCTCACCTTGGTATTGGTGGGCAGATGTCCCCGTGAAGACCAAGACAGGGATCTGGGTGTCTCCTGAGGGGAAGGTTCAGAAATCGCCATCAGTTACATATCGCGGTTTCTTTATCAATGACGAGTCGCCAGCGCTGTCGGGCTGGGTAAGCGAGAAATTCGGCGATAAATTCAATAGCGACTTCTACCGACACGTGTTTGAGCTGTGCCTCCGCCTCAAGGGAAACTACCTCTGGCCCGCGATGTGGGGCAAGATGTTCTACGTCGACGACGCTGAGAGCGGTGCAATTGCGCATGAGTATGGAGTAATTATGGGGACGAGCCACCATGAGCCCATGGCTCGATCTGAGCAGGAGCAGAAAACATACCTGGAGGGCGAATGGGACTGGGGCGACAACCAGGCCAATATCAAGACCTTTTTCCAGGAAGGAATTGATCGGGCCAAAGGCTGGGACACAATGTGGACGATGGGTATGCGAGGAGAAGGAGATGTGGCATCTCCTACCTTGACAGCCGATGATCTGGAGGAGCTGATCGGGGTCCAACAGTCTCTGCTACTAGATGCCTTTAACACGAGCGACCCCCTTAGTATTCCGCAGACTTGGGTGCTCTACAAGGTTAGTTTTTCAATGCATGGAATTGCGCCATGCAACTAACGATCTACGCACAGGAAGTCAGTGACTACTACGCGGCAGGCATGAAAGTGCCCGACTCTGTCACACTACTCTGGACCGATGATAACTCCGGCAATCTGATTCGAATTCCCCTCGCAAATGAGACTGATCGTGCGGCCGGAGCCGGTGTGTACTACCATTTTGACTACGTCGGCAGCCCACGCAGTTACAAGTGGATCAATACAATCCAGCTCGTCAAGACGTGGGAGCAGATGCATCTTGCCTATCATAGGAACGCTCGGCAGATATGGATTGCAAACGTCGGCGACATAAAGGGCCTTGAAGCCCCTCTGACACATTTCATGGACATGGCGTACGACATGGATCGCTTTGACAGCACAGAATCCACTACTGACTGGCTCAAGCAATGGGCCGTCCGAGAGTTCAACGAGCGGGTAGCTGACCGAACAGCAGACATATTAAATCAATATGGGATACTCGTCGCACGCCGCAAATACGAACTGCTCAGTCAGCTGCCTTTCGCATTTAGCACTAGTTACTATGATGAGGCGGAGACTAATCTGGCTCAATGGCAAGACCTGCTTCTCCAGGCGCAGAATGTGTACTCCTCTTTAGATGCGGCCACTCGAACTCCGTTCTTCGAGATGATTCTCCATCCAGTGTTGGCTGGTAAGACCATAGTGGACCTCTACACCAAGGCTGCGTTGAATGGGCTATACTACCAGCAGGGTCGCATCAGTGCGAACTACCTCGCCCAAGAGGTACACGATCTCTTTACCGAGGACGACGAAATCACACAGCGATATCATGGTCTGAAGGGAGGCAAGTGGAACCCAGTCATGAACCAGGTTCACATCGGCTACACTTCCTGGAGCGACCCGGCTAATAACACCAATGTTATGCCTGGCCTAAACTACACGGGAACATCCGAGAGCACTGAAGCCATGGGAGTTGCCATCCAGCACTATCGCACAACGTACCCGGAACCTGACCGGCTCGTCCTTCTCTCCATGGACCCCTATATGCCGCCTAATGAGACCCGATATATCGATATCTTTGCAAGGCAAAACCAGACAATCCCATACTCGATCTCCTCTAACGCATCCCACGTGACGGTCTCGAACAACGAGGGCTCTCTATCCGCGTCCAAGAACACCTCAGACGTGCGGAGCATGATCACGGTTGATTGGAACTCCGTCAACCCCGGTCTATCCTACGTCGAGCTAATCGTCCGCTCCAGCGATACATCAGTTGCAACTCTCATCCTCCCACTCAACAAAACCACCGTACCATCCACCTTCACCGGCTTCATCGAGTCGAATGGCGTCATCTCCATTGAAGCCAGCCACTACCAAGTCGCAGAGACCAGCAACGGCGTCTCTTACGTCAATATCCCACATTACGGACGGACAATCTCGGCGGTAAAGCCATGGCCCGTGACCATTGGCACCCAGGACCCCAATACGGGGCCCGCATTACGATACTCTCTTTACACCACGACCTCGTCCACGAGCGCGAGACTAATCGTCAGCCTGGGTGCCTCACACAATCATGACCCAACCCGCTGGATCAAATTTGCATATTCGCTAGATGGGGCCGTGCCAGTGACGGTCCGGCCTGTGTCGTCTGTCCCGCCGTATAAGGAAGAGCAAGCGTGGGCAACAGCGGTCGTGGAAAACGGGTGGACATCGGCTGTTGAACTTGACGGTGTAGTTGGGGTTGGAGAGCATGAGCTGGCTCTTTGGCTTCTTGAACCGGGTGTCGTTTTGCAGAAGGTTGTCCTTGATATGGGCGGTTATCAGGCTTCTGCTCTGGGGCCACCGGAGAGCATGAGGGTTTAGGATTCAGATAGTCGAGCAGAGAAGCTATGTAGGATTGAAATTTGTCTTTCCACTAGAAAAACCTTCATCGACTTGTGTTAATAATAGCTAGCGCTCAGATGTCTATATAGTGGATTCTGGGTTAACTTTCAATATCTAACACTAGCCCATAGTAGTATAGATAGGTTTACGAGATGGTAGTAGGAGCACTAAGTAGTATTAATCCTATCTAATTGTACCAAAATGAGACCTTCACTTTGCAGAGGTAGTAGGTATATATTACAGTATATATCAGTGAGCGCTTCTATCGGTTACTCATTTCAACTAAATTAAAATCCCCTTGGTATTTCTCTCTTATCATCAGACTATCTGATTTGTATGAGAGCTTTGGGTTTCAGAGGGGGCAGTGGGTGCTAACTTTGGTGCGGACAAAAATAATCTGGAAAACATCGGGGGGGCTTAATTGTTTCACAAATATTCGTGCAGCCTATTGCATTTATAGTTCCGAGGATGGCAAAGCTATATACATGGGATATCTGGGTTGCTAATAACTCGAGTCCTTGAAAACAAAGGATCATGTGAGAGACAAACGCAACCGAGAATAGCAGACTAGGAAGAAAATTGGATATAATAGTACATCGCTGATCCGAGAGCGTTTGTGCAAGTGGAAATGGCGTGAGTATCGTATCACACATTATGTCGAACAGGACGTCCGCAGGTTGATAAAAGTCGAGGTTCTCGAGTGTTGCTCTCCTCAGATGAAGTTTCCCTGGGGGTTATTGGAGGGCGGACCTGCTGTCGGACTTTGATGGCGTGTCTCACTGACGGCCAGCGATGACGGTCGCGCCGTGTAGCTATACCCCTGGGCAGCGGCACCTTGTTGAGCCATGGAAGACAAGTCCGTGCGGGATTGCGACTGAGAAGCGAACATCATAGATGACCGGTCAAAGTTGACTTCACTTTGTGACTTGGCATTCTCATTCAATGCCACCAACGGGTGGTCTGACCCGGCCTCGGCAGCCGCCTTTCTCGCTGCAATCTGGCGCCTTTTGCGTGATTCCAAGTAGCAGTGGAGGAACCCATAACCGAAGAAGATAGCCCCCAAGATGCTGAAAGTAATAATGGCAGCTATGTGTCCACGACGATTGTATTCCCGCATTTCAGCACTAGTTGTGCTTGTCGCAGTGGACGTTGAGCTGGTCTTTGTGGCGGTGGTCGATGTGCTCTTTGTGGTGGTGGTTGACATGCTACTCGTAGATTGGGAGGTGGAGGATGTGGTCGAGGCTGTGGAGGTTGTTGAGGTTGTGGAACTAGTTGTGCTCGAACTGGTCGTTGTAGAGGACTCCGTCGTAGTCGTAGCATCGTCGGTTGTCGTCGTTGCCTCGGTGGTTGTTGGGGCAGTGGTGGTATCAGCCTGCGTGGTCGCCTCCGTCGTCGTTGTTGTTGCTGCCTCTTCTGTCGTACTGGTGGCGTCCTCTGCGGTGGTTGCAGCATCTTCCGTAGTTGAATCTCGCTTTTCTAGAAGCAAGCCATGTTCATAGGGTTGGTTCGTTCGGCCATTATGGCCTCGGAGTATTGCGGGTGTTGGCGCCACGACGGGGGTAGTTGTGGTGGAAGGCCATTTCGGTGCCCGTTCAGCAGCGGATTCCGCGTGAGCAAGAGCGCCCGAGAAGACCGCTCCCAGTACGACCAAAGATTGTATTCGCATATTGACGGCGTCTCGATCCAGGTGGATTAAGGGGACGGGAAAGGGGTCAGGAGAAAGAGAGGTGAAGCGGGGAGCAAGCAATATTTCGCATGGCTCGTGTGAACAAACATGACGCGACTTCAAATACTCGCGATCTGGAGTTAAATGATGCTAAAATTTTCTTCGTCTACGGTGACTGGCGTCGTACGTGCTCAACGACCAACTTTAGGGCTGACAGTTATTTTTATTGGCCGGACCGCCGCTGATTGGCTCGGCGATCGAGAGTGGAGTTCAACAGCCACGCGGAAGACGCGGCTTCGGATCGCACCTTCATCTGGTCTGCTTCCAACCCCCCGTCCCATAGTAAGTATGGCTTGATCAGCACGGTCATGATCCTGCTATCGTCTCTTAACCCTTGATCTACAGGTCACGGGCAACCCGACCTACTGCCCCGTGGCTGCATCTGCTCTCTGCACGCCACGGTATCCCATTATCTCCGAGCAGGAACCTCCACTCGCGGACAAGGAAAAGAATTTAGCCCAGGAACCACAAATGCTCCTCTGCCCCACCGACAGTCTCCGCTAACAGTTCCTTGCTGGCGAATGCTGTCAATCTCAACAGCCGATCTCCTTGCTAGTGCGCCCGGATTCCCTCCTATCGCCAGCCGACCACCTCGTTTGTTTCACCGCAATCTCCAGGCTCGAAATTAGGATCATTTCGACGTGGTCAGTAATGGAGAGGGTGGCCTTTAGTGTGAAACTGCGCCTTGCACCTGTTGCAGCTACGATAATTGAAAGACGTAGGAATGTGTTCCAGCGATATAAATAGTCGGCCTCACGCGTCCAAGACCATCTCAAGATGGCCCGGCAACTCCGCTTAGTAATGTTGTCAAGTTAACTTGGTAGTCAAGTTAACCAGTTGACTCACGACTGTACATGAGCCCAGCCAAAGAGCATGCTACAGGAATCCGAACAACCCTGTCGCTTGCGTTCTTTGAGGGATGGGCATGTGCACGGATCGTCATCGGTTCTGCAACGATTGGATCCTTGATTCCAACGCTAATATAGTCCATTAGTCCTCACCCACTACGGAGTCCTAGCATCGTGAAATGCCCTACCTCTAATAATAAACACTTTGCGCTGGCTCCCTGCATGAACTTAAGATCGATCATCCCATTGCAGTCTCTAATCAGCCTTCCCCATGGGATCCATACGACCCACACTGATGTATATAAATAGTAGCCAAGTCTCACAACGGCCCGGGACCCATTCGAAAATCGCGGGATAGTTTATTCTAGAATGTCAAGCTGTGACTTGACAGATCGGGGGATGCAACGCCCCACTGGCTTGCTGTGTGACTGCGCAACTTCACCGGAACAGGAGGAAGTGGAAAAATTCGTTCATTGACTGGACATCGGGGAGCCATTGAGATATGACCTCTAGACATGACATATCCTGTCACTAGATACACCCAAGCTGGTCACACAAACCAAAGTGACCTAAATGCGTACTGTCCAGTGTTTATACGATCCTGAGAGCTCTTTATATCATGTCAACAGAACTTCGCTCGTGCCTTTCTTGAGTGTGTCTAGTACCTGGAATCTTTGTCTACATGATAATGCGGCCTTCGGTTCCGAGTTTATCTTCGTCACCCAATACGGAATTAATGCATAGATTTTAGATATACTCCTGGTAAATATATGCGCCCCCTTCATAGACATCAACCCCCGAGAAAACGAACTAAGCCATCCCCACTGAAGCTCGACAGAATTTATGATTTCAGACCCACATGTGTCTCTATAGAGCTTGGGTGGTTGCCAATCTAGTGCATACGACCAAATATTCAAGCTTCCTCCGTGTCTGATATCTCATTTAGAACAGCGGAATACTTTTCGGCTAGTTATGATTGAGATACCAGCCAGGAGGACGCAAGGGGCAGTGCCAGACGTGCGAGTCGGTGAGCCTGACCTCAGACGTGGTCTCAACGGTCCTAGCGATGACCATGCACAATAAGCTGCATGCGCGATATCGCATCATTGTTCGTGCTGCTCATCTGAATGATGTACCAGAAGCGCTTGAGAGCTCGTGGGGTCTCACCGACTCTGATGCTTTCTCAGCGACGTAACCCTTGCATTGATGCTGCACAACATGGACGACTGTCTTCATGGCCATCCAGGGCCACGCTCATACAACGACAGACCTGACAATAGCCTCATCTGTCATCACCACGTTAGTGGAGTGTCAAGAGCGATGTTAGGTAGTAATCATCCCCCGTGGGAAACCGAAACGAGGAGCCCGTGTACGATAAACGTGAGTGCTGTTAGATGTGACAAGTCGCGTGTGACAAATTGCTCACCGATTGTTTGCAGGATGAGACACAGTCGCATGAAAGTCCCTACTCTGTACAATGTGGAGCCGCCAATGCAAGAATTTACGCTCCTCTCCCAGCCACATACATTTTACTGCGACCCGACAGAAATCATTTGCTTTCCCATTTCTTCATGCCTGGTAGCGGCCCCACTCCCAACTTTTAGACTTATTTAAACACGAGTCTGCCCCGCCCATGGACTAGGATGGTTGTGACTCTACTGCGACCTGTTCCTTAACCCTTGTACAGTCCTGGTCTATCCCCAGTCGCCAAGGCTGCCCTTCACAATGACAGTAACCACAACACAAAACACCTCGGCCCTGGGATCCCCGCTCAGACTCGAGCATGCGACACTCGAGGACATTCCCGAGTTAATCGACGTCTGGTACAACGCATTCAATACCCCAGAGATGCTAGCCATCTGGCCGAACACCCCCGGAGTACGACAATGGTGGGACGAAGCCAATCGCCACGACATGCTACACAAGCCCCAAGAGAAATATCTCAAGGTGGTCGATACCAGGAATGGTCGGATTGCAGCATATGCCAAGTGGTCCCTTGAAACGGCTGAAGAGCGTGGCCCTCGGTTTCCCCCATGGCACCCGGACATGAACCCTGAGCGTAACGACGCATTTATCGGAAACATGGAGCCGGCCGTGCCAGGTTGGTTGGAGGAAAGAAGAATTTCTGTATGTGGGCTTTCTACGTGAAGTACCTCTCGCAGGAATCGCTGACATTCATGCTAGATCTTGATATGCTGGGTACGCATACCGACTATCGGAAAATGGGTGCTGCTCGCATGCTGATTGGATGGGGATGTCAAATGGCTGACCAAGAAGGGGCTCTTGCTTATATTGATGCAAGTACTGATGGTCGACCTGTCTATGAGAAGTTTGGATTTGAGGATCGAAGTGATTCTGCAAGTGCGGCAGCTGGACTGGCGTCTATGGTTAGAGAGGTGCGGAATTGAGGAGTTTGGACGCACTGAGTCACGTCAGTGTACTTCAATTACTTCATGCCAGGCCCAGAGTACTAGATGTCTGCATAAATATGACGTGGTCTAGGGTTCTACACGTCCGAGATATATTGCGCGGTAGTACCAACAAGCGCCAGCTCCAATTATCACTCTGTTCCCTCTTCTCATTTGAGGTCAAAAGATCAGCTTTCCTAGAGTGCATAGCGGCAACAAAACGACCCATGAAGGAAGAGTATCATGCAGGATAGCCCTGTAAATCCTTCGTCTGTAAGAACTACACTTATGTCGTCGTTGATAGGGCATTTTACCCCGCAGTCTGAGGGCCAAGTAACCATGAACAAAATTGCAATTCTACAATGCATGCTTTGGGCGCCACAGGTTCAACTGCCAATTACTATGAAAATAGATAGTAGGATGAGTCAAGCTTCCGCTACTACTAGGTAGCTGTGAGGTGGGTATCCTTGATCACACGGAAAGGAATGGGGGGTGAGTAGTACCGTGTGAACTGTTACGTCGTAGCCTCCTCGGACACTCACGCATTTAGGCTCATGGACAGGCCCTGGCCCCCTCCCAATATAGAGTGGAAAGCGATGACGCGGAATACGGACAGTCTTGTTGAGGGGCCAATTAGGATGTTCTGGAATGGCCTTGGGCGACTTGGGTAGTTTCAAAAGCCAACAGAACAGCGACGGAACTGCAGATATAGATAGCCCCATGCTACCGAACACCCGGCATATTGGACCACCATGCTGGAACGTATCCCGCTAACGCTGATTGATTGCCTGTATCTACTGCCTTTACTTACCCCGTGAAAGATATCCAGTGTGACGCTTGAGGTGCTTGCCGCATATATGCCTGTCACCCGACGGATATTCGGTTAACCAGGGTTCTCGACAACCCTATTGCTGACTCGCATGTGTTATGGGGAGCGACATTATAATGGCAGACAGCTGTTGTTGTTGGACAGTATTCGGAGCATGTACCCAACTACCCTGCACTTTTCCTTCGGGACGATCAGGCATGAACGGTAGTTTTATGCAAGGCTGCCAGCGAACCCAACCGACCCAGACGAACGGGCACCAGCTGTCGTGCAAGCATTGGACAATTATACACCGCTCTGCATCTAATCAATTTATCATCTGAATCTTAGGCGAGAGATCCGATAAGCATGTGGGCACCAACAACACGATCTGTGTATCCCTGCAAGCCAACTCATATGGTGCGCATCTCTGAAGGAAAATCAACCAATGCAAGCCCTTTCATGACTCGCAGCAGTTTAAAGACGATATAAATCTAGGCAATGAGTTTATTCCCCGGCCCTCCCTCTCAACTATTCCAGAGATTCACGTTCACAGAGTACCAAAACCACAGCATCAGCTGATAGTCGTATCGGGCATATCTATCTTTGCTGGCTGCCACCCTTCACAGCCTCAACATGCACCGCTTGATATTGGCTGTTGCCAATTTAGGAAGGGTCGAGTCATTGTTGGGGGGTCGTGCTCACGGGCAGAAGTAGTTGAGATAATTAAATAGCCTTGCCTGCGATCTGTATTCAATTGCTATCACACTGCTCTCATCGCACGGGTCTTCTCACTCGAGATAAGCTCATTTGGGTTTCTTCATGACAGTTTTGTTTGATTGGTTTGGCCAAGGTTTATCTTACATTTGCCATATCACTCTATGATGGAGCCAGTTTCCGATATGTCCACTGAAACGGACAATAATATTGATATCATTCATACATTCATGAAAGTATACGAAAAGGAGAAGGCAGTCTATGCCTTAGCAGCGAAGCAAGCCGAGAAACTCTGCAGAGATGTGCTTGAACGAGAATCCGTGGAGTGTATCGTTACTTCCAGGGCAAAGGACCCAGACAGTCTCGAGAAGAAGCTTCGCGAACGACTGAAGAAACGGCAAGAGACTGTAACCGGTCCCTGTGAAGGAAAGAAAGGCTACAACAGCATCGACGACATCAGAAGCGACATCGCAGACCTGGCTGGAGTTCGCATCTCGCTTTATCTACCGCGCAAAAAACCCCAAGTGGAGAAAGTTATACGGAGGGAATTTGACGTGTCATGGAATCTTTCTCTGGGAGAAACGGAGGAGAATGGCGAAGCAACTCAGACTCGTTCGTTCCCAGGGTACTGTGCCGACCACTACCGCGCCTTCTTTAAGCAAGGCTCGTGTCAAGAGAAAAGGCTCGGCAAAAGGATGATCGAGATACAGGTAGTTTCTGTTTTACGGCATGTTTGGGCTCAGATTCAGCATGACATGGTGTACAAACAGCTTATCCCGACGACTAGCAATGATATTCGGATTTTGAATGCCCTGAGCAGCTTGATATATTCTGGGGATTTTGTTCTGGATCAGTTATTTGATAGCCAGGCTTCGCGCAATCAAGACGATCATACACCCTTCACGACGGTGTATCAGCTAGGTTACTCATTGGGAAAGTGGATTGGAACCTTTCCGGGGCGCCAAAATGAAAATCCTGGAAATGTTCAGTCACTTTTTAATCTACTTAGGGCTGTTGGTCTGGATACACACAGCAAGCTATGGAGGGCGTTGGAGAACATGGATATCTCGCTCACGCAGACGAGTGACTATATGTTTTTAACCCGCAAATACGAACCGCTTCACCTCAGTATCAGTAACTACATAATGCATCGCATCATTTGGCCACGAGATGGCCCGGGTGCAACCCAAAGCATCGGACACGTTGAACGGAACACCAACTGCGATAACCGACACAAGATCCAGGTGATTGCAAATGCTTTCATATTGTTGGACCAATTATTCTTGCCCCAGTCCAAGTGGCTCCATCTCCTTTACACGGGGCAGGATTCGAAGAGACAAGAAGTGAGAATGAAATGGATGTCCACAAACAAGCCTTGGCAGTACTTTCATGGCACGGCACCAATCGGCAAAGCTGATCAGAATACTATAGATGAATTGTGGCATTGCTTTGGTGAACATGACAAGGAACCCATCAGATTTGCCTTCAGCCTCTCCCAGATTTTGGTCTCTACGGAGTGCCTGACCGACTGGAGTCTATTGACCAGATCTTTAAACCCTTTCATGTACGCTCTTGAAATGTCAGCCATATTTTCCTAAGGATCAGAAAGCCCACCTAGTCCACATATATCGCACGCATGAAGGGTCCCTTGTTGCCATTTTCCGCACTTTCGTACTTCTGTTTATCCCAATTACAATGCCATCCTGTGCTTCCCTGAGATCTCCGCCACCTACCATTTTCCTGGCCACTCTAACTAGCCGTTGAGTTTTATAAGGCTCCTTCAATGTTAAATAGTATTCGAGAGATAGTAGGCTAGCTAGGTACCAGCTTCGGCATATATCAGGACACAATCGTTCATTTTCCGTGGGGATAGCAAAAGAAATAACGAGTTACTGGTGGCCAACACGGATGACAAGGCACATTGGAAAGAGAGAGCCTCTACCATCAGCGCAAAATTAAGACCGTTCGCATTTGGAATCTTGTCTCGTCGCGCACAGACGATAGCTGCAGAAAGCCCGGGATAGGGTCTCGGTCGGCCGGACAACCCTAACTAGTACTGTCACGGGAGAGCAGAATTCTCCCTCACGTCCCGTCCCCCGGTGTGATTCTGGGAAGGACAGAAAATGTGACAAGTAGAGCGTGTCATGGCTGGCCAACTTGGGAAAAAAAGAAAAAAGAAAAGAAAAAAAAAAAAAAATCCAAGACCGGTTTCCGTTGATCCTACAGGTTGCTGTGCTGTACGTACATTTGGACTGTGACTGGTCCACGAGCGGAATCATCTAGCCGTCTTGATCGACACCAAGCCACGAGACGAAGGTAGTACCTTGCAGCTCAATCTTGAATATATCCATGGCGCGAGGAAGTAGGGTCAAGCTACCGTGCTACATGTTGAAAGTATCGTTGGTCTTCTCAATACTCAATGCCTCTCACTTTGTCAGGGGTACAGTCTATCATCACATCCCATTTCCCTGAATTGTGGGCTCGCTTGAAAGAGCGAAAGAAAAACAAATTCTCTCCATCAAAACAATGGTAAGCGCCAGGAGTCACATATCATTTTAAATCTCAAGGCAGCAGCGCCTTATTCGATATATCACATTTACTGTGACTCATCCTGGCAGGACAACGGGGATCATTGTATGCCAATATATGGCGACCGAAGCATTTCCTGCTCGATCCTGCGTCCGGAAAATCGCCTATCAGGAAATACTCATGCTGATCACAATTAATACCCTGGTCTGGCTCAACGTTTCGGTTTCATAATGGATTCCTCCTTTCCACACCGAGCCTGTATGTGTATGGATGGAAGGTTCTATGGACACGAAAGGTAAGCCCTAACGAAAGGATCATTGTACCTGTCAGAGAATCTTGGGATGTACTCGTGTGTGATTTATCGCGTCCACTCGCAGTATATAAGCGACGCGCAGCTCCCCAGTCCTGACGGAGGGATCTCATTCTATGGTTCAAAGAGACAGTGAAGTAGGCAGCGTTTGGCTACCTTCCCTCAAATATGGCCAACCAGCCTGGCCTTCAACAGAACTCCCCAGCCCACCCGAGCGAATCACAAGAAGCAAACAGGCTCTCTGGTATGTCCCATCTTGTCAATAATCTCATCATTTTCCAGGGCGACTGTCAGATGAGTCTTTGGAGATATTGTGACATTCTGACAATGAGCTTCAAGAATACCCCCCACTCTCTATCCTCCGCCTCTATGAAGCACTACAAGGATCTGACAACACCCTTTCTGCGAGCGAGAGAAATAGGGTCCAGGAAATACGCACAATAGTTGAAGAACGTGGCTACATCGGCAACGCTAGAAATGTCCATATCTTTGGGTTCGTGAAATTTATGGCTAAACAGCGGAGTGCCGAAATGGTGGAAGGTTTATGGGAAAAGTACACATCTAGTGACATGTGGGCTCGAGCACAGAAGAGAATAGCAATGAACTATGACAATGAATGGACTTAGAAGACCATCCTGAGTCTCCTGTGCGGCCTACTGCTGCATCACTTGCATGGTCAATGTGGCAATGTATGTTCTTCCACCGGTGGAACACTTTTATTCCCTTCTCACTTGATCGCGATATTGCATCCTTGTCTCACCGAGAGCGTCAGCGGACGGCCTTTCTATCATTGACACATAGTGTTGGCAAGCCCCTATCCGTTGGGTTTCATTCTTTATTTTGTTTTCTTTCCCTTTTGTATCATACTGAGCTCCGTTCAAACGTGGCATGGATACCGATATAAAATTTAGCATTATATACGCAAGATGTATTACCAAACAATACCGTTAAGTCAGCTAGAATTCCAGAGTATGGATCGGATATAAGGGCCCACTGCTACCTCCTACAAGCGAAATAGCGACTAGTATTCTGGAGGCCACAATTCTGTGGCCTAGTGTGGCTGCAGTCTTTTGTTTAACCAGTCCACCAACTAAGCTAAGTGATATGCCGTGGTTTATTTGCTGTGGGCAACGGTGTCTAGTGTCTAGCGCTGTTATAGTATACTTAGGGCGCCACTAGCCCTGTTGCTACAAAATCCTTACCATCGCTGCCTGGTTAATGGTCACCAAATAAGCCACTGAGTAGTACTCCGGCGGACTCCGGAAGACCTAGGACTTATCGCCAAAAGCTTATCTCGAGCCTCGTTGGGTGAATGTCAGATTTGTTCCGTTTCCTTTTACATAAAGCCGCAGCGCCCGCAGGTTGAGAGTAGTACCTTTACTATTTCGCGCCATGATGCTTCTCAGCCTGGGACTGGGCGTCCTGTTCGGCGTGGCCACAGCGCAATTTCCCCCCACGCCTGAGGGGGTAACCGTCATCAAGTCTAAGCTGCATGAGAATGTATCAATCTCATTCAAAGAGGTAAGGATCCCATTTGATGGCGCATAGCCGGTCACTAATTAGTAGCCCGGAATATGTGAAACCACACCTGGTGTCCGGTCGTATTCTGGTTATGTCCATCTCCCACCCGGCTTTCTGAATCACGACACAGGGAACACACAGAACTACCCCATGAACACGTATAGTCGTACCCTCAAAAAGCATTGGCGGTCGCTCAGAGATCTGATGGTGCCTATGTAGATTTTTCTGGTTCTTCGAGGCGCGCAAGGACCCCAAGAACGCGCCCCTCGCCATCTGGCTCAATGGCGGTCCCGGTGGCTCCTCGTTCATGGGGCTTCTCGAGGAACTGGGTCCCTGTTCCGTGGCCTCAGACTCTAAAACGACGGTTTTGAACCCCTGGAGCTGGAACAATGAGGTTAACCTCTTGTTCCTCGATCAGCCCATGCAGGTTGGCTTCTCCTACGACGTCGCTACCAACGGCACCTTAGTCACAGACTACGACGCGGTAGACTCAACGATTGTGCCGGGGGATTTCTCGACGGAGGTACCGGAATCCAACTTCACACACCGTGTTGGCACATTTGCGAGTCAGGAACTGTCACAGACCGCGAACAGCAGTGCGCTTGCTGCCCATGCTTTATGGCATTTCGCCCAAACCTGGTTCTTTGAGTTTCCTCATTACAAACCTGCCGATGATCGCATTTCTCTCTGGACTGAGAGCTATGGAGGTCACTATGGTCCGGCGATCTTCGGCCTTTTCCAGGAACAGAATGACCGGATTGCGAAGGGCACCGCGGAAAACGGCGCAAAGTATCTCCATCTCGACACGCTGGGCATCGTGAATGGTCTTATTGATGCTGTGGTCCAAGGAGAATCTTATATTACCATCGGATATAACAACGTATGTATCTTGCTATCACCTTACGTGTGGCTCTATGGAGGAGGGGAGAATTTGGAAATATCTATCTTGGTACTTGCTAACGTAAACAGACATATGGCCTGGAAATATTCAATCAGTCGTTGCATGACTCGCTAATGCACGAATGGGCACGTCCCGGGGGTTGTCGCGACAGAGCGGTAGCGTGTCAAGCAGCCCTGAAAGACTGGGACTCTACTCCTGGGAAGGGAAATATCTCCGAGATATGCAAAGACATCGATCTAGACTGCGTGGGAGGGGGTACTGCTCGATACCAGCAGCTGGACGTATGTGCTTGGACCCCTAAGACTCGACAGCGTACTAATTGTTCCTTCCGATAAATAGCGCAGTTGGTATGACATTTCGCACCCCAAAAATGACCCTTTTCCAGCGCATCGTAAGTGCAACTACCGGACCTTATCCTGCTGTTAGCTCTAATTTGAATCGAATTGTGCAGATATGCTTGGCTATTTGACCCAAGAGTCCGTGCTAAAGGCTCTCGGCGTCCCTGTAAACTTCACCGAGGCTGCCCCCGTCGTCCACCAACTGTTCGAGAAGACCTACGAGTATGCATTCCCAGTCGCATTGTCCTCAACCATATAATTAGCCACCGACTAACAACCCCAGCATCACCCGCGGCGGGTTCCTCGACTCAATAGCCCACCTGCTCGACAGCGGCGTCAAGGTGCACATGATGTACGGCGACCGCGACTACGCCTGCAACTGGGTCGGCGGCGAAAAGGCCAGTCTCGCAGTGCCGTACTCGCGCGCCGCAGAGTTCGCCAGCACCGGGTATTCCCCCTTACTCACGTCCGAAGGCGTCAAGGGCATGACTCGTCAACTGGGCAATTATAGCTTCACGCGCGTCTACCAGGCAGGCCACGAAGTCCCGGCGTATCAGCCGGCCGCGGCTTATGAGATCTTCATGCGTGCTACGCTGGATCGGGATATCCCGACTGGACTACAATATGTTACGGAGGAGTTCAGGACGAGTGGCCCGAAGGATACTTGGCATATTAAGAATATTGCTCCCCCAATGCCGGAGCCGAGGTGCTATGTCTTGAATCCGGGGACGTGTCTTCCGGAGGTTTGGGAGAGGGTTGTGGCTGGGACTGCCACTGTGAAGGACTTCTTTGTGGTGGAAGATGGTGGGAATGATGGTGTGGTTGGTTGGTCTCAGGATACTAGCCAGGTAGTTCTTGGTGGGATGTGAATGGCTTGTGCGGATGAGGTCGAAGGCTTTTGTATGAGCTAAGATCATCTAATATAGCAAAGTGCCCATTCTAGCTCTTAGATTGACTATGACATCGGAAGGCCAATCGCAGCTCGATAGAAGCATTTTCCATTCTTTTGAAGCCTGGCGGACTATACTGGACATGTCTCATACCGTGGTTCACATAAAGACTACCTGGGTACCGCATATTTCATCCACAGTGAATCCTGCAGCAGCTTATCGAGGCAACTTTCCTCGACACCAACCAAGATCTCCATTCCACCATCTAGAGGCGCTGGAAGAACCACCTGCAGGCCGTTGATGACCCCAATGTGAGGTGATCGTACTGCATCAATTTTGTGGCCCAGCAATGAACCCCAGTCTAATGAATACAGTTTGAAGTTAATCCACGAGGTCTGCACACAATTGAAGCCTGGGACATCAAGGAATGCGGTTGGCACTAGCCGGTCCACATCCTCTAGCCCCCCGATGAGGGCGATCAGATCATCTGTGAATTGCCTATCGGCCTGGAGGATTGCTTTCCGGATCTTGATGGCTAGGTCAGCGATATTGGTAGCGCCGACAATCTCCTTGATCGGAGCTGAGACAGCCACGTACTCCAGGAAGCAGCCCAGCGTATCCGGGTGAACGGGTGGTTCTGTGCGTAAGCGGCCATCAATCGCGATGTTGAAGACCGATGATGGGTTGCCCTCAAGAATATCTACTGGCCACTGCACCTTCATGACGGTCCGCCAGAGCAGTGCAGAGAGAGCGTCATTCGTGGAGATCCACTTCTGGTCGGACGGCACTGTTGCGTTCGTTGGGGAGGCCTCCGCCTTAAGCGCTTGCAGCGACTCAGGGGAGAAATAGAAGACCTGTGCCCGGTGATTCTGCGCCATCATCTTCGGCGGTGCACTCGACGGTGTGAAGGGCAGCAGTGTGTATTCTGGGTGGCTCTCAAGCAATCCAGGATTGCGGCCGGAAGAGCGCATCACACAGTCGCGATGCCAAACCATGGCTGGAGGAAGAATCTCAGGGTCCGAGATGTCTAACCCCTGAGCACGGCGACACTCTTCTGCCCAGATTTTCATCCAGGTAAAATACGATGTCCCGTCACCTGCTAGATGCAGCGTGCACCAATTGAGAAGCAATCCACCGCGGATAAAGTTCACCTGTGCAAGGGAAATCGGCAGCCTCTCTCCGGGCGAGGGCCACACAGAGCGACGGCATAACAGATCGGCATCGAAAGCGGCAACAGGAAAAAAGGTTGACTTCAGATCCGCATATGTTGTAGGAAAGGCGTCCGACCCGCGCAGATCTTGGACGACGATGTCTTCGACCGTGCCATCAGCCAGCTTTTGTAACTTCAATACACCTGCCTGCTTTGCGTCCACGTCTGGGACGGCCTCACACGCCATGGCTGGGATACGCCGCTGAGTGGCCGCATATGCCGCTCGCAGCACGCGGCTTACCTCATCGATGTCATAGTCGTCGTCTAGCTGGAATGGGAAGATGTAGCGCACGTAGCCCTTGGGGCCAATGCGCTCAATTGGTGTAAGTGTTGGGATTTGGTCGAACTCGGATATTGAACCCATTGTTAAATGTCAGAGGCTTGCTGCGTAGCTAGGACGATGCAAGCGTTAAGTGGGAAGGAGACACGGTCAGGAGAGGTCTAAAGTATCCCCGTCATTGCCCATGTTTCCTGCTGGTTTGGGGAAGATGCAGCATACTAAAACCACTCTTCGAAGCCAAAAGTGGCACCAGTCGGCGTAATAGATATCATTGGCGAGTCCCAGAGTATCTCAGTTAGTTGCAAGGAACATGAATCATAGAATAGTACCTGACACGGCTGGTGCACCTAGCCTTGCAACATCATATGTTAAAGCGGGCGTTTAGACTGAATCTAGAGCTACGCTCGGCCCAGAGGCCAGGGACCCCCCGGTGACAATATATTGAACATCCGTCGTAGCCAGTGGATGGCCTGTCTCGGTTACTACGTTGGCCCACCGGAAGAGCACCTTGTTATCCAAAACAGGGATTGTGTAAAAAGTACAGTCAGTTGCCCGGGAGCCATGGAACATAATGCTTCGACATATACCACCCTTCCAGCCACTTACGACAACCTTGGTTCTCCACAATATAACTGAACGGCAGGGCCACGCCTTAATGGTCAAGCGTCATTATCATCCGTTAATAATAGGGTATGATCCAGGAATATGGTGCTTGCCCCGATTAACCCAAACTTGATAGAGAACTGCACGGTCCGTTCGGCTGAATGTTAGTGATATAGATCTCTACTTCGCAAACGACCGGTGGGTCGCCGACTACACTCCAGTCAATACCAAACCATACTACTACGTACCCGCCTCACGCGATTTCGGAATTAGAGCGGATTGTGATCAGCAGCCGATCACCTATCCTGGGGCGTGGTCTCACATGAAAACCTATCGGAGTAGGCAAAGTCAGCAACTCGCTTTAGGGGAAGGAAGAGCCTAAGAGGAGGCCTCCGTGTTGAGCTAATGCAAGTACCAGCGTTAGCTTGCAGGGATCAAACAAAGACGAACCCCTATCGCCGTTTCACTGTGTGATTCGGAGGAACCACACCAAGGAGTTTACCAATGAAGACTACTTGTCCCGGCTTCATACTAAACATCCCAGCACGGGGGAGTCCCACTTTGGACTCAATGCATTCTTGGAAAGCAATCAGTCGATAGTATGTCCGGTACAGTTTTCAATCTCTCGTTGGCCCGGGCCCATGATGGCATTTACTCTCAAAGCAAGGCCAGGTTTCAAATCGCATTGACCGACTCTCCTTCTATTTCCCGATCACTCTTTCTTTACCAGCCTATGTCTGATCCTATTGCCATCAATGGCCTTGGACCAGGCGGTTATTGGCGTGTTTGGGCCGCCGCCACCGAGCGTCAAGCTTGATGACAGCCGAGTGACTCAGGACAACGCTGTCGTGATTACTTTGCTAGGTATCGCAACAGTCGCCGTGGTCCTCCGATTTGTCGCTAGGTTTTCCATGCAGCAGCCTTTGAAGACCGATGACTGGCTGATCATTGTTTCTCTAGTAAGCCACCTCCTAACAACAATACTCCTGGTACTAAGACTGTCTCGCTTTCCTGCAGTTGTTTGTGTGTGCGACAACTGGCTTGAGCATAGAAGGTAAGTAGCGACGTTGAAATGGTGATCTCGCAGGTAGAGAGTAACGATCGAATTGCAGGTGGTACCTTCGGTGCCGGCAAACATGTGTGGTCAGTGACTCTGCCGGGCTTAACGAACATCTTCCAGGTCAGTCGAGACCGCGCTTCATGGATGCACTCTTTGACCCCGGTAACAGATTCTACTCGCATACACATTTGCTTATGCTGGGGCCTGCTCGGCTTGCAAAGCCTCGATACTGTTTTTCTACCGTCGTGTGTTCGTGATCGCACATCAAGACCTATTTCTCAGGGTCTCTCTCCTGGTCGGTTTTTTTCTGACTCTCTCCTATCCCGTTATTGTCTCGGTCACTATGGGAAACAGTTGTAACCCTCTATCGTATTTCTGGAGCCAGTTCAGCGGAGGCACCGGAAAATGCATCGACACCAACACACTCTTCCTGGCATCAGGCATCCTCAACATGGTCAATGATATAGTGGTATTGCTAGTACCGTTTCCGCAAATTACGCGGTTGCAAATGAATTCTCGAAAGAAAATTGCCATCTGTGCCATTCTAGCACTCGGGAGCTTGTACGCGCAGCCCAGCCCTAAAGCGGCTCCTGAGCACTCTAACTAACGCGAGAGAATGGTAGTGGATGTATTGCCAGCGTCGTCCGAATCTACTTCGTGCATCAGTTCGGGCAGAGCGCCGACGTGACCTGGATGATGGGGCCTTTGTTTATCTGGTCCACCATCGAGCCCGCTGTGGCGATTGTCTGCGCCTGTCTTCCACATCTGGCGCCCCTTGCTCGCCTAGCCCACATCAAGCTCTCGTCCAGTTATGGACCCAAGAGCCCCTACCCGAGCACACCGCGGAGGTCGCGCCGCAGCAGGACCCCAAGTCATCAAAAAGGGACCTTGTTCGGTAACCGTGGCAAAGGGGGGCGCTTGGCAGCTGGGGAAATATACCCTCAAGGATTTGATGACGAGATTGGGCTAACCAGTCAAGTCACGTCAAGTGTGCGAACGCAAAAGCCACATTCCATTGCGTCAGGTTCGCATGGTAGTGTCAATGCCCAGTCAATTGTGGTGCAGTCTGGCTCACGGATATGAAAGGTATCGCAGGCTGTAGATCCCTTGCTCTGGCTAGTATTCTCTAGGTTTAGGTTTTCAATGTTGGTAGTTGCTTTTACAGAGACTTCGAAGTGACGCTGGAACCTTATCGTTTGAAGATACATTGTGTCAATCTACAGTGTGTATAAAAGGTAATTTGCCAATATTCTGAAGACTCGCGTTATTAAATGTGCACTTGGTATAATCCATGCATTGTCCAAGGGGCCTAGTCTCAGTACATCATAGTTCCTTTCGAAGGTTAATGTTCTGAAGCAGCAGAGCACCACCAAGTGTTCGAGACTTTAGGTGACAGGGCAGTGCGTAGTAAACTATCAACCTGGCCGAGCATTGCCATTGAGAGCATGCCCTTCTTCACTCCAAACAAATGTGCAATCATAAAATGAGGTGCGCACTATCCCCAAGAAAAATACAGTTAGCAAATGAGACGTCCACCGTCGACACAGGAACTAGACATACTATATGTTGCTTCCGGGTCTCGTCGCAGCATCTGCAGCTGCGTCTTGCTCTGCTTGCATTTTCGCAGCGGTGATGGCATTCTGAACGGCCTGTTGGGCGACCTGCTGAGAATCACGGTGTTCCAAATGATTCGTCACGGCCTCCTAGACACGATTCAATTAGTGAGAACAGGTTTTTCGGCGTGAATAACACATACCACAGCATGTACATCACTGCGGGAAGGAACGGCTGCTGCCGTGGTGAGCGCAGTAAGAATGGTAAGAGGGATAATCTTAAGACAGTGCATGGCTGTGGGTAACTGATAGTTTAAGAATCAATAGGTGGTAGAGAGTAGCCAACTCAGTATGATATTTCTAAAAGAGGAAAGGCTTCAGTGAGCTATCGCACTTATTTATACCATCGGTAACTCGTCTCCTATCCCTCTAGTGTCAACAAAGCTCCGAACACCGCGTACAGAAAGTCACATGGTGTTACGAACGGTCAAGTCTTTTTTTTTGTTACCTATAAGTGATCAGGGGCAAGTTGATGGAACATAGTATACTCGATCTCTACTACAACTCTTTTTTTCTTTGGCGGAGGTGACGCTTTGGACAGCATATCAGAAGATAGAAGGGAGAGAAGTACAGGGCCAGCAAAGAAGAAAAGTGAGGTAAACCCCGGGCCATTTGGGTGACCTATTATTGAATACTTGGCCAATAATAAATAGGAATCTTGAACCAAATCCACCGGTCGCACTAAATTCCTACGCATAGGTCATCTTTGCTGAAATCCAAAGCAAAGGAGTACGGAGTACAATCTGGAAGATCAAATCAACAAGGATATTTTGAAGGAACCGCGTACTACCCCGGTCAAATACGCGTAGCCTAACTAGGAATGTAGAGGAGGAAACTCACGCCGACTTATTCATGCCTAATCTAGCTATTGATTTGTTGACGTCTCTGATGTAACTATATTCACCTTAGGAAATCTGAAGTGCTCAACCCAGAGGGCGTTTGACTATGCTCAGGAACTGGGGGGCGTATGATCCGTCCGAGTTTTGTCACACGGTTGCCGAATAACTTTTAAGAGTAGGGATCATGAAAGCCGCTCCTAGCCTTATTAGACGTGGCAGGATATCCTGGTGATGGTTAGAAGGACATGGCCCTATTCCCCAAGTTGCCACCGCTCCCCTACATTAAGATCGGCGGTGGTATCCTCCCGCCCAGCCCAGTTCTTATAGCGTCGCTTTGACCTCACCAATGCGTGTCTGTACCTCCTCCATCTTAGCCTCCTCGATTCTGTCAAAGCGAAGACCACCCTCCATTGCACGCAGAAGAGACCATACGTCTGTCCGCTCTGTGGAGATGCTCACTTGGCTGAGATCCATTAAAGAATAAGCCCGGTCGTTGATACAGCACAAGTAATCAATTACGTCGAACGCATATCTTTGGCATCTGGATTCATTGCCGTACCCCTTTTCACGTCGTTTGCCGGAGGTGCACTCCTGGCAGTGACCAGTATGTTTCTCGAATCTTTCCATTACAAGCTCTTCATCATCCCTTGGCTTCCTGGTGGTTCCTAGACTTACAGAAGGGCCTCCATCCAGGTCCGACCTAACTGGCCCTGGGACAACCACTATAGTTCTTGTGGTAGGAGAGTGTCTGGAACTGCTTTCATGTGCTGGGTTCGTTAGGGGGGAAGCTTCTCCGGGCCTCTCGGTCTCCGGCTCAACGTTATGTCCAAGCTCCTGGCTCGGTTTCATTCTGGTATATATAGCAGAGCTAATAGTGGTGCACGGATATGACGGATACTAAATACTCTGACTTGCTTTCCTGGACTGGGTGAGTGGTAGAACTTATATCCTCTTCAGATCCGTTCAGGTTGGATTCCAGATGAAACGCCTTGTCCCGGTTATCATTGCTGAATGTTTCAGTCCCGTAGCCTAACAAAGAAAGCAAAGAGCAAAAGATGAAAGATACAGAACCAGATTCCTTTGCAAGGGGTAGCAAGGGATGTAGACCGACAGATCGGAAAGTAATGAGACTACTTTCTACATCTGACAGCACCAATCCAGTGCACTTCCACGCTGGAAGCGAACTCTAGCTATGCACCACTCTGTTAAGGGCTAGACAATTAGCTGCTGCTACAATGTAATCCAAACACCCCAGAGAGTCTAGGTATTAAAGGCCACTTATCTATCCGCAATATCCATTAAGGTCTTTTAGACCAATGCACCACCTGTTCTCTGGTATCCTGTTCTCAAAGCGGCGAATGGCAATAATGACCAGTTTGTTGTCGAAAGACATCAGGGGGGTCAATGAGAATATGATACAAAGTTGTTTGATAATATATATGACCGACCAAGACTCATTAGATGCATTAAACATACTGGTTTATTTTTAAAAGACGAGGATGCGAGGGCCTGAGGAGAGAGAGCATGATAACAAACTGCAATTCAGTATTGAGCCTTTTTATCAGTACTACTTTCACCGATATCGGCCGGATGGTGTAGTTGGTTATCACGTATCCTTTACACGGATAAGGCCCAGGGTTCGAACCCCTGTCTGGTCATATCTTTTTCTTTTTGTGTTTTCTGCTCTAGCAGTCCTTTTTGCTACTGCTATTCTTTTCAATCTTGCGCTCGTCCGTGCTGTCCGATGCCCATCCATTATGCGGCTGCACTGTTCAATTTGCCTTCCTAAACCCATTTCCCGCCTAGCGATCACCAAACAAAAAGTACAGTTATACATGACTAGCAGATAGTGAATTAACTGTAAGTACAGTACGGCTATTGCTGACAGGGATGGTGGGGCTAGGTTGTCAGAAAATTCCCCTCTCTCGTGTTGATATATATAAATGAACGACCGCTTCCAAAGACAAACTATATTAAAATAACAGTAGGTAAAGAAGCCGAAATTAACGCTACGCTGCCCAATACACCTAAGCTACTATATCACGATGCGACTGATATCGTTCCGACACCGTTATGCCACCATCGGATTTCCTCTCAGCATCACCCCCGTCTAAGGGAACTGAACGATAGCCATCAGTGGCAGAGGTGAGACCCTGAAACACTGAGCTGGGCGGCACTTCCTCGCCCCAATTCGTTGAGACCCCTAGAGCCCGATAAGCAGCGCCATGCAACCCCAGTGTCTCCTCTGTCTGCCACTGCTCTCGCAAATAGGCGCGTTTCCCACGCTGCAGCAGCCCCACGCCGGTATCCAGGCACAAGCCAAGGATGATTATCAAGCCCCCAAGGGCCAGGATCAGGCCCATTCCCAAGACCGACAAGTTCTTGTAGTCTCCTGAATTGTGGATGAGTTGGTTTCTGCATTGGGATTGGCCCTCGGGCGTGGTGGGCGGGCTGTAGTCCCATGGGGAATCGTCGCCTTCTCGGGGGGCGCCGAAGTTCAGGGGTTCGGTTGCCCATTCGATGGCCCATGCTTGCGCCTTGGCGAGAGAAAGGGCAAACCAGTTCGAGACTTCGATTTGCCATTGGTTAGGAGGGACGGAGTACTGCAGTCCGTTGTACAGCTTTTGGCCGACTGTGGGATGACCGGGTTAGTGTGGTTTCAATGGGTTGGGGGCTATGGAAGAGGTATAGGGACCCGGAGGACTGACTGTCTAGCGCTGACCCTCCCCAGCCTTGGACGGCTTGATGCATTGAATGTAAGTGCGTTGTCGTCATGAACCGCTCCATTGTCGCGAGCTGATCCCCATTCATGTAAACGAATCGATCGACCATGTCTTGAACCACCGAATTTATGCCTCCCAATTTGCTGCATGCCGTATCGCCCTCCAGGTTTGGGTTGCAGAATTGATACTGGTCGATGCATCCCAGCAAACTAACCGTGTAGTCCCCCGTATACACTTCGCTTCCGTTAAGCGTCTGGTGGGCGGCGATCCAGGGATCGTCGCTTGGCGTTTGATAATAAACACCATTTTGCGTGAGCATCATTAGGGTGATGTCTGAGTCGGTTTGGTTCAGTTTTGGGTCGGGATACCACATAAGCCCAGTACTGTGAAGAACACCGGTAGGGTCGGCTTGCCCGTAAACAGAACTATGTCCATTGTTAGATGGGAGAAAAGGGGGTTCAGGGTCCTCAGTAGCATAGCCTCCCTACCTCAGCGAGTACCCATGTATCCTATCGAATGCGGAGCGGGCAACATAGGAGAATGTCCAGTTATTGCCCATCTCAACCTGCTGCGGAATCAATCCAGCATTGATATAAACAACCGGACCCAGGCCAGGCTCATCCCGGTCACTGCCAAAGTCGGCGCCATAGATCGGGGAACAGGTCGTAAGCCGTCGAAACTTGATTCGGTTCTTGGGTGGGGCGTTGATCCCAAAGTCATCATGCGAATCCAACAAGCCCGTGTCCATCGCAAAGGCAGATTCGTCATTAAACCTGCACAGGCCCTTTGCGAACGGGCAGGAAACATTTTGGTGGGTCGTGAAAGGTAAGCTTCGGCGGACGTAAGTCCCGCAGGCTAATGATGAACTGCCCTGATAGCATTGTTTCGCATAGGCTGATGCTTGTTTTGTATCTTCCAACAACTTGGATAAGTAGATCCCACCCGTATCTGCCGAGCTTGATTCAGCTCCACCGCAGTGGGGACCCAGGATAATGGTTGTGTTGCCCGGGACTTTGGTCACATACGAAGTGAACACACCCGAGACTCCGAACAAGGCTACGTTGAGGAGTGCTAGGAGCGCGAGGGGAAGAATTCGGAGTAAGCCTCGCGGGGCCTTTCTGCCAGCGTTCCATGCCAGCATGGTGAATGCCCATGCTGCTGCCGTCCCTGAGCCGCTGTTTCGAAGGATCACCTGGCGACTGTGATGTAGGAAATCTCGCTTTTCCGAAGGGGGTGTGGTGTTGGCTTGGTGTATGATAAAGCAGAGAATCCGCCACATCATAGTTCCCGCGAAGGAGACAAAGATGGCAAGAAACGCCGTCAAGAGTCCGGCGTATTCCTGGGGTAGGGTGAGAGTGGCCCCGCGAATCTGGCCATGGGACCAGTTGGTCCAGACCCCGGTGTAGACGGCATTTGCAGAAGACATGGTCAGTAAAGAGTCGAAGACATCAACCGCCCACGGGGGAGATGGAGATGCAAACTATGGGGCAACCATCTTGTGGGAGGCTGGAGTATTTTTACAGCTCTGCAGCCCAATCATTGCAAGGGCCGGTAGGGCTACTCCAGCTAAATGAGCCGCCTCGTATCCGCAGCTCAAAGAACTGAGTAGAAGTGGTCGATCAGGGTTCTGATTGTGCCTTGAGGCCTAGCTGCATATTTAGCGTCCCAAGGGCTCGTGAGTCGCGCAATTTGCATTGAAAACGGTTAGCGGGTTTGGAGCGGGTTTTTCCGAGCTGAGATTAAATTCCGGCCAGCCGAGCATCGAACAGGATCTTGCCCTAGACGGGGTCTTTAGGTGAGTAATACGATGGTCACAGTGTCCGGAGTATGATGAGCTCTTATGTGCCTGGGGTTGGAATCTCACCGGCCCCTTACACGTTGCTATTTTCTCTTCACCTACCCTCTTGAGACTGCCAATTCAGTCCTCAGCCAAGCAAGGAGGCGTCCTCGGAGCCCAAAAAGCAGGCTGAGCAGCCAAGATCTACTACCCACTGATTAAGATTAGTCTAAACTCAACTATAGGGCTTAGTGGCCAATAAGAATCGTCTTCTTGCAAAGGGAAGGCCATGAAAACTTTGGGGTCAGACAATCTGGCAGTGGAGTACATGCCGTACTTATCCAGGGGTGGTTTATACTGTGCATAAAAGCATGCCAGTCGATACCCTTATTAATCTCCGAGTGGTTCGCCACTCTAAGCTAATCTTATTTATGACTTTCATGTTGTGCTTTCGACTCACTGTCCCCCCTTACCGAAATTAATACTGGAGACAGCAGTTACGCTAGCAGCCCTGCCCTCAACTCTCGACGGAGTACATTCAAACACACTAGTATGCGGAACTGGATACCAACCCAACTTGGTTGAGTAATTGCTCTTGATGGTTACGTGCTATTCTGAGTAAGCTCTTGGGCTGTCTGTGGCGCAGATTCCCTGGCGAGGAACAAAAGCAAGCTATTGAACTGCGAACAGACGCCGAATCCTGCTTCTTATTACACTGCTAGGTCCTATAGGCTGGTAATAATGTGGTTATAGTCATGCTTATACTTGAGAATTACGCCACGAGTTTACTAGTGGGTACAGTTTATGGTTATTTCAAGAAATGGGTTTGCGTCTGGTAATCGTCAGGAGGGACCCGATCTACTATATGTCTTTGGGGCGCTAGTGCCCTATAAGCGGAGCCACATAGCAGGACATTAAGTCCAGCGAACCTAGTTGGCTGCGTCTCACTTATGTAGACAAGATACCGATGGACAATAGAGGATACAATAGCCTCACAGACATGGTCGATACATCTTATCGTCTCGAGGTAGATCTGTTGTTGAGAAGGCAGGTTCCGAAGAAATGCTAGCAGCCTGGAGAACACAACATGAGACTCCAATGAGCTGAAAGTCTGACTTGATAGGTCGAAGAATACAAGGAACCTTACTCAAGGAGAGCAACTTTAGCATTGAAGGATATTGGGGAATCATCCTTATTCTACCTGCTGAGGTCCCCCCGGCAAGGACTATTGTGCCTGAGTACTCCCAAGTATTCACGGGAGGATAGGAACACACTTTTATTACATCTAGTCGTTCTACTGAAGGGAATAAAGCGCTATTCCATGTACATAGACACAGCCAATGATAATGATTGTTTCCTTTACCCTGCCCCATCGCTAATGCAATATAAATGCTGAACCAACAGTGTATCTTGGTATGGAGAGATGGATGTACCACTGCCTAAAAACAAAAGTCAAGCATTGCCTTGCCCAGCGATGAATTCCTTCTGGAGATAGAAAAGCAAGGGGCTAATGAAGGGCTCCCTTGACGCGCCCGCATGCCATGTCCACCATAGGATCAATATAGTATAAACAGTCTCTAGTATTGCTCTGCAAAACGAACCCCACAGGCATGTGACGCCTAGCCCACCCAGCACACCCTGTTTCAGGGCAATTATGCAAGTATCCCGTTGTGCAGACTGGTCAATATGTGTTAAGGGTTGTTTATATTCACCGTGTTTATTCATCCCTGTGTTGATGCCTCGTCGGTGGGGCGTCGCGTGGCGCCTGTTATCCCTTTCTTCATTTCGCTCTCTGCCCCATCTGTCCCCCTTTGTGTTCTTCCTGCCAATGCGACTTGCTGAGACAGTTACAACGGCATCATGGACAGTCTACAGCGAGCACGTCAAGCGAATACGACCGTGGGCAGGCGACGCTCCAAACTGGTAGCAGTGTTTGTAGGAGGGACGAGCGGCATAGGCGCCGCAACAGCAAAACAGTTGGCCAAGACAATTGAATCCCCCACCATATACCTCGTCGGTCGCAATGAGTCGGCTGGTTCGCGAGCAATAAAAGAGCTCAATATGTTGAATCCTCGTGGAATATTCGAATTCATCAAGTCAGATGTGTCACTCCTCCGCGAAGTTGATGCCGCCTGCCAAGAGATCCAAAAGAAAGAGCGCAAGGTGGACTTGTTGTTCATGACACCAGGCCACCTGGCGACACGGAAAAATGGTAAGAAATAATAGTCCGTCCCCTTGTCCTCTCATAATGGCCTATGGTTGAGGTGTCGCAGATACAGTGGAAGGGCTTGACAACAACCACGTGCTCCGATACTATGCGCGAATGCGATTTATCTACAACCTCCTCCCTCAACTCGAAGCTGCCAACATTCCCGCCAGAGTAGTCAGCGTGCTAGCAGCAGGGAAAGAGGGCGAAATAGACGAGAGCAACTTTGACCTTCAGGTGTCCTTCTCCTTTGGCACTGCTGCGACATACGGGGCGACCATGAACTCATTGGCGATGGAGTACCTCGCTGCCAAACACCCCTCGGTCACTTTCATTCACGTGTTTCCTGGGATTGTGCAAACACCGTTAATGAAGTCCAGCTTTGGATACATAGTCGGGTCGGTGATTGGCCTCGTGGCCAAGCTCATGTCGATATCGGAGAAGGAGAGCGGAGAGCGCAATGTCTTCATTGCCACGTCTACCGCATATTCGCCTGCAACAGACGCTGGGAAATCGTCGGCTGACGGCGTTGGGGTCGCAGTGGCATCGACAGGCAAACTCGGTGGTGGCTCGTATCTGCTTAACTATGATGGACAGGATGTGACAAACCAAACGTTGATGAGGAAGTACCGCGAGAGGGAGTACCCGACGAAGTTATGGGATCATACGTTGGACATATTCCAGAGGGTCCTTGGGTTCAATACCTAAGCATCCCGACCCACCTTGAGACCGCAACTGGAGGGGGTGTCATCAATCACTTACAGATCCCGCTGGCAATCGGAAGAAGTAGTCGGTAGTCTCAGCCTACACAGGAATTGCGACTTGAATATTCTAGTTCCATTTCAATACTAGAAACCTTTGTACAGCCTCCTCGGCATGAGCCGTCAGCTGTATTTTGCTCGAATGTGTTAGCACATCGTGCATCATGTTTCTCTCCTTTAGCTGATGGATATAAAACCTGTAGCGGAGACTAGTCCTGTTCTGTTCATGCCGGCCGGGGGTGGGCCCTAAACCACCTAAACGCCGACGAAGATCATCAACCAGCTTAATACTGGCCATGGACCCTATTTCCGAGCATGATCTTGGCATGGACCATATTGCGTAATCGACAGTGGGTTCCTGCTTTAGCCTGCGGCATCAATCCGTTGCGAAATGGTTAAATGAGGCAAAAGTGGAGCCCCTGGCAATCCTTGATACGCAAGCATATCGAGATCTCTATGCCCGAGAGTAAAGAATATGGCCGATAATCGCCTGATCTCTATTGCAAACAACCCGTGTCTTGCGACAACTACTGGTTACGGAGATCGGTGACCAGAGATGGGAGATGAGAGATGTATGTATAAAGGCCGTGCTCTGTCCGGTCCTCCAAGGCATATCTGGTCGGAACTACAGTAGCATTCCCGAACACCACCATGTCTGGTCTTTTGTTTACCTCTCTCTTGAGCATCACAGCTCCACTAGTAGCTGCATACGCACCTGGCCTTGAACTGGCCTACTCCCTTGAACGGGCAACCCAGGGCATCAGTATCTCCGCCAACGGGCGCAAATTTCTGTCGCAGCGGTACTCTACAACGGAGCCTCCCCTGGCCGTGGAGCTTCTGAGCGACAATACAACTGTTCTCTATCCGAACACGGCATGGAACTCATACAATGCAAGCGATTCGAGTTCAAACCCCCGGAATACATTCGTCAGCATCGACGGCGCGCGGATTGGACCCGACGGGCGGTACTGGCTGGTTGACGGTGGTTCCCAAGGAATTAATGGCTCAACCAAGCTAGTGGGCGTCAATCTCACGACTGACGAGGTTGATAAGATCTACTTTCTGGACGACATCAAGGCGGAGAACAGCGGCATTGATGATGTCCGGTTCAACGCGGCTGGAGACGTTGCCTACTTGAGTGATACAGCCGGCGCTCTGTTAGTTTTGAACGTGACCACTGGGAACGGTGTGCGTGTTCTTTCAGACGACGACTCAGCCGTTGCCTGGTTTCCGATGATGTACAACGGGACAATGGTCCCTGGATACGGCGGTGATGGTAGTACTCTCGCTGTCGGGCTGGACCAAATCGAAGTCTCGCCGGATGGACGCTACCTGTATTATCAACCTTGCAACGGCGGTCTGTACCGCATCGAGACTTCATATGTTGATGCTACACTGACCAACACGACACTGGCGGCTTCGCTCGGAGATTATGCTGAACCCTTTGCTCTGACGCCCAGCACTGGAGGAACCACCATCGATGGCGATGGCAATATCTACGTCAGCGACACCAACCTCCTCGCCATCTGGAAGGTCACCCCTTCGGGGCGTGCGACCATTCTCGTCCAAGATGATGCCCTGCTTTGGACAGACCTGATGTGGGTGACAGCGGACAAGAAGCTGTGGTTGCCTGCCTCGCAGATGCGCCCTGGTAGTGATGGCCTAATGGCTAACGGTCCCAACTACATCTTCACCTATCCCATTGACGCTGGTCCCTCTCCTATCGATCACGCATAGTCATTTTGACGATGATTGACCCTACCAAATGAGCCTGGTCTCAGAAATGTTTCTAGTATGATCTTCTTCCATGAACTTGGATAACACAGGCCATTCGTTCTTATTTTCTGTGGTGGAATATAGAGGACACACGCACTCTTCCCTGGTGGCTCTCCACAGGAGTCCGAGGCGGCCAAGAACGTCATGTACTTAATAAAATCGTGAAATATTATAATCAGCGACTCAACAACCTGCCTTTGTTGGCTATGTACTTGTGGTAATTTGTATAACATAAGATAATGTAGACTTGGAATGTGACTTGATACGGGATGAGTCCAACCGGTGCGACTTCAAATGCGCAAAACAGGTTTAATGTTCACAAAAGCTGAAAGTATTCTGGAGCTAGTTAGCCTTGGGGTAGATGTGGATAGGGTCTATGTAAATTATGGCATACCTCTTCTACCGTATCATTGGTATAGTCAATCAGTGCGCCTCGCTCATCCATGAGGGCTTCTCTAACGCCCACCGCCTCATCCCAGCTAAGTGGAAAGTCTCTGACTTCGTCGATGATCATATTGAACAGTTCCAACGGCAAACCCTGAAACGGGGGCACCTTCCGAACTTCCTCTGTCCACCAGTCCTTTCGCTGGGGAGGCACATTTGCTGTGGAGAGTACGCGTATATACGGATCCACCAAGAACATAGCCAGAATCTTTCGATGACCAGGCTTTGTGGCATCAGCCAGTTTGAATGGCTGGACTCGATGCTGGAGGACATTTGGAAAAGCGAGAAGTCGACCAGGTTTGGTCAGAACACTGCCGAGCATTTGTACTGCAACCTCCTCGTTTGCAATTCCGTAGAAGATTTCTGTGGACTTGTATTCATACTGCACCATATTCCATCAATGTTCGAGTTCAATATGGGTTGCAGTGATCAGTCACTTACCTGAGGAAGTCTGTACGTAAAATCCTCCGCGTCCATAGACTGCCGAAACTCAAGATGACTAGGTGTAATATTCTGCTCATCGTAATAATAGAGAGCCGTGGCGACAATGTGTTCGTTCAGCGCTCCTTCAATGTGCCACGTACCGCCGTCGTACTCTGGCTTTTCAGGGGTGAGGTGGATATTCGCGAGCTTAAAGATAACTTGCAGTCCAGACGTAGCAAAGTGCGCTTGCAGATCGGCGGCGCGGTGTTCGGCCTTTTCCTCCCATTGCCGGCGAGACTGGAATGGCTCCGGCTCCCGCTCAGGGAAGACTCGGTTTTCCCTATACCAAACATCAAACCTGTCTGTGTAGCAGATGTCCTTGTCCTCGCAAGCCTCTTGGTACGTGTAAGGTCGGACCTTCTCGGGTGAATCTACGTCGTCCTCATTTGGAGTAAAGGTAATTCCATCAGGAATCATGAAGTCCTCGTCGGATCCTCCCCGGAATTCAATCCTCAGACGAGTCTCATCCCACGAAAGACACTCGTTCCAAAGCGGAATTGCAGCTGCGACGAACTTTTCTAGCGTTCCATAGAGCTCCTTGTGCCGCCTGGGGTGCAGGTTGTTGATGTAACTGACAATTTTGGGAATACCGTCTTTGTCGAACTCAACATTGGATGGCAGCCATTGGAAGCTACCCCATTCCGGCAGTGACCCTTCACTTCGCTGAGATAGTTTCTGGTGCCCATCATATTCGGGGTCAACTACCTCACCCTCTCCAGTGAAGCGGGCACAATCATCAAGCGGCACAGTCCCATAAGGCAGTGCGCGTGAACGTCCGTAGATCAAGGGAAACAGCGACGGGTGAAGCAAATCCAGGACCTTTTCATCCGACCCAGGATGCCAATCTTTCAGATGTCCCGGGACATCTTCCAAGACACGCACATTGCTGCGCAGCGACTCCGCCAAGAGTGACGTGACTGCTGAATCAGACTTGACGATTGCGGTCTCACAGTCATAGACAGACACGATCTGTGAGTCCTTGAAGAACGCGGCTTTGTCGCGAAGTTCTTCGATACACTATATGTTATTAGACAAGGCTTAACGGTACGGGGACGGCGACCGAGCAAAAAAACCCACATAATCGAACATAGCAGGGGATAGATAGTCATCCTCGAGCTCTTCGCTGTGTACACACGCTTCATTGCGCCATTTGCTCACGATGTCTTCCTCGAAGACCTTCCGCTCCCACTCTGGCTTATCGGTGATCTTATTGATGAAATCTAACATTCGGCGCTCCCGCACAGAGACGCCCTCGCTATAGCAAGTGTCACATAGTGCATGAGGGAATCGTCGACGCTGGCCTTTGCACGGACCCTCTTTTTCAATTGTGGGTAAATGATCGTTCAGGGGCTGACCGAAGCCGGGAAGTACAACCCGGTTCTGCTCCATGGTGTTGTTGGCTGGCAAGACCATTATTTGGGGGGAAGGTTTGGAGAATTTAAATTCTATTCTGGATTGAGTTCGCTTCGGTTGGTGTGGTGATTTGGCTCTCAAATGGAAGGCATCCTTTGTAGGCAGCAGGCGTTGGTGCCTGAGGTTAGTCATCATGCCTGGAAGCCTTGGGAGCTCGTATTCTGATGTCGATCTTTTTGCTCTACCAGGATTCCAGGAACGGTGAAAATCAGTAAGGTTGCTAGTTCAACACTGCTCACGTGTCGTAAAGGGAGGAAGGAAATAAACAATGAGAGCAATGCGAATAATAAGAAACGGAGGGGAAAGAAACGAAGATACACTTCTATATCTGTGTCTTCTGTGCCAAGCCATACATAGCGAAGGATATAGGAGGAATCAATTGGTCTTGAATTATGAGCTATCCCAGACTAAATTGTCGACCAAGTAGCTAGCCCAAATTCAAGAATACCCAGATATAATAGCCAGCCCTACCTGCATCTCTCCATCGCAGTGTCACCCTTGTTATCCCGGCTCCTCAACCACTCTCCAACATCTTCAATGTTAAAAGTCACCGTACGATTGCAGAGCAACAGCTCTCAGCAAGTCAAGCCCAGCTGAATACCTTAAACGTAGCGAATGGTGACCTCGGAGTCGCTGTCAATGGTCACATCGGTCACAACCTTGCTACCCTGAACGATGTCAATGACGGTTGCACCGGTGAGACCGACAGTCTGGCCACCGGCTGCCTTTGCTTCGGCACCAGTGAAGGTAACGGTGCCAAAGTCAACCAGGTCAACCAAGGAGCCGTTTTCCTCAAAATCTAGAATTGTCCGTTAGCGAGTCAGGCCGTCTTCACGGAACGGAGTTTGGCTTACCTTCGACGATCCACTCAGCGTTGATTCCGCCAAGGGGCGAAGAGGAGCTAAGTTCCTTAGACACCTTCTGGCCCGTGCTTCGGTTTTCGATAATGGCAACTCCACTGGTGGAAGAGTGCGACTCGACGATGGCAACGATCTCATCGCCCGCGGAGATGTCGATGCCGCTGAAGTCATAAGCGTAGTCGGGCAGCCACTCGTACCAAGCATCGAAGGAGGCCTGGCCATTCGTCACAGTAAAGTCGACACCGGTCTGGAGGATGGCCTCGCTGTAGGTGTCGCCATCGATACCAACCCAGGCCGAGGCGGAAGAACTGCCGGATCCACCAGTGGGCTCCGGGACCGTGAAGGTACCGGTCACTGCGGTGTAGGTGGCAGCGGCCGAGGGAGGGTTCTCCTGGACAGCGCCGGACCAGTTGGAACTGTACTGCACATTTGTCTTGTTGGTCACGCCTGCTGGCTCCTGAACACTCTGAAGAGGACGAGAACCCCGAGCGGCAGCTGCACGAGCTTTGACACGAGCTGCGAGGCCGCGCTCAGGGGCAGCCAAGCTGGTGCCAGCAAGGATTGCGGTAGCAATAACAGCAGTGAACTTCATTTTGATGGAAGTGTGGGTTGTTTGTTCGACCTTGGATGTCTGACGGGACTGTAGATAACAGAGGGCTGTGATGATGGAGATGATGGAGAACATTCAGGAGGTGAAGTGGGAGTATTTATCCTTTTTTTTTTGCTCCATACTGTATCTCCTCATATCGACTCTTGCTAGATCACATCATGCAGTATCATTCTCCCAGTAGATTGCAACATGCGAGCAACAATATCAATCTGCGAGTGGCCATTGTACGGAAAATGAGAACAGACCAACGGAAGATGGCAAGTTGCATCGGATTCCGACGGCTAAATTTGAGACTTTAATGGACATGCTAGTAGAGGAGCTTAGTATGAAGCTATGTTCATTAGTTGCCTTTAGCGGTCTCGGGATATTCGGTATGTCTTAGCCTCTTAGGCGAACACTGGCCCCGATGGTAGAGCCCACTTCTTGAATGTCCTTTCTTGCACTTTGATAGCGCTCGAGAGAAGAGGAATGTGTAAGTGTTGTCACTACATAACGGAAATCCTATTCTGAGACTCAGTAGGAAGATTAGGCCTCCGCCTTGAGCACAAGATAATCTCTGAATTGCCCCCACTAGCGCAGCCACTTTGGCAGCACAGAGGTTGGCACACTACATACTAAACAAGTAGATTAATGGCGTCTGTGACGCGATTTGCTACCTCCAATCTTAGCACACTCACAACAAGGGCTAGTGGCCGGAATTTGAGTTGAGGAGAGATAAGAATGAATCACTCTTAAGCCTTCAGGCCGGTGGGGCAGCGTCACTTGGCACTTTCATTAGTAGTGCTTGTTTCTACTGGTTATAACCAAGACCCGCGCTAATGCATGATTCAGAACCGTGCAAGAGTTTTCGGCAAAAGTATTGTGAAGGAAGGACGGTGCTTACTGCACGGAAATCCCGGATGCCGAATCGATAGAGAGTAATCTTCATATCACCACCCATGGCTCGAATCACGACTTAGACTGACCTCCCACCTTGCCATTGCTGCCCCACTCCTCAATATATTAATATCATTTCATTAATATCACTTCATTAAATGACCCCCTCTCAAAATCGGTCCGACCCGACTAAGTAACGATCCCCCTCTCTCGCGAGCCAATAACCCTGACGCTGGCATATTGCTACATATCATGGTCGGTTGGTCTAGCCCTTAGTTCTTTCCCCCCAGTCCTCTCATTGGAAATCCCTCGGTTGGAAACCTTTCTGTTCTCTTTCCTTCAGCCTTTGGTATCTTTGTACGACCTCAGGTATGCTTAGATTCGAGTGGCCGCCGTCGTTGTGCTGAAATAGCGCTGTTCTCTTGTCTTTCTCATATTACCCTCTCTCTCGCCCTTGGGACGAATTAAATGCTTCGGCTCCCTTTGGACTTGGTTATCTCCTTCCTTCATAGCCCCGGACGTCATCTATTGGGCCTATCGTGCAATCATAATCTTTACTTCTATAGTGATAACAATAGCCCTATAACCTCCCAGAGCATAGTACCGCAGGATCGACCGTCGGTCCCCGTGAACACTAGTTGTTCCCCTCTCTTCCTCACTTGCTATGCTTCTAACCGCGGCTTCCCGTAAGCGAGAGAAGAAAGTGTAGTCAAGCTGTACGCAAGGTTTGACAACCATTATAAGAATATAACCATAATAGTTGAACCAAAGCTGACATACTTTGCGTATCTGGTTTGAATGGAATACAGTCTTGCTTTGATTAGCTGGTGTTATCATCGTCAAGATGGACATATAGGACACTTCCCTGCACCTTCGTAGAAGAACTTTTGCCTGCGTAGAATATAGTATGCAGATACATACACACCCACTCTACCAAGTGCATATAATAACTCTTCGTAGTTTGTGCATGTGGCTCTGGATTGTCGTACCGTCCTTTTTCTATGTCTTACTATCTAAATGGCTCTATGCACCAATACCCCTCTACCCCCCACCCTCGTTTTGAAAATAAAAGAAGGACAAGCAAAGAGGAAGGAAAGAATAAGAATAAGAAGAAGTGGGTACTGAGTCATTATGCGAATTACAGCCACTCGCTCTATCTCCATTGCTTTAGTACCAGGTTCATAACATAGTAAGTTGACGTGCTACTCTTGTCCTACACTCTTTGGCCATATACTTGTGGCAAGGTGCAACAAGGACAACTATATTATCGGTTTCGTCGGACCATTCGTGCAATGCACACATACGGTAACGCCTTCCAAGGACAATCACAAGGTTGATTCGGGAAGGTCAACAAGTTGAGTATATTCAGCCCCGACGCATCGCGCATGCCACCATTACTCCCCTCTGGGAAAGGCGGTACTCATGATTAAACGTGGTATGCGGCTGCCTCGTCCCCTACAATATCGCCCACATTGCTGACCAACTTAGCCAACTCTTCATTCATGGGGCCTGCATCAACGGCATCCAGGTTTTGAATCAATTGTGACAAACTCGATGCGCCGATAAGCACAGCATCTCCATGTTCGAGGCTCAGTGTTGAGTGGTAGATCGTCCATCGCAAGGCCAGTTCATGCCCATTTACTCCAACAGCTGCACCTGCATCTGCTACGGTCTGAGCTGCAGCAATCACTGCTGGTTTGTAATAAGCGTCATGATAAATCTTTCCCGAGGCAGTCTATACAACATGGCCTATGTGTCAGTTATTGGTATCTGGCATAGTATAAAGGTAGACCTACACTGCCATCCCATCGCGATCCAGCGAGTTGGCTTGGGTCCTGCGAGAGCCTTCCCGTGAATAAGCCTACTGCAGCTGGACTAAATTACAAACGTTGCGAGATTAGTGTTGTGATTAGGCGGCCACATCGGTAGATAAAATAGTTCATACCTATATGCATAGAAGCTAATCCCATGACGCCTGAGCAGAGGAAACAACTGCGTCTCCCCAGATCGGATGACAGGATTGTATCGGCCTTGATACACACTAGGCTTGACAAAGCCGTGTTTCTCGCAAATCGTTACAATCTCCTCCACTTCATCTGCCGTGTAGTTACTGATACCAAAGCGGGCAAACTTTCCTTTGCGGTATTCAGCATCCATAGCTCTGCATGTCTCCTCGAACGGGGTCACGCGGTCTGGGGAATGCAGATACATGATATCCACCCTGTCTGTCTTCAATGCTTCGAGTGACTCCGCCACGCTTTGCTGGATTCGTTCCGCAGTGTGAGCGCCAGGCGTCCAAGAAGTAACCTTGGTCGAGAGGTTGGCCCAGGTAGGAACCCCAATGTCGCCGAGAAGTCTTTCGGCGGCCCCTGGAGAACCCACGGGATATGCGCGAGCCGTGTCCACATCGGTCACGTTTCTAGCTTGGAGCGTGGCAATAATCGGAGCTGCAGTTGCCTCATCTTGAATCTTGGCTAGAGGTGATCCGGTCCCAAAGGCCGCAGTGCCAAATATGATATGTGGACGCTCGTGTGAAGCCATTTGTAGTGGAGAGTAGGACTTATTCGTCAGTGAAAGCTCAAGCATAGATGGCGTCGAGGACAAGACGAACTTGTCCATCACTTAAGTACTATACAACTGACATTGTCACGTTCCATCCCTTGGGTTCTCTCGCTACCTGGCTGGACTGGGGTCACTCATTACATGCACCGATTGACAGGGTACGGTCGGTTATGGGCAGCACTTGACACAGCCATCTTACGTACGGATCGGGAGTTGCCATCCCCGAACGGGATCCAGACGCTTTTGATGCTCTCTCCGGGACGTCCTCATTGCCGAACACGAGGTTTATAGGAATTGTTTTTGTGGCCTTGATTCGACTTGCTAGAAAAGAAAAATCAAGCGTATCACTTGATCAAGATTCTATATCCTATAGCTTTGGTCGGTATCTGAGCGTCTTCTATCGTTGTAACTTCGTCTATTGGTAGAGCTTATCTTTGTGTCAAACCGGCAAGAATATGAATCTTTCGGCTGCTACCCTTCTCACATATCGGCACTAGCATAGCGTTGAGGCTCTCCTAGAGTAGAGGTGCAAATGATGATGAGTCGAGATGGTATGTTAAGAGTCAGGTAAAGAGAATAACATCAACGATATGCAAACAGTGTCGGAGTCATTCCGAAGTACCGTTGAGATCAGGACTGGCAGTAAGACAGAAAGCTTGCCACTGACCTCCTCCTTGCATATAGCCATAACTCCGTTATACCAGTGTGCAGATGATGATACTTTCCCAGTTGTGCGGTCTAACCTGTCTGAACGGAAGGCATAAATGTCCCAATATACATTTTCCTTCGTATAATGGTTCCGATCGCAAGCCTTGGCCTACTATGCCAAGCTTGCAGGGACTGGGATATATTGCTGTTTGGCGTTTGGTATTGCCCATGGAAGTCCGGGAGGACTTCAATGTCCACGTCAGTCCATCGGAAATTATCGGTCTGGACCTGACCAAAGCTCCTTGTTGCATATTCGGACAAGGTACAGTTGGCTTCACTATCTCCTCGGACTACATTCTGCGCCGTCTCGGGAGATGACCACCATAGGAGTGCACTCTCGCGTCAGGGATGAGCTAACTCGTCACTGTCATGTCTCAATGATTCCAATGTAAGGAAAACACCAAATGCACCTAGTCCTTGTCTGGTAATGTCCCCGGAGTTGCCAGATCCATGTCTCCAGCAACTTCAAGCTCACTCTTATACCAGTCCAAGTCCAGGTGTTGATTCTTCAGACGTTGTCACCAAAAACCAAGACGGCAATATGGTATTCTACATGTGGGGGGTGAACCACTTGGCCGGAAGACTCTGCCCAGCGCATGAATAGTCGCAATGCATATGCGAAGCTTGCAAAAGCAAACACGCTGACGAGTCACGACTGCATGTCCCCAGTACTATTTTAGTAGTACAATTACTAGTTTGATAGGGCGTGATCGATCTATTATATAAGAGGAATCCCCAACAGGCAATGCGGGGTATACCCACGTGACTGTCCGGTTCCGCTTTCTTTATCGGAAGCACCCTATTGGCAGGCATGCTCGCTTGCTGTTACATAATATCCGCTGCCAATCATGGGCCGGGTTAACCCCGATCCGGAGTTAGCCCCTCCGATAACATATCGTTTATGCCCCAGTCAGATGACTCAACCCCCCCGTGACTCAATGAATTGTCGCTTTGGTTGAGTTAAATTTCATTGATCGTCGACCACAACTTCTTTCCTTTTGCTCCCAATTCAAAGAAGAAAAAAACACCTCCCGATTCCTCACCTTTCCACCTCTCTACCCTTCCCTTTACTATTCTTTCTTCAAGCACAATGGCTACCGAGAAGCCCCGTGTCTGTCTTGCCTACTCTGGTATACCAACCCCTCAATGGTAAATCAATTGACCGGAAGATTATGTTTGCTAACCCCGGCGGATGTGGAATAGGCGGTCTGGATACCAGCTGCATTCTTCGCTGGTTGATCGGTACAGCTCTCCAATCCCCTTTGGTTCGTCCAATGGCCGCTAACTGTGAGCAACAGAGGAGGGCTATGAGGTCGTCTGCTTCCTCGGCAATGTCGGTCAGGAGGAAGATTGGGCTGCTGTTGAGGCAAAGGCCCTCAAGATTGGTGCCAAGAAGATGGTGATTGAGGATCTGCGCCGCGAGTTCGTCGAAGAGCTCTGCTTCCCTGCCATCCGTAAGCCGACCAAAATGCCTTGCATAGGCATGAGCTGTTGAATAACGTGTGATACAGAGTGCAATGCCATCTACGAGGGTCGCTACCTCCTGGGAACCAGCTTGGCTCGTCCCGTTATCGCCCGTGCCCAGATGCGTGTCGCCCAGCGCGAAGGCTGCCAATTCGTCAGCCACGGTGCTACCGGCAAGGGTAACGACCAGGTCCGTTTCGAATTGGCTTTCTACGCTATCCAGCCCTCCATCAAGATCATCGCTCCTTGGCGTGATCCCAAGTTCTTCAAGCGTTTCGCTGGCCGTAACGACCTCCTCGACTATGCCGCTCAGACCGGTATCCCTGTTACCTCCACCAAGGCCAAGCCCTGGTCCATGGACGCCAACTCTGCCCACTGCAGTTACGAGGCCGGTGTGCTGGAGGACCCCAACCACACCCCTCCCGCTGACATGTGGACCATGACCGCTGACCCTCTGACCGCCCCCAACGAGCCTACCGACATCACCATCCAGTTCGAGCAGGGTGTCCCCACCAAGCTCGTCACTCCCCAGAAGGAGTACACTGACTCCGTCGAGCTGTTCGACGCCCTCAACAAGCTCGGCTACACCCACGGTGTTGGCCGTATTGATATTGTCGAGAACCGCTTCATCGGTCTCAAGAGCCGTGGCTGCTACGACTGTACGCATGATCCCCGTTCCACCTGTCACACTCCATCCCGTCGCTAACCATGTTCTAGCCCCTGCTATGACCATCCTCCGTGCCGCCCATCTCGACCTGGAGGGTCTCGTCCTGGACGGCCAGGTCCGCGCTCTCCGTGATCAGTTCGTCACCCACAACTGGTCCATCCAGCTCTACAACGGCTACTACTTCAGCCCCGAGCGTGAGTTCATCGAGAACAGTCTCAAGTTCAGTCAGAAGCGCGTCAACGGTGAGGTCCGTCTGCGCCTCTACAAGGGCAACCCTTACATCCTTGGTCGCTCCAGCAGCACTGAGAAGCTGTACGATGCCGAGGAGGCTTCCATGGACTCCCTCGAGGACTTCGAACCTACCGACACCACCGGTTTCATTGCCATCAGCTCCATCCGGTATGTTTCTCTGTATACTCTTATCCTACAATTCTTCCTCGCTAACCTCGATACCAGTCTCAAGAAGTACGGTCTGCAGAAGGCTGAGGAGGGAGAGAACCTCAGCCGGGCTTAGATTCCCCCTCCCCCGCTTGGATATTCTTCGTTTTTCTCTTAACTGAAAAGTGATGTCATGTGACGATTATCATGATAGTCTAAAATATTTAGGGCATGAAATTTAATATGTAACATTAAACGTCCAGGTTAAATCCGTTGTCGTTCTGGGTCCTAGACCTTCCACAATTAAACCATTGTCTCATAGACCTTGAAGTTTTAAGATACCTACATAGTACCACCTACCAGCCACCGGAGACTCAGCTCAACAATTATTATGGGGCGCTCAATTACCGATACCGGACGTGGACGTGAAAAGCTCTAGTGAGTGGAGACGACCCACCGACCACTTGGCATCCACTCCCATTTTCTTCCCAATTTGGGCTAATTGGGGATGAACCGACGGTAATAATGCCATGACGTCGCGTCCAGATATGTATAAGAGAATCCCAGTCCACCAAGTCCCAGGGACCACAACGTCACACACAAACACAATGGCAGCTCAATCAGTCACACAAGCCCACCAGTGCAGACTGGAAGCACCCCCCGAATCCGTAGTAGAGTAAGCCCGAAAGCCAGCCAACAATGCGCACCATCACCCATCCGGCCTCTCTAACATATCCAAGCGCATATCCTGCAAGAAAGCACACATGATGGACTTCATGCCGGCATACGAGCGCTGAAACTCCTCGCTCTGAATGCCATAGCTCTGCTCCTGCAACTCCCAGCGCACATCAGGCACGTCGCGCACATTCTCCCTCAACGGGAGGAGGTTCCAATTCAACAACTCCAGCAATTCACTGGGCGTCTTACTCAAACTCAACAGGAGCGGAATATTGACCCCGATATCGATCTGCAGCCGACTCAGCTTCCGATAGCCCTTATCGGACAACGCCGCCGCGAGCGTCGTCAAGCGATCCTGGAACCCGAGGAGATGCTCCAGCGTCGACTGGCTGTGAATATGGCGCGGCGTGCCCTGAATCGACAGACACAGGCGCATGGACTGGACCCACTGGATCGTCGACGGCAGCGGCACATACGGCGGGATGACCTTGCCACAGAACAAGATGTACTTCGTATCCAGGACGACCTCGTAGGACGTCGACCCGTACCATTCCTGGATCACCTCGGCGTAGATCTGGTGGTTTGTGCGCAGGAGCGCCGGGCAGCAGCGCGAGCCATCGTGCCGCAGGTGGATTGTCTTCGAGCGGTCGCGCAGCAGCGAGAAGTTGCGGATCGGGACGTCCGGGATCAGGTACTGGTAGATAGATAGGCGGACTTCCGGCGGGAATTGGAGCAATGGGAGCGTGGTGGTGTCCGGTGATGACGAAGCCATGGAATGGCAGCAGGTCTTACTTGCCTTCCCGGGAGCGCTGTTTGTAGGAAGGGGGGGGGAGGGGTTCAGGAGGGTCGCGAGGTGTGGGCGTACATTGGGTTCGCGGTGATGGTGTTCATGGAATTGATTGCGCGCTGCTTTTGTTTGCCTTCGCTGATGATCTGACACCTGACCCGTCGCTTTGGGTATATCTTTCCGTGAGCGGACGTTGCGCTGGTTTGCTTAGTTTGTTTGGTTTGCAGCGGTCCATTGGCCAATCATGTTTTTATGGGGTGTTTGCAGGACTCATGATCGGGTGGAACCCTAGCTGCAGTGCCCGACCGAGTATGCCGGATGATATTGAGATATGGACTGTAGTGGTATCTAGACTTGGTTTAATTACCTGGGGGGAAGTATCAAGTCCCTAACTGATGCGGCCGCTACTGGTATAGGGAACTTGGTCGAAATTCCTGAATTACAGTCGATGTTCAAGATTTCAGACCTATGACATCCTATCCCTCGGATAACAGTATATATTTCTCAATCAATCAGACCTGGTATACCCTCATACACCCTACTCCATGATACAAACCCGCTTTTCCTCACAACGAAATCTAACGATCTTCCTCAGGTATAGAGAGAGAAGGAAAATTGAAAATAGAGACAAGCAGAGAGAAATAAAGTGACAGAAAAGGTGAACTAGACACAGAAATAGAGAGACATACGCAGAAACAGAAACAAGCGGGTGATCTCGAGAATTAACAAAAAAAAAAAGAAAAAGAACCAATGGAAAATGGGAAAAATGACAAAAACACGGGTTAGAAGGAATACAGAAATGGACAACATGAGAAGGGAAAGAAAACAAAAAGAGATACCGAGATAGGGAACACATGGGGATCTCAGTTCAAAATTTAAACGTGGAGAAGCGGCGAATAAGATTGGAACGAGTGGTCGGTGGTCTAGTGCTGTCTTGACTCTCTCGACGGCCTCGTGGCTGCGCATTTTTGAGGACCTTGGCCATATCCGAAGATAGGTGGCGAGGCTTCAGGCGTTCGCCATACTCTGCTCCCTGCTTGAGGAGTACGGCTGCTAGTTGCGAGCGATCTTCCTCTACAGCGAGTGATAGAGGCGTAAAACGGTTTGCATCGGCCATATTGATGTCCGCAGACCCTTGCAAAAGTTTCCCAAACTTGTCCCACCAAGATTCCGTGCCATCGTACCGTTTGATAAGAGTGAGCAGAGGAGTTTCATCGTTGTGGGACCGCCGGATATTAAATGAAACTCTCCCCTGGAGGAGCTGAATGATCTTCGCCCCATCTTCGCTATACGTAGCGTAGTGCAAGCTTGTATAGCCATCCTGAGAAGGGCGTGAGCAGTCCGCTCCACGCTCTAGAAGAAGTCGGACGGCTGATACATTGCCGTGCCTGCATGCTGCCATGAGTGGAGTGACGCCCCTTCGTGATGGGGCATCAATGTTCACACCGGCGTTGAGAAGGATCTCGGCAACATACGCATGATGCTCCTTTGCAGACACGGCTATTTTGAGAGGGGTCTCTCCATTGGAGTCTGGGGTCTCAAGGTCGAGGCCCGGCTCGAGAGCCAAGAGATTCTCGAGCTTGAATGCGAGACCCAAGCGAACAACGTGTATAAGTAGCCTATCATCGTCATGCCAAATACGCTCCTCAATAGTGACGTCCCCATCTAACAGGCTAATCGCATGCAAAATTAATCGTTCCTCTCTCAGGCGGCTTTCCCTGTTACTAAACCTGATGTTGTCTGACCCACTGCCGATTGACACCGACCCACCGACACTGGTGTTAGTACTGGGTGGGCGAGGAACAACTGGTCGAGCAATGTCAGCCAAGTAGTGTAGTTGCTCTTGAACATCCCTAGCACCCGGTCTCTCATCATGGTTGATAGAGAGCATAGAAACAATCAGAGACCGACATCTTTCCAGAAATTCAGGGTTGTAATTATAACCACCGCGGACCAGCCCAGAAAGCCATGTCTGGACGTGGGGATTCACTACAGGAGGCGAGCCACGGTAAAAATAGTCATTCTCGTAAGGAGATACTCCATCATCAGTTGTGCCCCTTAGTTGGTCAAGATGCATCATTCCATTTGCCCCTTCTAACCCGAGCGCAAGGACCCGAGTTAAAATACATCCTAAGGACCATATGTCACTCTTCAGACCAAGCCCTGCGCTATCCGGCGACTGATATGGGCCAGGAGGCGGTCGTGGTCTCTCTCGATGGGTAAATGTATCCACGAATTCCGTAACAGTGGTGCCGGTTCTCTCGGGCTGGGACATAATCGAGATCCCAAAATCAGAGATCTTCCACTTTCCCACTTTTGGATAGTCTAAGGAGTCTCCTTGAAACACAAGTATGTTTCCTGGCTTGAGGTCCATGTGGCAACAGGTAAGACCTGGTGGATGGCTGTCCAACCCTTGATGGAGGAAGGCTAGAGCCCCAGCGAGATGCGCGGCCTCTTGCATCAAGTCACGTACCGTAAAGTCTGGGCATCTTTGATGCCCTTCGCGAAGGAAGACATCTAGATCCATTTCTGCCAAAGGGGAAAGAATATTGAACGAATTGCCTATGGTCACGGTGGCTAGGAATGGAACAATGCGATCATGCTTCGAGAGGCTTGAGCGAAGTACGTCGAGGTTTTTGGTTTCCGAGCGGAAGTCACCTCTGGCTTCGAACTGTTTTAAAGCGACCGCAATATCTTTCTAAGACCGAGCGGCCAGGTTAGCGTTTCCAGATTGGTAATAAGATGTAAGTAGACCTGATGAAACTTACGTTGTAAGGCGCTCCTGGCAGATGATGCTCGGATCGGGATCGAAAATGGCCACTTCCAATGATCTCCTTGGTGACCCTGCCATATGCGCCGGTCCCAATACTGGCCGATGTCTCGTTGATAAAGGGCAGCTTCCATTCTTTCGAAAACATCAGACTCTTGCCCTCTTCGATGTCAATCGGACAGAAAGTATATTGGCTAGCTTGAAACTTTTCAGCCCACGGGGACCCCAAGAATGAATCATCTTCCAGAATCGCCAGGGTATACGTTGGGATCCTTCGATCTGAACGGTCCAGTTCACCATTCTCGTCGCGGTGTCTGAGGAATATGTCTCCAAATCTCCCCCAATCCTGCCAGCCGATGTCCACTAGTATAGATAGTGTCTGCAGCCACTCCTCGCGAATGGCACCTATCCAGCTGTCATCGAACCCGGGACGTACGAGGTCTATGAATTTCTCCAGACGAGACTCGCTCCAAATAACCGCCAAGCTATGCCGAGTTACGACCTTCTCCGATGGCCTGTCTCTTCGGTGCGTGGCCGTTTGTATCGCACGGGAGAGCTCTTTCAGCATCGACTCCCGTTGGAGAGATTGCCGCCGTTCTGTAGGGCCCTCGACGAATAGAGGGTCATGGGAATATGGGTGACTGTCACCTATGAGATGGGGTACTCTATATCTTGTACTATAAAGCCAATTCAGTCAGTGTGAATGACACAGACATGAAGTCCAAACGGTCACTTTGTATACTGACTTGGCATGGAGGTTGTAAAAATGGTGATCATCCGGAAAGTAGGTGTGATGCGGAGATATCCCGTACATGTCTGCTTCTGGACTTTGAGGTGGGTTAGGAATTGTTCTAGGTGTTGTATGCTCTACTGGTGTGAGTCTTCTGGGAAATTGTCTGTCCGCCTCAGAGCTGGATCGATGTGAGGAGTCACCGCCAGAGTACGAGGTGAGGGTGCGGTGAAAGCCGCTCAAACTATAGCCATTTTCCGACAGAGTGGCATCGATTTCTTCATCGGACATTCTGATATGGAAAGCATTGCGAAATACATCATAACGACTCATGTTGGGCGCGGGATCGCGGGCCGCAGCGTCGAGGTCGCGAGCGACGCTCAAACGGACGGCGGGGCTTCAGTCCAAATGAGTCGCTGCGGACGTCTAAAGCTAACGGTGTACATTAACAATAAATTCAAATCTAGAGAGCCAGTAGTAGCCGTCAAGTGAGTGCGTACAATGTGAGTATGTGCAGTACATATGCGTTGGCAGAAGGGGCACCGGTGCCTGCATGAAGGAAAGATGAGTAACGGAGGTGAGATTGCAAGAAACGGTGATTACGCAACGTCATGGCTTGGTTGCCCTTTAATTCACGTGTGGTTTGTTTGCTCTTAATACTTGTGCTTCCTTCGTGCCCCAATCGCCTCGAGTCCTTAAGATTCTCAGCCTCGGCCAAGAACGAATGGGGCTTCTCCCCGTGGGGATCAATGCTCATTCGTATACCTCGACTCTATGGGCGTATTGGGCCAGTGCTGTTTGTAATGGAGCTAATTAGTCAGGGCTAGCATGGGGCAGCGAATAAGATCTTCTCTGACGACCCCTAATTTCTGTAAAATGTGGCTGTACAGTCCGGTTCATACGGGGGAGTTACTGGGAGTTGTGACTCTTAAGCTACTGCGGAAGATTACCACACGCATTTCGGTGCCTCCACCGAAGAGAGGAAAAAACAGCCCATTCATTAAGGTAGGTACATAGATATCGAAATTTGCTAAGCATATGATGCCTAACACATCCATAAATCCCGGACGAGAGGTACTCTACAGACATTCTATAGAATCAATGGAAAGCGGGCTCTTATGCTATGCTCTAAGCATAATCAGGAATTTGCTGAAGATGATGCGGTTCATCTTCGATTCTTCGCCGGCCACACAGATTACCAAGGCTAACGACATGCTCCTTGACATGAACGGACATTTCTGTGTTAACTGCGGCCTCAGTCAGCATGTATCAAGGTAGAACAGAGCTGCAATGGTGAAAATCGTACATATTTGGTTCATTTCTTCCAGGCCCACTTTTGCAGTGCCACTGGGAACCTACACTGAGGGTTAGCTGTTGCGAGGTGGTCTGGAGATGACAGAGCACTTACGAACAGGAAGACGAGAAAAAAAGCCAGCGCGTTGAGTCCCCTGACGCACGGTTAGAATCTGATTGAAAGATGCAATTGAGAGAATAGGAAAAGCCCACGTGAATAGAAAACATAACTTAGATTCTCCAAACTTTCCGAGAGCATCGGTCAATTTGGGTACAAATAGTACCAGAAGCCCGAGACCCAGGAAATTGACCATAACGCTGAAGCTCATGCCGACCTCTAGACTATAGAGTTAGTCTGTATCCTAGGGTTTCGAACTACCCAACCTTTCGCCTTGTAAAGGAGAGAGTTCAGAAAAAGAAAGGGGAAAAGAGCCCATACGCACCACGAAACGCAAGTGGGAAGACTTCAGCGCTGAAGGTGAACGGGACTGGTCCGGCGCCGATACCATAAAAGAACGTGAAGAAGCCGATGGCAAAAGTCGACACCAGAGCTAGTCTGACCTTGTCGGCTTCGATTTGAAAGAAAAATCCAATGGCAAGTAGACTGAAGAACATTCCCGCTAGCGAGATGAGGAGAAGAAGCCGACGCCCACGCCAATCGATGTATCGATACGCAGGAATCGTGAACAGGAAGTTCGCCAGGCCGAATCCTAATTCCAGTTACAAATGGTTTCTATACACATGGAGTAGGTGCGAATTTCCACTTACCAAAGTTCAGCCAGGTTATATTCGCAGGTTGCCGGGAATCATTCGTATCGGGGTTCTTATCCTGGTTGGTGGCACCTTTGAATAGTCGAGAAGAGTAAAACGAAAGAACGTTGATCTAGATCGATAATGAGAAAAAGGATGTTTACAACTTCAACAAGCAATGCAAGAAAGGAGTGCCTTACACCACAGAGTTGTTGTGACGCCATGACCAAGAAAGCAGCCAAACACGCTCTTTGGTTGCGTGGATGGCTGAAGAGCTTCCCAAGCCGCCACAGAAAATTGGTTTGTCGCACTTTCTCCTGGTATATCTCTTGGCAATACCAGTTCTGCGGTCGTTCTCCATGAAACATTTCCGTTTCGACTTGTAGTTGACTGTGGATATAATACAGGTCTCTCGCTGCCTGGATGTCCGTGCCTCGTAGCTGCCGGAGGCTCACGAATGCACCGGTATAATCTCCTTTCCGAATAAGAAACCGAGGGGACTCGGGGCACAGAAAGACGAGGAACAGGAGGACAAGAGCAGGAATCGATGATGTCCCCAGGAGCACCCGCCATTGCCGATCGACAATCCAGTCGCAGGCGAAGCCAATAAATACACCACTGCATCAATGGTACGTTAGTTTCCTTTCACCAGGAATTCAGAGTTATGTCCATCAACACGTACAAAGTATCGAACAGTTGCCACATCATCAATAACCGTCCTCGTAGGTGGTCAACCGCCGCCTCTGCGGCAAAGACGGGGGCGATTGACGCCTTTGCACCGATCTTGTTATTGATATCTCGTCAGCCTTTGTCCAGAGTAGACAGAACAAGTAGCTTACCCCAATACCTAGTATCACTCGACAAGCCAGAAGCTGCTGCCATGTCACACAGCGAGCGGTACCTGTTTGTTTCGAAGTTAGAAATGCGTCCAATGAACAGTGTTTCGACGCTTTCTACCTAGTGCACAAGCAGCACAAAACACCGCTGAGATGAACAGTGCTGGCCGCCTCCCATAATTACCCTCTTGGAGGGGATCACTTAGCCATGTTCCACTGCCAAACCCTTTAGTCTCTCTATGTGCTCTTACATCTGTTGGGCGACTCACATCATACTGCCTGATAGCCAAGGCGCAGCATCAATAAAGCCACCCAATAATAGATGTTGGTGCGTCCAATCTTCACCCTGGGGGTGCAAATCATGCTTCCAACCTCCTGAGCTCGCATTGATCGTCGACTGCTGCCAGCCTCTGTGTGAATCAGTTAACAGGAGCCTAGAGACGGGTTGGCTCCTTTCCGGGCGTACCTACTGGGTGATTGCCGCACATGCTGTCGTTAGAATGGTCACCTTGAGGTCTTTACTTTGCTGCCAAAAGCCTGATTCCTTTTCATCCTTTATCGCCTTGAACTCGGCTGGTGTCAATTCGAGGGTGTATAGGTTATCCGGCTCCTGTGCTATGCGTGCTCCTTTGACCAGCAACTCAACGTCGATCACGTCTTGCAGGTGGTTCCGGTCATAGAATTTGCGAACGTCTTCTTCGAGCTCGTCTGGTGTTCTCAGCAGCAGCGGGTTCCGAGGCCTGATGGATTCAGCGTAAGATGAGCATGATGCCCGACCGCAAGCAGGAGCGAGGGCAGTTCAATAAGACCATTGGATGAAAAACTACTAGCAAATTGAAAGCAACGCAAAGAATGCTTACCGCCTGGCTGTGTTGGTGGCCCGCATATTGTCCCTTACATGAATTCCTCCAACCTTAATCTTTCAGCATGCGCGAGGTAAGGGGCTCGGAAGATACGATGGTTTTTTAGCCACACCTTAAGGCTAACAAAGGATCAAGTGGAGCATCCAAGGCTTATTTGAGCTGCAGTTTCCATATATCACCTTGGAACGAGAAGTAGCTTTACAAAAGAATACTTTAATGGCACAGGATACCCCGAAGCGAGGAGGGAAAGAAGCAGGTGAGCTGGCCAATAAACCAAATTTCACCGAAAGAAAGAGATAAAGAAAGAAGTGCCGCCCTGCAAACATCATGGGAACTTGCATAACGGGAAATGAGGCTCATTTTGTGGGCTAATTCAACCGGGTGCTGGGCCGTCTTCCGAAAGTTTTGGGAGACTCGTATTCGATCATCACGTACAGCCTTGCCTTGGCGCTTCCCTCCAGGGTTACTGAAATTACTTTTCAAACTACTGTGCCTGTGTCACAAACAGCGCTGTAGTCGTCATAATCAGCATTTCCGGTTGAAGTGCCCGAAAAAAGAAAATCGCAGAGTCGGGTTGAGTACTCCGGACTGTGGTGGCTATTGAAAGCTTTGGCAATGAGATAGTGATAGCAAAAGCGGACAGACTTGGACGAGATTTCGCGCCCAAGGGACTGCCACCCACTAGTTTTGCTTTTTCTCTTGGATTAATTTATTTGCTTTCCTTCCTTTTTCCTGTTCAAGTCCTTGGACTCCTGGATACTTGCATAGGGGCTGTGTACCGAAACCGCCAACGAGAGCACTCTTCTCCCGCTTTGGGGATCATCTGGCGATGGCTTCCATGGGGTGAGCCCCGTAAATATCTCACCAGAAGGGTACCCACTACCCAGATGCCCCGGATTCAATGTTATGTAACGACAAGAGAAGCATTCCCGGGGATTTCCGAATGGTGCTAGAATCCATATGGCATGGATTGACATCCCCCGCTTCTCATGCAGCGATCCTCCATTCCCCGCCCACCTTGACGTGGCCGTACCCCAACCATGGTGAAGATGACTCGATCCTTCAAGCCATCGCTAGCCTCACTGGCGTAACCAGCCTGTCGGGCTGTGATTCCTGAGTCCGTCACACCTTCGGGGTACGTTGGGGAAATAAACCAACCCACGGGTCGGAATCGAGACGAGTATCAAACAGCGCACTGATCTCGTCGTCACAGCCTCACCAGTTTCAGAGGCTCTGCCCCCCTTCGTACTACCAGGATTTGTTTCTTTTTTTGCCTATAACCGCATTGAGAGAGCTGAGAGCCCACTCTTCGCCCCGTGCTCCGATCAACTTGCCTCTTCCCTTTTACATCCAAGCCATACTAGCCAACCTTGACCATGAGCGGGTCCGTTCAGAACACTATCAGCCCTGACATAACAGGGTACATCAGAAAGGAACGGCTCGAGGCTAGGCTTTTAAGCCTGTTTGGCAAACCGATCAAAGTTCGCGTAAGAAGCCTCGCGGATAGCGCTGGTATTCTCAACGCTGCTGACATACAAGGTTAATTTGAAAGCATATCAATGAGCGATGGGTTTTTGACGCCCCCAGGATAGTGACTCAGGTAAGCAGCTCTGTGCAACTTTTAGTGGCAAATTGGTTTCTATTCCGCGGGCTAATTTGTTCATGTCCCATGCTTCCAGAGTGAGATCGAGTGAGTGCGAGATAGTCCAAGAGGCACTAGTTGTCAACAGTTTGACTTATGATATTGTCGAACAGCGATCTTCGCGATTGAATGAGTGTTGTGATCATACGGATATGGTCGTGGATGAGATGATCACTTGGTTCGGCCTTCCCATGTGGCTTTGATACCGCAGCAATATTATTTTATTTTCCAAGTATCCTGCTTGATGTAACGTAATTCGCCGCTGGCTGTGTTTGCTTACCTGCCATGGTATCCCACCTTACAGCCTTGGACCATCCTTCCTTAACCTGGCTAAATCTGCCTTGTAAATTGACGGTGCGAGCGAATCTGGTTATAAGCGACTTGTTAGTACCTTGGTATCCTCAAATTTGCTTCCAGAAGAGTTCTAGTGTAACGTCTAGAACATACTGGGCACTTGCTGTGAGGATGCATACCATCGCACCACTCCAAGGCGATATTTGCCGGACGAATCCATTGACGCCTGGCCACTACGCCGCGATAGAACCTCATCTCCGATATCCAGCATTTGTGTCGTGTCCGGAAAAGTCAAACATATACCTGTTTGATTTTATATGTACGTTGTCGGTCTCTACAACAAGCTTCTGAATCTAGGCTCACTGTATAAGCCTCATCTGGTCCCAAAACGGACGGCCCTCACCTATTCACCAATAGCGACGACTTCGAAACCCATATCGCGACCACATCCAAACCACACACACGTATAGTGTTAGGCTTGCTGCTCACACGGCAACGAAGCACATAGACTTACAACCCTCCAGGTCAATATGTTCTCAAAATTCAATGCGTCCCCTCGGCGTCACCGAACAAGCGATGCGAAAGCTCATAAACACATACGGGATCGACGCGACCTTCCTCGACCTCGCAGTCTCCTTCGGCGACAAGCCACAAAGCTCTGATGCAGGGTACGGAGCCATGACAGTGAGACAACAGGAGGACGGCTCATATGGTACTTGGCCGACCTGAAAACCGACACGAGAATGAGAATGCTGATCTTTCAGACATGCAATACCTCTTCACATATGCGGAGAGCAATGCCTCCCAGGGGAATGTACCGTGGACTATCCGACAGACCTGCGTCTTTCACAGATACAACCCCGCTGGGTCCGGTAACCTCTGGATCTTCTTTCACGCGAGGCCACGTTCCAAGATGCAGCAGCAGATCGAAGCTCAGATCACTTCTCAGCATGCAGGCGTGTCCAAGAGCTGGCATTCGATGCATTTGCTCGTGCTTTCGGCATATATCGGCAACTGGCGCTGGTGTATCCGCAGTCTGGGCGAGGAGATTGAGAAGACTGTCAGTCTGGAATGCGACCGATACGTTTCTGAAGACAAAAAACGCTAATGATCTTCTCAGGTGGATATCGCCCTGACGTTGGATCTTTCAAAGCCTGGCACCGATAAAGACGGGCTCATTCAGCTCTTGACACCGCAATATCTGGGAGACAAGCTCCTATCGCTCTCTTCCAGACTACAGGTTGCGTTGGAAACCGTTCGCAAACTGGATGACATGAACACGCTTTTCCAATCCAAGGGGTTTACAACGGATGGCGACGCCCAACGATTTGCCAGCGAGATGGCGTACTATAAAACTACCATTGAAGGGTATATGAATAGCGTGGAAGTGCTGGAAGGAAAAGTGAAAGGTATCTCAGACTTAGTATGTCTTTCATCCCGTTATTGCATGATGCTCAGTCTCAGATCTGCTAACGTCGCTCATCCGATGTAGTTAGCAGTTGCCCTCAATCTCAAGGGCCAGACTGTAGCCAACGAAATTAACGACAAGATGCTCCAGCTTACCAGCGAGGCATTCGAGGATAATGCGACTGTCCGGGTCGTCACGCTAGTCACCCTGATCTACCTGCCTGCTAGCTTCGTCTCGGTATGCCATGTTCAATGCCCGTGTTACATATCAGTTCTAACAATACGTGTAGACCCTTCTAGGAATGAATCTCTTTGACTTCGGTGATTCGAATGAGAACGGATTCACAATATCGAAGCAGTTCTGGATCTTTGTAGTAACCGCAGTGCCACTTACGATGCTCACCCTGGGCTCTTGGTATATCATCACCAAGCGGCAGGTAAGGCTGCGGCAGAAGAGGAAAGAGGAGAGCGAAGGAAGTAAGATGTGTTGAGATATCTTTATCGTTTATTGTTGATTTTATTTTTCCCCTTGTGTCCACTTGCTTCTTTGTTTAGGAGTACGTACGTACGTGTCTTTACTGAATATACGAGTGTGGAAAGGATGGTCGACATGTTTTAGCGAGAGCAGGGTGTTGGCGGATATGTTCTGCAAACGTTATGGCAATTATATATATCACGGAAGGATAGGAGACGCATAGAAATCAGGTTTACTGCCGGAAGCATTTCTCAACCATCATACTCTCCGAGTCTCCTTCTGATCTCTTACGATTGTACAACTGCTATTCTATTAGACTAAGCCATTGGTGGTTGATGATTCCCCCGATCACCTCCTGTATGCACACAGCGTCACCCTTCACACGGCGCATTCCAGTGTTTACATATTCAAATTGGTCATGCGCCTAATTAGATTAACTACATGCTATATCTCAGTAATTTGGCTATCGAAACTAAGAAGCAGTTGCTGCACCGAATTTCTCCGGCGTACTGTTGAGCATGTGATTATTTGAATAGGATCCTTTCGCCCGGTATCATCTGATCCATAAGATATTCTCTATACTTACTGATCTGGGAGGATATGTCTTACAATTCCCGTCCGGGCATGGCCTTATGTGTTGTTCCAGGACTAATACCAGACACCTAGAATGGATATGAAAGAAGATGTCCTTGTTGGAAACTGCCCGACATAGCCACAATACCTCAGGCCCACAGCTCCTTTAGGAGCCATTCACCTCCACTATGGAGAGAGATTATACATGGCAAATGCATTACTGTGTCCAATATCTCCCATGCCCAGGTGATACGCTTTCGTACCGTGTCTTGGGATAGCTCCTCTAACAGGGCGGCTATAGAAAGTTATGCCAACCCGAAAGGTGATTGCTCGAAGGATGAGATTTTAACCCAATTCCAGTTAACCATTAGATTACTGTGTTGTCGATATAATAGACCTCGATATTATAGCCAGAGCGAGACAGGTGGTATTTCTTAAAGTGCTCGGGCACATTTCAGTAAAACAAAGCGCAATTTCCGAGGATGGCAGCGGTGTGGCAGAGAGAGTGTTCCTATTTTTATTACTTCATTAGCCTAGATTCATCATTGCCGATGCAACTAACCCGGATATTATTAGATTAGATGTTTACCTGTTCTGAAGGCCAAGTGAAAGTATTGTGTGGTAGGGGGAGGTCTCTCTCCCAATGCTGTGGGTTAGTGCACCGGTACGTTTTGTGCTGTTAAAAACAGAAATGCCGATTTAGTAGGTCTCCTATTGATGGGTGCCTGCGTCGTTCGCAACTAGGCCATCGCCTATTCTTCTGGTCTAGTATCCAACCATTCGTCGTGATGCCTGGATGCATTCTTCGAGCCGTGCGTCTTCAGTGCTTCCAGAGGCATGGCGTGTAAAGAACTTCCTTTGTAATCATCCCCAGGCGTCTGCTTTGTTATTTCATGTTGACCCTTTTCCTCATGACCGGATTCCTCTGGAGGCAGGAAAGTCGAGCGGTTGCTAACCGAAGCCTGCTCAACATGAAACGGTAGCCACAGGTAATTTCTAAAGCTGTACGACCAAATACCCAGTTATCTCCTTTCCATGGGCTTTCGGATCGTATTCGTGCAGCGACAATCTTCGGACTCCGACTGTGAGACCTTCCGGATATGGTATTCGTCCTTCATGATGAGATCAGCCAGCGTCAAGGGGAGAGAAGAATTCCACTACGCATCATGCGATATTCGAACTCGGAGAAACCCCCTCTCGCTTCCATCTTGCCGGTGCATCCGGAGGGAGGGAAATGCCGTGTTGATTAATCCAAGCAAATTCTTCTTCCACCTATGGTAGGAAATGTGCGCCACAGCGAATTCTAGAAGCCCAAGTCCAGATGAAACTGAGACACTAAAGCCGTTTTGCCCTTGCCAGAACTGACCCACTGGGTGGAGCACTTACGCTCCAGCATCCCAATTTTTCGTACGGAGCATGCATCTGAGCTGGCCAAGCACCGGTCCTACAGATACTGCAGGCTGTCATGATCAGTTGTCCGACGACAGTGAGAACCTTTCATCTATCCAGAATACCAGAATCGCTCGGTTAGAGAGTGATGTGACGGTCCCTTTGTGAGGTGTCCAAGCGCCGGGCTGATCCGGAGATTTGCCGAATATGACAAATCCGGATTGGTGATTCTGACTGTTGATCCCTTCTCTATTTTCTGAAAAGGGTGAGGCCCCTGATCCAGGGACTCCAGGCAACCCAATTTAGGGTAGATTAAACTAGTAAGGCAAGGCCCAATATGGATAAATTGAAGATGGCGGATAATCGGTACCTTCGGTCCCAGCGACGGGATATCACGAATAACCCTGACTTACGAGGGCGGCGAATAGGCAACACCGGAGAATAAACGGTAAAACCTTTTATTTAGCTAGTGAACTTTACCCAAGTGACCATGTGGAATGGTTCCAATCATGGTCGATGTACCGAAGGACCACGATATCCACAGGTTCAAGTACGGACCGAGCTCCCTCAGAGTGAGACAAGCATGAGACAAAGCGTCGGAGATGGGCCTGGGAACTCGGCAGATAAGCACCTATTATCCCGAGTACGTGAGGGATTGTTGGACGAAAAGATGAGCAGAGGACTGATAGTGGGGCCGAGCCTTACCGGATCTTGGCTTGAACCCCAAGGGCCCATGGGTCCGCTATGCCCTAATCGCCTTCTAGGGCTGCGGTCCGTCGTCAGAGGTTGATGATACTGATAATAGCACGGTGGAACAGTTTCGCAGTGGAGATTCCCATTCCACCAATGATGGGATATTCTCGGCATCATGGAAAATAGGCCCACGCTGTCGCCAAGCTCAAGATCCGAAGCTTAAGTATAGCGAACCATGAGGTATAAAAACGCTCGCTGTCCAGGGCTGTCAGGGAATTCCTCTAACACCAAATCACTGCTTTCGTTCCTTCGCTTTCCTTTATTTTCTGTTGAACAGGCCCGATACATTCCTTTATTCATTCCCGTACGTTCTGTTGACCAGAACCCATTCATTCATTCACTATGCATTTCCAAGCTCTCGGTCTTGCCGCCCTCGGCGCTCTCGCCGCTGCCGCCCCCGCCCCTTCTCGCACCTCTGAGTTGGTTGAGAGAGGTTCTTCTTGTACCTTCACCTCTGCTGCTCAGGCTTCTGCTAGCGCCAAGAGCTGCTCCAACATCGTCCTCAAGAACATCGCTGTCCCCGCTGGAAAGACTCTTGACCTGTCCAAGGCCAAGGACGGTGCCACCGTACGTCTAACCAATATTCAATTTCAGTGCATGAGACCGTAGCTAATCCGACCCGTCGTCTAGATCACCTTCGAGGGCACCACCACCTTCGGCTACAAGGAGTGGAAGGGACCCCTGATCCGCTTCGGTGGCAAAGACATCACCATCACCCAGGCCTCCGGCGCTGTCATTGACGGCCAGGGCTCTCGCTGGTGGGACGGCAAGGGCACCAACGGTGGAAAGACCAAGCCCAAGTTCATCTACGCCCACAAGCTCCAGTCCTCGACCATCAAGGGCTTGCACGTCAAGAACTCCCCCGTCCAGGTCTTCAGTGTCCAGGGCAACGACGTCCACCTGACCGACATCACCATCGACAACTCCGAGGGTGACAGCAAGGGTGGCCACAACACCGACGCCTTCGACGTCAGCGAGAGCAACGGTGTCTACATCACCGGTGCCAACGTCAAGAACCAGGATGACTGCCTGGCCATCAACTCTGGCGAGGTGAGTAGATCTGCCACGCGGATCCCACACTTCGCGTCAACCCTACTGACGTGACACAGAACATCGAATTCACCGGCGCTACCTGCTCCGGCGGCCACGGTATCTCCATCGGCTCCATCGGTAACCGCGACAGCAACACCGTCAAGAACGTCAAGGTTGCCGACTCCACTGTCGTCGACTCCGACAACGGTATCCGTATCAAGACCATCTCCGGCGCTACTGGCTCCGTCAGCGGTGTGACCTACGAGAACATCACCCTCAAGAACATCAAGAAGAAGGGTATCGTCATCGAGCAGGACTACAAGAACGGCGGCCCCACCGGCAAGCCCACCACTGGTGTCCCCATCACTGACCTCACTGTCAACGGTGTCACTGGCTCCGTTGCCAGCAAGGCCACCCCCGTCTACATCCTCTGCGGCAAGGGCAGCTGCTCTGACTGGACCTGGAAGGGTGTCAGCCTTTCCGGCGGCAAGAAGTCCGGCGAGTGCCAGAACGTTCCTTCCGGCGCTTCTTGCTAAGCGGATCGTGCTTGATCACGGGTTGGGCTCTGGTGTATCGATGGCCGGGGTGCAGACCTGGTCTCTCCATAATTTTACTTGATGTAGTAGTATAGATACATATGTCTTATAATACAAGTATCAGCATCTTGCTGAATGCACATATTCTTCTAGCGATGTTTCCCTCAGTCGTTCATATGAATTAATCATTTGCTCGTAATACTTATGCTTCCAGGGGAAGTATGTAATACCAAGTTGAGTTTAGGGAGCTTACCCAGTACGCCAACGTGTCGCAATTTATCCCTTGCTTGAGAACAGTATTTCCCTCTCGAGCCGAAATGTTTTCGAGACCGTGGTGAAAGTAACCGGTATCCCTTGCAACATCCTCCATCGAAGGTGCCAAGTTCAAATTTGTTGGAACCTGCTTCCTGCGAGTGTGTCTGCACTCATCCGAATTCTTCTATGCTCGGTCCAGAATGTATTCCCTAAACAGGGATTGGCAGACACGCCTCTGACTAATCGAAGGATATCCTCTGCCTGTCGTAATTATTGTCAGTAGGGTTAATGCAAGGGCTGCAAAAAATCCTTCCCTTTAATTGACAGAAAAGGAGAGCGATATTGGTTGAAATTCCGAAAAGAGAGAATGCGCTAGCCCCAATGTCGGCATTTTGTTCATGCAAGGCCGCGTTTCAGGTTAGTGTGGTTGGTGGAATTGTATTTTGAAGCGTTCTTATTGGATGGCAGCACCTGGGCTAACCTGAAGATCGGCGGAATGTCTTGCAATATCGAATGTTTCTTTCTATACGGTCGACGATCATCTCGATAAAAAGGGACGGACGACCCATGCACGAAAACACAAACCCCTTCCTTAAATGTTTTGACACGGAGGAGCATCTAGCCCTCGTCACATCTTACCATGTCCGACGAAGAAAAGAGCAAGCAGGCTGTAGGTGCTATCTGACACCGTAGTTGACGTCTGCTCACAGCAAGGTATGTAGGAACCGGCAGCCAGTCGGGAGACGTATCCGGTGATGGACTTGGGGAAAGGCATAGTTGGATGGGAAAGTCAAGAAGATCCATTAAACCCTAGGTAAGGTGCTAACACCCGAAAAAGAAGAAAACATGACTCACGCCAGAACGAAAGAAACTACCCACCATCTCGCAAATGGTTCCAGTTAGCGACAGTTAGCATCATCACGTTCATCAGGTAAGAGAGCGAGAGGCCTGCAGCCATCGAGGACGTTGGCATTGACAAACCGTTTGTAGCCCATTTGCATCATCAGTATTCGCCCCTGGTGTCAGCCTTGCCGCGCAAGAATTTGGGCAAACATCCTCCATACACAGTTCTTTCACAGTGACAGCATATCTTTTCGGCTATCTTGTGTGTTTAAGTCTCCAGTCACTAAGGCTATAGTGGTTCGCTAACAGGTTCGTCATGTCAGAGTGGTCCCTTAGTTCTATCTCCACTCAGTGAGGTATGCGGTCGTCGAATCACGTTGAACGTCGCCACAACGATCTTTGTACTATTTCAAATTGGCTGCGCCCTGGCTCCGAATCTCTCGGCTTTGATTGTCTTTCGTTTCTTGACTGGCTTTGGAGGGTCCGGCTGTCTGACGATTGGGGGTGGCATGGTTGTCGACCTTTTCGAGACGGAGCAGCGAGGACTAGCCTTGTCTTTTTACTCGTTCGGGCCACTATTTGCGCCAGTGATAGGTCCGATCTGCGGAGGATTCATTGCGCAACGTGCCGGGTGGCGGTGGATCTTTTGGGTGCTGGTCATCGTGGGAGGCACATTGACCGGCATAGTCATGGTGGCCAACCGAGAGACCAACCCGACCGTGCTCATACGGCGGAAGACAGTGGCCCTGCGCAAGGAGCTGAGCCGTCCCGAACTTCGCAGCTGTTACGAAAAAGAGGGCGAGGCACGGGGACTAGCGACTCTCCTGATGAGAACATCCACCAGGGTAATCAAGCTGTTGGCAACCTCGCCCATCGTACTGATGATGGCGCTTTATATTGCATCAGTCTATGGCTGTCTCTATCTCCTCTTCACCACCATCACATCGGTCTTCCAAGACCAGTACGGCTGGAGTGTCGAAATCAGCGGCCTTGCATATATCGGATTGGGGCTAGGCTTTTTCGCAGGCCAGCTGGTGTTCGCTCTCACAAGCGACCGGATCCTCATCCGGCTGAAAGAACGCAATAATACGTCCGGGAGCCTGAGATGCGCCTTCCGCTCTGCTTACCATTTGCGCTCTTCGTGCCAATCTCCTTTTTCTGGTATGGCTGGTCTGTTCAGGAGAAGACACATTGGATCGTTCCCATCATCGGACTTTTCCCCTTCGCCTTCGGCATAATCGGCATCTTTGGGACACTGCAGGCATATATCGTTGACTCCTATCCTCGCTATGCGGCATCCGGTATTGGCGCAATAACTGTTACTCGGTCCCTTTTCGGTGCATTATTGCCCTTAGCAGGACCGCCCATGTACGAAAAGCTCGGATACGGTTGGGGAAATTCGCTTCTGGGGTTTGTAACACTGGCGATGATTTCGCTGCCTATCCTCTTTCGCCGCACCGGCGCGTCGCTCCGACAAAAGTTCACGGTCGACCTAGAATAATGCAATTGGCAAACCAGCACGGGCTTCGGTAAATCAACAGTTTAATAAGTACTTCAGCATGATAGATTCGGTATCACCTTGCCAGATATACCCCAGACGTACACGGGGGAAGCAGTTAGGTATTGATCTTCTTCGGGGGTTTTATAGCAGCCCTTCTGAAGCGAACAGATCGCCGATCATATCACTAAAGTCGATCGGCCCAGTGCCGTCGATCATGTATCCATAGTCATCCCCGCTAACGCTGTAATCTTGCACGAATGTGGAATGTAGGGGATTGTGTTCCGTGATCTCACCACTAACGAACGGCGTATTGTACATGCTCGATAGCATCGGAAAAGGTGTAGATGCACTCGACCGTTGAGCGGCAGTAAGCACTGGAGGGCCCTGATTCGTGCTTCCTGCTGTACTGGCGCTTTGAAGAGGTCCCTGCGGAAGGCTATCTGCCGACTGTAACTCGGTCACTGCTGGAATTGGCACCGAGTTACTTAGTCTCCCAGCTGGCGACCTCCCCTGGTAATCCGATACATTGGTCCTCAATACATAACCGAATGTTTTCTCAGCCAGAGCGGTGGTATATAAGTCAGACACGTTTGGGGACAGACTAGACACGACATTCTGTGGAGACAGGTCGCCTGTTTCAGCAGGCAGGATTGTCGTCGTCAAAAGCTACACAGCCGCTCAGTATAATACTCCGCATACAGGAGCATTTGCACGATACATACCCTTACCGCAAAGCTTGTCCTCTTTGCGAGCGTTGAATATGGCTCCAAAAGAGTCATAAGATCCCGAGCAGTGCGCAGCTCTGTTAGAGCCATTTCCTCGACCGAGGAGCCCTTCCGCGCCAAGACGATATAAAGCATAGTCAAGGATGAGGCCAAGATCATATTCGAAATATCCCAGTGCACTCCGCGAAAAAGTCCTTTGTGATACATATCCTGTGCAAGCCGAATGATGTTGCGACTAGCATCTACACAGGCGGAAGCATACGCGGGGAAGCCATCTGCTGATCCGACCTCGTCGGTCGAATAAGTGCCAAGATAGTGCAGGAAAGGCCGATACAAATAGATCTGAGCATGTGCGTACGACATGCATAGCTCGTACTGTGCACTGCACCATGTCAGATCAGAACAAAAGGTTGGGGGAAGTCATTGTACTTGGCCTACCGTTCGATGTGCAATGGATGCTTCTCTTGGCCGAGGCGGAGGCTTGGAGGAAGTGAGACCAACCAGGACCGAAGCTCGCTTTCTAGTTCGCGGACAGTCTCTTTGCTCACTAAATGGCGCAATGGCCCCTGGCTGTGCGTTTTCTTGACGCCTTTCAGTGGGTATAGACGCTTAGTTATATGACCTAGGACGTTATGGAGTCGGAAACATGCGACGCTGGCAATGGTTGGGTTCCATTGTAGCACGCTATGTGGCCTGTCGGAACGCGCCTCTGTGGAACGCATCTTACTCTCGCACGAAACACTCGGATACTCCAGATCAAGATCGTCGCACCCAATGGGCATAGGTAGCCCACCTGTAATGGAGACACAGGCCAGAAGGTGACGTGTCGTCCAGAAAATGTTCTTTTTGTCTTCCCGCGTAAATTCATCATCAGTCTCCGCGACGTGATGATATTTCATCCGTAACGCCAGGGAAAACGTGTAGGAGAGAGCTGAGAAGCTTGAGCTTACCCGAGCAGTGTATAGTAAAAAGATGTTCATGTAGAGAATGGCCTGGAGACTGACCAAGTCGTTGCAGTCTTGCGGATCAGCCAAGCTACGGCATGTTTCAAAGTATTGAGTTCTATCACTGTCAGTTCTCCAGCCGCTCAGGCAGGAATTCAATAATCACACACCCTTCCAAGATGAATGCTTCGCGAGACCCCTCATCATCCATTTCAAACAGACATCCCAAAGCCATAAGGGAAAATAACAGTGGAAGATATCGGTATTCCTCACTACTATAATCCTTGACATTCAAGGTAAATAGTAGGGCGAAAATGGAATCGAAAGTCGGGCGGTGCACGAAATTGTGTAAGAAGTGCGCGTCGAAAGCGAGGTTGACCAAATAGCGGGCTCTGTCTCGCGATGGTAATGATATTGCTTGAGCCGGGCCATTTGTCAATGGGAAAAACTTTGGTGCCGGCACATTCCTTGCTCGCACTCGATTTTCCGCATCTGCTCCAGGCCAGTTTCCTAGCTCATCTTTTAAACGTCTTACAAAGTCCATGTGCGCTGCAGAGTGCAGAAAGCGAGCCTCGCCTTGGTTTTCAAGAGCCGAGGGGAGTCTGACGTTGGGAACACGGCCACTGGTGTCTGAAGCAGGATTGTCATTGGAATTTTCTTGGATAGAACGCACGATGTCTGTAGACCCGACTGGGGGCGTTACGTTTGGTGGCTCAGCCCGCTGTCGGCATGACTCTTCGACTGCCCTCAACCGCTTCTCGAGATGTTCTATCCGGTCAGGCTGAACCAGGCTCCGCTTCCTCCGCCGTGGGTGCGAGAATACACAATCTTATCTAATCAGCAGCGCCCATCAATAGGGGGAGATTCCGAGGCTGTACCGTTGAAAGAGTCACGGCAATGGCTACAGGGGCACGTCCTGTCACATTTGATTTTCATCCTCCGGCAAACGTCGCAGGCTCGATTTCGTCGGGGCTCTGCTGGGGCATCAATCGTTGTCGACGGGCCGCAAATGCCATTCGGGCCACGAGCAGCATCAAAATTGGTGCCATTTCCTGAGACCTGGAATTGTTGTAGCATCGGGGTTCATCATACATCAGAAAGTATGTAGGAGAGTTGGATGTTGCCGTTAAGAAACACAAATGCATGTATGTAAGCACGTGCACGGATCAAACCATAAATAGGCTAAACTTCTTTGGGATGATTGAGATATTCCTACCCTAAAGACAACTCATTGTCGCCAACAATACCCACCACCAGGAATTTGTCAGCGTGTCGGTTCTTGGGAGATCCTGTTGATGGTCTCAAGGTCGCCGTCGAGCTCGGCATCGTGTGTGTTGGCAAGTTTGTTTGCCCTCCTTGCATGACTTGCAGGCTGGCACACATCCAGGCTCGAGATAATCACATCCTGAATTATTAGCGCAGCAGCAGCGCTTTTGGGCAAGCTCTGTGAGATTTCAAGGGTCTCTCTTGTTTAACTTTGGTTGGTTTACAGTTGATTCTCCACTGCAGCAGTGATGGGGCCCTCTGCTACCAAGATTCTATAGGCCAACACGCCCTGTTCCGCAAATTACACGATCTTGTAAATAGCCCTAACTAGGACTTATTTACTACTCTGTATTACCGGAACGTAACCGGTAAGCGACCTCGGCCGTGTAAGCGACTCGGCCATGTGGCAGCTCAGCTCGGCCAACTCTATATGCGTACGGAAGAAAATGGCACTTTTATACGCTGTATATCTCAATAACCAGAGATGGTAGCTATCTAAACTCCAATATATCTACTCGTCTTTCGCTATAGATATATTGTATGTGCTTGAAATACATGGTGATGTTTTATCCATTAGATTATCAGGCAATATAAATTGCAGTTTCTAGTTTGCAAAAATATATAAGATGTCACGGTAGCAGGTATATTGCACGTCGTACTGGTACTACCTCTAGTTAAGATATTGACATTGTAAAAAGCGCCATTTTCTATGGAACACAGGGTTGGCCGGGCCGAGTCTGTTAGATGGCCGACCCGCTTACCGGTTAACGTTATGACAAGCTTTCCATATACATCGCAGGGTAATGAAACCAGAACAAGATATGGTTACATTCGGCAGGACGATCATCTAATGCATCTACCATACGAGCTTCCATAATATTGATATGAAACGGTCCAGGCCATTCCAGTAAAATTGTCTGTGGCAACAATGGTTATGTGGGAAGTTAGCGAACCTGCAAGCATTTCTCCAGCGTAGCAGAAGATTGCATCCCGATTGGTAAATAGTCCTGCTTCTTCCGGTACTGTTTCCTCAATAGTACTAGTGGTTCCATTCTGTACTCCCTGCATCCACTAGCTCCCACAGGCATCAGCGGCTTTCCTCCGACCCGTTCGTGTAGTTATAAGAATTTAGAGACTGGCGACTATGAGTGCCGAGACGGGCTCATTCCGACTGGATGAAGTTGCAGGATGCTGAGCAATCTGGACTCTACGGAGTGCAGTACAGGGGAATATCAGTACGGTAGAAAGTAGTTGAGGTGATCGCCATTTTTGGTGGCCATTAAAACGGACCCTCGCTAGTGTCCCCATAGAACAGCATCAAAGGAAGTTGATATAGCAGAACACAGAGTATGAGCCTGCGATGAAATGGTATCGAAGCCCCATCTGTGCTTTTTGCTATGCAGGGTTTGGAGAGCGGCAGACATGGCCTGCCGGACGTATCCTCGGGTTCCATAGAACTACATTATCTGATGTTTGTGCCCAATCCCAGCCAAGAGGGGCCAATGAGCCATGCGATGCGTGAGCACTGGAAACATCGACGAAGGAAAGAGGACAAAAAGATTGAGCGGTCGCGAGCAGGCCCACTATTACGGCCTGTCGAACCTCAGGATAACAATAACGGTTGCGACAGACAAATGGATAACCACCGAGAAAATGCACCAAATGCAACTGCAAGACCCAAGGAGTTACAGATCATGTTCGTACCCAATTTCAGTAACCAGGGAGTAAGGAGCCACGCGATGCGTGCACACTGGAAACATCGACGAAGGAAAGGGCAAAAGAAGATCGAGCGACCAGAACCACGTCCCTTGTTACCGCATATGATATTACAGGATAGAGACAACGGCCATGACACAGAAACGGACGATCGCCAGGGGAAAGTACCGGGTGCAGTAGAAGCTGCGCAACCCTGCCCTTACAGTGTCCCAGAAAACCAAGAGGTTGATCTAGGCACACACGCACAATGTCTGATTCAGAATGACACACTCGGCCAAAACCCAGGGAACTCTTGGGATATCGGCTGGAATTTGGATCCGTTCCATTTGTTTCCCGTCCATCTTACTTCTTCACAGAAAAGGATATTCCACCATTGTATGTTCAGAATAACACTCGAACCACTGGTGGCCGTCATCGCTTATCTCGGCTTGATTATTATATTCTAGGGTTAAATGTCCATACGATACTGCGGCTAGGTGACTGGCCAATTGCAGATTGTATTAATGATGTTTGGATCCCGTTAGTGTTTTCGAATGTGTCCGCATTTAATACGCTGCTAGCCTGCTCTGCCGCACATCTTTCTTCTTTAAACGAAGCCATACAGCCAACGGAGGCATTGATGTTCAAGGCTCAGGCCATGAGAATAATCAACCTGTGGCTTGGCGATCCAGTTCAAGCGTTGGAGGACAAAACATTTCTTGCTGTATCCAAAATCATCACCTTCGAGGTATGTTGGCACACCCTGCCCTAGTCATATTTGTAGCCATGGCCCCCAGTGTTGATATTCGATGCACACTTGTCAGAGAAGATGGGGTTCGGAGTATGAGTGGAATATTCATCATGACGGCCTGCAGAAGATGCTGTTCTTGCGAGGAGGCCTAAGTACATTTGATGGAAATAAACCCTTGAAACATTTCCTTAGCCTGTAGATGCCCCTGCTGCCCCTGCTCGGATGTTGGCTAACCATCCATATAGGATTCTTCTGTTGGCTCGGCCATCTTGGTTTGGTTGTACAAACTTTCTGCCAAGGGTAATCGTGCATCCTATTTGGCCCATCCTGGAGTCTAGCGGGTGGGAGATAGCTGATGTCAACACTCCCCGGGATCTGTGGCTTTACACTCTCACCCAAGAAATATCGACATTAAGTGTTCTTGAAGGTTGCGATTCGTATACAGCACTACCTGCCGTAGTGCTCTTGCTCCGCCGTTCTGCGCAGGAAGATTCGCAGCTGTCCACTAATTTTGTATACATCAGCTGTCTCATTGTCTTGATTATTATTATCTGTGACGTGAAGGTTGCAAAAGAGGGATACAGAGCGACGCAACCATTGGATGGAGATTTTGATGACCTGCTGCCTTTGGATCGGTTCCTCGAGAGCGAGAGGCATACATGGTACGATTCTATTGCAGGCCTACACGCAGTTTTCTTCGGCAGCAGCCGCGACATTAGTATATTTCTACAAAGAAGTTACTGGGTAGAGACGGAGGATATATTTGGTGGTCATTGGAATGCAAACGCAAGAATTGGTTTTGTTGGGCTTCTCTTGAGCAATCTTAATCGAGTGATGGGGCTATAACGTGGAAATTTGGAATATAATTAAACCGACGAGAGTATTGTCATACGAGGATAGAAAGAAACATGTGTTTGGAAATTTCGGCGGCAATGGCTTGTTTAGAGCCCGCAAGCTGTCAAGCTCATAAGAAGGTCATCGATAGTATTGCGTGCCCACAGGAGAACAGTGCTATATCCGTACAGGGCAAGGGTTGTAGACTAGATATATGCTACGCAGATCTGGACGATGCCCTTGAAATATACTCAGAAGGTATTCACTTTATAAGTTCATGCCAAATGCCTCGAGCACGTCACATATAGTCGAAGATCGCAAACTCTTTCGTGTGTTTACGTTGCGCCTGGTACGCATTCGTGAGCAGGAATCGACCGGGGCTGCACTTTCTATCCTCAGTTACGAAGCTCGCGAAGTGACAAGGCCGCCTCAGTCGTAATATACTGCCCCGATGGACACTTGGGATTCTGCATTGCCTGGATCGCGGGTTAGTTGTCGGTGAATATAGCGCACCTGTCAGGGGTGGCGCCTGTAGCTTGCACGTTAAATACCATCGGCAGTTCAAAGACTATCCCTCTGGGTTCTGTTGCATACACTGGAGGGATGAAAGCTAATGTACTCATATAATAAGTCCGTTTAGTGCAGATGCCATCCATCCATCTGGAGCGTCGAAGTCACCGCCGTCGCCCCGACGTTCTCGAATCATTATAGGGTGATCGGTCAAATCGTTGTCAACCTTCAACAAAGCGTACCGGATAACTCACACAGCAACAACTATCTACTATCCAACACGGGCTGCCAGAATACTATATCCCAACTTGCTAATCTAGGGCGCCTCACACTCTAGAAAATGTTCAAGCGATATCTATCTACTAGCCATTACCAACTATTTAGTACTACACTCACCATGTCCTGAACTTCCATCGTCCTTGTCTTGTGTTGGACGTATGATCTGCGGTATATTATCCTGTCCACAGTCCTCATGTATGTTTGGGCCTGTTATTGCGACCGTTCGAAACACAGACAGAATTCAAATCATAGCTGATCTTTGTACAGTGTCTAGCAGCTGAGGTATGTCTTTCCCTTGAGTAGGTTATGCCGGACTGTTGATGCGTAGTCCGGAATGGGGGTCACGCAGGCCTGATAGATCTGTCTCATTTGGCCGGGCCGGAGCTGTCGGAGGTCCGTTAGGGTTATCTTGGTTAGGTACGACGTACTTCGGTAACTAGAATCCACTTAGTGATCGACGGCGAAGGGTTAACCCGAAGGTCTGAGGAGCAATAAAAACAAATGTATTAAGCAAATAGCAGTCCAATGGAGAAGGATCATGTCTATTGAATACGTATATCATAGGTAGATTAGAACGCGTGAGCTAGGCGCTGCAATGTGACAGCTGCCAATTTAAAGATAATAATCTAAATAGGAAAATCAATACTAGCCCTCGGGGTTCAAACAGGATGAAATAGTTGACTATCGAAACCAGTAGGCCATCCTAAAACATATGGATACCTGGTAAAAAAGATGTCTGAAAACGCCTTAATAAAGGCCAGCGGACAACTGCGCAGATACGACCTCTTTCAACACAATAGTATCCAGCTACGGGATCATTATACCAGAAATACTTTAGCTAACGGCATACTCCTAAACATAAATCGATGTCCAATGGCAGATCTGTGGGTAGCACGTCCATATATATCCTGAGCGCCTTTCTTATATTGCTTGCTATCGGCTGTGCAATGTTCGTCGGATGTCTCGAGAGAGATCACTTGCCAATACTGCATCTAGCATACTCTCTGCTCATGTCGGCCCGCCATATTGGAGTTCTCGACCATAACATGGATAGAGGCCTAAACCATAGGGTTGACAAAGCGAAACGCAGAATCGTATTGGATGATCTCCCCCTCCATATTGTATACAGACCACATGTCAACAACAGCCAGCGCACTAGAGCCAATCCATGCCGTGTCAAATGTAAATACTGTCTTGGACGATACGATATCTCGACTTGCAATAAAATGCGTAATGTTGTATGAGGTCGGGGTCCTAGAAAGATCACAGAACTCGGGATGTGCCAGAAGCCCGACAAAGTATTCATTACTTTGATTCCGGCCATGGAGGGTTCGTGTACCATCAACACAGCCTTGCACCTGTAAATATTAGTTTATGTAACTATAACTCGAGCCTCAAGTCGGACTCTTACTGTTTCTGCGAACACAGAGCCATTCATGGCACTGGACTGTCCCGACACAGCCTGGTGAAAAATGCCTTCCCACAGCGTTCTTTCCAAGGCCCAGAGCTGCTGCACAGAGAGATACCGCTCTGCCGTAACGTTGGCCGTGAGGAGAGAAAATATGATCAAGAGAAGCATTATGATTCACAACGAATAATGATCTTGCCTTAGGAACTGTTGGGTATCAAGCGCTTTAAATAAGGCAGCCTCGCGAAAGAAAATACCGAAGCTTTGTAACGTGAATATTCTGTTAATTTACCACTTGTGGCGCTCGAATTACCATGGGAGGTTGTCCAGACGAGCGATTAAATGCATATGACCATGTTGATGACACGTCCCAAACAACACATCCAGCTCCAGCGGTTTCCTAAAGACTGGTATGGTCTATGTCTAACCCGTTATTTCTGTGTTGAATCGATAAATTGTATCCCTTGCATGGGTGTGAGGTGGAATACTGCAGAAGCCCGTGTCATGAGCAACCCGCAGTATCGGGGCGAGGAATATAACGACTAGCAACAAGACGAGTTGCCTGGTATTCTCATGACTTAAGGCATTGATATAAAACCAAGAATGGCGCCAACGTCAAATGTGATTGTCAACCAAATAGCGTGCTGATATGCCTCTACTCAAATGTGATGCTAGGAGGACTATCATGATGATAGTGTGGACATCTATGATGAAAAGGTCAGAAAGCAAAAAAGGCACCTGGCCACGGCCTTGGCTCAGCACTACTTCCAACTTGGAGGGTTCTCTAGCCACATACTTTCTGGGAATAGTACATGTCTAGGGCTGTAGGATAAATGCGACCCACATGATAGGCAAAACAAACATTCCAGGTCTCGGCCATGCAAGGTTCTCCAAGTAAAAGTATCGATCCGCACAGTGGTTACGAGCTTCTTAGGATGAGGTCCATTTTTTATCCTACTATTGGCCAGCTACACTTTCCTGGACTGTGTAGTGCGGCTGAAGATGCTCTGGTAACGGAAGCCTTGGATATTGTGATGTCCACACGTTATGTCATCACAATGCAACTTCAGCCGCACATTTCGATTGATCAGGAAAGTGTAGCTGGCCAATAGTAGGCAGAACAAAAGGACCTCACCCCAAGGAGCTCATAACTACATAGGTCTAGAATGCACGGAGGGTACGTAGTGTCAGAAGCAGGAAATTGGCAATTTATTAGTCTGGTAGTGTATATTTCGAGCTGAATTATGGCCAATAGCGTCACAGATCCAGGGGGGATTATACTGGACCAAAGGCCACCTTTGGCGACAGGGAAACCACCACTAGGGTGGCAACCCAACTCCCATTTGGTATAGCAAAAGTAATGCTGTTATATTTGAGAAAGTAGAGTGAACTGACAGGATGATTCCAGCCAACGTGAACGGTTGTTCCTCTCTCCTATACCCTTATTCCCTGACACCAGTGTCTGATCGGTTCCGTCACCGGCGAGAGATACCTTTCCACACGCACTGGCTATTGACTCAGGCAAAATACCAACAACAGAGCGGCCAACCATGAGATTTCTCAAGAACCAGGATGATAAAAGCTATCTAGTGAAGCCAAAGAACGAATATCAGACGGAATCCGCTCTGCCCCCTAGTGCGACACGTCGAATACCAAGAATCTCAAGCATCCTGCCTAGTCTAACGCATGCTCGAGGAATATTGAGAAACCTGACAAAACCTGGTCTTCAGCAGACACTAGGCCAGGCGAGAGACCAGAGTTTAAAGAAAGATCCCCTTGGCCGCTGTCACTTCCTCGAACTGCCCACGGAGTTACTACTGGAAATTATATCTTTTCTACCTGTTATATCCAGAGCATGTCTGGCACTCACCTGTAAACGACTATTCGGAGCAGATGGACCGGTGTTGTCCTCGAACTCGCTACACTTCGACCGCGACTTTGCCCCTCTGTCCCACTACCACAGAAAGTGCACCTTTGCGACTACACGGTGGCAGCTTTTGAAATTCCTGGAAAATAGCCGATGGCAGGTTTGCTCCAGGTGCTTAATGTTACACCCTCTGGCCTCCTTTCCTCGGAACGAACTGGAACACAAACCCGAAGAAAGAGTGTGTGACTTGGGTGATCTGGCTGGTATAGTCGACTTATGTCCATGCAAAAAACTGACATTTCGCGGACTTATGAATCTAATTAACCTCTTGGTGGTACGACGGCAGACTATAACATCATTGGAAACCGTGTGCGGCCCTGGCGTCCAAGGTCGTTTTTGCTGGCATTCTTGCCGTACCATGTACAGGTCTTCTGAAATCAAGATAGAGATTTTCCCAGAGCTAGACGCAAACGGTTCGCTGAATATCAAGACAGAATATCAGCTATATATGATGACGGGGCAGCTGGCAAAGGAACCGTATATGATACCGCGCCTCGCATGCCCACACCGATCAGTTGACCAATGGCTTGCGAATTATCTACAAGCTTATGAGCCATCTCATTTTTCTACCTCTACGATTCAAGGCTTAATGAAATGTGGTATTTGTACTACAACATTGAGCTATTCTAGCATTCGGCTCTCCCAGAGGGAAGGGGAGGCAAGGGAAGTTGTCTACTGTTTCACCACCAACAGATACTTTGGCTGTAGAAGCGTATCCACGCTGGGCCAGGAATGGGCTGCTCAACAGATTCACCCTGGCAAATAAGTCGGCCGACAATTATGATTGCGGTAAACTATGTTCTCAGAGTCCTGATGATTATCTCTTGATGTTAAATTCTGTGTATGTAAACCTCTACCCATCTCGCAACGCTCAGAGCTACCCCCATCGCCCTCTAGCTGATGATATACGACCACTTAGTATCTTTCTTTTTGCACCAATCGTCTATTGTCACGCCCACAGCACAGAAATTAGAGGGGAATCAATCAACAAGCGTCGTGTTAGCGTGATTCGTTACTTATTCTATGACTCATTACAAATGATATGAATCCACTGATATACCCTAACACTGCTGCATCTACAATTGCCCGCCCTTTAAAGTCTTCATCCACACACTTGACCCAGCGGATTTCAACACCATGACACCAAAATGGCAAGGCGTACGTCTCCTTCACGGAATCCGAGCCATGGTTTGCGGTCAAGGGCCCCGCTGTGATTCTCATTCCAGGCTGGCCACAAACAGCAGAGGCGTTTAGTGATATTTGCAAGCCCCTTTCAAAACACTATCAGTATTTCGCTCTCGACCCCCGGGCTTAGGTGAATCGCTTCCTCCCCTCAATGGTTACGATACTGCGAACGTGAGCAAAATCATGGCCGCAGCTATTCACGATACATTGAAAGAAAAGCAGTACCATCTAGTTAGTCACAATGTGGGTGGATGGATTGCTTATCCTTGGGCCGCTCAATTTCAATCGAGAATCAAATCGCTCAGTATACTGGACGTGTCAGGGCCGGGTTTTATGCCCCAGCTTCAATTTCCGCTACCTCACCAGACCAACATGCGTCTTTGGCAATTCACATTCAACGCGCTTCCTGAATTACCCGAAATTCTAACTCGCGGTCGTGAGTGGGAGCTACTAACCTGGTTCTTTAATTTGAAGACGGCTCATGCGGATGGTTTACCCAAAGACCAATTTGAACGCTACGTCCAAGCCTATTCGAGACCGGGAGCAATGGGTCGGGGTTTCTAGTACTATCGAGCTTTTGAAACAAGTGCAAAACAGAATCTAGAATATGCAAAGACACCATTCGAGATCCCTGTCTTAGCTTTGGGCGGTGCTAGTTCCGTCGGTTCAGGTATGATTCACTTGGTCCAAAACTTCGCGACCAATGTTTCCGGGGGCGCTATTCATAATTGTGGGCACTTTCTCCCCGAAGAGTAACCGTCTGCTGTTGCGCAGAAGCTGCTGGGGTTTTTGGAGGCAAACTAAACAGAGTGAAATGCCGTGGCTATACACAAGCTAGCAATGCCATATCTTTTGGCGGCAAGCATGGGTCAAATAGTGTTAGCCATGAGCGCAAGGATGTTGTATATTTGGGATTTTGCCAAAAGCCACACTGCAACAGTATAACCAATTCTTGAGTAATTTTTGATATATAATGTAAGGAGTGTATTCTAATAAAAGTTCCCTGTTGCTGAGCTGTAAAGCCCGACCTGACCCTGTCGTTGTATTTCTTTGCGCCGAGGGACAGCGGTAGGTTACTGGCATCCTTTCTTCTTCCTCCCTATTTATCCACCATAACACAGCACTTGCAAATGATATTTGTTGTAGCACAATGGACAAAAATATATGGGAAAGTAGATAGAGGTATACCCATGGAATGTAGTTAGGGATAAGCTTTGTGCAATTCCGCTGTTTATTCGTTAATGTCCACTATCTGCAACTCCACTTATTCCAATGACTATGAAAAATACTTGCCAGCTTCATGAGAGACATGACGACAACCCAGTAAAGAGAGTAAGCAGTCTTGGGGCAGGTAGACAGTTGCTTGAGATAGGAAACTGGAGGAAAAGAACGTGTCGAAGAAGTAAAATTAGGCAATTCTATTGCAACAACGCCGAACATCGGGGAGGAACTAAATGATATACGACCCACCCTCTCCTCATTTCCCCAGGCCCCTCCTATTTCCCCTCCATTCTTCACCATACAATTCAGATTCTGTTCACACAAAAGAAGGAGTGCGAAAGTCAAAATGGAACCCCTCTCGCCGCCCCCAGCCCTAACACACCTGTTCACTCTTCGGTGTGCTGTGGACCCTCCAATCGAGATCGGGAATGGTCCCTACGGTCGACGTCGCTGTGTACCCATTAAATCCGGTACTGTGCGAGGAAAGTATCTGAATGGGGAGGTGGTTCCTGGCGGAGCGGACTTCATGTACGGGGCAGGATTGTCTTTCTGTTATCAGAGCATAGCATACTAATGGATGAGATCTAGGTTGGTTGAAGCGGATCAAACAACACACGTCAATACGAATTATGTCCTGAAAAGTGATGATGGAGCTTATATTTACATCCGGTTAGCTTCTATTCCGCGTCTCTGTATGGTCAATACTGATCTTTGGGTGACTGGCAACATATAGGACGGAAGGAACGCGCTCCGGGCCTCCTGAGGTCTTGAAAGCCTTGATGGAAGGAGATGGAGTGGATCCCAACCAGTACTGGTTTCATTTGCATATCAAGCTTGAAACCGGACATGAAAAATACAGATGGATGAACAACCGAGTGATTGTTGGGCGGGCCACCAGAGCCAAGGGCGAGGTTGCATATGATGCGTATTTCTTGGAGAACATCGTTTGATGTATTGGTTCTATTCAAAAAATCTATTAAGTATTCTATGGTATACTCTCGGATGATGGCAGACATGATACAATGCATCCGTCAAGATAGAATTTATTATTACTGTGCCGCCCGATTGCGCAGCAATTCGGCCAGATTTACGTACTCCCCTTTGCTCGCATTCTGTTGCGCGAGCACTTCATCTACAATCTCGTTGGCCCACCGAATCTCGGTATGACACGGACGCAACTCGGCTAGTCGCTGACGGAGCCATTCAAGCTGCGCAGGGTCGTCTGTTTCGAGCGCCGCCACCATGATTGGCCAGTGCAGGCGACGCAAGAGTCGTGGCTCGGACGCATATTGCTTATGCGTAATCTCGAGGATGTTGCTCAAGGCGTGCCGGTGAAGTGTCCGCGGAGACTGAGACGGGCAGAGTAAGCGCCGATGGAAAAGAATCTGCGCGTAAAAAGTGCTAACAGCCATGTTGATCGTGTTTAAAGTGCGTCGCATGGATGCTGGACCGGCGAATTTGGCTGTGATGAACAGGTCGGAGAATTTCTGCAACTGTTAGGGTTGGTTTCGTTCCGAACAAGGTATAGGGACATACATCTCTGACGGCCATTATGTCGTTAAAGAAGGACTCCGCCTGGTAGCCCGAATCAGGAACGTTGTCGAATAGCAATTGCCATGTTCGATTCCGTAGCGACATGCCCGCATGTAATAGCTCCAAGGCCCGGTAATTCTCCATGTCATCTGATACTTCCTGGTCTGGGTATTGCTTCCCCCAGAAGCATCGACCCCACACGCGGGCGCAGCGATATAGTCGATCCGGATGTAGCGCTGGGTTGCCGGACTGGAGCACGTAGTCGTAGAGTGATTCGGCCAATCCCATGGGCTGACAGCTCGCATCGATGTACCTGAGGCAAACATTAGACGGGCTTCAAAGGGAAACCATGATACCTACAGAATCCATAATAATAGTTGCTCGGGAATGAATGACACCCGGGATTCCGACTCGTTCGAGTTTTCGGATTCCATCGACAGCAGCACATTATTCACATCCTTGATCTGAAACAACTCTGGGTGAGACTCCAGCAACGATTTCACCCCCTGTAGATGTAGTTGCAGATGCCTCACGCAATGGCCATACTGCCATTCGTACGTCACCATCAGAAACATGGTCGCAAAAATCGCCTCCAGCTCGGCGGGCGATACCTGTCGCGGGGAGACCAACGACTGGCGGAATTCCTTGACGGCCAGCCCGTAGTGATAGCGACCGTGATCTTCCGCCGTGGGCCGGCCGGGCGTTCGCACGATGAGGCCATTGCGGTGCATGTCACTTGCGGACAAGGCGAGAATCATCCGCATGATTATCTTGTTCGTGGCTGCCGGCCCTTGGTACAGATAACAGAAACTGCTCCATTGCCACGATTTCATGTAATAGAACACAAGTGATGACGACGGGAAGTATTGGAAGTATTTCTGATCATGTTCGGAAAGCACCAACGAGTTGGCACACGCGAGGTCGGTTCCAGATAGCGGTGGATAAAGCGGCGGGGGCCGGGGGTACGGGGGCACACCGAACCAGCCTGGAGATGAAATCGACCCGATGGGGATCCCCGTGAGGTCGGGGGTAGTGTCTGAGAGGTGCCATAACGTGGCAGGAGACGTCACGGAGGGTGGTTGAGGGCTCTCGATCGTTGAAGCGGCGAACGCAGCGGAGGCGGCGACATCACGACTCGGCCATCGAGGCTGAAGATGTCGCGCCGGAGTGACGGACTTGCCTCGTTTCACTGGCACTCCCCACTCACAGCTGAGTCGCAAGTTGAAACAGCGTTTGCAGACAGGGCGCTCTTCGCCGCATTTCACTTTTCGACGGCGGCAGGTACTGCAGCCTGGGCGAAGTCGCGGTTAGTTTGCGTGTGGAAGCGGGAAGCCGAGCATTCCGTAGCAGGCTCGGGGAATGTATGCACAGATGGACGTAGGTATAAAATACCTTTCTTTGAGCGAGGGGCGTTCCGACCCGACATGGATTGAAGAGCCCACGCTACAAAAAGAAGCAATCAGCCGGGAGGCATTAGCAACGAGTGGATGCCAAGTAGTAGGGCAACCGGGAAACCATCTGAAGGTTGTCGGGAAAAGTGACGATAGAGAGGGAAAAGCAACGCCGGAAAATCGAGAAGATCTGATAATGCTTAGTCAGCGACTTGTCGGGCCATCGAGAGACCGAAATATGGCGAGTTCTCCCTTGAGATCTCTATTGATTTCCGTGGAAAGCTTTTCTTCGTCCGTATTCGGCGCTTATGCATGTGTATGAGCAGCATGGCACTGTATCCATTCCCGGTGTGAGCCCTAATATGCCCCCTCTCTCCGGCGAGTGAGTAGTCGTACTGCATCGCCCAGCAGCTATATATGTTGTGCAGTATGGTTGGATTTCATGGTGGAAATTTATATACTAGTACTCGAGATCTAAAGCGCTAGGCCTTAGTCGAAATGGGGACTTGGGTATCATCGCGGCACCAGTCTTCTTTCTAGTCGTGGTAGGTTATATTTGATGCTACTTTCTTATAAGTTATCGTTGCCGTTTGCAGCATATCGAACTATTCAGTGGACAGATTTCGCGCTCTATGTTACTTGATATTCTTGGATAGTATTAAGTATTTTTTAGGAGAATATGAAATGGCTGTGAGCCGGTCTGCTAAGCTTGCCCTTCTAAAGCGGCACATTCTACAAAAGCCCGGCCCTATAACCCTAGTTCATATCGATGACACGAAGCGAAGTTGAGAATAAGTCTGTGTTGCATAAAACCATTATTCGTGTCAATCCTACCTAGACGATTACATGCAGAAAAGATCATGCTATAGTCCTCTCACCTATATCAATCAGTGTTACCCATACGATCAGGGTCGAATCATATAACATATTTATCATCCATATGTGCTATAAAAACGATACGCCCATTTTATTCCTGGATACACTTTTCCCATTGTGCCTTAGCCTGCGCAAATAAAGCTTCGTCCGTGATCATTTCCCATCCGATCATGGCCAACGATTTGCCCACAACAACTGCCTCAACATGAGCATCATCAGTGCCAGCCGCTGCTGCAAACGACGGGTGGTGAGGGAACGATCCGTCCGGTCCCGGTATACCAAACATGGTATGGAGGGTGGGCATAATATAACTGACATTGCCTGTTGTGGTTATTAGTGATTGACATAACCGATAACGAGTGAAATGTAGAATACCAATATCGGAGGACCCAGTTAAGACTTTCTCATGGCTCTTCAGGACATTTCGATCGTAGCTACCCATGTGGGCCTGATAACGTTCACACAGGGTGTCGTTTATCTTAATGTCAGTGTACAGCTCATCTCTATTGCATATATTAGCTGAAGTCCGGGGAAATACTTGGGACATCGCGTCCGTACTCTATGGTCTTAACTTCACATCCCGTCGCCAATGCACCTGCCTCAATGCAGTTGCGCACCTTGATCATCAACCGATTCAAGCCTTTCAGGGTCGGGCTGCGAACCTGCCAATAGGCCTTGGTATAGGACGGGATGACGTTGGCTACCTTAGGAGTATCCAAGAACGCACAATGAACACGTTCATCTGGTTGGAGCTGTTGCCGTAGGACGGCAACATTATTGTAAGAGGTTACCAGAGCATCAAGCGCATTGACGCCTTCCCAAGGATTGCCACCAGCGTGGGCACTCTTTCCAGTAAATTCACAGTGAATCTGTTTGCGGGCATTCATCAAGACGCCACCCACGCCAGTGGCTTCAACACCGGGAAAGAGCTTCTCGGGACCAGCATGCCTACACAGAGTTAGGAGGCTATGAAGATCGAGAGTGAGGACACATACGCCATCAAGGAGATATCAACACCCTTGTAAGCCCCGGCATCGATCAGTTTAGCCTTCCCACCGCCATTCTCCTCAGCCGGTGTGCCTAAGAGCTGAGTACGACCAGGGATCCCATACCGCTTCAGAAGAGCAGAGAGTGCCAAGAAAGCAGCGACACTGCTGGTTGTGATAAGATTATGGCCACAGGCGTGGCCTATGTCGGGTAATGCGTCATATTCAGCGTTGAAATTGATCAACCGTCCGCCAGACCCACTGATGGCTTCAAACGATGTGTCCAGTCCATATGCGTGGCGAGTCACAGTAAAGCCCTGTGCTTCAAGGAAGTCGCAAATCGCGTCGTGAGCTTTGTACTCTTGATATGCTGTTTCTGGATTGGACCAGATCTATGCAATGAGCGATTGTACATAAATGACGTCAGGAACAAAAATATACCTCTCGGTTTAATTCTCTTAAGCTTGTTTGTAATGACTCTAACGCCGCATCAACGGATGCCTTAATATCTGTAATATTAGGCTTGCTTTGCAAGATTGTCATGGTTGCAGTTTGTGATGTCGGTATGTGTATTCGAGGACAGCTGTCCGTTGCTCAACGCTAGCGAACGTCATTATAAATATGTTCGTCTACAACACCCTAGACAGTATGGCTATGGTTCTAGGTGCACTCAAGAAAAGAAGGAGTCGGCGTTTCGCCTCAGAAGACCCTTTGATAGGAGAAATCGCCGAGGTGATTGCCTATCATGCTGCACGTCGCTCCATCGCCTGCACCCCACATGTTGGGCTTGCTATCATTGTCCTTATCTGGTAAGAATAAGCAGGCTATCAGGAGGGAAGACTGGATGACTAACGGTATGATGCCTGATGCCTGTTAAAACAAGTGATAATTCTCATCATTATCACTGGCCCGTCGGCAGATTACAGTCTGTCCCTGCCCCAATTTGCCGAAGCCAAGAGTGGGGATGTGGATATCAAACAGCCCCAGTCCTCGTGTGAGCCACCTCAGGTTTCCAGATGCATGCTCTCCGCACGATCGAATTTGCGGGGTAGCTGCAGCAAGGCCTGTGAAATGCCAATTGAAGTACTCCAGATCCACACGATAAGGAAGCGTGCTGATAACCTTCGCCAGTTTGGGTTGGACGTTTGCCGAGCTCGGGGCGGACATTGGTGGATTTGCCGACGAAGCCCTACTTCATATCCTACCCAGTGGCGCGGCGGTTCTATGGGGCGAATCGTTGGACTTTCACCGGCAATTAAGTGGGTTCGCCATGGATTTAAACCTCCAGGATTTCATATGGACCCACGGTATTGGGTGCCACGCTAACTAGGGCATCATTTCCGCAGTGTATCCTATCTGTCTAGTTCACTATCTTTAAGAGCTGACTCAATCATTACCTGTTTATCCGGTGAATGTGCCAAATGCTTGGATGTTTTAAGTCTGATTAGCATGGGCTAGGTGCGGAATTAGTGTGCGATCTTCCGCTGTATCAATTCCCGAAAATTGATACCGATGCCCTGCATATCTGTCATAAAAAGGACTCCTGGCTCGAGAGGATATTTTTTTGTTCCACTAAACTCAAGAACTCGAAGAGCCAGATACCATGGAAAAGCAGCAGGAGGTCCCCCCCGGGACAACGCCCGAGATAGATGACCTGAAGCTTGGGCCTGAGACGTCAGTTGCCAAAGATGTCGACCTAGGACAGATGCTGGGGATGGAGATTACCCCACAACAGGAGAGAAAAGTGCTGCTTAAGCTCGACTTGATGTAAGTATAGCAGTATTTGAGTATCCAAGCTTGGAAACTTATACAATTAGATTGATCCCCTTAATGGGTATCTGCTATATGATGCAGTATATGGACAAATTGGCGTTGAGTCAAGCAACTATGTTCAACTTAAGAGAAGACTTAGTATGAACCATCAGTCATCACGTCTAAATCACGGTGCTAATGATGACAGAACCTACGAGGCACAGAGTACTCTTGGTCCTCAGCGATCTTCTATTTCGGATATTTTGCGTGGAGTTGGTATGATGTTCGCCACCCTAACGCGCCTACACCGATCACTAACTAGCGATTAGGCCCAGCTCCTACCTGATTGTCCGACTTCCCATAGCCAAATATCTCAGCGCCTCGGTGTTCGTCTCTCCATCCACATCCACAACTATGCCCTGCTAATAGCTCCTAGGCTGGTCTGGGGAGGAGTTCTCATGTGCCATGCTGCCGCCAAAAGCTTTGGCGGTTTAATGGCAGCGCGTTTCTTTTTGGGCGTCGGCGAAGCCGCTATCGCCCCTGGATTTGCTTTGATTACTGGAATGTACTACAAGCGAGAGGAGCAGCCTGCACGGTAAGCACATGGGCCTGCGGTATCCGGTGCCATCAATCTAACTCTCTTGTAGACAAGCGGCATGGTTTTTTGGCAACTGTGTTTCCACCGTCATCGGTGGTGTCGTTGCTTATGGAATTGGCACGATCAAGGTTGATGCTATTGCAAGTTGGCAGCTACTCTTCCTCATCTTAGGTGCCATCACTGCCGCCATAGCGATCTTCCTCGTTATCCTCCTGCCCGATTCCCCCCAGAAAGCGATATTCTTAACCAAAACGGAGCGTACGATCGCGGTGCAACGGACCCTCAAGAACAAGACAGGTGTAATGGATGGCGGAGATTTCAAATGGAACCAGGCATGGCTTGCCATTCGTGATCCACAGACATGGTTTCTTGTCCTCTACACATTCTCCGTCAATCTGTGCAACGGAGGTGTCACTAGTGTATGTCGCTCAAGCTTTTGAGATTCTCCGAGTCCTCACTGACGAAACAGTTCTCTTCAATCATTATCAGCGGCTTCGGCTTCACACAAATCAAGTCTCTTCTGATGCAAATGCCTCTCGGTGCCGCCCAAATCGTCTTCTTGCTCATCACTTCTGGCGTCGCCACCGTCATTCCTAATACGCGAATTCTTATGATGATCTTCAATACAACCACCGCTTTGGTTGGCATGGTCCTCGTCTGGAAGTTAGATGAGGATAACCAAAAAGGACGATTGGCTGGGTTGGCCCTGGGCGCCGTCTTTGCGGTTAACATTCCCCTTTCGCTTAGCATCATCAGTTCCAACGTGGCTGGGTTCACTAAACGAAGTACCACGAGCGCCTTGATGTTTGTAGCCTACTGTATAGGGAATATTATTGGGCCCCAATTCTTCCTGGATTCTGAGGAGCCTCACTATCCTGTGAGTATTCTATCCCAAGAGAACACGCGAACAAATATATGCTAACTAGTTACTAGACCGGGATGAAGGGTGCTATTTCTGGCCTCGCACTGGGGGCGTTTTTCCTGATCTGCCTGTTGGTTTATTATATCTTCGAGAATAAACGTCGCGACTCGGCGTATGGCCCTCCAACCCAGTTAACGGAGGAAGAGGAGCGGATGCAAGGGCTATCGAACAAGACGGACCTTGAAATGGAAAGCTTCCGTTATGTCATATAACCACGAACTAGATTTTACATAATTGGATTGTTCAACAGTTCTTATGATGGTCCCTCAGCTCGCTGAGCACCAAGTCCTTTAACCCTAGCGGGCGCAGTGGCCCGATAGAAGTGAGGCTGAAGGCGACGGGGATGCCCCTTGTATTACTTGCAGGTTGCTAATGCAATGTCACCCTTATCCAGGCCAATACGGAGTACAGTAGACTGTTTCTGCATGCCAACGCTGCCGTGCATACCTCCCTTACCTCGGCTATGCAGTGTCGCTGCACTGATAGCGCGCTCAGCTCAGGATTGGTCCACATGCAGCCTCGATGTCACATTCGATGATCCCTGTGATATGATAAGAAAATTCAATCCAATGTGTCATCATTAAGATTGTTATCAGCACGTTAAGTATCTATGGGAATTATATGAATCTTCCAAGCTCCTCCGTCGATTGCTGCGCTTCTGTCGCAAGCTAGCGACGTTCATCGAGCGCGACAAAATGTCTGTTCAAGCTGCCTGGGAGGCCTGCTCGAAAACAGACACTCTCTTCATTCTAGTATGTAGTGTTTTCTGTTGGCTGATTATCCCGGCTGTGGGTCTCGCGTACTCAGGCTATTCGACACGGTTCAATAGCCTGGCTTCATTCTACCCAGGCCTCCTAGCAGTAGCTGTCTGTTCTATCCAATGGTGGATGCTCGGATACTCGCTGGCCTACGGCGAGGGCAACCGTGTCTTCGGCGGATTCAGTAAAATCTTCCATATCGGCGTCCTCGCTGACCCGGTCGGATCGATCCCGGAGATCCTGTTCTCCGAATTCCAACTGATCTTCTGTGCTACGGTCTGCGCAATTGCCATCGGCGGCGCCTGCGAGCGCGGAAGACTTCTTCCACTGATTCCATTCATCTTCGTACGTATCTCCGCTGCCAAAACCGAACCTACCAGGACACACTAACTCGACTCCAGCTCTGGTGCACCTTCATCTACGCGCCTCTAGCCCACATGGTCTGGGCAGAGAACGGCTTCCTGGCGAATCTCGGCGCGCTCGATTTCGCCGGCGGCACACCAGTCCACATCTGCAGCGGTGCAACAGCAACCGCCATGAGCTTGTATCTCTCCTACCCTCTCTTCCGCTCCAAACGATCTCCGATCCGCACACCCCGGCACCTCGTCCTCCACAAACCCCACAACACCCTGTGCCAGCTGCTCGCCCTCATCGTCATCTGGAACGCCTGGCTCGCCTTCGACGCCGGCACCACCCTCGCCCTCAACTTCAAATCCGTCATGGCCGCCTGCGTGACCAACCTCTGCGCCGCCTCGGGCGCCTTAACCTGGGCTAGCCTCACCTACTACGAGACCGGAAAATGGAGCCTAGACAGCACCTTCCTCGGCGCGATCGCAGGGCTCGTCCTCATCACACCCAGCGCAGGATTCATCGACATGACCACCGCCGTCGGGTTCGGGGTTCTCGGCGCCTCTCTCGGCCGGCAGGCACTGCGCATCAAGTTCACCAAACGGGCTGCGCTGTGGCGGTGGGTCGACAACGGGGATACATTTGCCACACATTGTCTCGGTGGGTTTCTGGGGACCATTGTGACGGGGCTGTTTGCCAAACGGGAGGTTGCGGCCTATGACGGGTCGACGATTATTAAAGGGGGTGTGGTGTTTGATGGGAACTGGGGGCAGCTTGGGATTCAAATCGTGGAGGCTGTTATTGGGTTTGTGTGGAGCTTTGGGGGGAGTTATGCGCTGTATGCTTTGGTGGATTGTGTTCCTGGATTTGAGGTGTTGGGGACGGATGAGTAAGTTCTCTCTTGTTCTGCTTGGGGCTTTTTGTCGGCGGGGGTATGCTAATGAGTTGATAGGGATGTTATTGCGGGAATGGATGCGTCGCAGATGGGGGAGTCATTACATGATGCGCAGTGGGAGGGAGAGGAGGACTATCATCCTTTTGAGGGGGTTCGGCTTTAAAGTGCATCTGGCCTGACTGTAGAAGGGTGTTTTTTGTTTTTTTTTTTTTTTATTTTTTAATTTTATTTATCCCTCTTTTTGTCTATCCTAGCTTTTGTATGTATATATATATATACGCATATATCCATGAGGCGCCTAGTTGAACACCACAGTCTTGTGTCCGTTGAGCAACACCCTCCGCTCGGAGAAGTACTTCACGGCAGAGGCCAGCACGTTGCTCTCGACGTTGCTTCCAGCGTGGGTTAGCTCCTTGGGGCTCATGCCGTGGTTGACGCGGACGACGTTCTGCTCGATGATCGGGCCCTCGTCCAGATCGCTGGTGACGAAGTGCGCAGTGGCACCGATAATCTTGACACCGCGGTCGTAGGCCTGGTGGTAGGGCTTGGCGCCCTTGAACGAAGGCAAGAAGCTGTGGTGGATGTTGATGATGCGGCCGGACATGGCCTCGCACAGGGTGGGGGACAGGACCTGCATATAGCGGGCCAAGACGACCAGGTCGATGTTGTGCTCGCTGATCAGCTCCAGGATGCGGGCCTCCTGCTGCGGCTTGGTATCCTTGTTGACGGGCAGGTGGACGAAGGGGATGTTGTAGGTGGCCGCGAGGGTGGCGAAGTCCGGGTGGTTAGAGACAATCAGGGGGATATCGATGGCGAGCTGGCCGGTCGAGTTACGGAAGAGGAGGTCGTTGAGGCAGTGGCCAATCTTGGAGACCATGATCAGCACGCGGGGCTTCTGGGTGGCGGGGACGAGCTGGAAGTCCATGGAGAGGGACTTGGCCGTGGGCTCGAAGGCCTCACGCAGCTCGTCGATACTCTTCTCAGTGGCATTCTCGTCGGCGGAGAAATGCGTGCGCATGAAGAATCGGTGCGATGTCGGGTCGCCGAATTGCGATGAGTCAATGATGTTCAGGTTGTGCTGGACCAGGAATGCGGTCACGGCGTGCACGATACCCGGGCGATCGGGGCAGGAGAGGGTGAGGATAAAGTCAGTCATTTTGATGTTGAATCGAGGGTTCCCGTGTTGAATTGGAGGATCGATGATAATGCGCTGGACTGTAGAATGATTCCTGCATCTTGCGTGCCGATCGCGAGATTTTGTGACGAATGCGGCGCTGACTAAGGCGGGGCTGATTGATAAGATTAGGGCTCAACTTGGAGGGGCAGCCGTTTGGCCGGCTCTTATCATCACGTGCACATTAAGATGGGAGCCAGAAAACTGGATGAGCTGATGAGAGGTGGCAGTATCATCGCCATGCTGGGCCTCGTAGGACTGTCGGCTGTCTCCGCAGCTCAATGACTGGCGTGATCATGTAGGACGTATAACAACTGAGTGTATAATAATAGAGATGGACTGCCGCGACTATATGTCACGTGAAGAATGTCATTCAGTGTTGCTGAATAAACCGGGCAGCATCCGGTCAGCGTATCGGGGGTCAGTCTCTGCTATACACGGTCTTTTTCCTTTCTACGAGAACATACAAAACACTGGGATCGACACATGTGCCGTCGATTATATGCATTCAATCCCCCTATTTATCATTGTGTTTTAGCCCTTCATATACAATTGTAATTTCTAGGTTCCTATACCACAGAATATTGAGATTATTACTATGTATTATCATCTTGTGGTGGGGGTTCAGTCCCTCAGCATGTACTGAGTAAATGAGATGCCCCCTCCACAGAATGCAACGGCAGCTCTGCCGGTCCAAGGTATTGACGCCTGTAACAGGATAAACTAAAAAAGCTTCCAGTCTCTAACACCCAATGGTAGCATGTATTCCACCTCAAGGACTCTTGCAAGCAGTTCATGGGCTGACTGGCTTTGCCACATGGCCGTGGCACTCAAGAAGACCCTGTCTATTCATCTGGACAGTAGGTTCTATTGCCAAATTAGAACAAGTCCCTGAATAGATTGCTACTAACAATGGAGGGAGAAACCGTCAAGAGAAACTTACCCAACTTAATTTCGGCTTTAGGGGCAAGACAGTGGCAGTACAGTGTCCATGCTCCAGCGTGGGTTCCGGTACCACGAGTTTCTCCCCCTAGCCCACAATTCACGCATTTTCGGCTGAAGTGTCCACTGTATATCGATCATTAATACCATAAGATTATTCACGCAAGAAACAACACGTACTTAGGTTCCGCCGACAATTCGCCCTTCAACAGGCTCGCACCGAAACAATGATTCAAGTCCAACTCGCCATGGATTAGCGAATCCTTACTCCCATCGGCAAAGCACGTAGTCTTGAGAACATGTCCTTTCTTCAGTTCTGGCATTAGACAGTTTTGCAACCCCTTCAAAGCCACGCCTCCAGAGCTGCCCTGCGTGGTTCGAGATGTCTCATTGGTCTTATCTTCTGCGGCTGCAATGCATGCGAGAGCAAGAAGAGAGAGTGTGGAGAATAACTTCATTTTGTAGGAGTGTTGGCGGCGGACCTGGGGCTATTCTGCTCAATAGTGAAGATGGAAGTCTGTGATCCAGGACCTCGCGGTCCTTTTATGTCTGTGAACACCAGCTAATAAAAGTATACACTTCCGTATCCAAGTCCAGAAAGGGGAGATATATAGGAGGGTATAAGATCATCGCCACAGCTTGAAAGAACCTTGGCGCAGTGCCCTGTTGCCCCGTCTTTGTTATTCCGCTCAGGGCTATCGCTGTGCATCCGTTAGGTCCCGCCACTACTGAGTTTCCCAGTTCCTTGTGTGTAGTCCTCAGAGGTTTCATTGACAACTGCTATTGGATAATATTGCATGGGGAGGGCATTCAATTAAGCATCCCCACCCTAAGCTATAAGTGTCAACCACAGAACTTTTTGAGTTCAGGCCCATTCAGTTGGGACATAAGGGCCCACTTCCATTCAACGCGACTCGTACGACTCTAGGCTCCCTTCACATTGCCCCGCCCCCTGCAATGTGCCTCCCACTCTCCCGGGCCAGCCCACAATGCTTTCCGGGTTCCAGGCGCCCAGCCTTACCGGGCTGACTTCCTTGGCACGGTTTATGTTCGACTGAGCGGAGATGGAGGAAACGCGCTATTATATTTCCAATAGATACAAAAAAAGACAGGCAAATTCATATACTACAAGCCAAGCACTGATATATACACCCATGGGGTCTCACTGCCTCACAATCGTGAACCCGTTTCATCTGAGATACAGGCTTTGACAGCATCGAACATTTTACAATGGAACAGAATTCAGAATTACAGGACGGGAACAACAACAGCTACCTCAGTTTGTCAGTCCAATCTCTTTGCTTTCTGAATCAAGGGGCCAGTCAACGTAGGGGATGGCTCTTGGTCGTGACGTGTCGCTGAACCCAATCTAAGGAGCACGTCACAGTTACTTCTTAGCAGCATTTTCGAAGTTAAGAAGTCTAAGGGAAAATAAGGTCGCAATAAAAGTATTTGATATGCATAATATCTGCATTTTAAAGTAGGTCAAGTGGTGTGTTACCCCTGATACAGCGACATATTTCAAGTTTTCAGCCCCAGCGATGCGAAGGCATAGTTTCCCCTCAATCGATCGAGTACTACTTTAATGGACTCATACCACGGTAGTCTTTGTAGTGCCTTTATTTGACAGTTCTGCTCTTGATGGACCTGGAATTGTGTTACTCTCCGACTGCCGCACATGGACAGTGCCGGCCTTACTAGGCCCTGGTGGTTGCAAGTGACGCCCATATAACAGCTCAAGATAGATTAAACCCGGGAATACAATGTAAAGCAGCAGAATCACCTTGCTGACATAGTTAACATGATGACCAGCAGCTGCGAGGACAATAAGCAACCCGTCATGTGTAAGTAACTAAACCCCGTCAGTTTTACCCCATACCCTAACCCATCCAAACCTGGGGGTGCGGGTAAATACGTTTCCGCTCCGGAATTAGACTTACCCGTGGTGTTCTTCACCGATCGTCATAATTTGTAGTTCACTTAGGGTTATTGTTTCTCTTCTTCGTTTTTCCCTTGCGTTTACAAGGGGGGCTGTGTAGGTCTGGAATGAGTTCATTCATCGCTAGGATTCATGGTTGGTTTGAAGGGCGGCGATACAAGCAGTTGAATACCGGGCCCTCTGTTTCGTTGCTATTTCGAGTGACTTGGGGTTGTTACCAGATTCTGGATGATTGTTTACATTTATTACCGTTGCTCTTGTGTTACCTGCTAGAAATGGAGGTGTATTACTGACAGAAAAGCGTAATACCTTATTCCTGGTGAGTCTTTGAGGAAATAGACAGTACATACTTGTATTTCTAGGGCACACTCCGGTCATCGTTGTCATGAGTAAAGAGTTACAAAAAAAAAGCAAAAGTTTCCCATTGTTAACTTCGCATTAACTCCCTATAAATATGAGTAGACCGGATCATAAAGATAACCCTAAATTCCTGCATGTTTCTCGAATCAGTTACATTTAACTAGATGTTACTCATGCGGGTTCTGTCACAAGCCATGTCAAGATGCTAGCCTTCCCATGCTCAGTCGACATTCGATTAGACTTGATTAGGCTACAATACCTTAAAATCGCTAGTGCTGCTGGAACTGAGGTACGCATGGTCCACCCAAACCGATTTCCGGTACAGGAGCAAAGGATCAAATATGACCTCATATGCAACTCTACGTCGGTGACAGTTGATATATAATATATCAAACATTTTATAGAAAGAATTTGTGGAAATGATTGAACTTCAGCATGGGATCCAAGTGGAGGTCTAGTTCAGCCCTAGAATAATTCTTACATGGGTTGGCCTTGATACCGTGCTTGGTACTGAGATCGGTGGCCTGGCTGTGCATCGTGCAGGAAAGGCCTTGACGAGACCTGCGGGCAATGGCACCACCATTCCCCTGGAATGGAGCCTTTGCGCTCTATAAGTGACCTATGATATTGAGATGGGTGGTTTTCTGAGAGTCCAGCAGTGACACTGTAGGTAATGCGAGGGTCGTGAGACTGAGAAGAGAGAATATTGGACAGACTGTGATTCTTGTTATGGGTAGTAATAGTGATCTAGCACACAGAGTTTATATACTTGATTCTACTACCCCCTCACTGGATTGAAGGTCGACCTCAAAGAAAACCATAGAGAACGAATCAGAGCCAAAAGTGGTGGGTGGAGAACAGAAAGAGTAAAGTCTGCGGTATGAGTTTCTAGGCTTCTTCGTGAAGAGATATTGCAACTTCTAGAGGTGGTATAAAATCGCGAAAGAGAGGATCATCAAAATGACGTTCGTTCGAGTCCTAGTACGATGTGCAATGGACTGCGATAAATAACAGCAAAGGAGGCGAGGCCAAGAACAGACAATTCTTCCGCAGTTAGAATTACAACAATTCACTGTTGGATTGCATTGTATAGTAAGGGTGTTCTTGACCGTTATATCAGCAGGTGTTACATCGGCAACAACTCCTGTGTTAATCGCGGCGATCACTGTGGGGAAGTGAGTTGATGGCGGGGGGTCCGGCCTGAGGCAGCGATCTATTGCCGCCTGCGACTGCCGTCCCCCGCGTTCGGGTGATCTCAAACTCCGTCCTTTCTCCGGACCAGACATCTGTAAGTAGACATCATGTCGGCCAATGTTCCTCTCTTCCTTTGTTCTAATCGATGTTCTCGTCGACTTTTCGATCTGTACCGCTTTCTCGCACCATCTCTCGCGCCTTCTCCCAGTCAATCACCGCCAATATGAAGCACCATCTTATGGTCGGTACCTGGACTCCTCCAGGCCGCATCTATACTGTCGCATTTGATGATGAGGCACTTACCCTGGACTTGGTCAAGAAGACCGACATTCCAGAGGCTGAGCCCATCTCTTGGATGACCTTCTCCGTAAGTTTGTCGGTCCCGACATGTTTCAATTGGCATTGTCTTACACAATTGCTATAGCACGACAAAAAACCATTTACGGCGCGGCCATGAAAAAGTGGAACAGTTTCGCCGTTAACAGCCCTACCGATATTGTCCACCAAGTCTCCCACCCAGTCGCTGGTCACCGTAGGTCGCAATTCTTTATGGAAAGCCCTCTGTTATTGAAAGCGGTGTTCTGACTCCTTACAGCCCTTGCTGCCAATGACGACACCAATACCCGTGCCATCTTCGTTCTTGCCGCCCATCAAGCCCCCTATGCTGTTTATGGAAACCCCTTCTACAAATATGCTGGATATGGAAATGTCTTCTCTGTTGAGTCTGACGGCCGTCTCGCCAAGAACATCCAGAACTACGAGTACGAACCGAACACCGGTATCCACGGCATGGTCTTTGACCCAACCGAGACCTACCTCTACTCTGCCGATCTGCAGGCGAACAAGATCTGGACCCATCGCAAGGATGCAGCCACCGGCGAATTGACCCTGGTGGATTGCATTGAGGCCCCCTCACCCGATGATCACCCCCGCTGGGTTGAGATGCACCCGAGCGGAAAGTACTTGTACGTGCTGATGGAGGCGGGTAACCGATTGGGAGTATACGTCATCGATGAAAAGCGTCATGTGCCCGTCTTTACGCATATCACCTACCCATTGCTCCCTCCAGGCCTTCCTCCTCGCAACAAGTATCGCGGCGACGTCACCTTCACCACTCGCAGCGGTGAGTATCTCTTTGCGACCACGCGCAGCAACCACTTCGATGTCACAGGATACATCACGGCCTTCAAGCTAGGCCCGAATGGCAACATCGAGCGGCAGTTGTTTATCCACCCGACTTCGACCAGCGGTGGGCACTCTAATGCGGTCAGCCCTTGTGATTTCAGCGACGAATGGCTGGCATTGTGCGATGACCAGCTGGGATTCGTGGAGATCTATCGATTCCACGATGAGAATTTGGCTCGTGTCGCACGGGTGGATATTCCTGAAAAGGGATTCGGCATGAATGCCATTTGGTATGATTAACGGCTAAACGCAAAACTTATAAAATAATGCAATGATAGAATAGAATGTTTATAAAGATTTCGATTACTTCTTCCACTAAATGTGTCCGAAAGCCAGTTTCCCTGAAATGTATCCCGGGCTGTATGGGATGTCCAAATATGGAAGGAGCCGTTGAACATCAGCCAGTCTTGAGATACGCGAGACGACGGCCGGCCGCTACATTCAGAAATAGACCATGAATGGCCTTGCACATACCTTCAGCTCGGCCTTGGCTGACGTATCAGCCAGGGATATCGAGTGAGGGCCATGGTTCAGGACGTGAAATGATCCAATAAACTCACCGACTCTTGCAGAAACAATTGTGTTAGAATTCTCAGCGCCGCCTCGAATCTATATCCACAAGAATCTTTTTGTGGTCGTTTGCAAAATTCAAGTACCAGGTAAGATAGATAGGAAGGTTATTCTAGGTACAAGTCTTATCACTTGACCTCCGCTAGATGCTGCTCTGTACAGGATACGTCCTTGGGATATACTTGGAATTTGATGGCCGTGAAACGAGTCGAGTTGAACTCTTATCACGTCATTACACATCTCCATGCACGCCAACATAAGACTGCAGTTAGGTCATTAGCCATGATGAGGACCCGGGACATCCCTGTTATGTTGTGTCGTGTAAATAACTCGCGCGGCACGACGCGATCTATATAAAACCACCGTTCATCCCCCATAATCTGTGAAAAATCAAGACGTTACTCGAAGCTGACAATACCGAATCCACAAAGGCTTCAATGACTACATCGTACACAGCCGCTCTTCCTTTTGATCGAGGACCGCGTCACCCTATCAGACCGGTGCACCACTCATATGACCCAGTACACACAACATCAGACTCCCCAAAGCACGATCTCTTCGACTTTCTTGCAGGAGCCGCCAAAGATGACCCTGCACTGCACCGGTCTTCTTTCTGCCTTAACCCCGAAGACCTGGGCGTATCTTGGCAAACATTCTTTCCCGCTTGTCGGCAAAGTCGACAGTGGCGAGCGGCAGAGGACGCTGCACAAGAGCTGACAGATAGGCTCTTTCGCACGAGAGATTCGTCCGGGGGTAGCTTCTGCAAGCACTGGAGAGGCTTGGCAGAGATTCTGCAATTGGTGGAGACTGCTGTTGGATGTACCGTGTATATGTATCCGAGAGCCGATGTGATCAGAACCCGACTCTTAGCTCAACTACATGTCGTAATGTATATCCATGATGGTATTTTCGTCGGACTATGCAACTCCAGACCAGATCTTCGTTAACCAATGAGTAGATGTACCGAGCATCGCTCAATGCCATCATGTAAGCTCTCCGTGACAAAATGCTCGCCAAGTCTACTAAGAGCATTACAGGAAGAACTCCAGCAAGGTCGAAGCTCTCCTCCGACACCTACTCAAACAAGTTGCCGTCAGGGTACAAGTGCCATATGTCGCCTATTATCCCGTGTTCTGCAGGATATCCTTCAGGCGGACCCTATTATTGGATTTGAAGTCGCAACGGGGACTTTAAAGTGGCATCGAATGTCCCGAGCCCACTGCTCTCAGGACGAGGACAGTTGCCGATCCACGACCCTATCAGATTACCTTGAAGCGAGTGCTAGGGATGCTACTACGGAGTACGCTCGAACCAAACATCCTGCCACCTGTGGACACTAATGATTCCAGTGTCAATCTTTCCATGATCCGCTTCGCAGGATCAATCCACCTCACCTCTAGGCAAAGCCAAGATCCTATACTGAAGAATATAGTGAATCTCTGGGCAAAACACCGAATTATGGTCAAGGATCTCTTTTCATATGAGAAGGACTGTCTCGAGCACGCTGTTAACGACTCCGCAATCTTCAACGCCGTACAGGTCTTACAAAGTGAGCTCAATATATCTCCTGCAACGGCGAAAGAAGTTGCGCGTAACATCCAGCTCGACACAGAACGAGAAATGCACGGACTTTACAGAGAGATCTTGGGTCGGACAGGCACTGATAGCCCGGAGGCCCGATACGTCCGGGCGCTTGTCGAAAGTCTGGCTGGAAATGTGTTTTATTCCTCCACTGCGGAGAGAAATGCTATGCCTTTACTAGGCAAGTCTGCTGAGGAAAATGAGTCCTGACGCACTGTTGTCTGCAGAAACGTCATGGTGGATTCTGGAAGTCGGTAGAAATGACAGTACATGTATCTTGTTGCGGATCTGCTGAAACTTCGTAGATGCGAGTCTGTGATTGACTATTTAACGCCATGGTATTTAGATCGTAGCTTGGTGAGAATTGTCTCGTCGACTATTTCGGTCTTGTACATTGCCTGGCAGAAAATCCCATACCTATTCAACTTTCAGCAATGAGTGCTCATAAAACAGATGTGCGAAGGGGTCCGTAGGTGAATGATGGATTGGCCACAAACAGCATGAGGTATGCCTGGACAATCAGGTATCTGTGCTGGGTCTTTGCCTGGTGTACCAGGCATCCAACCGCAAATCCCGTGCTTGCCTCGATAATTTAGGAACCAACAACAATTACGACTCCCACTACCAACAACTTTCTGGGTTTCTGTTGCCCTCCCTTCCTCGAGGTGGTGTTTCTGGATAGCCTTGCGACTTGACACATTCTATATATTTTTCTTTCCAAAAACGGCCCATGCCCTCTATCCAGCAGAGGTCGAAACTCCCAATCTCCGGCTTCGAATTGATCGCCTCCTTCCCGATGACTTCACCCGCCGTCGTTCGGCTATCTGGTCGGCAGTCAATCGGCCTCTCCCTAATCCGGAGATGTGCCCACGGCGATACATAATGATATTGCCCCCGCGATTCCAGTCAAAACCCCTCCCCTCCAGACTGGTCAAGGACGTCGATTTGATTTGCACCATCCGACACAGTGAGAAATTAATTCACCATGGCGACCCCCGGCCTTCTTTACGTGACGATGCAACCCCGCGATTCCCTCCCCGCGGCCCAGTTCCACGACTGGTACAATACCGAACACGGTCCCCTCCGTCTCCGTCTGCCCTTTGTCACTAATGGCTTCCGCTATCGTGCCGTCGACGGGATCGAGCCCGAGTGGGTGGCTCCATACGACATTACCGACATGGTGGAGCTGACGCGCGAGACCTACTTGGCTCTCCGTGGGGATGGTATAAAGACCCCACGCGAAAAGGCCACCATGGCCCAGATTGACGTTGATCGCCGCCTTTATGATCTTCTCCATGATCACAAAGCCGCCGATTACAAGCCTCTCGAGGAGATACCCGACACTGAAGCCGCCGGCTCGGTACTTGTCTCCGCCTTGGTCTCCGTTCCCGCCGATAAAGAAGAGGACCTCAAGACGTGGTATTCTGAAGAACACTTCCCTATGCTAGCACGTGTGCCGGGCTGGCGTCGCAGCCGCCTCTTTGCCACATCGTCGATCGACCCCAAAGCACCCCGGGAATTCCTATGCCTATATGAGTACAGCGCGATCAACGGCTTAGGGGGCCCTGAACACAAAGCTGCGATGGATACCCCGTGGCGCAACCGCCTCATGAATGATCCTGCGACGAGCAAGAAGCGCCGCGTTTACCAGTGGGCTTATACATTTGGCCCCGCGCCACGCGAATTGTCTTCCCTGACCTCCAAGGATGTCGTCGGACCTTGGGCTTCCAACGACGGTCGCACCAGAACGCTTCCTTCGGCCAAGCGCCCGGCCGTCGAGTCGTTTATCACCACTCCGGACGGTGTAGATCTCCCATACCGTCTAGAGGGCAGCACCGACCCCCATAGCCCTGTCATTGTCCTGAGCAACTCTATCCTCGTCGACTATACCATCTGGGACAGCTTTGTGGATGCCTTTTTCTCCAACCCTAAGAACCAGAACTTCCGGATCCTCCGGTACCTGACCCGTGGCCGTCTCCGCGAGTGCGGGGAGAAGCCCATCAACATTGACCTGCTGGCATCTGATATCGTCGCGCTCCTCGATGCCTTGCGGATCCCCAAGGCGACCCTGATTGGTGTCAGCCTGGGTGGCGTGACCGTTCTCAACACATCGTTGCTGTACCCGGATCGCGTGACGCGCTTCATTTCCTGCGACACAAATAGCTCGGCGCCCGAATCCAACCGCAAGGCCTGGAACGACCGCGTAGCCATGGCCGAAAGCGACGGTGCAGTGTCCGCCACCACCCAGGAGCCAATTATTGGTGAGCAGCTGTCTGAAGTCACCACCCGTCGGTGGTTCGTGCCTGAATCATACGAGACGCAGCCGGAAGTTCCCGCGAAGGTGAAGGAGATTGTACGCAACAACAGCCTGGACGGTTTCCGCCAAGGCGTGCAAGCACTCTGCGCATATGATGTCCGGGACCGCATGGCTCAAGCACAGGTGCCTGGGTTGTTTGTCGCGGGCGAGGGAGACGGTGTCCTGCCGAAGACCATGCAACAGATGGCAAATGATTTGAAGGGTGGCGCCGAGCTGAAGCTGGTTCCTAAGGCTGGGCATCTGCCTATGGTCGAGCAACCCGCGGCCTTCGCTGAAATTGTCAACGGATATCTACACGCATAAATAGTCAATAGAAAGCATTTTTCTCGTTCGTTCCAATAATGTTCATTTATCGTATCGTACTTGGCTAAGTCTAGTAATAACTCAAGGAAATATATATATATATAACAATGAAAAATAAAAAAAGATTAATATAGGCTAGAAGTGTTCCCGCACCGTCTGGGACGTACTCGTCTGCGTGACCTCAAATGTGCGATGAATGCCCAATCCCATGTCGCCCCCTACAGCTGGCAACGCAGGCGATCCCTGAGCCGTCAAGCGTTCCTCGCTACTATTGGGACTCGATCCGCCATGCCACGACCCATTCTGGTCCTGGCTTTGCACCGTCGTCACTGTAATCGCCAACTTATCCGGCCTCAACCGGTTCTGGACGTTCTCATCCAGCGACCCCAACGGAAAGGGCCGATCTCGACTGGCACCGGGAAGTCGAGACCCGGATCGACCGGGAAAGGGAGAGGGATATGTAGGATCGGTCCGTGAACCGAGCCAGTGACGGAGCAGTGGACGAAGGGTAGCGAGACTTCCAGCCGTGATACCGAGGCCAACTTCGATATTGGACCAGAGGGCGATCTCAACTGTTGCATCTGTATTCCAGCTCCATATTAGCGATCATCCCCCGATTATATCCACGTCAGAAGTAGACCAGGGAACCCTACAAAGAAAGTCCGGGTCGTCAAAGGTATGAACAAAGGGTATACGGATAATGACGGCAGAAGAAGCACTGCACGAATCCCTCAGTCAGCATCATTCCACTCTCTCCAGAACCCCAAGGAGAGCCACCTACATGCACGCCATACTCAAGATCCCGACCACCGCCAGCTTCGTCTGCTTCTTCATATGCAAGTCCTTAACCAGGAAGATAGGCAAAATGGCCACGGTGAAATCGCAGATCACCGCGAACGCACTGTAGACATACGTCATGGCGATAATGATAGTCATGTCGAGACAATGGCCCTCAATGTTCGGGTCGAAAGCGACCTTAGTCCAGAAATACTCCAGCGGCTTGCACTGCAGTAACATGAGGAACATGAAGACGAGACCGGCGATAACCGTCAGGATCATCACGATGTAGAGCGACCATATATGCTCCCGTTTGACCGTGATGCGCATCAGGAAGATGCAGATGGAGATTTTGCCGCCGACGGAGGCGAAACAGTACGCGATTTCACACAGCCACCAGTACTTTACTTTCCGTGTTAGTCTGCGTCGGGCTCAATGGGAAGAGAATGGTGATAGTGGTGGTGGTGTGTATATACCCTCATGGCCGTCACCCGTTGCACCGCCGTCAGATCTTTGTATCTTCGCCCCGTACCCCATAAACTGCCTCCGATCATACAGGCGGAAAACATCACGTAGAATAACTATCATTGTTTGGTTCCTTTGGTCAGCCATTACTGGGTTTTTGTTTTTCTTTTTTTTTTTCACGGGAGTATCGCAACAAGACTAACCAATGCAACCACCATTGCCCCGTCATCCCAGCCGAATGCCTTGACTAACCATCCTCGCACGTAGCATCGCAGGATCACCGTGACGACTGCCACTGCCATGAAGGCGGCGGCAACCGCCCTGACTTCGACACTGCGGTCATCCGCATGGTCCATGTCGATGATGAGGTCCGGACATGGCCAGTAGAGGTTGTGGGGACGGGCCCCGGGGGCAGACGATATTATATTACATTGTTAATATTAGGAGCGATCTGGAGATGGAGCTTGGCTCGGTGCCAGCCTTCCTATTCTAGAAGCGCTACGAATTAATCTTAGCTGGTTGGCGCACAGGGGGGGGAAAGGGACTACGTAGAAAAAAAAAAAACAAAAAAAGAAAGAAAAACGGGGCAGTTAGTAGCTTCCAGGCTATGGCGAAAAAAGCAGCGGATCGACAGCGTCAAGTGGCGACCCGGCTGAAGAGACTATGCGCCAAGGCGTTTTTAGTGATGTGAATGGAGTCACAACGAGTCAGAGAAGGGGGAAGGGGAACAGACTAGAAGGCATGTACTTTGTTGAGGCGCTTGGGGCCTTGGATAACCTCGCTTAGGGTTTAGACCGTTGGTCCCCGACGACAAGAAAAGCATTGAACACTGAGCAGGTCCAACATATTTATTAATATGGACCGAGGTTCCACGTGGAATTAATCAATCCTGAGTGGCAATCGTTCATGACCGTGCATCACTTTCGTGCATATATGAATAGTAACCGCACAGTTACGTTATTTCCTGCTGGGTCAAGCCCGTCCATCCCCTATCGCTTAAACTGAATCTGGCATCTTTCGCCGCTGATAGACGCTGTTAGCTCGTATCAGGCCGCTCGCTGTTGATCCACTTGACGGGAATTGACCACCAAAGCGGCAGAGATACCGTCATCATCAAGTCCAGTGCCATCCGAGAAACGGGGAGGAATGAAAAAGTACTATGTATATACTATGATCCCCGGGGTAGAGATGGACACGTCAAGGACTCGGTTTGGATCGATCTGTGGAACTATTGGAAATTGACAGCGTAGCTATCTGATCCGTATATTAACGTGGAATAAGAACCTAATAGTTCCAATCCGGCAGCACAATGACATTATGCCTGCTTGCTTCTTGGCTTTTTCTGACACCCAAGAAACCAGCCATGCGCTTCTTCAGGAACCCTTTTGTCACTAGTAATGCAGGAATCCAGACGCCGCCGGCATTTCTACTGCCAATCATCTACTACTCTTGGCTAGCAGTCTCCAAGCAAACGGCACACGTGTGGGCCGCCACTAAATGCTGTCAGGGATAAACGAACAAGTTCTCCCACAACCATGGGTCTCGGAAATTGGATCCGCCAAGGACGGACGTCCTCGTATTTGTTTCTGCTCGACTTCACGGCAATGGAGTTATTCATCCTCCGTAACCAGTCACCAGGAGCAAAAAGAAAGGCAAGTGTAATGATCCTTCCTGAAATAGCGCTGGGCCTGTTCTTGGCGCTTCGGTTAACGTTAGAACGATGGGGTTTCCTTAGCGCGGACTAATTCGTGTAGCTGCATACGGGATTACGGAGAACTTCGACAGCGGACCACCGCCTGAAGATTGACAGTTAAGGCCAGGGATTAAATACTAGTATCCCTTTTCTCCCGCCTCAGCGATCCGCAGGTCTAAGGCGTGTCTCTCCGCGGACATGATCTGCAGCTGTCGCTTCCCGGACTCCGTCGTCGGAGTGTCTCCGGACGAGTTGTTGCTAGTATTAGTATTTCAAAAAACGCAACAGCAAATCTATACTACCGGCGGTTGATCGTCTCGGCAAATGAAGCAGAGCCCTTCACTGCCGTGCCCCGTGAAATACCGAAAAAAAAAAAGCTTTGGGCATTCATGATAGAATCCCGATGGTCGACAAATCCGATTCTATCTACTGTGTATTGGACAGTCAAATCCCTAGGGTTGTGACAGATCACATGCTGCACCACGGGAGATCCACGATGACAATTCCTCTTCCTTGCTAGGATCCTGACGGCTCACAACTTTAATTCCGTGTTTATTTGGCGGTTCCAAGGCATGACTGTCGCAGACTCTGCATGGTGCTGAAAATGGGAATGAAACAACGATATGTGCGCTTCTGACGAACGACTGTGGGGCTCAAAGCTTTGGATAGCATCGAGATACACCTAAGCACCGGTGGCACTTGGATACGTTATATAATAAGAGGTCTGGAACACAATCTCGCCGCCACCAGAGTCTGTCAGCATCCTTCCGCTCGACCGAAACACTATTTGGCGATTGCTCTAGCCTCGTGGCAGAATCTATGCGATGCAACAAGAGATGGCCCCAGTATCCGGGACGATGGACATAGGTTGGTGTCGATGTGTTAGATATTGAAAGGGGCCCAGGCTATACATACCACCAATCGATGTGTATGATCGAGTGGGAGCATGCTGACAACTTGGTACAAACTATATAGATCATAGATTTTCCTACGAGGCGCCCACTCCACTTCTTCGGTTCCGGCTCACAAACGTAGGGAAATTCGACATGTAGGATTCTATATTATTCTTTTGGGCGTCAACCAAAGACCATACTATGGTCAGCTGTTCGGTCCAGAAGAGCCATTCAATCAGTTCAGTATACCCAAGCCTAATAGATGTCGATCTAGGATATGAAGGCCAGCCCATCTGGAATAGGTCTTCTATATTAAACCTGACTCGCTCGAAGCAAAATATGGACCACTTGCACGTCATAACCGTCGTTGGAAGAAGTAACACCCGCCTGCGTTGCGTTAGCCTGGAGAAATACTACACGGCAATAGGCGTGAAACACAAATTAACCGTACTGTATGACTCGCGCTGAAGCTCCACTTTCAGGATCCTCACTCAATGCCGAAGGAGATCCCCAACGTAGAAGGCATTATCTTTAAAGGTCGAATTGCGTAGGTAGTACGGAGATGCGTATATCGTTCGGTGAGTACAAGGCACAGCAGCATCAGGAAGCAGAAAGCAACTGGCGCGATTACCATATATAATATTGCTTGGTTTAATAGCTTTGGATTCTTCGCCTACAGGGAAATACAACTCCGAGATCAATTGTAGACCATGATGTCTTGCCAGCCATGTATGTGGTTTTCGCCAATAGGAGTGAGGACAGTGTCATTCTGGAGATAGGCCGAAGGCAAAATTGTAGATGGCCCACGATAATACATGTAGTAACCTCTGTTTCTAGGGTACTCAATAAATGTTCAGAGAAACATTCCTCATAGCCCAAAAGTCGACAGCTTTGAGTTACGGCTGCCTGCATGTTCTCATAATTTTACCCAGCACCGTTGGGGTGCCTCCATTGCACTCCTATTGTACTAAATGGCCCGGATACTCTCGGATCCAGCTCTTTAATTGACAGGTCCACCAGCGTCAAGCGAGTGGAGTATTCAGACTCGAGCCGGGGCAACCCCACTATCCAATAGTGTCTTTTCTCTAAGGCTGTAGTCGTGCTGTGTGTACGGCTTGAAGAATTTTAGCCGCCTTTTCATGCATTTACAGCCTGTGAGAGTAACAAGGTAG